AAATTCGGATGATGGCCCACGAACTGCAAAAACAGATATCTGGGAGTTTGGCATCGTGTTCCTTCAAATGGCTTTTGGCTTAAATGTCACTAGGAAATATACGTCACCTAAGGCTATGCTAGACTCATTGGATTTGTCAGACGCTCTTCACGATTTTATGCTCAAGCTGTTCAATCCTGACCCGAAAAAGCGGCCACGAGCTTTTGCACTCAGTGAGTACTCTTGTACAATTTAGACTTTTTGTCAGAGTCCTGGTCGTCCGTATAATGACAAAATTGGATAGGCTCATGCAAATTTCTTGTTACTGATGCTCCGATAATGGACGAAGATTCGTCTGCTCTAATGTTAAGACTTGGTTCCACCTCATCTTTAGCACCCCTTACTCCACGTAGACCTAGGCATGATTCTATGAGTCTTAGTGGACCTTTCTCAAGATATGCTCATGATTTTGTGGAGGAAGGTCGCTTAGGGAAAGGGGGGTTTGGAGAGGTGGTAAAAGCAAGGCAAAAACTAGATGGGCAGATATATGCCATTAAAAAGATTACTCAAAAGTCTTCTGCTCAGCTAGATGATGTCTTAAAAGAGGCTCGCCTACTTTCCCAACTCAACCACCCTTCTGTTGTCCGTAAGTACTCTTTTTCGTATATTTTATACCAGACGAGCCAAACTTGGAGACCTATTCCTGTGTTATTCTTGATTCCCCAAATTGTTAAGAGTGGACTGGGAGAAAGAGTGCTCAACTATTACGATCCTTTGGCAGAGGATGAAAATAATCACTTTATCAAAACATGCTTATTCTCCCTTAGGTTACTTTAATACATGGACAGAAGAGGTTCCTGATCTTTCTGAGACGGATGACGATAATACGACAACAGATGCTGCCACTGAAGAATCTAGTAACGTTTCTCTTGAGGATCAGAAGCTCATATCGAATTCGGGACTAGTACCGGTGGACTGGATTTCATGTCTACCAGCGGATACCAAGTCGAATTCGGTTATGATGAGGCAAGCGACAGTGATGATGAGGATGAGGATGACGATGAGGATGAAGATGATGACGATGACGATGACGACGAATATTCCGTAGAACGCAACGGACATCCCCGAAACCGGGGACATGAGCGTGTTGCTCTAGCACATAGGGGAAGTAGATCTAGTCCGCGGCCTTCGCGCCCATTCAAAACAATCTTATACATATCTATGGAATATTGTGAGAAGCGAACACTTCGCGATCTTATTCGACGAGGACTCTATAAAAACAACGAGGAAATATGGCGTCTTTTCCGTCAGATCCTCGAAGGTCTTGCCCATATACATAGCTTGAACTTTGTTCACCGCGATCTCAAGCCGGAGAATATTTTTATCGATGGTGCCTCTAATGTTAAAATAGGCGACCTCGGTTTGGCTACAAGGGGCCAATACTCTGCAATCGATAAATCGTCAGCTTCTGCGATGCAGAATAGTGGGGATTTAACAAGGAGTATCGGTACTTTCTCCTATATTGCACCCGAAATTCGATCAGCAGTCTCTGGGGGTCCATACACTGGCAAGGTTGACATGTACTCTCTTGGTGTGATATTCTTCGAGATGTGCTATACGCCATTAGTTGGGATGGAAAGAGTAAGTATATTATTTATCTATCTACTTCGCTAATGACTCCATATCATGCGTTATGCGTTTCATTTCAGAGATCAAATAGACACACGCGACTAGCCTCTCATTGTATATTTCAATTCGATGCTAACTATAAGTTTAGGCACAAGTCGTTGATGGTTTACGGAAGAAGGAGCCGTTGCTTCCAGCGAATTTTGACAAGGCCGAAAAGCCGTTCAGGCAGATATTGTTTTGTCCCTACTTAACCATAATCCAAAGGAGCGGCCGTCAAGTTCTGAACTTCTTCAGAGTAGGAAGTTACCGGTCCAGATGGAAAGCGAAACGATCCGCCAAACTTTAGCTGGTTTATCCGACTCGAAATCGCCATATCATCAAAAAATGATGAGTGCTCTCTTCTCTAGACCAACAAAACGAGCAAAGGACTATGCGTGGGATATGGGAGTTCCGACACCCAGTGGTAATGACTTGTTACTTCAAGGGCTCGTGAAGCAAAAGTTAATTTCCATTTTCCGCAACCATGGAGCCGTAGAAACACCGCGAAGTATTTTGTTCCCATCATCTGATCATTATGGTATCAATGCTGTCCAATTATTAGACAAAAGTGGTACTCTTTTACAGCTACCCTATGATCTCACTGTCCCAAATGCTCGTGCTATTGCGAAACATCAACCTCCCGTGGAAAGATCCTTCGCATTTGGTACTGTTTTTCGAGATAAGCACGACGGTGCTACCCCACAAACTTTTAGTGAAGTGGACTTTGATGTTGTCACTTCAGATAGCTTAGACCTTGCATTAAAAGAGGCTGAGGTTATCAAGGTTCTAGATGAGATTGTTGCCAGCTTTCCATCTCTACCTTCGTCCCAAATGTGCTTCCATATAAATCATGCAGATTTACTTGGTCTAATCTTCGACTTCTGTCGCATCGAACCCAGTATACGACAAGCTGCAGCCGATACACTTAGTAAATTAAATGTACAGCAATGGACATGGCAGAAGATACGAGCAGAACTTCGATCACCATTGGTAGGGGTACGTATTAATAACAGAAAGTGCAGATCCGTCACCAAACTATCCGTCTACTTTCTCCTTACATTTTCAGACTTTCTGAATAATCATTACTGAGATTCTCCATTCAAGTGAAATTACTTGCTAACCCAAACTTAGGTATCCGCCACTAGCGTCGAGGATCTTCAACGATTTGATTTCAGAGATACTCCCAGCAAAGCTTTTCAAAAGCTAAAAGTAATCTTCGAAGGTACCGAGATGTTCGAAAAGGCCTCTTCTTCTATCGCGCATCTACGTGATGTGATCGAGTATGTGTTCCAATTTTTCTGGTGTCTTTCAACTAAGCATCGCTAATGTGCCAGTACAGATATACAAAACGTTTTGAGGTCCAGAGAAAGATTTATGTCCATCCTCTAGGAAGTCTAAAAGAGAAATTTTACAAGGGTGGCGTACTTTTCTCTTGTTTGTATGACAGAAAGGTCCGAGATGTATTTGCAGCAGGAGGTCGATATGATTCTTTGATCCGAGAAAACCGTCATCACAAGAATATCAATGAGGAACGACATGCTGTGGGTTTCAATCTAGCATGGGAAAAGATGGCTAGGCTTCCAAAGTCGAACTCAAAAGGTTTCTTAAAGAGGCCCGATGAGGAAGTACAGGGTATCTGGAGCACAAAAAGAGTCAGTACCACCGCATTCATCCTTCTCAGCTGGATGAGCTTCGCGTATTTTTTCAGAGAGCCACAGCTAATTTGCTCAATAGTGCGATGTACTCGTTGCAAGTCATGATGCAGCGATACTGAGATCAACCGGAGTTGAGCTTGTCTCAAACTTATGGTCGCATGACATAAGTGCCGAGCTAGCACGAGACTCACGTTCCCCGGAAGATCTTCTTTCTAAATACCGAGATGATAGTTATTCTTGGATAGTTATTATCAAGCAAGATTCCGTGGTGAGATGCAAGACTACTGGCAGAAAGGATATACCTGATGCCGATATTCCTTCTACGCAATTAGTTTCATGGCTTCGTGGTGAAATGCGTGAGAGGGATCAGAGGGAAGGAACATACAATCGGGCAAAGTAAGTGTGTCTGGAAGTCTCCAAAATATGAGGATATTAATGCATTTATTAGACTATCTCGCCATCATAGTCAACCCGACACAGGACCGAGTGAGCATGAGCAGGACGTACGAGTTTTGTTCGCCGGTACGAAGAGCAAGAAGTCAAATAGAAGAAGTATTGTAGACCAAGCTCAAGGTAGAGCAGCAACGCGTGAGTTATAATTTCTTAATCCTCAGTGCTCTAGAAGACGCATATTAACGTTTCCACCCTAGTCGTTCAATCTTTCTTAGACGGCCCTATCGCTGCCATTGAAACAACAGACCACGTAGGTCACTCTCTCCATATGCATCCCTCATTAAACACCTCTCCTGTAGCCTTTCGTCTCCTCTCGCTTCATGGTATCTCATCATTCATTTTAATAACACTTTCTCTCCCTAGGTAATGGATTTCATCCGTGAAACCAAACTCTCGGATCCCGACTCCTGGCGTAAAGTCACCCATTCAGTCCCCACGACCGAACGTCGCTACATAGGTGAGATTCATGATTTGATGAGCACTCTGGCTTTTCAAAATAAAGACATCACAAGAAATGCGTTTGTTTATAATTTTAGAACGGGAACGTGTATTTATTATGATTTGGGCGCTTAATTTTAGTAGAGAGAAGGAGGGGTCAGTGGAAGAAGGAAGAGGGAGGAAGGGCGTTGTAATTTGTATGTATATAGATACCCGGGTATAAATTTCAATATATTGGCAAGATTTCCTTTGCAATTGTCGAGATGGGATTTTTTGTGTTTACTATATGCAATCGGGTGTTTTGAAGAATTTTCAATACCTACTCCAGATACTTTCAATATTTGCAAAATCATCAATCTCTAAAAGCTTTAAGTATTATCTGACTATAACAAGTAATAGTTTCAAATAACCTCAAAATTCCCAATCCACTATGAGATAATCTTGCATATGAATTGAGATTTTTATTCCTATATTATCGATGAACTATCTATCTATGGAAATAGACTCTTCAGATAACTATAATCTAGCTTGAAGCTTGGAATAGAAATTCTTCTTGATATCTCACACGAACGGACTATGGAATCTTATTACCAATTGCAATATTGACATAATATTCCGAGATCTTAAGATCATAGGATCATATGGAATTGCGTATTTATCCAACTCTTTGATAGACGGAGATATCTAAATGTGCAGATTTCATCATGGTAACCTACCAAACCATGATGTGCAACTCCGTTAATGTAGAAAATTATTCAACCAGACCTGTGATGAAGATAGCGTCTACCTTGATAAGATACATAAGGTTAAGCAGTGCAGTCTAAGAATCATATATTATAACCAACTTGGCTATTTCTTCACCTTGTACTTGACTTTCACTTCTCCTCAATTCTTAGCTGTCCTTTCCACCCATCTAACAGAAACATTCCTCGGATTCGCCATCTGCAATAACAACTCTACATGACTATCCCGCACAATATCCAAAGTCCGCTTACGAGCCGCATCAATCGATTCATGCGCGATGGGAACAGGCTCCGCAATATGATTCATGAAGAGTGCAGTCAACGTTGCCACGAATTGAACCTGTGCGAACTTTTTGCCCGGACAATTTCGTAGTCCTTCTGACCATGGGAAATATGTCCCTTTTGTTGGATTGAATAAGGTTTCTTGATCGAGGGCTCCTGGATGCTCGATCCATCTTTGCGGGCGCCATACTAGAGAGTCGCTTCCCCAATGCCGTGGATGCGTGTGCAAGGCTTGGAGGTGAGGAACTACCAGGTAGTCGGCAGGGATATGATAAGTGTGGCTGTTGATTTTGAGATCGGTGGATTTAGAACCGGTATATTTGGGTACACCAGGAAGGGGATTATAAAGACGTAGAGTCTCGAGCTGGAATAGCTGGTTAGCCCACTTGACGTCGAATCCCAACAGGAAGAGATTTACTAAAACTGCAAGTATTCGTTTGAGTTTGGGAAAATTTTCATTGTATGCCAGGGGTTTAGGGTCTTGATTCCCTACATAGTGTTCAATTTCTTCATGGACCCAATCTTGAACTTCGGGATGTGCAACTAATAGAAGCATGCCATAAGCAAGTGATATAGCAGTCGTATCGTGTCCAGCAAAGTTGAAAACAAAGATATTACCGAAGATTTCGGCGTTGGTTAAAGGCTTGAGTTTGCTGCTGTTACCAGATTCTGAGCTTATTGCTAGACCTTTGTCCGAGGCGCGAACCAAATTACTAACGAGGTTACCTGTACCGGCCTCGCCATTCCGGATCAATTCTCGTTCGGCTGCTACTTGAGCTGTCATGTATTCACGGAATGAATTAATAGCCCAGCCAACTTGTTGGAAGCTTCGTGGCAAGAATGGTAGAGTGAATACCTTCTCCGGTAGAACCATAATGAGCAAAACATTTTCTAGAATGATGGCGATAGAATCCCGATAAGTTAAAGAAGTTTGGTTTACAGCTTTACCGTGTGAGATACTATCAAACGGATATGATTTTTGGAAGGCTACATATGCAAGTACATGCAGGGCCAATGTCCTGGTATCATCCGGTGTTGTGGTAATTCCATCTCGACTCCGAGAGCACCAAGCGCGCAACATATCTTTAGCTTGGCGAAAAGATTCGTTCCATACTAGAGGGCTCTTCTGCTCATTAAACGGAGTAGCAGTGAGTTTTCTCTGTCTCTGCCAGTCTTGACCTTCAGCCTAACACTTATGAGTTTTTAGTCCTGGTACAGCTTGAACATATCTTACAGTGGAAATATTTGGTCCAAAGACACTGAGAGTTTCTGAATCAATATTAGTACCCCATGATCTAAGCTGCAAAATAAAATAAGCTACCAAGCATCCACAAAGGGCGCACAAAATCACGCCCTCTGGAGAATATATCTGTCACAGCGGCAGCATTCGCAATAAAAACCCAATTCCTTCCCGGTGTCACCAGAACCCAGCCATCGCCAAGCCGTACATGAGTATGGAATCTATCATGGAATTCCCAGCCCAAACGAGTGTATCTGGTGAAAGAAGTTGCTGAAGGGAAATCTCCGGACGAAGACTTTGAATGCGGTTTGGAAAGCAATCCATAAGGGGTTGTCGGGGGTGATGGGACTGACTATTCGGGGTAAACCTAATGTTGATGCATTTCTGTAGTTTGAGTATAGTGAGTGTATATTGTAGAGGAGGAAGGAAAGGAGGATGAGTGCTGGGTAGAAAACACCATTTTGTTTAGATGTCGTCTTTACTGTTGAGGTCCTGGTTTGAAAGTTTTGCTGTGTTTGTCTGACGTCGACATTGTAGAAGAATTGTTAGTTCGGAACATCATTCATTTCCTAAATTCATTCCAGCAATTCAATCAGACCACACCACTGGTAAGAACGTTTGAAATGCTTAGGTAGTACTATAAACATTATCATGATGCATCGGTGTATATAATAAGGTTATCGCTTCGTCTGAATTCGAATAACGACGCTAAGAAAAGTATCTACTGTAAAGTGGCTGTGGCTGTGGCCGTGGCTGTGGCTGTAGCTGTGGCTGTGGCTGTGGCTGTAGCTGCCGAGTTCCGCGTCGGAAAAGCGGAAGAAATTATCCATGTGTCACTCGGGGATTCGGCAATTAAAGTGATTCTACTTGAAAAAGAAATATGGAATCGTTAATTCTCCGTCCCCAAATATTCGATGCGACTCTCCCAATCCCGATATCACCGTCGCCACTGTTTGCTTACGAGTACATGCGGTGATGTGACGAATATGCTACGGATTGTGTCCACTCCTTATTATTGTATTTCCTGTATCTATCAATAATATGCTTTTCCTTCTTTCCATTTTAATACCGAGTACGTGTTGAACTTGCTCATGATCAATCCTACATCCTCCCTAAGGTTACTCCCTACTCCCTACTCTCTACTCCCTACTCCATCCACTTTCTACCTTTTATCTTTTCATCCGATTATTGAGACTATTTTCCATCAACGAGATGCAAGGCTCAATTAAAGGACCGGGCGCAAGAAACTATCCGCATCTCTTCTGGGTCAAGTTTAAAACAATCTCTATCCATGCTTTGTATCATGGTGCTCTCGTCGCTGGGAAAAAGGCTGTCATGGTGTTTCAAGCAAACGCGCTTTGCCGTCGTCGCGAGTATCACATCCATCCTCAATGCTTCATGAACTGTTTCCATGTCTGAGCGTCGAGAGAAGAAAGAAATGAGAAGTCATACTCGATACAAACTATTTTATTGCCAATAATTTGGCAATGAATAGTAGGTATCATTAGTATGTTTCCTCTTTCTCTCTCGCAGATCCTTGAAACTCACTAGAGGATTTGTGCAGTGAGTAAGTGGATGGAAATAGTACGATGCTACACTGTATATTACGCGCAGATTCACCAAAAGTCGGGAATTGTTGGATGAGAATCTTATGATTCGCTGATTTTACATTTCCACTGCATCGCCTCTTCCTTTTTTAAATGGAACCTGAATCTATTTAGAATTTTAGGAAGAGAGTCTGGGGCGCAGGATTTCAAGTGAAGGAATTCCTTTTGATATCATTGGTTGATGAATGATTTCTTGCTTTCATGCTTTCATTTCATACGTCTTTCTCGCAGCTCAAATTGTTGCCAATCCACCCCTTATGCACTTGTTATCAATACACTCATACCCTTATTCTTTTATTCTCATGAATTTTTCCAATCACAGACCGTTGATTTTCTGATTTTCATCGTACCCGCCCCGGCTTCGTAGCATAGGCCGCGTCATTTTGCGGAACCCCTGACCTTTTCTAATCCCAGCATCTACGTCGTACTCAGTGCTCACCAACAAAACTAGCCAAGGTTACGTACCAAAGGTATAGAAAAGGGTCGAATCACAAATTCGGATTCTTTGGAATCATTCAATCTTGTATCATATATGAGGAACGACAACTCAAATGTTCAAAGCTTTTGACAAGTCTTCCCATACAGTACCTAGATAATTCTACCGCTACTTTTTCAATTCTACTCTAGGATCGTTTTCACCTTGTTCCATCCTTGATCTTAAGAGAATCAATTATCTTGATTCCTGTATTACTCTGTCCGGATCCTGCCTTCCCTCCTACCCTACCTTTGATTCCCTCAGCCTTTCTCGGCATTATAACCGCTGCGCTTCCCAACAGTCCGCTACCCACCATTTGATACAGGACAAGACTGCTTCACGGGTCTGCAGCCTTACAGTAGAAGGCGCTTGAAATTCTTCCACAATACCAAGAAAGGATACTCCACGAATTTGCATAAACTTATTTTCTTGGCACTCTCATACCTTCAGCCACAATTAGGAGTTTAACCATTTGTCGCAGATATCTTTTGTTGCTAGGTACCGGGAACTTGTGAGAAAACATCAGATTCATTCAAGCTTTGCGTTCGCGGAGTGTGCCTTCCACAAAGTATTTTAATACCCCATGTTCCATGAAGCTCTGCAAATAGGTTAGTAAAACGTATCGAAAACAGCATTAAATGTGTACAAACCTCTCGCATTGGGGCAACATCGGTAAGAAGATTGCAGACTGCAGCGGTAGCAGCAATTTGAACTTCGATGTCTTGGTGAGAAAGAAGGGGAAATATCGGCGCAACTACTATTATCAATCAATTTAGTCCGAAGTATACAAACTGACCTCGCCAAGGCTCGAGTCGCCGTACAAGCAGCAATAAGAACGCCTACGGATTGATCCCGTATCCTTCTTGTTTAACTTCAGGGTTACTTGAATCGTTTTTCTTTTCGGCTTTGTCGCCTTTTTCGTTGACTTTAGTTGATGGCTTTTGCGGATTAGGGTTCAAAGATTCGACAATGTAAGGAATTATACCGTTGTCCACAACGGATTTTCTATGTTCTTCTTTGAATGGAATAAGTGATGCTATAGCTCTTAATACGCTTTCCCTTACTTTGATTTTGTGAACGAGAAGAGCAGATTGACCAGGATCACCAAGACGTGATGAAGGGGTTTGTTCCACATAATCCTCTTCTGCATTTGGTTTGATAGGCGACCAATGTTGTGCATTGACACTTTCCGGTACTGGTTCGTAAGATAGTTTGATCAACTTAGAGAGCTTGGTCATCGCCTTACTCTGGAAAGTAGCTTTTTGAAGGTGTTCGCTATCTGTAATTAGCAACGACAAGATCCGTGGTGCCATTTCTGTGATTGACCACTCGACTCTCAACGATTCATGGTCACAAGAGATATCCTTGGACTTGACTTGAGTCGCCTCTTCACCCAACATCTGCACAAGTAGAGGCACAACCAGTAAACCTAAGGCTGGTTCCCTGGCTTTATTGATAAGGCCGGCTCGAAATAGAACTGTCAGTAAATAAGAAGCCATGAGTCTCTCCTCGCCTTCCCGAGATCTCATAATAAATATCAGGTATGCAACCAGAGGAGTCTCAGGGTCCTCGAGAGCGGCTTGACTCTCTTGTGGTGAACCATTTCGCTCCGGGGGAGGTTCAGACCATATCGATGTAGAAGTTGACTTTCCACGACCATTGAGAGGCTCCCGAGATCCTGATGAACCAAGTGGGGGAAATGCAGATGCCTGTGCGCTCTTCACTGGGTACTGTGGAACGATCGGGAGCAGGTAATCAATGGCACTCAACTGGCTTTGTCGTGAACTTAAACTTCCTGTATTGAACGTATTCCAAGCAGCTCTCGAGCTTTGTAGGATCGGCGCATCGCCGGCAGGAATTGATGGAAATACCGCCATGATTGATGGGTGATAAATGAGTTGCGAAGCTCTGAACTTGGATTCGGCGACAATGCTAGCTATAGCCTCCAAAATCCCCGAGAAATAAGCAGTTGAAGGAGCAGCCGCAGGGATGTATTCCCGTAAACCTTCCCTATGCGCTATGATATCGGCACCTGGAACAACAAGGCCCTGAGCCACAACGAAGCTTGCCAGTCTCACAGCCAAGGCATCCAGAACACCGGAAGTTGCGAGACTTTGTTGATAGGACTCCTGTCGACATATTCGGGCTATGAGTGTAGCCGCCAAGGATATTTGATTTTGTATGATGTGAGACGATGAAGTTTGGGAGATGATGCGAGTTAGAGAGGCGAGATGTGGGCGTACGAACAACGCTGCCGCCAGAGACTTAATGGTAATAGGGTGTGTGCTAGTAGCAAGCATTGCGGATTCTGCGAGGTTGGACAAAGCCCGCAACGCTGCGAGGACTATTTGTGGCGGATTACTTATTGGGCAAAGATTCGACAGGATCGCCGGGAGCGCAGAGCCATAGTGTAATGGAGCGAGGAAGGCTGGACCACCTAGTTCTTGTTAATAAGAGCCATAAGAAAAATAACATGTATGCTAACCATATGCAAGGCTTCCCAGGACCTGTAGAGCCTGTAGTCGAACCATTTCCTCTTCTTCTAACGGTCGGATCGCATAACTATGATCGTGTGCTTTCCAATCCTGATTTCTGGAATTGAACTTATTGAAACTTATGCGTACGACAGGTTCCACAAGGCCCATGGTTACAGCCATTTCTTTCTTTGGAGCATGTCCAACGATCTCATTTTTAAGGGCCCTCAGATTGGCAATCTGCTCCGTGGTAGTCCTAGCATTTCGAATCAAGGCCGGCCATCTTTGTGTGGCCAAACTTCTAGCCATTTTGTATTATCAAAACAGCGGATGCGGTAGAAATATCCCCAAATTGTGTTCGATGATGAGAGAGAGAATTATTGAAGTAGCTACGCTTGTGTCTGAAGGATGATTATCTTCGGCAGGTAAGGTTTCTTGATTCGTGGTCGACTTAGCAGGTCAGAATGTTGTACACAGATACGGAATTGTGAATGACGAATGACATATATTTCGTACCCAGACTTGAAGAGACGTCCTTGACAATGGAATTGTTGAGACAAAAAACAGATAATGGAGTATCGGTACATACAATTGGGTTGAGAGGTCGGTATGTAGACAATATTATAAGATGAAGGCAGATTGAATTTTTGGTTATTGTAATAACCTTCAGTTCAGAATGTTCCAATGTATACGTAGTAAATGCAACATAGACATGACGCGCTGTCTACTCCTAGACCTTACGTGGGTTTGGACCGTTTGGACTTCTTCACATGGATTTGTACAAGCATTTTCTACATGCGATCGTTTATATGTACACGATTGGAAAGGGTCTTCATTTACCTAAGTAATAACATAACGAATAATGAGATAAAATCAGTATTAACATAACACACACATGATAAAAGGAGACATTCTTGTAAGATCTTACCACGAGTCATATCTCTTATAACTCACTCATACTCGTAACTCGTACAATCCCAACATTAACCGGAAGCACCATTGAGCAGAGTTTTTTGAACAAGATTTCTTCCACTTTATTATCGTTCTTTGCTGCATTTCAAAGTTGGTATAGACAAAACCTTATGATATTGTACATACTTTTCTTCACGTACTCAACAATCACATTATCAAAAGCATCGAATCGCAGCTGTTATAGCCACCACGCCTTACAAAGCCCCACCCCATCGCTCTTACCCACCCAATCCACTCCGCCAATTTAGATAATAAGTCGGAAGGCGCTGATCATGATTCAGTTTGAAAAAGGAACATGTTGAAGTCGCCATCATTGAGCAGATCTCAGGCTTCCCCTACTCTCTGCCACTATGCAACTCCTGCGACACGACCCTCACTGTCGCGCAGAACATCGACTGCGAACAAACCTTCTCCCTCGTCACAATCACAGCAGCAACCGATACCTCAGTCGCAACCAAAGAAATGGGTCTATGTTGACGCTTCTACTCAGTGGAGCCCTCCCATAATGCCTTCTAGTATGGCAGATGGAACATCGACACCAGTGCAAGTGAAAGTTGAGGATTTTCCTCCAGAACCCACCATTGCGCCAGAACAACTCAACGTTGATGTCTCACGCAGTATAAACCCACCAATACAACCGGAATCGCCAAGTATGAAGAGAAGGCAATCGGCAATCGACGATGCGCATATTGCTAGCAAAGGGGTTTCATCCCCAAAGAGAGTGAAACCTCAAGCGACGGTGAAGATTCTACCTCGCAACTATGAGCATTGCGAAGAAGAGGATATGGTCATTCTCATAGCTAGTATGATTGCTGAATTGATTCAAAGAAACGATCTTCTTCCTCCGCAGAACGGAGTGTTGACACGCTTTCATTCTAGGTATGCATGTGTGTATATTTATGTTTACATGCTTCAATACTAACGGTTTCTAGATCGCCTCCTGGAATTTCTGTTCTTGATTACCTCCGCCGACTTGCAAAGCATGCCACTCTAAAACCTCCTCTCTTACTTTCCATGGTTTACTACATCGACCAACTTTGCGCTTCATATCCAGCATTTACAATCACAACCTTAACTGTTCATCGATTCTTGATTACGGCGGCTACAGTAGCCTCAAAAGGACTTTCAGATATTTTTTGGAACAATTCAACGTACGCGAGGGTTGGTGGTGTCAAATTGGCAGAATTAGGATTGCTAGAGCTTGAATTTTTACACAGGGTCGACTGGAAAATAATTCCTAAGCCTGAAATGCTGACAGATTATTATAAAGGTTTGATTGAGCGAAACGACCGTTACAGAATGGAAGGAGATTTATCTGATGAATCAGACGGATTGGATGATGATGAAGAAGAAAGTGACGACCTTGATACCCCCGAGGCGACCGAGGTTGGAATTGGCGCAAATATGAGAGACTCGGAGGTGGATGCTCTAAATCATAAAACGAAATCTGGACGAGAAGAAACGACACAGTCAATACCGTCCTAACCGCGTCTTCACAATTATGATAATACCCTTTTTCTCTTTCGCCGCGATGCTTTGGTTTTCTGGCGTTGGGAAGGAGTATTTTACACAGCACTGACGAATAGATCAAGAGGCGCCTTGGCTTTGTCCATGAGGAAAAGATGTATATATCCAAGTTGAAATGCAAATAATTTCATTTGCCAAACCAGGTACTTTTAGAAAATTGATACTTATTTGAAAAGTTAACAGCCATATGCCAATCTAAAAGTACATACATATTAGGTAGACAAATAAACTCTCAGCCTTGTAGCCCCAAGGGTCAAGGTTACATAAGTAGCTGACCCACAACCTGGAATCTCGAACACGCTAAACACATTACGTAATCACAGCCTGCCCAGATTCGCTCCACGAACCTCGAACCTCAAAGCTCCAGCTAAGCTCTCAACCAAGCCAACCCAACCACCACAATGAAGCCCAGCAGTTTCTTCCTCGCGCTCTGCGCATACATCCTCCCCCATCGCGGCAGCCATAACCGAAGAAACAGACACAGCAACAATTTACATCCAACCTCTCGTCTCCGATTCCGCCTACCCACTAGCAACCATATCCTACAACCCCTCCACCCTCTCCGCCTCTCTCGTCTCGTACGAACCGCCCGTCGATCTTCTCCCCTCCTCATCTTCCTCGTCTTCCCCCCTCGAAAACCTCGCTCTAACCGGCACATTCGATGCCCAAACCTCCGTTTTCAAATCCTCCACTTCGCTACTGTCCCTCGATAATTTTCAAAAAGGTTATAAACCCACTATTATCCTAACGCTTGATTCTCAAGGCGCGGTATTGGGTGTGACGATTAAGAGTGGGGTGATAGATGCAGGTGCTACGAGGGATTTTGCGCCGAAGGTGGAGGTTAGACGGATGGTTGCGGGGAAGGAACCAGTTCTAGGGCCCAATGTGGTTTTGAGTAAGGAGGGAAAGCTTGAGGGAGAGGTGGTGGAGAAGACGTTTTTGCAGAAGTAAGTTTATGGTGTTTTTTTTCCTGTATTTTGGGAAGAGGATGGATGGGCAGTTCGGATTTGCATGGATGACGGATGTGCTAACGATGTGATAATTTATAGGTACTGGTGGATTCTTTTAGGAGCAGCAATGTTGACAATGACTGCTGGAGGTTCTGAATAAATTGGCTAGGCATTGGAGTCTGGATCGGAGCTATGCTGGGATTGCCCGGGCATTGGATAAATTCATTAGATACTACGGCGACGTGTTCGACGAAACAACATACTGGTCGAATACCCTGGTCATTCATGATGGAAATCGTTTATGAAACTCTCGGAAAATGTGACGTCACTCGCAATATAACGCCGTAATGGCTGTAAGAATCTTCTAAATGGCAAGAAGTAAGGAAGCTGCCAGAAGGGTTGGGATATTACGGCGTAATAGACAATCGATCAATGAGTAGCAGCCGTCGAAAAGAGGAAATCTTAATACCTACGATACCTCAAAATTCTCATCTTAGGGCAGAATAATCAAGGAGTCAATGATTTTTGAACTGTGTTAGACCAACTCTAAGAAACGAGGGTTACACATGTAAGGATTTTGGTGTAATGCTCTCCTGTTGATCATTTAGTCAAGCGAGTCAACTACAGATTTACAGATCACAAATGAGAAAATACTTCCAAGGATGGATGTTAACCATTTTACATGAGCGATATTCACTCATCCACTTCCCAAAACACACCACAAATTTTTATAATAAATAATTTCACTAGCCCACCTTCCCGTTACTAGTACTCCTATGTCTATTCGCCCCTTTCTTTTTCCCACCATCTAAACTATACAAGCCGCCGGCAAAAAATACTAAACAGGCACCCACCAACGTCCCAGGACTGAGTCTATTCCCAAATAACCAAATACTCAACAGTAAACTAATCAATTTCCTCACATTCAACACAATAGTAACCGTCAGCGCCGACGACGCAGCCGCGAGGAGATTCACACCGCGGATACATGCATATTGTGTGAGAACGTTCATGGCGAGATAGACGAGTTGGCTTGGTAAATAGATATGCGAGAGTTTGGTGAGGAGATCCGAGGGGAGCGATTGCAGGGTTTCGAGGATGGGAAGGGTGAGCGGGGTTGAGGAGGCTAGTTTGAGGAGTTGGCGGTGCATGGAGGGGAGGAAGGGGGCGAAGAGGGGGAGGGCGAGGAGATGCGAGTAGAAGAGGTTTTCTTTCCAGTGTGGTCCGTATTCTTTGTAGGTTTCTTCTGTATAGAGACCCATTATTGCGGAGAGGACTTGGGCGATGAAGAGGATTATGAGACCAGTGTTGAAGGAGGGAATGCCTTCGTCTACTTTTCCGTTCTGTGGGGAGTTTGTTAGTGAGAGCTAGGAAGTTAGAAAGTATATGCATGGTAGTAATACCTTGGATTGCGCATCAGACCAAGCTGCTGTCACTACTCCAATTGTTAGGAGAGTAACAGCTATAACCTGTATTCTAGAAAATCGTTTCCCCCATATATATCCCGCAGCTAAAGTAGTAATACTGCCTCCAGAACGTAAAATAATGTGCATTGGCACCGATATATTGTAGCTAAAAGCATGATTATTCAGAACATTTATAGTAAAAAATAAAACGATATTTATAATCCATCGACGTATAGGGACACGATTCGGAGTAAGGAATAGCGGGGGTCGCCCTCGATCGAATTGGGAGATATAGCCAGTGACAGCTACAAAGACGAATTGGACAAATGTCATAAGAGTTCCTTCAGAAAGTTAGAATGGTATTCGACGACGTTGTCCGTGGAGGAGCGTACCGCTATCTGGCTCGACTCTGTTTTTTCATCATTGTCAGCGGGGTATCTTGGAAAGCAATATAACCTCAAAAGCAAAGGAGTCAAAAACTTACTTGACTATAGCTTCTAACGCAAAGACCTAAAGTATATAATAAGCCTCTCATGCCATACCACTCCCTCGACGCGTAAATAAAAAAATAAAAAAAGAAACTCACATTGGAGCAACAACCACCAAAAATCAACCCAAGCATCACACCCACCGCCAACCACTGCGGAATCGTCTCAATAAAAATGCGCCCCGTCACCGCGAGTATCTTCGACGTCCTCGATCGTTTATCATTGATACCGTACATTTCCGCCTTCTCCAACGACGGAGCTGCATTAATAACCTTGGGAGCTACAGCATCCGCATCAATATTCGACGCTTGCAAATCTCGCAGCGTGGATCGTCGACGTGGTACCGTCATCGGGGCTTGCTGCTGGTTTCCTGCTGAATCGGCGCGGCGTCGTCGAGCCATTCATGAATGAATGAATGAATTGATTCTTTTCACGCCTTCCTAGCTCTATCTGTGCTGGGTTTTTTTTTGGCTTGGTGGCGGAATGGCTGCGTTTCTGGGAAATTAAATTGCCTGGTTGCGCTTTGGCGTGCTAGGAATGGTTGGGTTTGGGGATTCTGCTGGAGGATGTTCCAGATTTCTAGGTTTGGCTGATGTGACTGGATACTGTACGAGAGAGAGGATAGCGTATGATATGGAATTTTGATAGCTCAATTGCTCTGTGACATACACATATCTCTAAAGGAAAATAATTTGTGGGATTACGTATACTCGAAAAGATAGACTGGATTGCGGACACGTAGATGCTAGCTATATTACTGCTGTATTTTCTTTTTTTGGGGGTTTGGCTTTTATTAACCTTTCTCTCAATTGCGCGCTGCAAGGATAAGCTGATTTCAAGCTTCGGGGGGCTATTTTTATGTAGGTACTGTTTTATGACTATTTGAGGATGGATGAGTTTTAGGGTAGGTATTCATTTATACAGTAAAACAAGTACTATGTTAGATACCTAGGTATGTATGGTATGATAGAGGACAACATGCAAATAGGTACCTAGGTAGGTAGCCTTCCCTAGCAGTAAGAAGAACGAGTGAAGAAGACATCAGCAAAACAGAATGACGGTGGAATCGATCATATCATCAATAAAGTTAAGTACCTAGTTAGTGAGTAAATCATACTTCACCCAGCTCTTAGAGCAACATTTTAGCCCTGAACAGCTGGAACTTGTACTATGGTCCCTGTACCTGTAACCTCAGATCAAGTCAAGGTCCCTGAAAAATTAGCATTTGATTTGTCGAATTGTCGACTGCCGAATCGACCCGGTAATCACTTAAGGCTATTTATCTATTTAAGCTTAAGCTTTTCGTCACTGCGAATTAACCTTATGTCTACCTGCTGGGTATTGCATTGTCAAGCGCGGATGCTGGTTGAAGATTTACTTGGATACGGTGCTCTAAATGCAGGTGCATTGCGCTTAAGCATGAGGCCCTCACCAACTGTTGGAAGATGTGGCGGGGCTGAGATGGGAGGCTATCTGGAATGGAAACCTTGCTTGCAAGATATTTTTGTGAGGAGATTGTTTGTGACTAAGGTGATGAAGCTCTCTCAGCTTAATTCCTATATATATGGCATAGTCTATACTATGTAGGGACGGATGAAGTGCATCAGAGTAATAATTATAGTTGAGCAGCTCACCGGGGGATAATTACTAGGGATAGCCTCATGGGTGATTTTGTATGTGATTGCTCTTCTCGAGGATCCCAAGACTTACTTCATGTGAAAGTAAGAATGGTATTATTGATACCTTCTGAGCTGGAAATACAGCTAGTGCTGTTATGGTATGTTCAGATGAGGATTCTACTACATATATCTTCACCTAAATCCGGTCGTTCATCAAGAACTCAATAGACAAGTTGTGTCATAATTCTCCAAACGTCTTTGTGTCTCAACTTCTAGCCTGTATATTCCCCGGTACAGATAGTCAAGTGAAATCTAGTGGTTTTAACCAAGATACTATATTCGAAAACCCCTCACGAATGATCGTTGTCAATATCAACCGCCAGCGGTATTCTCTGATCCTCAATTTCCTAAACTATCCATACCTAAACGATCTTTCGCATCAACTTATCAAAAAGAAACCCCAAAAACAAACGGGTAGAAAACCGTAAATCATCTAAAACGAAAGAAGGTTCCCAAATACAGCTCATCCTACTTTGAAGAAACAAGCTAAGAACACCATCCATCATTATAAATCCAAGCAAACCCATTCAAAACTGACCTTTCCCGTCATCACCTGCACTACAACCCTTCCACATTTTAACCCTACCATCACTTCCACTTTCACTACCCCCCCTAACCCTCGAAGCAATAATCCGTTTCCTCGCTAACCATTCATCCCTAGACTCAAGACTTCCCCTCCGTAGTAAATATGTACCATCATCCTCCTCCTCCCCCTCAATATCCCCATCATCTCTCAAAAGAGCACCATGCTCACTGTCATGCTCATCAATTGACGAAGCCCGTCGATCAGCAGTGTAAAAATGTTGAGAAAAAGGATTAGAATGGATATGAAAGTGTTTAGGGGATTTATTAGAGGAATTAGAAGAGGAAGTTTGGGATGTGGGAGTGGGTGTGGTAGTTGAAGAGGAAAGAGGTTGGTGCGATGATGTGTTGCCCATTCTTTTTATTTTTTTGGTTAAGGTTATATATATGTATATATGGTTTTAGTAAGTAGGGAGCAAGTCCTATATTGGTGTGAGAGCCTGAGAGGAGATGATTAATATTTGATAATAGATCAGTGAGGAGAAGATTGATAAATGGACAGAGATCACAAGTGTGCGCAGTGCTATGTTCGCTCTGTCTCAATATATTCTTCTGAGACTCAATTACTCGCTCTTAGTCGCTCTGCCTCCAACATTTGTCATTTCACGCCGGTCGGCCGTCTAATGTCCCAAATACCATCAATTCCTTCCAAAGGCGTCGTACTGTTCTCCAGCCTTAAGTCTATACCAACAATACGATTACCAATCTATGTAATCCTATCCATGAACATCATACACAGGCCACATGCGTATATGTGCAAGAGACCCGAATCCTGTAAGTTGGTCCATAGGCGCGCGACTACGCTACATTCTATACATTCTACCGCGTTGTAGGAGCGGCCTGGCATGGGCAGGTCATCATGCCTCTTCAGCCTTAAATCAAATGGTACAATCTTCTCAGAGGCATTACAGCGAAGAGTTTACTGAAGAATTACTGGGTAGATATTAACAAAAGGGTTACAGTGTGACTTGACATCTACGATCTGAATAAAATTCGGGATCCATCATTGCTTGCCTTACTAACCTTAATGCTTACTCGTGATCGTCTAGCAATTGCAGTAGAATTCTTTTTTCTACATATCTTTTCGAAATTTCAGGTGTAGGATTATCTTTATATGTTCCTCTTTCTTGACTAAAAGCATATCAGGAAAGGAGATGACGATAACATCTACTCGCTTAAGATTACATCATGAATCAATAAGTAGAGCTTACCAAGTAACCAGATAGAGTAAATCTCATAGATTCCCTCAGGTTCAATACTCATTCATCCATATACCTCCATAATTACAATTTCGATTTCTATAACACTTTACTTGGTATGATACGTTGTAATAGTTCATAAGATTACATTCGAGGCTTAGGATGCGAAGTCTTTTGAGTAGAATGGAGTATGTGATTGTGGGACTTTTGGTTCGTGATATCTTTGTATTGTTTATTTTCTTTCAAAATATTTAGAATTTTAGATGAGTTCTAGAGATACTATTTGAGGTTTTTTGATACAGTATCTTAGAGAGGGTTGGAGGGTATTCGAATATCGAAAAGTCAAATCGATAACCAAGTTGCATTTCTTCTCGTTCTCTTTTTTTTTTTTCAAAAAGAAAATAACTTCCAATTCAGCATCCGTCTCCTCGACCCCAGAGGCAGTTTCAAAAATCAACATCTCAAATCATTCAACTTTTAGACAACTCCCCATTCAAAATGACTCAAAACATCAAACATAACCATATCTTCACCATACACGCTTCACATTTAGAACACTCAAAAATAGTCAGTAATTAGAATATCCATTCCTCACCCACCCCTAATCCTCTTTCTATTATACACCAAAAACATCCCCCAAACCCCAACCCAAATACACAGACTCCTGCTAATCTAATACCCAACGCCCCAGAAACAAATACCAAAGTTGGAATGATTGTAATCTTACAGAGATCAAAATCTGCTCGTGGTCTCGAGTTCAGATATCACCGGCTGACAAAAAAGTAAAGCAGATTTCCCTTCCCTCTCTTTCCCTTCCATTTCCGAACGTCTTATGACTTTGTAAAAACAAATCCGTGCCATGTTATTAAAATTCGAAAGGAAATCCATGATCAAACATGAGAGGAACACAAACTGTATCTGCGAAGCCGTAAGAGATGGAGAGATAAAGTGATATCGTATGTAGAATCATAGAATCATAGAATGATATGAAGCATAACCAGTGAACCCCAGTTCCACATCATCCCTCATAATCATCCGTCCTCATCTCATCTCATCTCTCCAAAACTTCATGTCCCTCAATCCTATCACAAACCAAATATATTAATTCATCTCCGATACCCATTCCCATTCACATTTCCATTCACATCACCATATGCAAACCCCTGTCCCAATTGCGTCTGCGCCGGCGCCGGCGCTCTATAACCCTGCTGAACAGCTCTCTGCGTATATCCCTGAGTCGCATGATTATCCCTTCCATCCCTCTCCCTGTTCCCACCCTGCGCATGTACGTGTCCCACTTGCCCTACCTGTCCCACCTGTCCCTGACCCTTCCCCGAACCTCTCGAATGATGACTACTAGACCTCGATCCATTTCGATCTCGATCTCGATCTCTATAGTCTATATTTGAGGGGACGGATGAGGACCGACTGTTCTGATTCTGATGCTGATTTTGATTTTGATTCTGATTATGCAATTCTTTCATTTGTTTTATTTCATGGGGTTGGATTTTTTGCACAGGTTCGATGTGTTGGCCGCGGCGGGCGAAGCAGCAGCACATTTTTGCGGGTTTTGAGGCGAGGTTTGGAAGATTTAGAGGTTGTGGGTGAAGGGAATAGCGAGAGTGTGGAAGTATATATGTATATATATGAATCTACACAGATAGATAAGAAAAAAGGAGAGTTAAAGAAAAAGTATCGAAATGAAACACAACAAACAGCTTATATTAAAGTCCCAGAAACACAATACAATGCAAGAACTAGAAATGGAACAAAATGATCTTCTCTTCCAGTCTATATACACATATCACCATTGAAAGAATCATGTTAAATAACCTTATCCCAACGCACGCGCTATACTGCGGATTCGAATCGCGCTACATAACCTTACCTACTCATTTGTGAATCCGCTATACAACATAGTTTCGCATAACCAACTCCCACCTATTCAATCTCAATCCTATGTATCCCAATAGCCTAAATCCCATACCCCGGTAACTTTTAATGACATGTGGGCTGAGCGACGAGGTTTGCGGCCCTGGCCTATACATACATGTTTCAAAATATATGCATGAAGTACAAGCGCGGTCGAGGTCGCGATAAAATAACCGCCGCGGCAACTTTGGAGCATGGTATTTTAGGATTTGGAGAATTGACGAGGAGAAGAAACGAGGGATCTGACCCATGTGATAGGTCTACAGGAATGTGATTGGATGAATTACAGACATGAACGTATCGGCGAAGGCAATTCGTTGACTATAAAGATCCATAGAGATAGAGTTGTAAGTGTAATAGGCGCCAGATCCAGGTATATGGTTACCAAACCATCGGGCCACTAGTCAGATCCAGATCCTTTAGGATGCAAGAATCTTGGGGATATTTTGTTTAATTTAGCGGGTCTTGGGGAAACTTATGGATTGTGTTATTCGCGATATGGGATAATTCTGGAAGGGCTCCCAACGTCCCAATCTCGCTGGATTTGGGGAAAATGATTTGAAAGGATATATTCACCTGTATTTCCTATGATTTTTGAAACAGGCTGGGATGGAAAAAAAAGTATGTATAGCCAAAGCTCAGAATTGCCGGTCCTAGGCTTGTGTTCAATCCATTCTTGAATGCATGGGGTTGGTAAGATTACCATCCGGTTTGTCCCACCATTTCCTTCTCATGGCTTGTTGTCGTAATAGAAAATAGGCAAGAAAGTTCATTCATACAAACATAACTTAATGCTACATGGATCATGAAGAGCCAGATCTACTAATGAAAGAGCCGCTTGGCACATTAGAGTAGTAAGTATACTGTGTCTTCCACCTTAAGAGTCTCTAATGGTGGGTTGATGTCTTGCTCTCTATATTTTTGTGAAATTTGTGTTTGTGAATGTAAGATGAATGACCATTATATACCATTAAGGGCTTTCATTATACTGCCGCAGGCTGTCAAAGATCCAACTCTTAAGTATGTTGTCTTGACATCCCCGCTTTCTCCGGACTACCTTTCGCCTGGTTGATTGACACATGGGTCCTGGGATTGAACTCCAACACGTTGATCATATTTCATAATTTCCTACCAATATGAACAAATTTCATAACCCCAGCGTTACATTCATCTAATAACCTCTCTACCACCACTTGGAGCACTTCCCTCGTTCTTCTTTCCCCCAGATCCAGCCAACCAAGCCGCCGCATCAAAATTCTGCAATGGATTTGCACCATTAGCACCACCTGTAATTCCACCACCCTTCTGTCGTTCCTCAAATTCGGCTTTGAGTTCTGGATCCACTGAAAAGAGACAGAGTTAGTATAGAAACGATATAAATATATTGCATGACAAAATTTAGAGCCTTATATCTGACTTTCAGAGCACAAGATGAATAAATATACGTACTATTATCCATAAGGTAAGGCATTCCAAACACAATAAGCATACTAAACCCAGCAATCAAAATCATAGGATTTTTCAATAAACTCAAAGGCGAGAATCCCACTCGCTCCAAATAGTAAATCTTCTCAAAGAGCGCCTTAACTTCCGCAGTGTATTTATCATTTCCAAGTTTAGAAACAGGAACAGTTTCTCCCTTATTACTCCATTCGTTTGCGCGGAAAGTAGTGAAAGCTTCAATGGGAATGTGATTTGGCTCTGAAGATGCAGGGTGGATATCAATTCGGAGAGGGATGAAAGCGTGGGCTGGAGAAGAGACTGTGAGGAGATATGAGCCGCTTGTTAGGTTGCGGAAGGAGAAGGAATTGGATGTTGTGAGAGGCGCGGTATGTGTGTGGGAGATGCTGCTGAGGATTGCATGGGTGGAGGGTGGGAGAGTAGAAGGGTTTAGTTGGGGTGTCGTTGGGATGGTGAGGAGAAGGTGGGTCGCGAGAGTTGACGGGAGGAGGGAGAGGAGCGAAACGACACCGATGGTTGGAAGACGCATTTTTGATGTGCTTTGAGAAAGGTGTTCTTAGATTGTTAGCTACTTGAGGGTTGGTGATGTAAGGTTACAAGTGAGATGGGCTTGAGCCGGATAAAAGAAACGCCGAGACCGATTTCATACAACATTTCAGAATTACCTACATCTAAACATCCATGATATATCCATTTGTATTTCTCTTCACGACAAGTCATAAGGGTTGCATAGCACAGAAGCAGCTCAGTAATCCCAGGCCTAGTACACTTTTATGAGCGTTGCCTAAAGAGTAAACGGTCAAGTCAATTGAAGATATTTTCAAGCAATCCTTGAAGTATAAATTCTTTAATTTATTGAGACTTCCGTTTTGGGGGCGGGAAGAGAAGTCTGGACGCTACTGCCATCCGGAGATACATTGGATGGCATTTATACATCAAAAATATGAAGTCGATTTTGAATTTCTCAGTTGCACAACTTTTGCGAGTGCGAGAGTTGTGTATACCTGCACATGACTTTCTGAACGAAGGCTTGATATTTGACCTGTACAGTGTATCAGGAACCATCATTTCAGTCGAGAGAAAGTTACTCTCAAATGATATTCAAAAAACAAAATTGTGCCTACAAGCCTAAGTTGTGGAGTCTCTCGACACTATTCAAACCCATAGGGCATCAGTGAACGCCTATAATATCCAAGGTGTATTAATTTCGTTTCCTTTTCTCATATGCCTCCTGGGACTTCTGACCTTCCTGGCTTTCAGGATGAACAAGTCTGTAATGTCTTACTAATGCATCCTGACGTGACAATATATTTTTACCATCAGTCCTGGTCAAGCAAGCACCAATATGGCATCTATGCTCAGTTGGGTGTTGTCCATCTGTACTAGGAGGCCCTACGCTACTGCTCTGTGGTTGTCTACTAGCCCTACTGGTGGTTGCCAGGCTCGGCACTGGAAGGATATTAGCAAGTATTTTTGATGGTTGAGACCCTCGTGTTTTGCTGCGGTCGCGCTTGGTCTGTGTTTGTCCTTTAGCGCTCTGTCTCTCCCGACTTGATGTTGCTTGGCCAGCAGTTGTGCTTGGGGCTGGGGTACTTCTATGTGATGGTTCTTTGCCAGTGCTTGTGCTTGGGGCTGGGGTATTTCTTTGTGATGATGTTCTACCAGTGCTTGTGTTTGAGGCTGGGATAGTAGCGCTGTTGCCGCCATTTTGGCGCCCAGCGTTGGAACTGGTAGGTGCTGGCATCCTTTCTGAGGGACGTCTGGAGCTTTCCTGAACACCGCGTCCCGGGGCCCTATCACTCAACGACAATCTTTCAAAATTCAGCGGTTCCTTTAAAGCGTTTTCCCGGTCTCTCTCCCTTATAGCTTGTGCCACGACTTTATCGTCATAATCATCGTAATCATATCTTGAAGCCTCTGCTTTGGCTCGCAATTGCTCAGGTGTCCAATTTTTTCGTCCAGCTAGTATACTTGCGGCGGCACCTCTATCTGCATAATCTTGTGCGTCAGAAGATCTCGTAGCTCTTGCTTTGCGTTGCAAATCAGCAGTATTCCACTTCCACCAGTCTGCGGATTTAGTTGGAACAATCGAAGACATGTTGATTTTTGTAATGTAAAAATGATCTGATTGTTAGAAAGTCGATAGAGGCGGATGGTTATAGATAATTGGCGGATCTGAATCTGCAAAAAAAGCTTTTCTTTATTGTTTAATAGAATAATCAAGAGAGGATGTGATTTGATGTGATGTGATGTTGTGTATGAAGAAGTAAAATATAATGACTAGCGTAGGCAGAGCTTAAATACATTTCCAACAACAATTTTTATCCAATTTTTAAAAAAATCATCCAGAATGTTAGCGATGTGCAAATATCTCCAACATCAACCATCATGTCGTCCATAGTACCATCAGCCAAAATCAGGACCTCTACGTATTAGAAAGGGTAACGCCGATCGGAAGGCCAATTTATTCGCAGCGGTCTCATGGTCGTAATTGATGTCCATGCATGTCTTTCATCAATAACTTTATCAATGTTATTGATGGGTCGATGTTTGGTGTGCTCACCAACATTATTGGAGCATTGCGGCTTGTAGAGAATGGAAACTTTTGAGCCACTTCGGTTTCATCGTCAGAAGAGAGATTGATAATTTCTTTTTTTTCTGTCGTTCTTTTTTTTAATACTGAGTATCTATATGAGTTCTTATACTTTATTTCTTATCTTTTTCCTAGCTTTTGGTCATTGATAATATAATATTATAATTTAGAGTATATTAAAAATATACCGGTATAGGATATATTGATTAATAATCTTGATTTTCTTTTTTTAATACTTTTTTTATTTTTAATAATTAAAATATCTCACTTTTTTTTCTTTTTCTTTTTTTAAAAAAATTAGTTTTTTGAAATATTATTATATTTCTCAATTGAACAATAATAATAAATAAAATAAATTCAAATAATTAAAAAATATCATTATTCGATTAAATAAATAAAAGATTATATATTTTTATTCGAATTTTAAATCTTTTAAATCTTTTAAATCTTTCTTTCTATTTCTATTTTAAAAAAAATTTAATCACTTCCTTTTACCCCGAAGATTCTAATAATGAATTTCAATAAATCTATCTCTTTCTACAAGATAAAATAAAATAAAAAAGGAGGGGAAATCAATACCACTAAAAATACCCTACCATCTTGACTAAGAACGCCAATGTCAGGAGTGAAGAACTAGTAATATACACAAACCGATCATAATTAATAAAAAAGGAAAAGATCCTATAGATTCTTTTCCTCCTTATCGAAACACAACAATTATTAATTAACCCCTAGCTTGCTTATATTGCATGACAGATAGTGGTAGGATTATTACTTGGGATATATTGTTATAGATATAAGGAAGCAATATTTACTAAGTTACTTAACCTTGTTTAATAATCGAAGCCTAATCTTCCTTTATAAAGAGTAAGATAGACTCGGTTGAAGAGAAGATAATAGCGATCCGGTCCATGGGGCTTCTTTTAGTCTTTCAAGTATTGTCTGATTAAGTCTCACACATTAATCGTGTACGGAGAGACACTTTAAATATGGATACCCAAGCTCCGTACAGAAAGTTCCTAGTAAGACTCTGAGAAGTACAGAGGAGCCGTGTTTGTAAGTCGAATGCTGGTCTTTTGATCATGTACAAACCGGGTCTAGGCAAATTTGTGTTGCTGTGTAAAATGTAAATTGAGAGTGAGAAGAAGTTGTGTTTATTACTATTATTACACTCGTAAGTAACGAAGATATAGAGTGGTGTATTTCATTGTCAGTATACTATTAGTTCGTCTACATGTCGCTTTACCATAACTCATAAATTGGATAACATCAATGAAGGATCTCTCACTAAGGTAATTTGGGTATAATACGTATGCTTCACCAAGTAAACTGAAGATAAGGATGCCGCAATGCCTCTGAAGCTGTAGGTCTTTTACGATAATCTACAACCAATACGTACTCGATAAAATTTATCAAATCTGACGGTACTTTCGGATCTTGTAGGCGTTCAAGTTCTTCACGCAGTGTACCCTTTTTGATAAATTGCGTCTCCAAATTTGTATCCGGATGTATGAAGGTAGTTGTTTCGAGGTGATTTGTGATTAAGAATTCATCTTCGTAGTCTGGATTGATAGGAGCTTCCACTGGTCCAACAAGACGTTGAATTTTGGCAATACACCAAGCCTCAGTAAGACCCTGGACCATCTTATCCTTGGGCCCGAAGATTGTAGTTCCGGATAACCAATGTGCCAACTGTGCTCAGATGTTAGCTTTGAACGCTTGGGAGTATACATCACAACTTACCGTAACGCCAAGCGACCAAACGTCCGAAGCAGGCCAACAGTCCAAACCTCGCCATACTTCCGGTGCTCGAGTTTCAAGACTTTGAAGTCGAATTTTATCGTAGCCTTCAACCAGCACTGTACAGATATATCAGCATCAACACATATATAAAACACGACATACATACTATTACCCAGATCCCCCAATTTGACCACCGGTTCCGGTTCTCGAATACTGGATAGGAATATATTGTTTGGATTCACATCTGATAATTTAGCAACATCCACCCAAACTACTAGAACAAACTTAACACACCTATATGAATAGCCTTAAATTTCTCTTGTATGAGAGCCAGGGCTTCCAAGACCGACTTTGCCACGATTTTGGGAAGATGTCCCGTTCGAAACTGACTGGAAGGTACTGATTTTAGATCATTCTCCACCCATTCAAAAAACAGGTAGAAATTGCTCTCGCTCTCGTTTTCGCTTTCAGATGCCATATTCGATTGTGCATCATTATTTTCGAATTCCTTCTCATTTTCTACCACCACATCAAGAAGACTGCGGAAATATCGACTAGATGCTATAGCGTCGAGTTTATAATTATCTCGTTCGCGATTTAGCGCAATGTTTTGGTCGCCAAACGCACTTTTTCCGACGGTACTATATATATTCGTAGGAGAGTCAGTATGTAAATTTAGGTAAGGCTAGCTGGACGGGTAATGGTAATGAGGGGAAAAGATTAGAACGGTATAAGGTTGGGTGGATCCCGCCAGCTTGTATGGGTAAGGACTGGGCTTTGAATACTGTGGATGCTTTCAGTACTTCTAAGAGTTGATAGCCTCCTTTTTTGCCCTTGAGAATTTGTCCTATAGATAGAGGCATGTCTTAAGCTTTTGATTTTCAATATTCATCTGATGAATGATGAATGATTATCGATTTTGGTAGAGGAGAAGTTGAACGGAAAGTATAAAATCATGACTTGATTATAGTTTAAAAGCGGGCCGCAGGATTGATATATTCTATACCGACACGATTATTATTACCAGAAATTGATAAATATAAATAAAACCAAAAAGAATAAATATCACAAATCAATCTTTAAAAAACAAACACAAACCCCTCCTTCCCTAGCCTACTCAAAAAGGAAAAAGAATAAAAAACATACAACAGCAGGGATTCGCTGGTGGTCACCCACCCAACTACTAATCTGCCGATCTGAGGCTTGTGTATGGCAGAGCGGACGGGATGCCCAATTCTCCTCAGTCTATGGTCGTATGTGACTGTTGTTAGAAATTATGAGAATATATTTACTTTGAGCTTGGTGTGTGGTGGATTTGGGAAGTGGATGAATGGATGAATGGATGAATGTGGTGGGTGATTGTTGTGACATACAAGAGCCTCATAAGAGCTGAATAAACAGAATCAATTATATTCGTTAGAATCTACAATTGAAGAATTATAGCTTGTAAAAAGTATCTATATATATATATATACAAAATACTTATACGATAGTTGTATAATTGTATCCATCCTGCTTTAGGGTAACCATAATCCTATACTAAAAAGGGTAAATCTGGTTAGATGTACACAAGGCTACCAGCTCATCGATAGGAAAAGGAATCACATGATCGTTCTTAGAGTTCGAGATCCGTAACAGACAGATTTGTGATCATGTAGCAATTTCCTATTATAATTCTACTTGTCCTTATTGTATACATACATAACATAATCAGAGATGGAATTCGCCCAGACGGGTGTTATGTTATGTTGTACGACGACGAGGTAAAAGAAATCCCTCATATATAATGTGCTTGGCTGATTAAGTGTGATGGTGGAGTCGGGAGAGAGTGAGTGAGGAGATGTATATATGTAACTCGAGGTTCTTGTTGTCTACCTAGGTATCTAGTCCAGGTACTTGGACGGGGTTTTTGTTTGTTGGGGGAATCTGCGGATTAGAGCATTGCTTGTAGTGTGTGTTCAGATGCTATGCTTCTCTCCCTCGATGTCAATTTGCTGGTTGCAATTGTAAAGAATGTATGGAACACAAGCTAATTTAAGCACTCAGTACCTGATGCTCACCGCTGTACAGGACCTAGGTAGATAGTTTTGGTTGGTAGGTACCTGAATTTCGTATATGTTGTAATGATTGAAGCTACCAATGGGCAAGTAGTTAATGAATGAGCGACAATACATACCTACCTACCTCGCTACCTAGTATTGGCATCGACAGCTTTTCTGATTAACCTTCACACCTAACTCATATTTTAGATTCTAGCCATTGCTTCTTTCTTAGAGGTAATTAGAGTAAGGATGAGGTTGGTCTTTGAAGTGGCCCACTTTTCCCGCGAACCAACATATCGGACCCATCAATCCAACGGAGGATTTTGATTCAGGCGGCGGGCTACTCGTAAGGTTACATGGGTATTCGTTTTCGGCGTAGCTTTTGTAGTGGAGCTTTGAATTGCCGCGATCCACGACACTAATAAGTCATCCTTGAAAGAGAAGGAAAAGCTAAAAGCAACCTTAGTATTTATTCGAATCACTTCGGTCAAGGGGAAGAAATAGCTGGGAGGTAATATAAATATAATCATGAATCGCTCTAAAAATGGATACAGATGTAAATTGCAACTTCTAAACGGGCACAACAGAAAGCATTTAATGGAGAAATGAACCCACCTCACTATTCTGAAATCCCTAGGTACCTAGGCAGATATGTCGAAAAAAGGCGGAGGCGGTTTATCCTAGCAGGAAAAGATGCGACGATGGAAGAAGTCAACGGGGACGAAACAGAAGAATTCCATTCAATAGGGTGAAGCAGAGACAACCTTACGTACAGAGTAGAAGTAAGCAGCAAGTAATAATCCTTGAATGCCGCCATTTCTACCATTCCCCCGTTTTGATTTGTTGACCTTTGATTTGTTGGGCTTTTCCCTCGGTTTGTTTACCTACCTACCTCCCTACCTCCCTACCTCCCTACCTACCTAGTATCTCTTGTAATCTGGGGGTGGAACGTGCTTTGAGACAAAACAACGAGGGGAAAGTAAATACATGATGTGATATGATATGGCTAAGAGTGCATGATCAGTTGAAAGAGAAGTAAGAAATGATTGCGCGGAGATAGAAATAGATACCTAATAGAAATATCAAAGTCCATTCGAGAACATCAACAAAAATCCATTACTAGAGTTGAAGGGAGCAAGTTTGCACAAAGATAGATTGATCTGATATAAAAAGGGATTGTGAAAATTATCTATCAAGATGGACGGTTATTGGTTACTTGGAAATTTGATCTTGTCGGAAGATAAAGGAAATTGTTCAATGGATTGAATTCATTCACACATCAGAAAAAAGAAAGGAAAGGAAAGGAAAGAAAAGAAAAGAAAAGAGAAAGATGGTGAAAATTTTATGATAACAAAGGCGGAGTTACCTAGCCTTATCATATTTCACTCACTGCAAGTTTTTGACTTGGGAACCATAACATCGTACGTACCATTTGCAGTGTGACAACTTACTCCGCTCTCTCGTTCAATCTCCCTCTCTCGTTCAATCTCTCTCTCTCTTTCTCTTTCCCTCTCTTTCTCTTTCCCTCTCTCTCTCTCTTGCTGATCGTTACTTCCCAATTAAATAACATTAACAAATTCGGACCTTCTGATAAAAATCTTTTCTTCCAATCATTCCACTAATTTCAATTCACCTTTTTTCTATCCGACCTTTTTTCTCCCTCCCTCTTCCGATTTCATCCTCCTCTACTTTTTCTCTTTACACAGTTTCTCGACATCAACTTACCCATCCTCTTATTCCTCTTCTTTAAGAAGGTAATATAACAGTTCCTAATCATTAAGATCTTCCAATCATAGGAATTCTTTCAATATTCGACCAGGTCGCGTCGTTTATCCCCCAGAATTTGTTACTTACTTACTTTACTTATTACTTCAACAAATCTTAAACCAGCAATTGAGGTGATTTATCTGCCACTTTAGTTTTCACACCGTGGTCGCTATAGCCATGGCACATTTGGCCGGACATCATGGCCCCCCTCTTCATGATACAACAGGTGCCCAATCGAGCAATAACTCATCCGATACACCGCCAAATCACTTAAAGGCTAACATTGAACCTGGTCAATTCGACGAAAAAAATGGTGGCATTGAAAACTCTACTCCTGGTGCTACCAAACATGAGGAAGAGGAAGAAGAAGATGAGGACATGGATGCACTGATCGATGAACTCGAATCTCAAGATGGTCATGCTGAAGATGAAGAGGCCGAGGAAGAAAATGGTCCTGCTCAAGAACGTCCGGTTCCAGAAGATTTACTTCAAACAGATACTCGCATTGGTCTTACAGATGCTGAGGTTCAAGTTCGTCGTAAGAAATGGGGTTTGAATCAAATGAAGGAAGAGAAAGAGAATTTATTCCTCAAGTTCCTTGGATACTTTGTCGGTCCTATTCAATTTGTTATGGAGGTACGTTGACACAAAGTTCTTACCATCATCCTTCCATCCCCCGCACCCCACTGTTTTTGCGCATTGTCGATCTGCATGGATCCCCACAGATCATCTAGTGTTGAAGGCCACACGGCCTTCGATTCGAGACATCCGAATGGAGTAGCTCAAAATTTCTTCTAATGTAATAGCACCAAGACATCCTTGCTAATTGAACAAATTTAAATAGGCTGCTGCTGTCCTTGCTGCAGGTCTACAAGATTGGGTCGATTTTGGTGTCATCTGCGCACTTCTCCTCCTCAATGCCACCGTCGGTTTTGTTCAAGAATTCCAAGCAGGTTCCATTGTCGATGAACTGAAAAAGACTCTTGCTCTGAAAGCTGTCGTTCTTCGTGATGGTCGTCTATATGAGATTGAAGCTCCTGAAGTTGTCCCCGGTGATATCCTTCAAATCGAAGAAGTAGGTTGATGCATTAACCCAGTTCCCCGATAGATGCTTATATTTTCTCATAGGGTACCATTATTCCTGCCGATGGTCGTATTGTTACCGATGATGCTTTCCTTCAAGTCGATCAGTCTGCCATAACTGGAGAATCTCTTGCCGTCGATAAACATAAGGGTGATACATGTTATGCATCTTCTGGTGTCAAGCGCGGCGAAGCTTTCATGGTCATTACTGCCACCGGAGATCATACATTTGTTGGACGTGCAGCAGCTTTGGTCAATCAAGCTTCTGCAGGAACTGGTCATTTCACAGAGGTCTTGAATGGTATCGGCACGGTACTCTTGATCCTGGTTATCTTCACCAACTTGGTTGTCTGGATCTCCTCATTCTATCGCTCGAACCCAATCGTTCTTATTCTTGAGTATACTCTAGCCATCACGATCATTGGGGTCCCTGTCGGTCTCCCTGCTGTCGTCACTACTACCATGGCTGTCGGTGCCGCATATTTGGCCAAGAAGAAAGCTATCGTCCAAAAATTGTCCGCTATTGAGTCACTCGCAGGCGTCGAAATTCTTTGCTCGGATAAGACTGGTACATTGACCAAGAACAAGCTCTCTCTCGCCGAGCCATTTACTGTTCCAGGCGTTGAACCTGATGATCTTATGTTGACTGCTTGTCTTGCTGCCTCCAGGAAGAAGAAGGGTATCGATGCCATCGATAAGGCTTTCTTAAAATCTCTTCGTTACTACCCACGCGCCAAGTCCGTGCTGTCCAAGTACAAAGTCCTTGAGTTCCATCCTTTCGATCCTGTTTCCAAGAAAGTTCAAGCTGTTGTCGAGTCGCCCCAAGGAGAAAAGATTATCTGCGTCAAGGGAGCTCCACTCTTTGTTTTGAAAACTGTTGAAGAAGACCATCCAATTCCTGATGAGATCGACCAAGCTTATAAGAACAAAGTTGCTGAATTTGCGACTCGTGGCTTTCGTTCTCTCGGTGTCGCACGAAAGCGCGGTGAGGGTCAATGGGAGATTTTGGGTATTATGCCTTGCTCTGATCCACCACGTCATGATACCGCACGTACTATCAACGAGGCCAAAACTCTAGGTCTTTCCATCAAGATGTTAACTGGTGATGCTGTCGGTATCGCTCGTGAAACTTCTAGACAACTTGGACTTGGCACTAACGTTTACAACGCTGAACGTCTTGGTCTTGGTGGAGGAGGAGATATGCCTGGTTCCGAGGTCTATGATTTTGTCGAGGCCGCTGATGGATTTGCTGAGGTTTTCCCGCAACATAAATACAATGTTGTTGAAATTCTTCAACAGCGTGGATATCTTGTGGCTATGACCGGAGATGGTGTTAATGATGCCCCATCACTCAAGAAGGCCGATACTGGTATCGCTGTGGAAGGTGCTTCAGATGCAGCTCGTTCAGCAGCTGATATCGTCTTCTTGGCTCCTGGACTTGGTGCTATTATCGACGCTCTCAAGACATCTCGACAAATTTTCCATCGCATGTACGCCTACGTTGTTTATCGTATTGCCTTGTCAATCCATCTTGAAATTTTCCTTGGTCTCTGGATCGCCATATTGAATAGGTCCCTCAACATTGAACTTGTCGTCTTCATTGCCATTTTTGCGGATGTTGCAACTCTTGCTATTGCATATGATAATGCGCCTTTCTCCAAGACTCCTGTCAAGTGGAACCTTCCAAAATTGTGGGGTATGTCCGTTCTCCTTGGAGTTGTTCTCGCCATCGGCACTTGGATTACTCTCACCACCATGATTGCTCGCGGAGAAAATGGTGGTATCGTTCAAAACTTTGGTGTCCTTGATGAGGTTGTCTTCCTCGAGATCTCTCTCACTGAAAATTGGTTGATTTTTATCACACGTGCCAATGGTCCTTTCTGGTCATCACTTCCTTCCTGGCAATTGACTGGAGCTATCCTCGTTGTCGATATCATTGCAACATTTTTCACCCTCTTTGGTTTCTTCGTCGGGGGTAGAACTTCGATTGTTGCCGTTGTCCGTATTTGGGTATTCTCCTTTGGCGTTTTCTGTATCATGGGTGGAGTCTATTATCTACTCCAAGATAGCTCTGGCTTTGACAACCTCATGCATGGTAAATCACCAAAGAAGAATCAAAAACAAAGATCTCTGGAAGATTTTGGTAAGTGGAGATCCCTGACTCTTATGTCATTTTTTGAGAACAAAGCGCTAACTTATACCTCTTTAGTCGTCTCACTCCAGCGTGTCTCTACACAACACGAGAAGTCGGCTTAAAACTTTAAACTCATAATTTACAGGCGCACATGAATTACGGAGCGTGCAGCTTTTACGGATATTCCCTCGTGTTATTAATTATTAGGTAGTTCGTGTGTATAAAACTTCAGACGGGCTCATAGGTGTCAAAAACTGCTTGCTATTTTCGCGCTAAAAAGTTCAAATTGCTACTTTGCTGGGAAAAAAAATTCGTGGTTTGTTCTCTCAAATGGGGGCAACAGCGGTAACTTTTGGCACAAGAAGATTGGAGCAGGCATTTGAGCGTTTTAATCATTCCATATAGATGATAATAGCGTCATCCTAGAGTCTAAGAGTCTTAATTAATGAAAAATAAACTTTCTTGTGTTTTGTTTTTGGTGCTTGTGAATCGTGAGCGAGGAAGTGATATATGCTCATAAAATTATAAACTCATGAATAGAACCAAAAACAAATAGAATTAACTACTTAACCAACTATCATAACTCCATATAACTTGTATCTTATAAGTAAAAAAGTAGATTAAAATGCATCTGTCACAATACATTCATCTTCCTCCTCTCAATTCCCACACTATCGCCATCCCAATTCCTCCCTCCCTACCTGCCTAGGTATTTACTCTACTTTACTTTACAATCCACACTTTACAACCAACGCACCAGTATCCGGTGTGCTCTCTCTCTGTCCCCATCTTTCTCCATCTTTTCTTTTTTCTATCGTTTCTTTTGTTTCTTCTCCTCTTCGCTATCTCCCCTACAAAAAAAGCATTCGCTCACTCGCTTCTGCTCCCCACTGCCCTCTCCTCTTCCTCTCACTAGGTAGTAAACAAGAATGCGATCGATACTTTCCCTTACAGTTTCGCCATGGGTTTCTCATCCGCCAAAGCTTCCTCGTACATGCGATCGATATGTTCTCTGAATTTCTTTGCCGTTTGCGGGCGTTTGAGTTTGAGTCTGTGGGTGTGAGTTTCGTTAGTTACTGTAATATTATACTTATACTAGGCTCTGTGTGTTATATGCAACCAGGCCAGCTTCTTTAATATGAAGTGTTTCGTAGTAAGAAGAAGGAAAGGAAACGGAAAAACTTACGTAGGAGTCAAAAGCTCGTTTTCAATCGTAAAAGGTTCCACATCCACAAGAACATTCTTAACCTTCTCATAACTATTAAACTTGCTCTTCTTCCCCACTGCATCCAACACTTTGACAAGTTGCATTCGAACCCTCTTGTCATTACCCGCTTCCTTAATCCCTTCAATATCATCACTCTTGATTTCTCTCCCGAGAATCTTGCTTACCCACGGCGCAAAAGCAACGGGGTCAACTCCGAATATTGCAACTAGGAATGCTTGCGTAGAGTCACCGTGGACATATGCTTGAGATAAGAGTGAACAATTGGCTAGGTACACGTTCTCGATGCGCTCCGGGGAAATGTATTCGCCTTGTGCGAGTTTAAGGACGTTCTTGCGACGATCAATGATCTTTACACGGCCCATGCTGTCAATTTCGCCGATGTCACCTGTGTGGAACCAACCGTCTGCGGTAATGGCTTTGGAGGTTTCCTCTTCGTTGCGGTAGTATTCGCGGAAACGGGCTGTGCCTCGAATAAGGATTTCACCGCGGGGGTTGGGGCTGTCAGTTACGAGGTACTCCATGTCGGGGACGGATTCGAAGCATACTTCCACTACGAGGAAGAATGGTTAGTTGGGTCTGGATTGAGGAGGAGCTAAGGAGAAAACTTACTGGAAGCGCTGACACCTCCACAGTTACCGGTTGAGTAATCATCGTCATATTGAACGATACCATGTGCATAGGTTTCTGTAAGGCCATAACCCTGAATGAACCTGTTTCCAAATGCAGCACGGAGGAATTGATGAAGACCTGGGTCAATTGGAGCACTTCCACTTACCATGCCACGAGTTCTCTGAAGACCGAAAGCGCTGGCTAATTTAGGAGTCCAGACACGATCATAAAGTGCATGTTTGTTGGTAGCTTGTCCAGGTGGGAGTTTCATTGATGCAAGCTTGGTATTGATAATGTGACGACCAATTGAACCCTTAAGACCTGGGGCATCGATAGCAGCTGCTCTAATGGCGGATCCAAATCGATTGTAGAGTCGGGGAACGGAATTAAAGGCTGTTGGGCGAAGGAGTTTCAGGTCGTCGACGAGTCCGATGATATCACCACGGAAATATCCAATAGCAGATCCTACAGCGAGAGAGCCGTGTTCGGCAAGTCGTTGGTAAATATGTGCTAATGGAAGGTATGAACAAATAACATCGTTCGGCTTTGGGTCAGATACAATTCTTGTGATGGAAGTTGCTGCAACAGCGTTTGAATGGGTAAGGACCACACCCTTAGGGTTACCGGTCGTTCCAGAGGTATAGTTGATAGTGATAATGTCTTCCGGTCGAGGTGGGTTCATTGGGGAATTTGGAGATGCAGCTCCGATCGCCTCAACATCTCCAATATAATGGATAGCGATTCCAGCTTCAGCCGCAAGAGCATTCAATATTGCGCCTTTGCTGTTTCCAGGCCTTTCTCCATCATCCAAAGGATCAACAGAAATGATAAGCTTCAATGTAGGTATCCTTGGTGCCAATTTCAACAGGGTTGGAATGTGCGGTAAACTCGTAACAACACAAGCAAGCGTAGCATGATTGATGATATATTCTGTCGTATCCGGTCCAAGGGTATCGTAAATAGAGACCGTGAAGAGAGATTGTGACATTGCTCCCAAATCTATAACTCATGTCAATTTCCACCCTGCAACGCACGTAGCTATAAATCTAGGCTTCTTACCAACAATTTGCCATTCCGGTCGATTTTGACACCAAAGTCCCACACCATACCTTTCATCTGTAACTCCCGCCCGCTTATGAAGTTCTACCAATCCCACACCAAAGTTCTTTCTGCGCTGTGCCGTCTCCGCATATGAGATCCATTCATAATTGCCGTGAGTCTTTGTTGCCGGATCCCAAGGTCTATAACCCAAACATCTCGCATTTGGTCTCTTTTTGGCGGCCTTTTCAAAGAAATCATGGCTAGTCAAACAGTCTTGATCGACTGTTTGTAATAATGGCTTGTCTACGAACTGATAATGTCTGTAAACAGCACTGCGACCTTCACGCGCACTACCTGGTACTGGAAGGGAGTATGGTGAACCAGGGGGAGGAGATGCTCGGACGGTCTGCACATAAGTATCAGGATCTTGTACCGCTGGTGCCATTGTGTCTGTCTATATCTGAGAAGCACGTACAAGTCAGTACTCAATGTTGAACAAAGGTTAGGAGGTTGGTGTTTGAGCGCAGGTCGTTGGAATTTACAAACCTTATAAAAGTATGAAAGAGATAATAAAAGATAAAGATTATTCTATAAAATATCTAGGATTCGTATCGCAATGAAGATCTATAGAAGAAACAATAGGAAATCAACTCTAATGAACAAATGAAGTTTGTTTGTAGAATAAGTTTCACTCAAGAGGTGCATGTGAAGGAAATGGATAAGTGGCCCTACCCCGAGGCCTTGATGGGCCCCGTTTTCCTTTTACCTCGGCATCTGGACGTTATGCATATTCTAGAATGTGGAGAAGCTTTGTAGATCGCCATCACAATTCTAAAAGAATTGGAAATAACCGGCAGACTGGTATCCTGATACGGGGAAAGGAAGGGAGGAAAGTGGGCTTTGAGTACATAATTAGACTTCATAAATTGTGCCATGAAGAAGAAAGTGTGAATTTGGTCAGCATGTGGTGGTGCTCGGTGAACGGAGAACATCTACATCCGATGATACTTCATATATCACAGACTGTTACCATCTCAAATTCGAAGAATGAAAGAGAGCACGATAATTAACTTTATTATTATTACTATGTAGCAAATTTCATTTTGCAATGCATAAACCAGTATCTTTAAATGATGACCATCGAAATTAACCACGCAGCAACAGGTCTACCTAGCAACGGAGGTCTCCCGAATGGTTTGAAAAAAAAAAGGGGAGGATTATGTTAAATAACCAATTTCGCGTCAACAACAGTATCACCAGTCTTCCCGACGTTGGACTCGTTACCACCCGTTGTCTTCGCCGCAGACGCTGATTCGAATGATTGCTCGAAATCCTTGATTATATCATCAATGTGTTCTGTGCCAACCGAAATTCTAATAAGATCCTTGAGAACTAGACGTTAGCTGAATACGAAACGTTACATTCGAATGATTCCTCACCTCAGTGACACCAGAAGCCAACTTTTCATCGTCGGAAAGCTGTTCGTGAGTGGTAGACCATGGGTGAATTGCTAGAGTTTTTAAATCTCCAACGTTGGCCAAGTTAGAAATCAGTTTGAAGCCATCAACCACCTGACTACCAGCTGCTCCTCCACCTTTAACTCCGAAACTCAGGACACCACCAAATCCGCGGGGCAAGTATTTCTTAGCTAGCTCGTGTGATTGATGATATTCCAACCCTGGATATGAAACCCAAGAAACGTGTGGGTTCTTATCAAGCCATCTTGCCAACGCCAATGAGTTCTGGGCATGTCGTTCTCCTCTCAAGCTCAAAGTTTCGAGACCTTGAATCAATTGGAATGCTCCGAATGGATTCAATGAGCTTCCCAAGTCACGAAGAATCTCGACCCGTACACGAGTGATGAAAGTATCAGGTCCAAACGTTTCCCAGAACTTTAATCCGTGATATCCATCCGATGGCTCAACCATCGCTGGAAATCGCTTTCCATTTTTGCCCCAATCGAATTTTCCTGAATCAATAACCACACCGCCAATTGTGGTCCCGTGTCCTATTCCAAGCAGGTTAGAAGAATTCACATGACCCGATGGAAGAATATATAATTACCGCCAATCCATTTGGTCGCCGAATGCACGACAATGTCGGCTCCATGATCAATAGGGCGGCAGAAATAGCCACCTGCTCCGAATGTATTGTCGACGACGAGAGGGATCCCGTGGTCTAGATACAGAAAATTAGTACTTTATAAGAGTAAAAATTACGCCCAAGTAGTAGGACTAGGGTCATACTCGGATGGAATATTACGCAGCAGCAAATCACTCACCGTGTGCAACTTTGGCAATAGCCTCGAAGTCTGGAACGTTATATTTTGGATTGCCAATACTTTCGATGAAAATAGCTCTTGTATTTTCGTCAATAGCCTTCTCGAAGTCCTCTGCCTTGTCTCCTTGGACGAATATGCTTTTTATGCCCAATCTTGGAAGGAAAACCTTCAATTGATTGTATGTTCCTCCATAAAGGTTCGTCGTGGACACGATATTATCGCCGGCATGCGCCAATGCGGCAAAGGTCACTTGAAGGGACTATTAGCAATAATTCGCTTATTGTGTGTAATAATAGGAGTGTATAGTGAATTGTGGTCTTAGTGAGGTGAAATGGGTGGAGGATGAAAGGTTAGTTAGCATAACCTACTAAACTGAGCTGCTTGGCCAGATGAAGATGCAACCGCGCCTCGTCCATTCTCAAGTGCTGCCATCCGCTTTTCAAAAACATCGACAGTCGGCTATCGCCAAGTCAGCTAAGGATTTTGGTGTTGTACTTGGCGGTGAAATCTTGGAATCGAATTGAGATGCTAATTGTGAACGGAAAAGTGCCACCGGTAAAACTTGAGATGCCAACTTCCATTGCAGACGTTGCCAATTTTGAGAAGATCGGATGCCAAATTCTCAACGAATTTTCTTGAACTTTCGATAGAATGAAACTTTGGCATAATACATACGTTCATAATACGACTGTAGATATTTCCATGCTCCTGGAGGCCAAACAACCTAGCTCCATGAGCAGAGTCATTGAATGTGAAGCTCTGTACATTTGGACTTTAGTTCTTGGAATCATATATCCTCTTGATATGAACAACTGACTGTAGTAGCATAGATTGGGACAGCTCTCGCATTTGTTGCAGAATCTGGTTCATGTCTATACGACCGATGTCGTTTTGTTAGCCTTATCCTAGGACTGCGGGGAGGTGGCACGGCACGAACCCAGCATGGAGCTGTAGAGTCTCGAAATGAGTACTTTCAACTGGTGCCATTTTGATTGATTCCGAAATATTCTTCAATTCTTGAGTTTGGTGATAATTGGTGAGAAGTGAAACTTTACAAGAGAGAAGAAAAAGACCTCGGAGATGGTTTATAAGTCAATTGGGCAAAAGATCTTTGTTCTCCGTTGACTCTTTCCGATATGGTAATCTTACAAAACCCTTGGTTGATCATTCATAGTGGGGTAAGGTTAATACATTCAATTACCCATTACAGTAAGTAGCAGTAGACATTGGCTTAAGCACGCCATTTTCTTTCATCATTGGGAATGAATGACGAGAACGGAAACCTTGTGTTGAAGCTGGGCAATATTCTGTTGGGAATAGTTTGGTTTGAATAGCTTCATTATTCCATCTCTTCAACGACGTCTCGAAATTTAGAGGTTGCTTGCTTACTCATCCGATTCGAGACTTTTAGCCCAGGTTTTGACCTCATGTAGTAAAAACATCACAGCTCGAAACCGTCCATTGGCCGACTAACCTTAGGTCCCATCTATCCACTCAAATCTAATCTAGCCCACTACTTCTGACATGGTCGCTTTGTCTTTCTCTCATGCGACATTGCGTCGTGATGTTCTCTCGTACCTGCAGATGATACCTATACACTCTTCTCAATACCGGTAATACGTGCTACTACGAAGACCCGATACGGCACTCAATCGCAATATGGAGGGAGGACTTGTGATTCAACCCCGCGTCCAAGCATTTCAATATCGTGGCTTTCAAAAGTCTCATGATCCGCTACCTTCAAACGAAGAGCTCAATGAAAGACCCTCACCTGGCGGTTCCCTCTTGGCAACACAACGCTGACACTCTTGGAAATTCTTGGGAGGCGGCAACAGAACTTACTTGTAGCTTGAGATGACTATTTTTTCTCTTTAAGCTTTGCGGTTGAGTTGGTAAATTTGTGTTGGAGCCGACGTTTCATGCTTTGAGAGGAATTGAAAGTTGTCAACCTCAGATGTCCGAGCGGATAATTGTCAACTTTTCAACAAAGCGTATTCGATGTTTCAATTCGTCGCTATTCCTGTTATCCAGTTATCCAGTGATACAAGGTCGTACAATCATCCTTTTGTCACTTGAATCGGCGGGATAGGATCTTTTCTTAGAGGTGGATATTTAAGGATGAGTGCACTCTGAGATTGTCAGCCCGGTAATTGAATTGCCCTACGTATCGCGGGGAATGCAAGCAGGCGTCTCTCTACTGTACTCTATAGCAAGGACATCCAGCGTTAATAATTATCATTCGCTAGGTCCAGAGCCTTGCATCTTCAATCATGTCCAAGATCCTTGTCTCCGTAGGGAAGTCGATCTGTGCGATAGATTGATATAACGTTTCAAACATGATACGAAGTTTATGCATCTTTTCCACTTTGGCTGCAATGGAAACCCTTCGGCCTTCAGAATTTTACTACTTATTTCTTTTGTAATTATAATATCAGTCTGCGAATCTTCTGCATTTCTCCATCTTTACTTGATCTCCACCTGTCATTCTCAATTTGTACACACTTTCTTCAATTTACTCACTATACGCGCGCACAAGTTGCAGCTGCTTTTCCCCACGACTTTCATAAAGGAATATATACGATTGTTTCACGATAATTCAACTTCTCAGATAACGATACCTTGATTTCAAAATGGCGATTGGATTACTTCTCCCTATTCGAATTGCTCAAGCAGTATTCGCTATCGTCGTACTGGGATTATCTGGATATGGTATGAAAAACATTGATAGCTAGCATACCACGGGATAACTACTAACATATCACATAGTTTCCCACTGGTACAATACCGATACTTTGACAGCATCTCCTTCTCAAATCAACTTCTTGGTCTTCGTATCTGTGTTTACCTTGCTCTCCATTCTCTATCTTGAAGTTGCACCCCGCTTCATGTCAAAAGGTACCTTTTTCCCACTTTCAAGAGTTGATATGAGTATTGAATATCATTTTCTAACACTTACAAGCATCTCACCCATACATTCATCTCGCAGTCGAACTCCTCAACGTTCTTTTCTACTTCGCAGGCTTTATCGCACTCTCCGTTTTCATCGGCGGGCTTCTCTTCTGTCGTGGTTCTGTCTGTGGAGCAGCTCGTGCCGATGCAGTTTTCGGTGCTTTCAGCTGGTTACTTTGGATGGGAAGTAGTGCCATTCTCGCATTAGAGATGTTCAAGGGAGGAAGATCAAAGTCTTACCCAAAGCCAAATATGGCCATGAAGGAGACGATGAATCCAGTATAAGTAGATATGTGGTGGGTGTATAATCAAGAAGATGCTAGGTTTGCTTCGAAGATATCTAGAAAATGGTACTCGGACATGATGAGAAGTCTTGATGACTTTGCTCTCTTTGATAGGAACATTTGGATTGTGGAATAGGGGTCGGCGGAAAGAAAATGGCTGAGCACTGGGTATCGGTATCTTGGAGTTGGGAATTAAATAGACGGCAGCTTGGACCGGCTGGCTGTTCATGTTTTACAAATGCTCTCGCGAAATAAATAATATAGAATTTTTGATCATGTCCTAATGCCATCTTTAGAAAGTTATTTGCTGTACTCTATGTAATATATCTTTCTTTTTCTTGTGGTATGGATTGTTCTGAATGATAGGTATTAATCAGTATCCGAATCTCGCTCACAAGCAATCGCTAGATCTAGTGATTCCACCAAAATAATCTTACAACTTGAAAAAAAAGTTGTCTAGACTAGCATCCAGCGTCATGAATCATGTCCGAGGCAATGCAAAATATAGCATAGGAATGAAATTTCCAATTATCGTAGAAGAGGTATTTGCTCTTCCTTCCTTTCTTTCTTTAGTTAACATTCTTATTGATATATAATTATATAAAGGTTTTTATTTACTCTTTTTTTATTCTTTTTTTTTTTCTTGATAGATTGAAAATAATTTAGTTTTTTGATTTTAATTAATAAGGCTGATTATCAAAAGTTTGATAGTTTAACAAGTTTTATTATAGAGTTATCATAAAGTTATTATAGAGCTATTATATTTATTTATCAATCAATTTGAATAATTATCCACATGTCTCCAATGAATCACATCCACACCTTATATTCCTCAAATGCTGTACCCGCTCAAGTGCTCCATGATTCCTGTCTGTACATACTAATCCATGATCCTCTGCTCTTCAGGTATATTTTGGTCCAGGGAAGATCAATAAAGGGGATCTTCTTACCTAGTAATTTACTCACTTGTTAGGTATCTTTATATTTCTATTGCTGCTATTAGTCTGAATCTTGCTAGAATTTTCAATCAGCATATTTGCATGATCCAAGATACTCGCCTACTCGCCTTGTGGGAAGATTCACTTCTACGAAGCTAAGCGGTTTGTCCGGTCTGTCCTGTTGAATAACCTTGCATAGATACTAACGAGTAGGTATATAACCACTAGCAAACACGCTAGCAATCCATAGTTATAGGCAAATCAAAAGTAAATTGAGAAATTGAGAAATCAAGTACTCAAATAGTCAATAAACCAACAAATAACATTAGAGTTTTCATGAATATATCTACATCACTTATATATTCACAGATCAATAACCACGAAACAAGACTGCTGGACCCATCATCGAAAAAGAACAAAGCAGTGCACACATCATGACATATTGATTAACATAAGATTACAACACATTCTGTACCTCATACAAAACCACGAATAGCCCCATAGTAATGAGTAGATAAATAAAGTAAAGCAATTTCATTTTACACTCTCACCATCTGCCTACTAATTATCCCACGGAGGAATGAGATTAATCAATGAGCTCTAGATAAATTGAAATTTGAGATTTGAGATTTCGTCAAGGCTATCTTACACAGCAAGACTCTTCCTTCCTATTGGATATATATCAGACATTCCTCTGCCCATCCAATTCAGTATATTTACTGATAACATCTTACAAATATAGGTTAATTAACCTGCAAAGAAAGGTCTAGAGATCAGATGAGGAGATATCAAACCAGCAGCTAATTATACTGCTATAATGAGAAAACGAATATAATATGATTATGCGTAGATGTGTGATATAGGATTATATAAGATATGTATGAGTTACTTACTCAATGTGTATTTTATATTTCGTATTCGGGATGTACATGTAGTACGTTAACTTTGGTTCGTGCTGCTAAGAGAGCTTTTTGATCAGAGAAAGGTAAGTAATAAGTATAAGAAAGAACCTTTGCGAATGCCTTATCACACAAAAGTATGAGCGCTCTTGCTAATTGATACATAACATGTATTGTATTTTAAATAGAATTATGCTAATTTCAGGTATCTCGCTAAAGCCCTACATGAGATTAATGAAACATGGCCACCAGTCCATATAATCCCAACCTACCCGCTCTATTTATCTTTGAATTCCTGTGAGAAGATCTTCTGCCAGAGATCCATCCACTTTTGTTGCTGTATTGTGAGGGCCTTTCCAGGTGTCTTGAAAGACTTGGTGAGTATATCTCGTAGTCGAGCTCGCATTGTTTTAATAGCAAGCATGGTTTTCCAGTCCGATACAGCAAATCGAGCTCTGTTGCCATCTAGTATGAAAACACCAGCATACATCTGGAGTAAGATTAGCAGGTTATTCTAATAATATAATCAAAGCTTGAACTTACATCGCAGCGGACGTCTCCGCAAAGAAGGGCAATCGAGAATTCTTCCACGGCGGTTGTTTCATGGGCATTGTAAAATCTGCTTGAGCTTAGTGGTGATAAGGGCTAAGATTTAGATGAGAACTTACTGTTTGGCCTGCATGATATGATAGTATGAGAGCCATTTGAGCTCGTGATGACCCTTATTTACGGAAGTAGGATGTAGACTAATGGATTGATTATTGGCGCAATTGCGGAAGCCTTTACCATCCCGGATAAGAAGCTTTGGATAGAAACTCCAGCCAATCACAGACGAGACAATTATGTCATTATCACTGTTTGCATTAATGCGAAAGGGTATCTCAAAAAATTGTCGACGGCGACTCGAGTAACGTGTCCTATACTAGTTAGCCTTTATTCAAGAAACAAACTGAAATCACGTACCGATTTAGGGCAGTTTTCTCAGCCTCTGTAAGTGGGAGAAAGCCAGAGTCCACAAGACAGACCACCAATTGTCCTTTCAAGTCTTCAATGTTCGATAAAGTTTGCTGGCTAAGAAAGTTCTTGCGACAGAATTGGTATTCAGAGCCATTGGCAACGCAAACTTTTTTCCAGGCTAGGTATGCATTGTAAACTGTCAAAAGATCAGAATCGCCTCTTCTAAAGGCAAGCCTGACAGTATCCGCTTGCTGGCGCTGTCCAAATGGAGCAGAGAATGGTGACTTTGATGATAAAATAGCAGCAATTGTGACTACTGCATCGAGACACTTGAAAACACTACCAAGGAGCATAAGCTTTCCCAAGAAGACGTCGAGTGGCAACCGAGCTAATTGAACGCCTAATGGTGTCAGATCTTCCCCTGCAGTCAGTGCTCTAACATCTACAAGCGCATCAATTGCACGGCGAATATTCTTAGCAGAGGGGGGATCCAACGCTTCGCTTAATGTCTCCTCGATGCCTCCTAGCTTGCAAATCTTGACTCGAATGGCAAGATCCTGAAGGGACAAACGAAGAAATTCTGGGGTTTGTTGATCGGCCATCATTTCATCATGTCTATATTTTGTGAAAAGATGAAAGCACAGTCCCTCTTGTACTCTACCAGCTCTACCCCTTCTTTGCTTGGCATTTGCCTTGCTGATAAAAGTTTCTAATAAACGGGAGAGCTGTCTCCTCTCATCAAACCTCATCTCGCGATGCTTACCAGTGTCAATTACACAAGTGACGTCTGGAATGGTGATACCAGTTTCAGCTATGTTGGTAGCCAAAACTATTTTTCTTATTCCAGGCGGCGGTACAAGGAAGGCAGCTTCTTGATCCTCGCTAGCTATAGTCGAATGCAATGGGTATATATACCAGTCGGACGAGAATGCTGGATGTCCGCAGAGCATGTCATTCAAGGTTCGGATCTCAGCAATACCTGGAAGAAATACGAGGATGGCCTTTGCATGGTCAGTACGATTCAAAGCAATGCTAGGAAAAGTTGGATTTGATCTTTCACGGAATGGTAATACATCAAATGTTATAAAGCGGGGCTTGAGTTCGGACCAAACTTACTTTGCTATACATCACCAATCGGTCGTCGGCAGCGATCTTTGCAATTAGTTGAGTAACGAGATCAAATTCAATCCGATACTCATCAAACTGTGCAATAGTGTTACGAGTTTTATTGCTGTATCCTCTTAAAGTCTTTGTACTTTCACTCTTCGTTGTCTCATTGGAATTCACATCCGCTAGCTCAACATCGTCATCAAGGTCAGTATATTTCTCTTGCAGGCCATTATCAAGAGAAAAGCCTGTAAGTTCAACAGCATCTTCGAGATATTTGACCTGGACAGGGAATGTACGTCCTGGGACGTTCAAAACCGGAGCACCATCTAGATATTTTGAAAAACGATCGGCATCGACGGTTGCAGACATCAAAACGACTTTCAAATCAGGTCTGCGTACCAACAGCTTTCGGAGGACAATGAGGAGAAAATCGCTGTCTATTGTACGCTCGTGGACTTCGTCAAGGACGATATGCGTAATATCTCTGAGGTCATTCGACCCCTCGAGCATCCGCATCACGATTCCGGTGGTAGCATAGATAAGGCGAGTCTCTTTTGATGTGTTGGACTCGAGTCTAATGGCATACCCCACTAGTGAGCGAGGTGTACCAAGGTCGCTCTTGCGTTCACCAAGTTCTTCACTGACACGTCGAGCAAGAGAGATCGCAGAAATACGTCGAGGCTCTGTACAATAAATCTTGCAAGGTTTTCCTCTCGACAACTGGTGCTCGAGAATGAATGCCGGTACCTGCGTACTTTTCCCACATCCAGTCTCGCCACAAACAATAACTACCTGTGACCGATCTATAGCACCAAGGACCTCATCTTTGAACGACCACATAGGTAGCTGCATCCGAGATTGGAGCATATGTTGATAACTTTGCGACGAGCATTTTTCCGCCCATATTCTCTGATATGTTTCCGGAGCGAAACCTGCTTTAAGACTTTTGTCTATAGAAGTATCCTCGTTACCGGTGGTCCGTACCGCCCCTCGATTTCGGAAGGCACCATGTATCAAAACACCATCTTCTAATTCTTGATCTCGCTTTGCACGAACCAGATCACGGAATGTCTTGATGGCATTGCGATCCTCTTCATCAGATTTCTCTCTTTTAATCTCGGCAAATTCAGTCCAAAGATCACGCCATACTGCCGGTAAACGCAAAGAAACTTTGTCCTCTCTTGCTGACGATCCAAAAATAAGAAACAGTGCAGTGGTGGCAATATATGCTTCGGACTGGCGAGAATCTGGCGTGGATACCGAAACCATAGTAAAACTTTGCAATTTTGGACTAGAAGCATATTCGACTTGGGAGAGAGGTGTATTTGCAAGCAGATCTTGAGATTTTGACCAGGTGATTCGAAGGTTGTGACGATTGGAATAACTGGCATCGGAAATGAGAGTGTAGGCCAATCTTACTGAAGAGTCCCTGTTGCCCTCCTGTTAGCGTGGTCATCTCTAATAGCTTTTGCGTCATTCACCTTGCTCGGCATGCTTCCTCCAGCACCCTGATTGGATTGATGCCTGACCACTTCCCAAAGTCTCGAACGGTAACCTTTGTCCCATCCTTACCGTTAATCACCGTACTGCTTTTACCAGTCAGAGGATCCACTTCATTGACAGGTAAGCTAGCAAAAAGATCAGCTAGCGCCGCATCATCGTCGCTACCGGTCTCCTCAAGCATAGCTTTGCCAATCGCAGCTGCTTCTCTACTGATTTCATCATCAGAGTCCACAGAAATATCAGATTCCTGCGTTTCCCCATCACATACAACCGATTCGGAAGCCCGTTGGGTAGCTGCATCCCGCTCAAGTCTTATTCTTTGGGCATTCCATTGCTGGTGTGCAAGATATTTGTCAAACAAGACGTCATCCTCTATTCTCTTGAGCTTCCTTGTCAGCCTGGCTGACTCTGCATCAATAGGACTTCCATTGTTTTGTGGTTTCTGAGCATTCTTTTTCCCATTCGAACGAATACCAGTGGAAGGTTTTGAGCTTTGAATTATAAACATTTTTTCCTTTGTTTTTAGGTATACTGGGAGGAGGTCATCCGGATCAATATCACTATCATAATCTATTGTGGCTGCTTTTTTATTGTTTTCTTGCCTCTTTCCATTCCGAGGGGTATTCCCACCATTTTGAAGTAAAGAGTGGGAATGCCTCATGTCTGATTCGAATCTTGGTGTAGTAGTTCCCGAGGCCATGGGGCTATCAAATGGAGTACCTAGAAGAAAAGATTATTAGTTGTAGCAGAGTAAAACACAATATGGCTGTTACATACCATTTTGAGACTTTTGGGTAGATGCCAATCTGCGATGCGAATTTTGGTAGTCTGGCAATTCGTCCCTTGAACATTCACGGGAAAGCCAATCCAGTGATTCTTCCATACCCCAAATTGTTTCCTTGTTGCTACCACCAATCTTATCTGAAATATCCAAAACATGCTGCAGAGCCAATAATACTTTATCTGCTACGAACCCTGCCCCAACAAGGGACTGTTGTAAAGTCCAAAGCCGAATTGCAAGGTCCTCTTCCGATATCTGCTTCATCGAGGTCGTGTCTGTTGCTGGACCAGAAAATCGTCCTTCCATTTTTATTAAATCCAAAACCTCTTCCATAAGCTCAGGCGGGAGCCATTTTCTTGTATTGAGAGTTTCAGCTTGACCTCGCAGAACTCTACGATCGGTTTCTAATCGGGTCTTTTGACGGAGGGCATCTCTTTTTGACTTCTGTGAATGTTTCTCGACGAGTATTTGAAGTTCAGAATTCTCGAGTTGCTTCTCAAACTCCTCGGGTGTCAGATTCGATTTTTGATCCGAAGTTCCATTTCCTGCGACTTCTCTCGTGCTGTCTCCTAGCTGTTGACTCTCCGTCGTATCAATGGGTTCGTCTGCAATGTCCTTTTCTTGCGCAGCTTCAATTGCTTCGTTTTTGGGTTTCGAGGCAATTGAGGTGGTAGCAAACCCTCTGGCTGGATTTGTAGCTGGCTTCTTCTTTTTCTTACCACCAGCCATCTTCTAGAATCGTTTTGATAACTGGCGATTGGAGTGTTTTTGGTCGATGTAAATATGAAAGTACATCAATGCAAACGCCCAAGCTACGCCAAACGCGGGGCCAAGTACAGTGGGGTCGGGCCGCCGATATTTCGTTACAGTGAAATTACCAGGGCGTCATTTCTCTCCAACTTTTTTCTCGGGTCGCGATAACATTAATCCAGATTGAATAATAGTCACCCCTCAAGGACTGCAATCAATATAAACAAATATACGAGCAGCTCACTGAATACTTCATTAAGTTACTTGAAAAGACCAGTAGGTCATGAGAGATCTTGAAGGTATACAAAATGTCTGAGGTGGAGATCAATGGTCATAATGAGGGGGTAGATTTGGACCTTGCACTCACAAAGGCTGCACTCACTTCCTCTTCTACAAATCTGCGATTGGGTCAGTTGAAATCCATTGCGGAAAGAATTTCAAAGAAAGGTATGTGAATGCTGTGCTTTAGACCAACGTTCTTTCAATCAACCGCTGACAATACTTCGTGTATAGAGCTTGATTCAAACCTTTTCCCTGTTCTATTGCAACTATTATTTTCCACATATCCATATTATCACGACAGAGATTCGCGGCTTGCTGTCCAACTTTGCATACGAAATATATTCGATTTCGATTGCGAATATGAGTTACTGTCCAGTTTCTTAGATGCATTAGACACCGAAACTAGGAAGGTGGGGCTGGCTCCAAGTAATGCGTTTGTGTTAGTCGAATACTGTAGCGCGATATTGCAAGTAACTACTACTGATGCCAGATGGAAGAGCTGGGGTTTATTAGTTGTGGTTGGGAATGCGCGAGCGCTTGAATTATGCATTACATCGAAACATAGAGCTTCTGCACTCAAGACTACATGGCGAGGTTTAAGGAAAGTTTTTCAAAGCGATGTTTTCCAAACTGCAATCGAGGACAGTGTCCAGGAATTGAGTTCCAAAGAGGGTCAGCCTTCCTCTAAAAATGCTGTGATGATAGGGGCAATTTCGGGAGTATGTGCCAGGAAACCACAAGCAAAAGTGGTATTGGAGAGCAAGAAGTCTCTAATATACAGCTACTATACGCGCGAAATTATAGCCTCCAGGACTCAGCTACCTCCACATCTTGCCAGTGCTCTGAAAGACTTCTTTGTGGATTTTGCAACTCAGGAAGAATTTGAGCGAGAAATAGTACCATCCCTTGAGAAGGCGCTACTAAGGGCTCCTGAAATTGTACTAAACGACCTTGTCACGCCACTCTTCCAGTCTCTACCTAGCTCAGTAGATCTCTCAAGTGTTCTTCGAATGAAGCTTTTGAAACCTATCCTATCTAATATCAAATCCACCAACCCCACAATTCGTCAAGGAGCCTTGTCTGCATTCAGAGCAATTGTACCCAAATGTCATGATGAGATCTCGATTGCCCAAGTGTCAGAAGAGATACTGACGCCACTAAAAGGAGGCAAAATCTCCGCGGCAGACCAGAGAGCTAATTATGCAGAAATGCTTTCGATTTTGCCAGTCTCCAAGTCAAATGCTTCGACAGCTATCGGTCTCGCAGCGATTGCAGGAAAAGAAGCAAACGAAGCTGCACTATCAGCAGAGACATTCGCGCTATTACACTACCTCAAAAAGAGGGTACAAAATGAATTCGCTTTGGACAAATCTATCGTTGGCGCCTTTGCGAAAGGTCTTTCTGATAAAAAGGTTCCCGTAAAGAAACTATGGACGATCCGCCTTGGAGAATTGCTTTGGGATACTGAAGAGTCTGAGCTATCTGAGTCAAAACAATTAGCGGAAGAAACCGCAACAGCATTGGTAGATACATGGCAAGAAGTTATCGCGAATTCCATACCTGCAGCTCAATCTGGTCTTATCACTGCAGCTTATGTCGTTGCAGCGATCTCACAGGCGAAATTGGGAATTATTTCAGGTGCGAAGGTTGACGCGGCGCTAAAAAAGGCTCAAGTATCGCATCAATCACTAGCTATGGAGCCTAAGCCATCGTTTTTACTGAATCCGCGCATTTATAGCAAGCTTTCTACTTACGATGATTTCATGTGGTTCGTGAGAGCTTTATTTTCCTTTCCGGATCAGCTTGCTTCGCTCGACCCGGCATCTTTGTCCGCTATCGGATGGTCTCAAGCTGTCATATTTTCTATATGTTCTCCAAACGTTCATTATGACGTTAGGAGACATGCCTCTCATTTACTTTCCGAATTTTATGTCCGCTTTCCTGGCAATGTATCCAAGATACTCACATTTGGTTTGTGGAAATGGCTACAATCTATCGAGCTTGGAGAAAAGGACAGCGCTCCAATATCGGCAAAAACAGAGAACGAGAATCTGCATTTAGTACTGAAAGCTATTTGTTTGATACCAGCAGAAATTACTCGTCGTGGCGGTATTGTGGACCAGGCAGTAGTCAAGGACCAGATGGTCTCACTGTTGGTTGTTTGTCGATCAGAACTACTCCCAAGAGTGAGCTGGATAGAGTTGTGCTTGAAGGCTGAGGTCGATCCTGGCAACCTTGCTAGGGAAAAAGGAGATGATTTGTTGAAGCAGATTCTCGACATTACAAGCATTCAAGATGTGGGTGCCACGCCACGATCCAAAGTAGTCAAAGATGCTGCATATAATGCCGCTGCCGAGCTTGCGTTTGTCGCTCCTGACGTTATGACACCACGAATTGTGGAGCTTATCGAGCAGGACCTTGATGCTACGCAGTTCGCCAATGTTGGTCCAACAGAGGCGGCAATTTTCCGCACCCCAGAAGGAACAGCTTTTGTAGATGTATTGGCCTCTAAAGCTCAAAGTTACGTTCCGAACAAGAACACTAAAGATTACGATACCTTAAAATGGGAAGAGGAGCTCCGAGCCTCGTTGGCGAAAAAGAAGGGCCAACAAAAGAAGCTTACACCGGAAGAAACGGCTAAAGTCAAAGCTCAACTGTCAAAAGAATCAGAAATTAGACGCCAGATTCGTGCTCTGGAGTCAAGACTGTTACGTGGAGTTGGAATCATCAAAAGTCTGGCAACGGGGCCTCCAACAGAAGCCTCTCTATGGATGGGACCTGCCATAAGAGTTTTGATAAAGGTGATGAATGCTGGTGCTGGATTAATTACAGGTACAGCTGCCCCGGATGCTTACATACTCTGTGCCGAAAGAGTTTCTAGTCGCATAGGTATCCTCCGTTCATTTATTGGATTAGCAACTCTCAGAGCTATGAATGTTCCACAGTTGCCACAAGCCCTCACACAAGAACCACTCGGGGCCCTTATTACACGTGTGTTGTATCGCCTAAGATTCTCGGCAGAACAACGTCCATTTGATACAGTCTCTCTCATCTATGCTCTCCCTCTTGTCTTCTTAGTTCTTCGCGATGGTGGATTTGGAGAGAGTGATGATGCGGAGGCTCAACTGGTTCTCGCCTTGGAATTCCTTTCTTTTCACACTGATGCTTGTTCCGACGTTCTGGTTCCCCGAGACGAAGTTCTCTCCACATTGATATCATCGATGCAGGCCTACAATCAGCATTACAAAGCAATTAAAGATTGCTTGTCGGATCTATGTAGGTGTATTGCGCCTAACATTACCGATAAGGAGATTTCTATTCTTGCTCAAGGAGCCATTGTTCCGCAAGTCGCTGTACGAACCTCAGTATTGCAGTCAATAAGTGCAGAGATTGATATGAGTGAGCTCGACTTCTCTAACGAGATGTGGCTAGCGTGCCATGACGATGTAGAAGAGAATATCGACCTTGGGCGAGAAATCTGGGAGGAAAGTGAATTCAAAATATCCACCGAGTCACCATTCAGGATGCTGCCCTATCTCGAAGGCTCAGATAAGCAACTTCGCCGAGCTGCAGCTAGATCTATTGCCGAAGCTGTGAAGATACAGCCTTCAACATTCAAGGATATTCTGAGCCGTCTGCAGTCCTCCTATACGGAGCTAGCAAAACCTCGACTTCCTCAGCTTGATGAGTATGGAATGCCCAGGAAGATGGATTTGTCAGACCCGTGGGAGGCCCGAAATGGTGTTGCACTTGCATTTAGAGAACTTGCTAACGTTTTTGATGAATCACTTCTTACACCGTTCCTTAGCTTCTTAATCGAGGGTCCATTGGGTGATAGAAATTCAGCTGTCAGAGAGGAAATGGTCGAGTCCGCCACAGCAATTATAGCTGTTCACGGAAAGGACAAAGTGGAAGAACTGATGGAAACCTTCGAACGCACACTCGAGACACCGGATAAAGGCTCTGAGTTCTCCGATAGAGTAAACGAGGCTGTGATCATCATGTATGGTGCCCTGGCACGACATCTGAAAGCTGGCGATGAACGTGTGCCGAAGGTTGTAGACAGGCTTCTGGAGACCTTAAGTACCCCATCCGAGACGGTGCAATATGCCGTGGCGGAGTGCTTGCCACCACTAGTCCGTGCATCAAAGGAGAACATTTCGGATTACATTCAGTTGGTCCTCGACAGGTTGTTCAATTCAAAGAAATATGCCGGTCGACGTGGTGCAGCGTATGGTCTTGCAGGTATCGTTAATGGAAAAGGAATCTCGGCTCTAAGAGAGCACAGGATAATGCTTACACTTAGAGGCGCCATTGACAATAAAAAGGATGTCAATCACCGGGAAGGAGCTCTGTTGGCTTACGAGCTTCTGTCCATGATTCTTGGCCGCATTTTTGAGCCTTACGTTATACAAATTGTGCCTCAACTGCTCTCGAGCTTCGGTGATTCCAGCGCAGACGTTCGCGAGGGCTGTTTAGCAGCAGCAAAAGTATGCTTTGCGAGCTTAAGTTCATACGGAGTGAAGCAGATTTTGCCAACGCTACTTGATGGTCTGGATGATGACCAATGGCGAAGCAAAAAAGGAGCCTGTGACCTTCTTGGTGCCATGGCATACCTTGATCCTCAACAACTAGCCCAGAGTCTTCCCGAGATCATTCCACCTCTTACTGGTGTATTGAATGACAGTCACAAAGAGGTCCGACTTGCTGCGAACCGCAGTTTGAAGCGCTTCGGAGAAGTTATCAACAATCCCGAGATCAAGAGTCTCGTGGATGTCCTCCTCAAGGCTCTCAGCGATCCAACTAAATACACGGACAATGCTTTGGACTCGCTTATCAAAGTATCCTTTGTACACTATCTGGACTCCCCTTCCCTTGCTCTTGTTGTTCGTATCCTTGAGAGAGGCTTGGGTGACAGGTCAGCAACCAAGCGAAAGTCTGCACAAGTTATAGGTAGTCTTGCCCATTTGACAGAAAGAAAGGACCTTGTATCCCACCTACCAATTTTGGTTGCCGGGTTAAAGATTGCGATTGTTGATCCGGTCCCAACTACTCGTGCAACTGCATCCAAAGCTCTTGGTTCTCTCATTGAAAAACTGGGAGAAGATGCTCTTCCAGATCTTATTCCAGGGCTCATGCAAACACTCAAGTCAGATACTGGCGCTGGAGATCGACTTGGATCTGCACAAGCACTAAGTGAGGTACTTGCTGGGTTGGGTACAGCCCGCCTCGAAGAGACTCTTCCCACAATTCTCCAGAATGTTGCTTCATCTAAACCTTCCGTTCGTGAAGGCTTCATGTCGCTGTTCATATTCTTGCCTGTGTGTTTCGGAAATAGCTTTGCCAACTATCTTAGTAAGATCATCCCACCTATTCTCTCTGGTTTGGCAGATGATATCGAATCGATTCGCGACACGTCTTTGAGAGCCGGTCGTCTCCTTGTCAAGAATTTCGCCACGAGAGCCATTGACCTTTTGCTTCCTGAGCTGGAGAGAGGTCTTGCAGACGATAATTATAGAATTCGTCTCAGTTCAGTCGAACTGGTTGGCGATCTTTTGTTCAATCTCACCGGGATTAGTGCGAATACAGAACAAGATGAGGCCGAAGAAGGTGCACAAGAAGCTGGTGTATCCTTACTCGAGGTACTTGGCGAGGAGAAGCGCAATAAGGTACTGTCCTCATTGTACATTTGTCGATGCGACACTTCTGGTCTGGTTCGAACAGCAGCTGTCAATGTTTGGAAAGCTCTTGTGGCAAGTCCCCGTACTCTTAAGGAGCTTATTCCTACGCTCACACAACTCATCATTCGGCGGTTGGGAAGCTCCAACATGGAGCAGAAGGTTATTGCAGGTAATGCACTGGGTGAGCTGATCCGCAAAGCGGGCGATGGAGTTCTCTCAACCTTACTGCCTACTCTGGAGGATGGCCTGCAAACTTCTACGGATGCAGATGCTAAGCAAGGAATATGTATTGCACTACGTGAATTAATTTCATCGGCCTCCCCAGAGGCGCTGGAAGATCATGAGAAGACATTAATCTCGGTCGTCAGAGTTGCTTTGATAGATTCAGATGATGAAGTCCGGGAGGCAGCGGCTGAAGCCTTCGATTCTCTACAGCAAATCCTTGGCAAGAAAGCTGTCGACCAGGTCTTGCCATATCTCTTGAGCTTGCTTCGTACTGAAGGCGAGGCTGACAATGCTCTGTCTGCACTATTGACCTTATTGACCGAAACGACAAGATCAAACATCATCCTTCCTAACCTCATTCCCACCTTGACTACCTCGCCTATATCTTCATTCAATGCTAAAGCACTTGCCTCACTTTCTACTGTTGCAGGGCCGGCTATGGCAAGAAGACTACCTACTATATTGAATTCACTGATGGATAACATCATTGCTTCTAAGGAAGATGATCTCAAGGCAGATCTGGAGTCATCTTTCGACACGGTTGTCCAATCCATTGACGAATTTGATGGTCTCAACGTGGCTATGAATGTTCTCCTTGCATTGGTGAAGCATGATGATCATCGCAGAAGAGCAAACGTGGATTACCGTCTAGCAAAGTTCTTTGCTGCAGCTACAGTTGATTACTCTCGCTACAACCAGGATATTGTACGGGCACTGCTTGTTTCTTTTGACGATAGAGACCCAGAAGTAGTCAAGGCCGCCTGGACGGCACTTTCAGAGTTTACTAAACACTTGAAGAAGGAAGAAATGGAAGCACTTGTTTATTCGACAAGGCAGACTTTACAACATGTCGGTGTACCTGGATCTAACTTGCCTGGTTTCGGGCTACCCAAGGGTATTAACGCAATCCTGCCCATATTCTTGCAAGGTCTTATGAACGGTACTGCTGAGCAGCGTACTCAATCTGCTCTGGCTATATCCGACATAGTTGACCGTACCAGTGGAGATTCTTTGAAACCGTTTGTCACTCAAATTACTGGACCTCTTATTCGAGTCGTTTCTGAGAAATCTGTTGATGTTAAAGCTGCCATTCTTTTGACATTGAACGGTCTGTTGGAAAAGATCCCGACGTTCCTAAAACCCTTCCTTCCACAATTGCAACGTACATTTGCCAAGTCTTTGGCAGACACATCTAGCGAAGTCCTCAGAACTCGTGCTGCCAAAGCTTTGGGTACTTTGATTACTTTAACTCCAAGAATCGATCCCTTAATTGCCGAGTTGGTTACAGGTTCAAGGACTTCGGACTCCGGAGTCAGGAACGCTATGCTTAAGGCACTGTATGAAGTTATCAGTAAAGCTGGTGCTAATATGGGAGAAGCTTCGCGCAGCGCAGTGCTTTCGCTAATCGATACCGATGCAGAGGATAATGATGTGTCTATGGCCATCACTAACGCCAAACTCCTGGCAGCCTTGATCAAAAACCTTACGCCTGAGAACGCTTCAGGACTGATTAAGAACCGTGTCATGACAACCCATTTTACTCCTTCTACAGTTCTCGCTTTGAATGCTGTCCTTGTCGAAGCACCATCGTCATTGACGGAAACTGCCTTTGCTGATGATCTACCAGAAATCATCTGCCAAGGCATGTCAAGCAAAAATGTTAGTATGATTGTATTCATTTAAAGGTTTCAAGCTAATTCATTAAATAGGACTTTATCTCAGAGAATTGTATCCTCGCCGCAGGAAAATATCTCCTTGCTGAGACAGCCAACCATGAATTCGAGACGACAAAACCAATATTTGAATCATTAGCAAAGTTGATTCAACCAGGAAATACCGCCGATGCTCGTCGTCTATCACTTGTAGTGATTCGTACAATATGTCGCCACCAAGCCGAAGCAGTTCGACCACATCTTCCTATGCTCGCCACACCTGTATTTGCAGGTGTTCGAGATCCTATCATTCCCATCAAGCTAGCAGCAGAAGCAGCATTCCTCGCATTGTTCAATGTCGTTGAAGAAGAAAGTAAGATATTTGATAAATACATTGCAGCTCAAGAACTGCCACCGAACCAAAGGAGAAGCATGCAGGATTACTTCAAAAGAGTTGCATTAAGATTAGGTATTACGGCACGAGAGAGGAGGGAAGCTGAAGGTGGGCAAGGTGGACTGGGTCTTTCTAATGATGAGGTTGATGATGAAAAAGAGATCTCAAGTATTGGAAAGGTAGATCTGGGCGAAAAGGCTTTTGATGCATAAAGGAATGAGCTTATGACTTGATGTATGTTTGAATTCCGCATAATCATTGCATTGCCGAGAAAAAGTCGTTAGATAAAATTTTAGATTCAAGTTACTTTTACAAACTGTAGTCTTCTTAATTCTGTAGTGACCTATCAATTATCGTTCTCATCGTTCTGAAACTTAAGATCTTTTGTCTAGAGAAATAGATCCAGATGGAGGCGGCATCTTTAGTAATGCTTCATTTTGTTGGGATTGAAATGCTGTTGTATTGCAAAATAGGGCAAGGGATTCGGTAGTTGATTAGATTGTGTGAAAGGATTCGTGCTGAGATTGGAGATGTGGTTTATAGAGTAGAGTATAATTTCAATCGGGCGGGGAGCTTGAATAAATGGCTTCTCGTTACTTAACATGTTTGAGCTTCTAGATAAGTTCATGAAGAAAAGGAGGGCTTGGTTGGCAAGAACTGATTTATTAGGAGATCCAATATCCTCGTTATTGAGCTTGATTTATCACTTGGGGTATTCCAGAATGACAACTTTCTCTTTCATAATGGAACTCCTTGCATTCTACACATTTTGAAGATAAACTTTCCTCTCGCAAACCCTAGAGGGAAAAAGTTTCTTTTCTCCTTTGGGCTGTTGGTTAAATTCGAATTGATCTGTTTGATTTACCATTCATCATCCGCCCTTCACTCGTCCGTTTGTTCGTGATTCATCGTTCGTATATCTCCATTCGTACCAGCGTGATATCTGAAAGGTTCGGTCGTCATTGGTCCATTCATATTATCAGTAGAATGAGAGCATCGTGTATAGTATCAGTTTAGGGTACAATACAGATCGATCAGGAGAGATGTGAGAGTAGGTATTGAATGTTCACTATTTTTCGTGGTCATCCTGATAAGTTGAACAGTAAAAAGAGAAATCATGGACCAAAGCAGTGGCGCTATCCTCAAGCTCGAGTCCAGAAAAACAGGGCGATCCTTGGAAAAATGAGTAGCAGTAAAATTGAGACGTGAAGGGGTTAAGAATAGAACTCCTCAGTTGAAGGAGGTCAATAGGCACCAGCGAGTCCCATATTAAACTTGAACGATTCGAATGTTGCCGGAAGAGGTTCGCGAAATGAGGTTCACAAGCCAGATGATCGTGAGTCTACTGCGTATTCCCATGCAAACAGGTGATGGCAGACTTGATAATGACCGTTCCTATAATGTGGAGATAGACGAAGAGAGCGACAGCGACAGCAATTGCAGTGATCCAATTGTCTCCGAAGACTTGGAATGTCATTGCGGCCGATGGCTTTCGACTTGAATCAGAGCCAGCAAGCTTTCAAGCGATTGACTCCCAAAATAAGATTTCCATACTATGATTTCCAAGAATTCGCATGTCACGAAACCACACTCTTCTGAATAGAACGGGTTCTCGCAACATGCTTATCTATACAGGAGTTTCTCCCTGTGAGCTTTTAGTTTTGACTTATCTTTTACCCATTAATCAATACCTATCGTCTCTACATCGCATTTCTGGCTTTCCATATCGCCCTAACCGCTTTCTCTACGATGGATGAATGGTATCATGTGCAGAAATTCACGTACTACCGTGAAGCTTTTCATTGGCCTTCATGCTGCTGGGAAGATTCTTTCTCAAAATAAAGCCGCAGTCGTAATGCGTACTAAGACTAAAGAGGACGCCGAAATTAGCAACCTTAGGTTGTAAGGCATCATAAGAATTTTGAGCACGCACGGCCCCTCTCGCTTCGGTGAACTTAGGGTTTCCAAACTTTTCCACTATTTCGCGATTACCAAAACAGCAATCGACAATCGACAACACCGACGACCACCCACCGACGACCCCGAATTCAGTCAAGATGTAAGCCCATGCTGTTGCTATTATTTTCGTTCCACTCAATCGATCATTTATGATGGATTTGATGCTTTGCAAGCCATTCCAAGCGATACCGACAATATGACTTTAAATACATCCAAAAACATCAGAAGCTGACTCAATTTTGCACGATAGGGTCAATCTCACAACCCAGAAGCGCCTGGCGGCTTCCGTCGTCGGCTGCGGAAAGCGCAAGATCTGGCTCGACCCCAACGAGACCAGCGAAATCTCCAATGCCAACTCCCGTCAAACCATCCGCAAGCTCGTTTCCGATGGACTCATCATCCGCAAACCAGTCACCATGCACTCCCGCGCACGTGCTCGTGAGCTCACGGCTGCACGAAGAATTGGTAGACACCGTGGTTTCGGTAAGAGAAAGGGTACCGCAGACGCCCGTATGCCAAGGTACGACATTCGCCACTCCAATGAAAAACATCGACAAATCTACACATTTGCAAGATGAAATATGGGAGGGGATTGTTAGGCTAATATTTGTTTAGCCAGGTTGTTTGGATGCGCCGTCTTAGAGTCCTCAGACGTCTCTTGGTCAAGTACCGTGCCAGCGGCAAGATCGACAAACACCTTTACCACGAACTTTACCACTTGAGCAAGGGTAACACCTTCAAGCACAAGCGTGCATTGGTCGAACACGTAAGTATCATGTTAATTCATGTTTATTTACAGAAATTTTGAGACTGACAGAACACAACAGATTCACAGAGCTAAGGCCGAGAAGGCACGTGAAAGACTCCTTAAGGAGGAGATGGACGCCAAGCGTGCGAAGACCAAGGCCGCCCGCGAGAGAAAGGCAGAGAGAAACCAAGCCAAGAAGGCTGCCCAGTTCGGCGAGGAAGAGGAGACCGAGACAAAGTAAAGGGTTGGGCTTTTGTGGTGGTAGCATTTGGAGTGTATCTGGCAAGGTTTATAATACAGGCCAGTTGCTTTCGATGTCATCTGGCATCCAGCATTATCGCACGGGCAATGGTATCATGATCTTTCACTCTCAAGAGTCTTTGGTGTTCAATGGTTTTCTGCAATTAAAACGTGTAAAGATACCTCTTTTTCATATCATGATCACCTTGGTGATAACTTCGATTCATCCAGCATAATGTCATTCCTGCAATCCAACTCGTGGTTTCTATATTTGGGTCATCTTTCCAGTTTCCTTCATTTCCCTCGCCAATTGAAATGCATCTTTCAATCTTCCCAAATCCCTAGATTCTCCTTTCGTATCTGCCTTTCCATTCTACGGAAGTCTCTTGACCTCGACTTATTGATTCTGGATATATCCACGGTATCCTGATCGCGGATAATAGCAGTACGTCACAATATTTAAGAACAAGTGACGGACAATTGGAGGTACCTAGACTTGAAGAACATGATATCGGAAGGCAGTCCATAGTAGGGAACACAGTCACTTCCAGGTAGGTATTGATAGCAACAACAAGCTCAGTGAATCAAATAAATACATTCGATTGATCCATACCAATATGAGTGCTCTATGTTAGCTAGTGAGATGCCATTGTGAAAAGGTTCGTTGGCTATCAATAATTACTATTCATTTAGTTATCAAGAAAAATAAATAATATGTAACTGCAGTAGATCAGATTGGCGTGGATTTATAAGCTCCGATGCTTAACCGGATAAGATGCTAGCTTATTTCCTATGGCGGGGGCGTGGTAATCGTTCGAGTGCAATTAACAAACAAAGCTCTACTTTTAGTGCAAGCAATTGCTGGTAGTTGAGTGGTATGTTTTGAGATTAATCATGAAAATACTGCATTGCTAATTGAAGCATAGAAAATCATGTCGCTCTTTAAAGGAGCCTCAAGAACTGTGTTCAGAGCTACTGCTGCGCAAAGAGCAGCAACTTCAATATGTGGCACGAGAACAGCGGCGACTAGCAGTCGAATGACTATAGAAAGCCAACAAAAGGTTTGTTTCTGGTTAATTGGTCTTTACAATAGCAAAGTTAATTCTGTTCGTAATAGCTACTCTCAGCAAACCTTGAACACGCAGATCCAGCAGTCTTCAGTATTCTCCAAAATGTATGATTTCCCCTCACTGGATCCTCTATCGATGATAAAAAGGACTAAACCATCTTGTACAGGAGAAAAGAAGGCAGAAGCACTTCATTAACCTTATTCCTTCCGAAAACTTCACATCACAAGCTGTTTTGGATGCATTGGGAAGTGTTATGCAAAGTACGTTAGGTTACGATAGAGGAATGAGCCAATATTGACTTTCTGACAGATAAATATTCCGAAGGATACCCGGGTGCAAGATATTATGGAGGAAACGAATTTATTGATGAATCCGAAAGATTATGCCAATCCCGCGCTCTACAGACTTTTGGATTGAAGGAATCAGAATGGGGAGTTAATGTTCAACGTAGGTCTTTCATTTGATATGGGTGTGTTCTTTGCTCATAAATTGTTTAGCATTATCCGGCTCTCCAGCAAATCTCTACGCATACTCCGCTCTCGCAAACACTCATGACAGAATAATGGGATTAGATTTACCTCATGGTGGCCATCTTTCTCATGGATACCAAACTCCTACGAAAAAAATATCGGCTATTTCAAAATACTTCGAAACTTTACCGTATAGATTGGACGAAAGCACAGGACTTATTGATTACGCCAAATTGGAGGAGCTTGCAACATTATATAGACCAAAAATTATTGTTGCCGGTACCTCAGCGTATAGCAGACTCATCGAGTATGAGCGTATGCGTGAGATTGCTGACAAAGTTGGGGCATATCTGTTGGCTGATATGGCACATATTTCGGGTCTCGTTGCGGCAAAAGTCGTTCCTAGTCCTTTCGATTATGCAGATGTCGTCACCACTACCACACATAAATCACTCAGGGGTCCTCGAGGTGCTATGATTTTCTTTAGAAAGGGAGTCAGAAGAGTCAATCCAAAAACAAAGGAAGAAGAGATGTGGAATCTTGAAGATCCAATTAATGCATCAGTCTTCCCGGGACATCAAGGAGGTCCCCATAACCATACTATCACTGCATTGGCAGTTGCACTGAAACAGGCACAAAGTGTTGAATTCAGAGCTTACCAAGAAGCAGTTTTACTAAACGCAAAAGCATTCGCAAAGCGTCTGGGTGACTCAAAAGATAAAGGAGGTCTCGGCTACTCCATTGTATCGGGAGGTACAGATAACCATCTTGTACTCATTGACTTGAAACCTCAAGGAGTTGATGGTGCCCGAGTTGAACGTGTTCTCGAACTCGTTGGAGTAGCATCCAACAAGAATACCGTTCCGGGAGACAAATCCGCGCTTAAGCCTGGTGGACTAAGAATGGGTACACCAGCTATGACTACTCGTGGTTTTCAACCTGATGACTTCGTCCGTGTTGCCGATGTTGTAAATAGAGCCGTCACCATAACTCAACGATTAGACAAAACTGCAAAGGAGGCTGCAGAAGCAAAGGGAAGAAAGAACCCTGGTAGTGTAAAGGCTTTCTTGGAGTATCTTGGCGATGGTGAAAATGAGAGGGAGATTGTACAGTTGAGAAGTGAAGTTGAGGAGTGGGTTGGCACTTTCTCATTACCATGGGAGGAAAGTAGCTAGAGAGGAAGACACCGAATGAATTTTAATGGGATATGCAGCAACGGCTTTTGGGCAATCTGATCTTAGGATAGGAAGTGCTATGGCGGCTTGCATTGTGAATGATAATATTATACATGGGTTTGATCTCAACTCTATACCATTTTTAATAAAGGTTGAACTTTCATCTATGAGATTGTGAATGAATGATCTTTTGTCAGCACTTTCAGATTTTACATCACCGGGGAATTTTGGCGGCAATGGTGCTCTGATATATAAGACAATTCCCCCAACTCACAACACCATGCAAAGCCATAGTCAGATAACATAACAAATGTATAAACCTCAAACCACGTGAAATTCTCAAAAGAAATAAAAGAATACTTATTGCATATGTCGTAAAACCGAACATCATCATCATCATCCAATCCAGCAGCCGCGATTTCCAAAAACCGTCCGACGCACAGACCAATTTCGCGAATCTTGAAGTTCGACGTCTCCAAGTCTCATCATATAGGTTGTTTAGTATCCACTCTCAAAGCCTCAACCTCAGTCGTGAAATCCCAATCGCATACCAATCATGGCATCACAAGCCGCGGCAAAAGTCGCTCAAGCTGCTAATCGTGTTGTTCCTGTTAATAAGGTATGATGTTTAATCTCCTTCCTCTCCTTCTCCCCCATATCCCATCCTCTCCTGCCCTCAATCGCCCCAGCTCATCACGCCATATATATATACATCCTAACCCGCTCACTTACACAGAAATACACCGTCCAAAGCACCGGCATCTGGGAAACCATCCGTCGCGTCTTCGCCGTCGATCCCACCCGCTCTAACGGTGTCCCCCTCAACCCACAATTCCGTAATCCCCCTCCCGGATCCAACGAACCTTTTTCTTTCATCGACCCGGTTACGTTCCCGGCGGGCGATATTGCTGAAAATCCTTACTGGAAGAGAGATTCAAGGAGGAGTTATCCACAGTTGAGTTTTGTGAAGCAGGGGGATGTGGTGGGTTTGTTGAGTGTGGGGAGTGAGGCGAGTCCGAGGAAGGAGTTGATTGGAGAGGAGGGCGGGAAGGAGTTGGTTAGAGTTGCGGAGGTGGGGGAGAGGGGTTTGGCGGCTTTCTTTGAGGGGGGTGATCGTGAGGGGAAGGCTGCGTTGGAGGTTTTTGGGAAGGGGGGGTTGCCTCCTACGCCTAGTGGGCTTAGTTTGAGGGAGGGCGCGGATAAATATAATTTGACGGAGGAGAATGCTTATCCTGAGCAGTAAGTTGCTTTTTCTTTTTTCGGGGGTTGCATTCGATTTGCTTTTCGGCTTTTGGTAATACAATATTTGTACATGATAGCTAACTGAACTAGATATCCATGCCGGACTTTCAAGTAAAGGGTCTTCAGTCTTTCGTCTTTATCTGAAGAACGGTAGGTAGAAGAGAGGCAGGAAAACTTGTACATACGCTTATGCAGAAATGGTGGAATAGAAGTTGGGGAACTTACATGGCATCGTTGCATGGCACGTTATTCTCATTGCAATACAATGCTCCGCGTGCTTGGCTCATGAAAGCAGTCAACCTCATTATGGATGGATTTGTGAAGAAATTTCACGGGAGACATCAAGCTCATGCTCAATTATAGCCGCGGAAATGAAACACGGCTTATGAAAGATTAAGTGTTACAGTTTACAATTTACGTGGGTACATACTTGACTCGAGAATCTGAACGGAGTAGTGCCAATATCTAATATCTGCTATGAATCTGTGATGTTGATATTATATTCTTTCCAATTCCTCACAGTGAGCTAGAGAACGGAGAGATTTAGCATGTATTTCCTCGTGTCTACCTTCCTTATGTCCGCCCTAGTAACTTGGAAATATACCAGACTATGAATATAAGTATGCAGGTACTTTCTATTATAACATTAGAATATGATACTTGCAGTTGGTGGGCCCATGAGACTGGAAGTTTCTCAAAGGTCATGCATCTTATTAGTCCCGGCTAAACAAAATTGTGCAGGGTGAGTTGAGGCGGTCGAGGCTGCTAGAATGAAATGATGGGAATCGCTATATATGTCGCAGCTAAACTACGATCGTAAGTCCGATCTGAGCATGGAAGAAGTGCAAGACATGGTCATCTTTTTAGAAAAATTATTGGTACAGAAGGAGTGTGATAACTTTTGTCGGTCTTATGGTTGCTTGTTAGTAGGAGGGTGATCGCCGAGTCCATTTAAGTCAGATATCGAGCCCATAGACTCGGAACAGCTGGCTTTACTGTGTTCCAGCGCAACGTCGTGGATCTAGAGCGTGGGCCTTGTTATGGGGAAAGGGGATGAACTTTGGTTGGCACTGTGGTTGCCGATACACATCCATGTAAATGTAGCCGCCCATCGCTTTGGCAAGCAAGAAAATTCATAGGCAATTGCGGCCACAATAACAGTAGGCCGCAAATTAGCACCTCGAGGTCTATGTTTCTGCGTCACAGGATAGGGGTGCCACGCATAGAAGAATGGTTGCCGACACGATGTACTTCAAACGGTGCATTCAGAGTATTTGAACCATCCAATAGATTGAATCGCAGCCAGTCCCTGCTAAGCAGATATCAGAACAATCTGCAAGCAATCATACAAAGGACTCCAAGCAATAACCACATGGTTTCTCGAATGCAATAGAAGTCGGAACTAGATCGCCAAATCACCTAATGTACAATGTACAATGAATAGGCTTCCACATGTCATTCACAAACTGAAGGACACTAACGTAAAGAGAGAAGGCATCTACTTTTCCAAGCAAAGCAGCTCTCAAACTACCTTTACCTACGCCCTGCACAGCCTCTTAGTCCATTACTTGATTTTGATAGATAGAAATCTGTAAGTTCCCAAACACCCAGAAGATGTCCGAAGAGATCCTGCTGAGATTTCCTTTCCGATGTGATCTTCAATGGGGTTCTAGGTACTGGTGATTCATTTTGCACTTCATGACACAAGGGCGTTGGTGTCGTCATAACTAGTATTCTTTGTCGCAGCGGACATACTCGAAATACTGTAGATCTATTGGGGCAGAGAAGCGAGGTTGAACAACACAAGCCCGGGGGTGACTGACGATTTAGAAGTCGTCTTGTAGGAGTGATAGTATACTTTAGCGAAATTATCATTATCCACTTGCCCAAACGCCTCCTCCGGAAACACCCACATGCCAATCGCCGTCATATCATCTCGGTCCACCTTCACATGCTCCTCTCGAAACCGTGATTCATCGAACCGCTCATTCCGAGGCGGCTGTGGATGCCCAAAAAGCTTGGCCCAGTAATCCACCGCAGCCTTAAAATGTTCATTCTCAGTCTGTCGGTTGGATTCAATCACTTGGTGCAACCTGAGTCTTTCTTCTGTATGCCGAACATGTCCCATTGATTCCACTGGAGCTATCTCGGAGGATACGCAAACATAGACACGGAAAGGAACGACATGCCTCACACCTAGGGCTTCCTCGATCACCTTCCAGCTATGGTAGTATCGGCGTGGATCCTTGATAAATGGCATCCTACTTGTATCTGGTTTTATGGGTCTAGGGTCATTCTCGAGCCACTCAAAATCGAGATAGGATATACCCAGTGTTATCATAGGAGGCAGCATCGGTAGGGTTTCCATCCATTGAACCATCGTGACGGGCCTCTCGAATATTGTTGGACCGTAGACCCGTGTTTTAGAATAAATTCTTTGAACACACCACAACGTCCGAAGTTTTGTGCTAAGGATATCAATGAGAGATGCTTGGGCTGTGGGATGGCTTAAGACTAATTTCCCTGAACTTCCATGGCTCATGCTACCATCATTATTCCGCATTCCGTAACTTCCAACGCTTCCTGTAAAGGGTTGCTCGTCTGGAAATAGATAATTTCCTTGTATGGCCACGTGCATGAGACCCTGATCTTTCGGATCGTACGCTCTGATATCATGGAATATAGCAGCGAGCAAGTTGATGTCGCAGATGTCGTAGCCAGCGGTGAGATAGACGACATCGTCGTCAGGACTGACCCGAATGTGACTGTCTCCTGCGAGAGGTAGACGAATACGGAAGTGGCCCAGCGCCACCCATCTGGACTCTTTGGTGGTCGAGAAAACCGGACTTATCGTGTGATTCGCGTCAGACTCATTGATCGCGAGCTCATAATAGCTACCGCTAATAATATTGCCCATATGGTTATGAGTAGAGTACAATTGAGATTTGTTTGTCGTGCATCTCGGTTTGATCTACAGTTGTGAGGTTGATGCGAATTGGGATGAAGCGACGTCGTGGTTGAAGTGCCAGTGACCAGATACGTAGACGAATTTCCTTGGGAAGAATGGGAAATTGATGAAATGACTCGGTTTTACTTGAAGATTCATTCTGCGTAGATGAGGCAAAGTATACATCATTGAATAATCCGGGCATGTCTGCTTCATCCAGTGGTGATGGCTTCTTCATTCAAAAGCTTGTGGATCGTAGAGGTGATTGAAGGGCAGGATTTTGATTCAATGAGCTGCAGAATATGAGAGCGATGCTATACCTTTTATACCTTTGAAAAGTAGTCGAGATGAGTACCAAGCTATCTGTATCCTCGGCCAGGCTGTGCCACTTTAGATAAATGCGGCCGTTATTATAACGAATGATTCCAAGGGTTATAATACAAAAGGTCCCCAGAGTTCCAAGGTTATGATTATACAAAGCATAATTAATACCAGGACTGGCTTTCCAATGTAAAGGCCGTATTCCTAGTTACAATACAAAAGGGCCACCAAAGTTCCAACAGTTGGGCCAGCACTGCCCAGCTATAAAGATAAGCACGAGGGAACATTAGCCCTAAGATTATCAAACGGTTTGATTGGCTAGACAATCCACGGGTGGTGTTCCTCGTTCTAGTTAGAACAACATCATTCCATTAACTTTACATCAATCCAATCCTCTTGACTTTTTGTTGGTATCACTCCGGTGATACTACTCGCATAGTACTATTATAGTATGTGCTGATTCTTGATTGTCATTAATAACTATATAATCTATATATTTTGAAGAGATAGGGGCTAGGGCTCGCTTGTTGTACGCCTTCTTTCTTATATAGTAATTATATAATATACTAATACTTTTATGTTAAAAAGAAAGAAAAGTTATTTCTACAAGTCAATATTAATACAGGAGTATTATAATGTTTATATTACATCTGATATTATAATAATAAAAAATTTAATTATAATAATTTTTAAATAAAAATTAAAAATATAATTAATAAAAGTAAGTTTTATATTTCGATGAATTCTTAACTAAATTAATTTATTATTGAGTATTTGATTATAATAAACTTTTATTATTATTAATTTTTATAATATTATAATTCTTTATAATTCTTTATAATCTTTTAAATATTATTTTTTAATATAAAAATATTTTAAAGATATTTTAATTCTTTTAATAAAAGATGTTAATGATTTTTAAATTTGTTTCATTTTATTTTTATTTTTAATATTATATATAATTTGATAATTGATCTTTTTATATATATATTTTTTAATTAATTCTTTTTAATAATTTTTTTTAAAAAAAGATATTATATCCTAGATTAAATATTCAGATAATTAAAGATGAAATTAAGAAGTTTAACTTGAATGAAATTTTAAGTTTTTTTCTTTTTCTTTAAGACCAACTCAACAAATGAACTTAATAAATAATTAGATAGATAATTCAACTCAAGTAATCTATCCAAGTCAAATTCAATCAAATCAAATCAAGTCATATCAAATTCAATGAAATCATGTCAAAATCATATCCTTCCATTTCAGACTTTTTAACTATCCATCCATCCATTCCTCCATCAATCAATCATCCATCCATCATTCGCCTGCTTTGCATTACATTTTACATTGCATTGCGTTCATTGCCTGCCTTTCTTTCTTTTGATACCATTTGAAAAACCAAAATCAAAAATCAAAACCCAAATTCCAAATTCAAATTCCAAAAAAAGATCGATAAAAGGAAAATACACGCAGAGGATAAAAGAAACAGAGTAAGCGCCATATCAATTTGTGTACTAAAAACCCAAGAAAAACAAAACTCAAGTCGAAGTCTCAGTAGTTAGAGCTTCAGTAGCTTTAGTCTCAGAATCATTGCTATCGAGTTTCTCAGCTGTATCGGCTACATCTGCTGCTACATTTGCTTTGGCAATGTCTTCTTTGGAGGCGGATGAGTTGGTACCGTTGATACCATTTGTTTCTGGGGCTGTTGATTCCTCGGATTTCTTTTCTTCTTCTTCTTTCTCGGGTTTAGCTTCGGTTGTTTCTTCTGCTACTGCTTTTTCGGTTTCCTTTTCAGTCTCTCCCTCGGTGACTTCAGGAGCAGCTTCAGCTTCAACTTCCTCTTCTTCTTCCTTTCCCTCAGACGCGCCAATTAATTTCTTCACTACCTCAAGTGTACCTGTTGGGCTACCAGGTTGAGCTGCTAAGATCTTTCCCGATTTATCAATGATGAATACACCTCTAGTAGTACTACTTCCCTTCTTTAATCCAATTGCACTAATAAGAGAAGTACTTGTATCGCAAAGAAGTGTATAGGGAAGTTTTTGCTTGGTTTTGAAAGTGGTATTTGCTTTAGGACTATCTTTTGAAAGGCCATAGATGGAGTAGCCGGTTGTAGATAGAGAAGTGTGGGAGTCGCGGAAGGCACAGACTTGGGTTGTACCTGTTATTTATGAGTTAGTTGATGTGAAGAATAAAATGGGGGAAATTATCACTGTCATTGACATTGGATTGTGCAAGTAAAGATAGGTAAGTAACTTACATCCTGGTGTAGAAGCTTTAGGATAAGTAAAAAGAACGACACCATTCTTACTTGTATCAACAAGTTTCTTGAGTGTAGTCTTTTCACCATCATTTGTTTCAATTTCTCCACCGAATCCTTCAAGATCGATGGTTTCACCAACCTCAACCTTTGTTGCTGCTGCTGTTGTTGTTGCGACTTTGGCGGGAGCAGCAACAGGTTCAGGAACGGTTTCAGGAGCTACAATTGGAGCTTCAGCAGGAGCTTCAGCTGGAGCTTCAACTGGTTCTTCAGCAGGAGCCTCAGCCTTAGATTTAGATTTAGATTTAGCCTTGGATCCATTTGCTTTTGGAGCTGGTGGTGCTGGTTCAGTCTTTGATGGCTTAGTAGCTTTAGGTTCAACAGCTTTCTTAACCGTTTCCTTAACTTTCGCGACGGTCTTTGCGACACCCGACTTCTTTTTTGCAGGAGGAGCTGCAGTTGGTGGTTCAGCTGGTGCTGGACGTTTTCTTAATGTGACGGGCATGATTGAGTGTTGTGAGTGAGCTTTATTTGATGGAAAATGGAGGTATTGAAGATTGTTGTTGTTTGATGAGGTTGATTGTCGCAATTGATGGGTTGCGATAGAGAGAAGTGAGTGATCTTTATCGAGGTAGCAGCACCACACGGATCAATGGGAGATGGATGATTGAATGGAAGACCGAAGATAAGAGGGCACGAGATAATTTTCTTTCAAGAAAAGAATGAGATGAAAAAAGTGAAGTGTTAAAATATGAAGGAAATGCTAGATTTTAAGCTGAGCGAGTGATCAATCAAGCAAGCAGGCAATCAATTATTCAATCAATCAATCGATCAATCAATCGTGGAATAATCTCCTCACTCTTTCTCCAGCCACGGGCTCTGGTTACCTTTCGTACCGTGCCAAACAAACAAGGTCAGGGGAATGAATGGTTACTCCGTATTTTTGATGCACTGCAGTTTTGGTATATGATCCGCTGTCGGCCGCTTCAGATATTTTGGGGGCTACTGGCACATTGACATTGGCAGAGTCGGTATCTTGGAGTCTAAAGATGGGCTGGCAAATAGGATGGTGATCCATGAATTGAGTACTGTAGCTCAAAACAGTGCAGCGCGAGAATCAGCAAGGTCGGGGAAGGGGAAGGGGAAGTTGTGGGAGCAGAGTAAGAATTGTGGATTAGGAGGTTGTTGATTGGTTGTGGTATAAGATTCTTCTGGGAGGTGAGCAGAGGAGAGCTGTCGCTGGTATAAATCTGGAAATGGCCTACTTACATAGATAGACTCGGTATATGTAGAATCTGTGTAGTAAGACTTATTGTCTGCATCGGTGGTCTTTTACTCGTTGTTCCATTTTTAGATGATGAAATGAATGTATCCAGGAATCCCCAAGGCTCAAACGAACCCCAAGACCAAGACCAAGACCAAGACCAAGACCAAGACCAAGACCAACTCCGCAAGACTGAACCCCCCAAGACAGCCTAGATGAAGCGTAACGGGAGCCCCGCAGTGGCTATTATAGCTTATAGCGTATAGCTTATAGCGTATAGCTTATAGCTTATAGCGTATAGCTTATAGCTTATAAGGAACAAAGTACACACGACACACGACACACGACACACGACACACGACACACGACAAGCAAAGTTTTAGGGGGTTGAGTTCTAATAGTATCTAGCTAGTGCAGCGTAGAGTTTCCCTTTGAATAAAGCTTTTCCAGGAAAAAGAGCTATGCTATGTATGGTATTTGCACTGACAGCAATTGCGTCCTCCGTCTGTGAAAAGCACTCGGATGATATCCCGAGTTTGTTCCACATATTTTCTCATCTAGCCAAGAGGCTGGAAGGAAACTTTAATGTTGGAAATCGAGACTTGGTGGAAAGTGGAGGAGGTGTATTATTATTACTCGAGTGCGTTGGATCCTTTGGCAATAATTCCATATGATTTACCCGTCCTGCGTGTGTCTTGGATGATGATAATGGGTGATGGTTCAAATGATGTAAGTTGATTCATGAATTCATTGATTCATAGTCCATCACTTCATCAATTCCATCAATTCCCCAAGACAAATGAAATGATGAACCATTCAAATCCTTTCTACAATTGTCTAGAAATCTCTCTCCTTCTCTCTTATTAAGAATAAGAAGATGATACAAATACCATTCGTCCGGCTATCTATCGGAGAGACAGAAGATCTTTTCAGAATTTCCTACAGAAGAAGGTCCTTACTTATCAACAAATCAAATCATCGGTGAAAAGGGTAAGCAAAACACCGAAGACCATTTTGGAGGCGAAAATTTGGGATTTTGGCCATTTTCACAAGCCAAAAAATATTCCCATGTTCCCACTCCACCCTTGAGACAAAAACCGAATTGGATCCGACCCTTTATCTTTTTAACGAAAAAGATTCCTGTCTTACTAATTTGGTACTTCTTATATCTTTCTTGCCTCCCCCTCTTGATGACTACTATACTATTACTACTACCACTACCACTACCTCCTACTTTTCGTAATCATATCATCATAGTATCATAGATTGTTCATGATACAATAAACACAGTGCAACCAAATCAGACTGCATTTATAGACTCAAATCTCTCTCAATCAACTAATTACTCATCCTTCCACTGCAACATCAACGCCCCCACGATCATAAAAGAAGGGTCCAAAAACTACTTCTTCCACAAACAAACGACGAGCACACGATCAAAAATGAAGGTCTTTTCTAGCGATTGCAAATTCGATTATTCATGGGAAGAGGTGTCGACTGCAAATTGGAGAAAATATTGTCCATGGAATGAAAAATCCACTCATGTTATTGCTGTTGATACATTATCGCGACATGTAGATGCTGAGACTGGAATTGTATGTTATTTTCATGACTCTCTCTCCTCATTCTATTTCTATACGTGAAACAATGCTAACACACCTCAAGCTTCGAACAGAACGTTTAATAACCTGCAAACAATCCGCCCCAAAATGGCTTCAATCGCTCATGGGAGGCAAAGATACATCTCACGTTTTCGAAACCTCATATGTTGATCTGGTTACTAAAAAAGTAACCATGACATCTACCAATCTTACTTTTTCAAACATAATCAATGTACAAGAAACGGTGGTTTATAAACCTTTGTCGGCAAATTCAACTCAATTTGTACAAACGGCTCAGATAACGGCGTTATGTGGTGGATGGCAAAAAGTGAAGAATGCAGTTGAGGACGCAACCGTTACGGCTTTTTCAGAGAATGCGAGGAAGGGGAAGGAAGGTTTTGAGGCCGTGTTGGCTATGAGTAGGAGGGTTTTTAGTGAGGAGAAAATGAGACAACAACAGGCGGCTACTGTTGTATGAGGGTTTTACTTTTGAAGGGTTTCAATCTTCTTCAGGATACTTCATTTCAGTCTGATATTATCGAAAGATCCTTCTGGGAGTACTCAAGATGATATCGACTCGATCAATCCTCTTCCTCTCCACTTCCATCCTCCCCGCTCGATTCATTCCTACAGTCCGCAATTAACGAATCCACACACAACATCACACGGCATCACATAACATCAGGACGCATCAACAGGAGTTTGGATTCAAAACATCAATTTTCACAGGTCCGGTATACAAAAAAGTCTACGTTGGAGTTTCTCATGGTTTTCTGGTCTATTTTCAGCGTGGCGTTAAAAAGGGTTTCTAGAAATAGAGATAGATGGGGTTTGGGTGGATTTGACTTCTATTTACAAAAACTTTGGTCTCTGTGATGAGAACAAATATATATTATTATTGCGTTTGATGTCTAAAGACCCTCTTCTTCCTCAACGCTGTTGTGGGTTTTTGTTACAATACAGATACCCCCCTTTTTTATTCTTTGGTTTGATTTGATTTGACTTTGACTTTGATTTTGGTTTTGATTTTGAAGGGTTGAAGGGCTTGAAGAGTGGATTGGAGGATAGATGGGTGATGGAATTAGTCAAGGTTCGCGGTTGGAGTGTGTGCTTAGCTGAGGTTAGATGAAGTACCTAGGTAGTTGTTGGTTGACAAAATGAGGGTGAAGGAAAGGAGGAGGAGAAGGAGGAGAAGGAGAAGGAGGAAAATACTAGATTTTACCACATTATATGAAATGAATGAAATGGATGAAATATGAAATACAAAACCTAGATAATTATCTTCATGTGCTCTTTTCTATATCAATACCTATCTAGGTAGTGGAATATTAATAGTAAAAGTAATAGAGAATAGATATATAAGTATCCAAGCCAAGAGTAGGTATAATTTGTTTTTGGGCTTCTTGTCCTTTCAGGACCTTTCTACCTCTTCTATCCATTCATCCATTTATCCATCCATCCATTCCCTTCCTCTCCCATCCATCATTTCTTTGCTCTCGATTTCCATTGCTGACTGGTATTATGAGATTACACGCAGGAGGCCTCAAGGAATAGGGAAATGTGGGTTTAGTGGTTACTCTACCATCATTTGCTGAAATTACTTCTGTAGAATTCCTTCCTTCTATCTATCTATCTATCTATCTATTCACTAATCAATCTCCTCTCCTCTCCTCTCCTCTTTGTATATACATATACACACTTTTAGATTGATCGATCGTACGTAGGCTATACTCTGATGGTATGATGTCGATTACTCCGTAATTAGAAGTATTTTGTGATCTTATGTTGTTTGGCAGTTTAGCTGTTTGACGGGTTGGCACTGTGACTTTGACTGTGACTGTGACATATATCCCCGTTCTTCTTATTTCATTCCTTGAGTTGGAATGTGGGAGTATGGGGATGGGATAGGATTGCGAGTATGGGGTCGATAGGGTAGTGATGCTTGAGACCTAGGTTGTAAAATGAAGAAGGATGTTGTTTCGATGGTGGTTTCGAGTAGAAGCGTGTGGATGTTGGAAGGACTCTAATGTAAGCTTAAGCTTCTCGGTTGAGTTGTGACGGGAGATCTCCTCTTGATCAGGAAGGAGGGTTAGGAGAGGAAGAGAGTTTCTGGCTCCTTCCGTTTCTCTTTGCCTTACTGTGCTTTCCAAACGTGTTCGGAATCAGGATTGGAAATATAACGAATGATCGAAGGTCGCCGCCTCCATATATCATCCTTTCCGACATGCTCAGTCTGTCATGTCAATCATCAATATTCCTTTGAGACCGTTATCTTTATTCAACGACTCACTACCTCCGTCTTCCCCTCATTATTCTCGCCATCTGACCTCTTCTCCTCCTTCCTATGTTTCCCCCCTTCACTCTCCTTCCCCTCCCTTAACCTCCCCTCACACCTCCTCCCATACTTTTCCACCGTCCCCCTAAAATCCTCCATCAAATCTTCCTGTCTCAATACTCCCTCCACCAACCTCAACGCTTCCCTATACCTCCTATAAAAATATAATTCTTCAACCGCATATAAAAACTGTGCTGTTTGTGGTTTACTGCGTGGATTTAGAGGAAGAGGTGGGAGAGTTTTATGAATCTATTGGTGGCGCGAGTGTTAGTTACCTACTTTTATTCAGTTTAGATTAGGGAGTTTTGGGGCGTGGTTCAAGACATGTATTCTTATTTGGAGATTAAAGGCGAAGAGATGGATTGCGGGGTTCAAGAAAGAGGGGATGGGAAAGGAGAGAGGACTGAAGACATACCTCACCACATTCAATCCTAGCTCTCCATTCACGTTTTACAGTCTGGAAAGACTCTTCGGATTGGAAATCACGGGGGACTTTTTGAGTGGTATCGCCCACAGAGTCAGAGTCGGTCGAGGAATCGCATTCGATTGCAAAGAGAGGGTTTTCTTCTGGAGTTTCTGACATTTTCTTTTTTTTGGATTTTGAGGCGGAATGCGGGGAGATATTGTGGGTGCAGGTGGTTGGTTGGGGTTGGTGATATATGGACTGAATAGGTGTAGTCCTTTTTACCTCCCGTACTCGGCGATAGTATGGAGATGTGAGGTGAAGCGATGGTATATGAGAGATGCTAGATAAATGATATACAGTAGAGGTGACGGTAAGATGAAAGCTACACTGTTAGGAGAAAGAATATTTTATTTCCTCAACCTTATCGATAAGAAATTTGATGTCACAATTACGCGTACCTGGGGCGGGGCATTGAGGGGTGAAAGTACTCGTCACATCGATGCATCTTGTCTCACCATGATACCCGTAATAATTCCATAGTAATTTTATATAATTACTCCACTCCTATTCTACCTCTGCTTGTACTTCATCACTCATTTTTATTTGTATTCAAGCTTTTGATGTTCAGACTTAGATTTGCAAAGGATTTGAGATACTAAACTTACATTAAGGTTACTGCAATTCTCAAAATGGACGATCAAGTAACGAGATTGACGGAGAAGGTTTGGGGTATATTACACGATTAACTTTCTATGTCAATGTTGCAGAGTTGAATAGAGAGCTAATCAACTGGTTTAGAGAATTTCCAATCTATACCTCCTAATGCAAGATATCTCGTCGCCGTATCCGGGATTCCTGGGTCAGGTATTTACATTTCTCCATCCCCTTCGCTTTCCTCATCACATATCTCCAAATAACACATCCTCTCAGGAAAAACCACCCTCGCAGCAACCGTAACTAAACGACTCAATGCCCTCCAAGAAAGCCATTCAAACAAGGCCTCTCTCTCCCCAATCGCCGGTTTCATCCCCATGGACGGCTACCACCTAACACGAGCCCAATTATCCGCCATGCCAGACCCAGCACACGCACACGCTCGACGAGGCGCGGAATTCACATTCGACGGCTCATCATTCCTATCTCTCATCCAGAAGGTCCGCGAACCTCTTACTTCCTCTACCATCACCATCCACGCTCCTTCCTTCGATCACGCGCTCAAGGATCCCAAAGCTAATGATATACCGATTGAACCTACAACGCGCATATTAGTTTTTGAGGGGAATTATTTATCGTTGGATAAGGAACCTTGGAGGAGCGCTGCGAAATTGATGGATCAGTTGTGGTTTGTGGATGTCGATTTTGAGGTTGCGAAGAAGAGGTTGATTCCGAGACATGTGAGGGCGGGGATTGCGGAGAATGAGGAGGAGGCGGAAAAGAGGGTTGTTGAGAATGATTTAATTAATGGGGAGGAGATTGTGAAGGGGAGGATGACGGTTCATGAGGTTATTGTTAGTACGGACGATGTAGCTTGGAAGTAGGTAGTTTGTGATTGAAAGAGTAAACACCATATTGTAGCTCGTGGCAGTCTGGAGAAGTAAAGAAAAAGTGATGTCTCACGTCTATCCATTCATGTTGAAAATGTAGCTGGTCTAACCTAGCCATGAATTCTTCACTACTTCTGCGTCTCTTAAGAGCCGTAGTACATCAGAGACTAAATAAAGACTGCCTGCAACAACGATAGGTCCACCTTGAGCAACAGTGGCAGCCCATCTTAATGCTCCAGAAATATCTGATTCCGAATCATGAAGACAAGTGGTAGAAATACCAGCTGTCGAGGCTGCATGTAAAATATCTTCAGTATCCATAGCTTGAACCCATGGCATTCCATCTACTGGTCCAAATTGAACTGCTGCTACACAATCCCCTTCTCTTAAGATCTCTTTCATTATTCCATCAAGTTCTTTCCCTTGAGAAGCTGCCAGTACCCATGTTACTTTATTTGATTTCGTTCGAAGTTTTCCATTGGCATATGAACCAAGAACTTCTGCAGATTGAACGTTGTGTGCGCCATCCAGTAGTATAGGCTCTTTTCGACCTGTCACAGCTCTAACATCAGTAGTTTGAAGCCTACCGGGCCAATGAATGTTTTTTATAGCTGGTAGGAGTCGATGTAGAGGAGATTCCAATTTCGTATATGCTAAGTGAAATGCAGTATATGCGCAAGCTAAATTCTCCAATTGATGTGGTTCGAGATCTTGGCCTTTAATTTCATCCAAAAATGCTGATTCTGTAGAACTGATGACCACATCCGTTCCGACTTCTTTGGCATAATTTGAGATGACTTCTCGTACAGAAGGTATATTGCTCCTATCCAAAACACAAGGAACGCCAGATCTCATAATTCCAGCTTTTTCTCGAGCTATTTCCTCGATTGTATTTCCTAGAAATGATTGATGATCCAAACCAAGCTTCGAGATTATAGTGACAGCTTTGTTCTCCATGGTATTTGTCGCATCCAATCTTCCTCCTAGACCAACTTCAATTACTCCCATCTCTATCTTCTCTTTATAAAATACTTCGAATGCCGTAGCCGTAAGTAATTCGAATTCAGATGCTTTGAGATTCTCTGCTTGATTTCTCTTTAGCACTAGAGCTTCAGCCTCGCGGAAGATGGTTTCTCGAATTGGTTGTTCGTCGATGGTAATGCAATCCCACCTGTCAATTAAATGAGGTGAAGTAAATCTGCCACAGCGAACACCACTGGCGTGTAGCATTGCAGATAGATAGGCACATATTGAACCTTTTCCATTGGTACCTGCGACATGAATGGCTTTCCACGGTTGAGGCGTATGCCTTAAAAGACGGCTGATGCGATTTAAACCAAGTTCAATCATTATGAGGATGGAGAATTGATTGACTGGTTGAAAAGCGCGTTTAATAACCTTAAGTCATTCAAGTAAAAATAGACATTGTTATTCATTGTTGTCATCGACTTATTGTTCTAGAATAGTAGGTACTAGGTAGACACTGCTTGTCATATCGTCAATGAGTCAACCTCAGTATCATCAATACTAGGTAGGTAAGGTTAATGATAAGATCCCAAAGCTTAAAGCTTCGACTGCCGAGTCTTCATATCAAAAAGGAAAAGGAAAAGAAAAAGAAAAAGAAAATCGGTCCCTCTGTTATCGATAAAGCCATTAATAAATAAAATATATGCAGGGTCACGACTCACGATTCACTGGATCCGATCCATTTCCTTTACTACTGTAGGTGTCTAGCGCGCTTTTCAGAGGCGTTTTACCGTATCCTCTTCTCTGCCAAAACACACATCAACTTCAATCACCAATGGTCATTTTTGAAAATCTATCAAAATTGTCATAGTAAATAATAAAATCACGGTCGCTAAGACTTATTATGCTCATCTATTAACTTCTTCTTCACTTTTATTCATTTTAAATCACTTGAAGCATGGGTTTACCGTAAGTTATCAGTTTCCTCCTTTACATTTCGCCTGTCGCATTTCGCAAAACTGTTCTAATTTTCGAGCCACAGTATATTCTTCGAACCTTCGGTGCCTGATTCGCCTTCAAAAGAAACAGAAAAGTCTACATCTGGCGCACGATCTGCTATTCGACGGCATCCTTTGCGTGGTAATCGACCTGTATATCATGCAAGGCGGAGGCGCGCGTATCTAGACAATTATGAACGAGACACTAATTCACTGGAGTTGTTTCAACATCTATATCAACAGCAATCCATCAGGCCTTCTGCTAGAGTTTCCATCACAACATCAACTAGAGATGCAATGAGAGAAGCGATGAGAGAGCATTCGTTGTCAGCAGTTCCTCCGAGTTTAAGCTTTGAGCGTCAATCAAGTAGAGGTGCGGAGGCAGATGGACCATTAATGCCTGCTGTTCCGGAATCGAGGGACTACCCTAATCCGCCAATTGGAGATCCACAAGGTCCTCCAAGAATCTTGCGAACAAGTGTGATTTCAATTTCACCATATCCCGAAACGGATACACATTCCGTGTCTCGACCGTCTGGAGATATGTCCACTTCTGAAGTTGATGATCGAAATATGGGCCCCAATGTAAGCTCACGCCTTCAAGTATCCTCACCTTAGTCACTAGGCGTTGTTGTATGTGGACCGCGGGTGGTCGTCCAAGATAATTTTTAACCGCTTTAATAGACTGGTCTAGCAGAAAGTGTTGACGGAATGGACGCACAAGATTCGTTGTCACGAAGAGATCACCTTGGACGGCATGCAAGACACGTAGTAAGGGAGCGATTTCGGGAGCTAGAAGAGCAAAGAAGTCTGGCCAGGGAGCGAGAGGAAGCAGAGCAAAGACGTTTAGTCAGGGAGCGAGAGGAAGCGGAGCGCGAACGGGAAGGAAGGCAGCGCGAACTTAACATCAGGCGACAGGAGCGAAGCATTCTTGACGAAGAGATGAGAGAGGGACGGCGAGTGGAACGCCGACTTGAAGAACGCCGTCTTGATGAAAATAGAGATCGACAGCGACTACATAACCGCGAAGTACGTCGTCTTAATGAGTTCAGAGAACAACTGCGCGTTGATAGGGAGCGATTACAGGATGATATAGAGCGATTGCGTAGCGAACGAGATCGACTGCAGAGCGGTACAGAACAAATTGAGGAAAGGCCATCCTCTGGCTCAGAAGCGCGACAGCAATCTGACACGTCGCTCGCTCGAAGAGAGCTCAGGGAACAGATGCGCGTTGATAGTGAGCGATTAGAGGCTGAAATAGAGCAATTGCGTAACGAACGAGACCGACTGCGGAGCGGGAGAGAACAAATTGAGGAGAGCCTATCCTCTAACTCTGAAGAGCGACAGCAAGCTGACACGTCGCTCGCTGGCAGAGAGCAAGTCCAGCGTTCCGATGCTCCTAGCACCGGAGAGCGAGAGCGACTGCTCGAGCAATTGGAAGTCGAGGCGTATGGACGAGGAGTTATGCAATCGGGGCTTGAGGAAGCCGATAGCTTCATAATTAATATTAATTACGACGGTCTCGGTGACCGAGAACGTAGCCATGACGAGTTTCAAGAGCCAGAGCCGGCTTATAGAGACATTGGTGGCCTTGAAGTCGTGGATAATGTTGAGCAACTGGAGCGACTCGACGCTGAAGGCCACGGATCATGGGATGGTCTTTTGATCACGCCCGATCCACAATCACCAAATCCATCATCTTCATTCGCGTCAACAGCTGCTTCTAGCTCACAAAGACCTTCTATGAGTACCTCTATTAGTAGCCTGCACGAAAGCCAGCCTCTTACGAATGGCGATTGTGATACTGCATTGGATTCGGAAACCGAAGATGAACTGGCTCAGCAAGGCCTTGAATGGTTCAGACGACCTAGGACAAATCGAACCCATGGTCGAGGGCTATGAATGCATCAAGCCAACCTTTGATGAATCTTAGTGAATCTTAGCATTGACAGGATTTTGTCCTAATTCGTCTAGCATCATGCAATGGTGTCTCAGATTGGTGAAATAGTTTAGAACTTTAGTTCTTCCAGACCTAGCAACATTCGCTCTCTGTGTCCATCGACTGAGGTTCCATTTTGGCTATTCTAAGGGCGAGGCTAATTCTCCAAAAGGAGATTCAGCATGAACATGCAAATTGATTTACCACAACTATGATACTAGATTGTATTATTATATTACTGGCGTCGGGCAAGCTGGTATAGGAAAATTTTCGCTTTCCATTGGTTCGGGTTATGATCAAACGAAAAGAAATATGGGTGCTGATCATTCACGGTTTTGATGATTGACACAACGGGAGTTTCAATTCAATCGAGGAGAATTGAATTTCAAAGCAAACAAAGGGTTTAATGAACAGTGGAAAGGCGTAGTTTTGGGGTTCAACCTGCGAAACAACTTGACCATAACGGTCTCTTGTTTCTAGTTTTCAATAGATGATACTCATCTACCTGGCAGGTAATCTGAAGAATTCAATGAGTGGATAACTTACAAAGGTATGAGAAGATTCGTGAGAAGGTATGCTGGTAATTTAGTCGAGGTGATTGATCATTCAAGCTCAATATGTACTATATATACATTGTTATTGTATGTAAACGTAATAGACTTGAAAAACATTAATGTTGTTTCAATCGATTTTCCAATTTAAAGTCAATCAAAAGAAAAACCCATGAGACAATGAAACAATATATTGAACACTGCCTAGGTACCTTATCAAAGTTATCAGTATTATCATATTCAAATCGTATATCGAATGTATCGAATATGATCTTCGACCATCAGCCTTATTAGGCACAACACAGGTTGTGATTTCCAGGATCCACCCATGTAGGCGCTTGTTTGCCAATTTTGTCAACTACACCACTATCCAATGTTAATTTCTCTTTTCCCATGCTCCATAACTCATGAGTTATAACCCATAACACACCATCCGCACCCATACCCATACCCATTCATACCCATACCCATACCCATACCCATACCCATACCCTTACTCAATACTTTCCACCATCACAACACACTTTTTATCTTGTAATGAATTTACAAACATTCATACCAAGGGCTTCAACGAAGAATGTTTATTATTCTCAAGGCGCAAACATCGAATCCAAAGCCAACATAATATCATCCAAACAGTGAATTTGTTCATCTCCACTCTCGCGTGCTATTTTCGACGTGAGTGAGGGCCAGGCCAGGATCCACCGATATCGACAACCTTGAATATAATCCTATAACCCCGCCAAATAATCATCGTGAAACAGGAACTTAGTCCACAAACCACGAAAAGCTCATGCTTCAATGAGATCCTCCATCTGCCAGAGAATTATACCTCGAACAGCTTCTCTCTCCACCCTTTAGACTCCCGCCTGGGTCATCCCACACCGACCATGGTCTCTTATCCGCCCTCCTCAGCCGACCGGCAAAGCAGTTCAAGATCGGCCGGTGCGAATGGGAGTGCGAAGTCAGAAAGGACTCCAGGGACACCGCGAAGAGAAAGGAAGGAAAAGGCTGTGCAGGATCCGGGCCTCAAAGACTACGTACATACCCGAGGTTTTCAAAAGAAATACACCTACTTATAAATATTCAGCGTTTAGGAGAATGTCTCGGGAAGGGAGCTTTTGGTTCGGTCTACAAGGCGTTCAATTGGGGTACAGGGGAAGCTGTGGCTGTGAAGCAAATCAAGCTGGGAGACCTTCCGAAGAGCGAATTGCGGATGATTGAGGTAAAAACCTATGCTGAGACGACTCAACCACGGACTAATATTATGCGCAGGCCGAAATAGATCTTCTCAAAAATCTGAATGTAGGTCTACATTGGAATGAGTGAGGGACCAAACCATTTGAGCTGACATTCTTAGCATGACAATATTGTCAAGTATCTTGGTTTCGTTAAGTCTTCTGATTGCTTGAACATAATTCTGGAGTAAGACATCTTGTGTTTTTGTTTCTTCACCACATTGTACTGACTATTGGCGAAGGTATTGTGAAAACGGTTCATTACACTCGATATGCAAAAGTTATGGGAAATTCCCCGAAAACCTGGTTGGCGTTTACATGGGACAAATTCTTCTAGGTCTACAATATCTTCACGATCAGGGTGTTATTCATAGGGACATAAAGGGCGCGAATATTTTAACAACTAAAGATGGCAAGGTTAAGCTTGCGGATTTTGGTGTGTCTACCAGCACTCTTGCTGGAGCAGATAAGGAAGCACAGGTCGTTGGGACGCCTTACTGGATGGCGCCTGAAATCATACAACTTTCCGGTGCAACTCCTGCGTCTGATATTTGGAGTTTGGGTTGCACAGTAATAGAACTGCTTGAGGGTAAGCCACCGTATCACAAATTGGCTCCCATGCCTGCCTTGTTTGCTATTGTCAATGATGACCACCCTCCTTTGCCTGAAGGAGTATCGCCAGTAGGTCGACATTCGCAACTCTTTCTGAAGGTAGCCTGAGCTAAACACTTTTTAGGCAGCAAGAGATTTTCTCATCCAATGTTTTCAAAAAGACCCAAACCTGCGAGTTTCTGCTCGGAAACTGTTGAAACATGCTTGGATTGTGGGCTCCCGGAGGACTGATGCTCCTGTTGCAAAGCCGCCGGCAAACTTCAATGAAGCGGTCGAAGAGGTAAAGCAGTGGAATGAAGCTCTGAAATCACCTGCAGCTGCCGGATCGTTTCGTACTTCTACAAGGTCGCAGCAGCTTGGCAGCCCTTTACCAGCCCGTCGAGACCCTCCTCTAAGAAGTATTCACAATGAGTCGCAAAGCAATAATATCATCACACCTCCCAAGGGCCGCCTCTCTATGTCAAAACCAAAAAGTTTGGCGAGTTCTTTTAGGTCTCCAGAAACTGCAGGTAAGCGAGTCCCACTAGGAAATTTCAAAAATTCCTTGTGGAAGCTGACTGTTGAAGCGGATGATAATTGGGATGATGATTTCGCCTCTTCTATTACTCCAAGCGCGCTTCAACTTCCGCATCTGAAACCTCATGACAATTTTGGGGGTCTACTTTCCGCCGATCGCCTCAAGTCTTTCGCATCGTTTGAGTTTGCAAATGATGAAGCTGATAATTGGGACAATAACTTTGAGGGTGATCTCGTAACGATCAAGGGCCCAAATACCCATGTCGAGACGGATGGCCATGAATTGGAGACCATTCGACCTTATAGAATCAAAGCCCCCTCTGACATCGACTTTGAAGAAGATATCTCTCCTAGAAGTTATTCGAGGAAGCCGTCTATACCTCCTCCCCGACCGAAGTCTCCAGTTAAGGCTCGGGCGGAAGGAAAATTTGCCTTACCTTTAAGACCAGCGATAATGTATCGCGAGAATACCGTGGAGGATTATTCAGACTTGTTCGTTGACAATGATAGTGTTTTTGATAAAAGATTGGATATAATCAAAGTCAGTATTCTTTATTAAATTTCATAATCATTACTGACTCTGAATGGCTCTAGGATGATGCTCTTTCTCCGAAACTATTCCACCCATCTGACCTAACAAGCATTCCGCGTTCTGCACAATCTCCTACTACAAATGGAGGTAGCAGTTTGCGGAGAAAAACCACACCAAATTCTCATGAAAACCATATCCATCGGACAAACTCTTCGGTTGAGATACAAAAGTATGCGGAAAATGAGGACGACGAAGACTTTTCAGATATCTTTGATCCAAGAAGCGCTGTAGTTCCAAGGGTCGAGAGTGATAAGAGCTCGGAAGAAGCATTAATGATCAACTCAAAGCTCTCGAATAATTCCTGGCTTGGAGATGAGGATGATGAAGATGACCCTTTTGCCTCGCTGGAGCAAGGTTTCGATGAGATGGATTTGCAAGCCAACATTGCCAGAGACAAACATGCTCGGCTGTGCGCATCGGTCGAAGGATTAGTGAGCTCATTGAAAGCAACACAAGCTGAGGATGTTTTATCGGAATTATCGGAACAGCTGGTATGTCTTAACTTCATTGTGGTAATTCTGTACTAATCAAAGATTTAGCTTGATGTTTTATATGAGTCTGAAGATGCAAAGGGCTTGATAATCAGTGCTCATGGAATGCTTCCAATTCTGGAGATACTGGAACCCTGTAACTTGAAAAGTCGTCAAAGTATGATATTGAGATTACTGAAGGTTGTCAACGCCATCATTTCGAACGATGTCGAGATTCAAGAAAACTTATGCTTCGTTGGAGGAATTCCCATCATTACAAAGTTTGCTGTTAGGCAATACTCAAATGAGATACGTCTTGAGGCAGCTGCTTTTGTAAGACAAATGTACCAAACCTCTACATTGACACTTCAAATGTTTGTTAGTGCTGGTGGATTGAATGTTCTTGTCGAGTTTCTCGATGAGGATTATGATGATGCTAGAGATTTGGTTCTCATTGGTGTTAATGGTATTTGGAATGTGTTTGAGCTTCAGGTATGCCAGCAAATATAACACTCAAATGAATATACTAACACCGTCAGGGACCAACTCCAAAGAACGACTTCTGTCGTATCTTCTCAAGAAGCAAGATTTTATCTCCATTAGCACTCGTCCTGGATCGTGTGCTAGATGAAGAAGATGAACTTTCTGAATTGATTGAGGGTCGCATTGTCAACATATTCTATCTTTTTTCGCAAGCAGAAAACTACGTCAAAGAGGTCGTGGCTGACCATGTAGTACTCAAGCGTAGGTTTTCTCGATAGTTTGCGTATGGTCGTTCTAACACTTTTCCAGGAGTTCTCAAAGATCTGAGACGTATGACACCCGTGCATCAGATAACTATGCTCAAGTTCATCAAAAATTTATCCATGCTGTCAACAACCCTCGAGTCACTACATGCCGCAAATGCCATTGAACTTTTGATTGATCTACTGAGCTCAAGTATGAAGCGTACGCCTGATCATTTCCGCGAAATCTCTAACCAAGTTTTGAATACTATGTACAACTTATGTCGACTCAGTAAAGAGCGGCAGGAAGATGCAGCTTTTAATGGCATAATACCATTACTTCAACGAATTATGAAAACGAAACGACCCCCGAAAGAGTTCGCCCTTCCTATATTATGCGATATGGCTCATTCTGGGAAGGTCGGACGTAAATATCTTTGGCAGAACAAAGGATTACAGTTTTATGTTTCATTACTGGAAGACCAATATTGGCAGGTGACCGCTTTGGACGCTATATTCATTTGGTAAGTTTAGCATCCTGTGAGTAATAATGATGCGTACTAATTCTGATGTAAAAGGCTCCAAGAAGAGACTGCTAGGGTTGAAAAGGCTTTGATGGAGGGTAGTTTTACTGCCATGATAGTACAATGTTTTGCTGCACCCAAGGCGAATGCTTTTGATTACAACTTACTGGAGCCTTTACAAAAGCTCTTACGATTAAGTTCGCCTATTGCCGGTTCTCTTGCTCGGACTGATCTTTTCACTGGTATCTTACAAAAGCTTACTCACAAGAAGGCTGTTGTACGATTAAATTTGCTACGTATCGTTCGCAGTATATGCGATGCAAGTGGGGATGAAGCAGAAAGCATTAGGCATCATGCATTATTCGAAGTGATTCAGCATCTTGCCGAAAACGACAGCGCTGTGTTAGTAAGGAATATGGCAAGCGAGTTAGTCAAGTTCAATTTGGATAAAGCTTCGGAAAATGGAAGTGGTCCAAGGTCTCGGTTGTCTTCTAGGCGTGGAAGTTCCTACACATCACCTTCGCTTCAACATAGTGCATCCACTCCTTTGACTCCGACTCAAGCTAGTCGAATGTCACAAACGTCAGCATTCATTGATGGAAGTGTTACACCCAATAGACGCTCGGGTATGGCGTCAGCGGCGTCTATTAGCAATGAATCCGTTCATTATAGACCTAGAACTACAGACGGCACAACTTCTATGATGCGGAAATCGAGTGGCGACTTAGTCAATGGCGCATCCAGTAAAAGTCGATTACCTCGAACTTCACTTCTTCGTGCGTCACGATCATCAATAGCGGCACCGCAACTCAGGGAAGATCCATCGCATTCTAGGAGAGAGAATAGGGAAAATGGAGTTAAAATAAGAGATAGAGAACGTGAAAGAGAGTCAGCACGAGAGTCAATACGAGAGCCAATAAGGGAGCCGTTGAGGGAGCCAATGAGAGAGTTGACAAGAGAACCAACGAGAGAGTCGAGAGAGTCGACAAGAGAGTTGATAAGAGAGCCAATGAGAGATTCGACAAGAGAGCCAACGAGAGAGTCGAGAGAGTCGACAAGAGAGTTGATAAGAGAGCCAATGAGAGATTCGACAAGAGAGCCAACGAGAGAGTCGAGAGAGTCGACAAGAGAGTTGACGAGAGAGTTGACGAGAGAATCGACAAGAGAGCCAATGAGAGAGTCGACAAGAGAGTTGGCAAGAGAGCCGATAAAACCTACGACTTCAAATGCACCCGCAGCTCCAGAACATAAGCTGATTTCAAGGAGGAGAACAACGAGGCCACCTAGTGGTGATGTTAAATGGTCATGATATGATTATGATTAGAAAGCATGAAAATATGTGATGAGGAATTCATGGATAGGGAAGGGAGGGAAAGGCAAGGCAGACCATATGAATGAATTCATGGAGGGAACGGATAGGTAAAGGGATTAATTGCATTGTCTTTGGAGTAAATAAAGGATCAAGGAGGCCTCTATCGGTCAGTAGGTCTGTATGTCTACCTTTTTAGTAAGAACTAAACATGAGTGTTTGCATATTTGCGAGGAGTTTATGGGTTGGGAGGGGGCTGTCATTGATATTGTTTATATTGATACCACATTGTGGATGGGAGAGTAGTCGTTTTTATCCCTTTTAAATAGGCTAGGGTTGAGATGAAGATGAGTTAGATGAATAGGGAGGATTGTGAGAGGAATTGGGAATATATGAATACAAGGAATTATTTTCTTGTACTAATTAAGTGATTTCTATAATCCCAATTGAATGATTTAGTGTGGAAAGGCTTTATCTTTTTGACTAGTTAAATTTTGTAGGTACATTTCAATAGTAAGGTTAAGTCTAGTTTCTAGAAAATGAAAGTATACAAAGGCTTGGCTTGCTGAGAAAGCTATTATTCAGTCAAGAATCTTTATCGTAGCCCGGCTGGATTACTCGTAGTCTCTGCTTTAACACAATACAGCTAGCTGTACAAGCGGGGCTGTATAAACGAGTAGATCCTTCTATTAGAGATCTGTATAATCAGAGTGGTTATTATTATTATTTTTTAATCTCATTTTGTTACCTGAAGGGTTCGGATTTTTGAATTTTTTGAATTGTTAATATAAGATTAAGTTATAGAGAAAAGAAGAGAAAGAGAGAGGCGAGTAAGAGAAAGATTGTTATAATCTTCGAAGATAGAACCTCGGCTAGCCGAAAGGGGGGCCGGTGGTTCTGAAGGTTTCACGTTAAATGGAAGAGTTTTCATCTATATAAGAGGGCTCTTAAATAGTATTAGAAAAGTAATGAAAAGCTTTATATCTTTTTTAGATCTTCTTGAATTCCTATTGGTTTATTTCGAATATAATCGATTCTTTGTAGTGTAACTCTAATAAAGATAATTAAAAGAAGGATAAAAAAGATATAAAAATTATAAAAAATGCTTCTTGTAAATATAAAGTATATTATATAATTATAAGAATCTTTATTAAATAGATGTTATAAATAAAAAGTTTATAATTAAAAAAGAGAGAGGTTTGTAAAATTTAATTTTTTAATTTTTTGATTTTTTAATATACATAATTGATTATCTACTTTAAATTTTAAAATATATCTTTTTATAAAACTTGTTTCTAAAGTGTAGAACAAAAGTTTATGAGTTTATAATGATTTAGATTTGAGAGTTTGGAATTTAATTATATTTTTTGAATTAATTATATTGTAAAACTAAACTTAATGATATCTAAATTTTTTATTTAGAATAATAATATTAATGTAGATATAATATAGATGATTAGATTTTCTTTTTGAGGTATTTATATTATTATAATTGTAATATAATATGAAAGAGATCTTGTTTATTTTATAATAATAAAAAATATATATATTTTTAATATAAATTGAATAAATTTAAATTTTTTTCTTCTTGTAAATATTAAATCTTCAACGAAAAATATAAGAATAATCAAATGATAGTCTTTTCAATATTTATATTTTACTGAAAAATTAATCTATATTGTTGAATAATGGTCTCTTTAATCGGCATAGTATCTGGATATCTAGAAGAATATGAGTGCTCGTCCGAAGATGATTGAGTATAATGTGTCTCTTAGTCTTAGATAGTCTCAGAAATTTAGAATAATGTCATCTAAAAGTTGAATCTATTGATCCATAAATCTTTCGATTGAAACATGGATTCTAAGACTATCAACGCTGCATTTTCAGATTGGAACGTGAAAAGCATTTCGATAATTTAGAGGCTCGGATGTACATTATGTGAGGATATTGCGACGGCATTTAAAATTTTCCTATTAGATTTGTATACATAGAAGTTATTATCTGGTAATTTTTGATTAGAGTTTTTAGTTGTTTATATAATTGTTGTACTTGATAGTATTTGTTTGGCATGTGCAGATTGCATTTTCAAATCATTGTTTCTCTCTCTTAAGTATTTTCGGAAACATAACATGTATATTAGATCTGTCTAATTATATAGGATAAATACCTACAATCATATTGTATTCTTAAAGCGCTCATTACGTGTCGTCAGATGTATTTATACAAATTAACCACAAGCCGTAAATAGAGTTGAATAGATGTAACGATGTATTCTAATATACAGCAGGTCAGAAAGTTATATTGTATCATCATGATTAAGACTACCTATAAAGAAGGCATCATTAGATCTTTCCCAGTATCTTGTTGACTTAGGAATCTAATTAATATTTATCCATTCTTATTTACCTGATTTACATATAATTCTCCCTTTCTTTCATATAAAATTACTTTATTCCAGCTTTCACACTAACACCATACCGCCAATAACAAACACTCATAACAAACCCACGAATATTCCGGCCAACAGGGCCAGAAACCTCCAATTGCATCTCGTCGAATAGCTCCTTGATCGAGATTTTCATACCATTCTGTCTAGTTTCTTTAGCTGCTTTCAAGTCTTTTAAGCTGGAGAACCGAGCCTCAGTAGTTGGAAAGCTAATGGTGATGACCTCGCGGAAGCCTCCTGTAGGATGGACGTTGACTGGGTTTGATCCGGCACCTGCTTTTGGATGAGATTGATCTGGACTGGCGAGCGTGTTTAGGCATGTGGTGGTGGTAGCAAAATAATTAGCAGGTTGGCGCTGAGGATTCAATTCAAGAATAGCTGGCTTGGTAGGTATAGAGTGGAATGAATTAGTCATTCAAATAGCGCGAGAAAATCCAATACCGAGGGCACGAGTTTCATCAAAAGAAAGCCTTACGGCATGGTTGGCGAGACTGGCGTCGTCAAAGTAGGTGAGGTTGTACGAGCTGTTTGTCTGACTGGTCCATGGAAGTTCTGTCTCCATGGCATATTTCTGATTGTTTTCTCTGTTTTCTGTGATGAAGACTGGGATTTTCCATAGTTCTATATTTGGAAATCTCTCGAGATGCTTGGTCGGAATATTAGAAACTGGGGAATTATGTGCGGTGGAGTTGGTTGTTTGAATAGATGGTACTTGCTGACTTGAATCTAGCTCTGTGAAGGCTATAACCGTGGGTTTCTTCTGGTGACTAGCTTGGAGGTTTTTAGTGCGAGCGGAAGCTCCAACACTAGTAGTAGTGTTTGTTGTTTTTATTATTATTGTTGTTGCCATAGTTCTGGTCATTTCTTGCTCATCCATTAGGCTCTCAAGCTCCTCCATAGACATCAATTTGTTATTGTTGATAAACATTATGCGTAAGGTTTAATAACCATTAGCTTGGTACCGTATCTTGCTGAAGGAATCGTAAGATTAGGGATTGAAATGAGTTTGTACGGTTTTTGAGAATTGGATAATTATATTAAAACCGTTATTTGCGCGTAAACAAAACAAAATAGTGGCAGAAATAAACAAACGGGACGCGACGACACAACACAACATAACATCACTTCGAATAATTAAAGTATTCCTCACCCTTCTCCCCATATCTTTCACTACAAAACAGCAATACTTAAAGTAAAGTATTTAGCTAGAATTTTACAGCTAAACACGCGGTAGTCCTTCCCTGTTTTAATTGCTCTCTTATGTTTTGAATCTATTGAATATCCCGGCCATACTCTGAATCATTGCTGTATTTAAAGACCCAAAGAATGAAGTTCCAGACATCAGAAAGTTCCAGTTCTTAATTCTCCGTAGCCCAATGTGAAAGCCAGCTAAGCTTCCCAAGCCGGATATGGCGAGGAGTCACGAAAGGAAGATCGGAGTAGTGGAGGCAATACTAGAGGTTAATGATAGCAAGGATGCTCCACTTCATCTTGACTGCCATCTTCCTCAAAGTCAGCAATATACCCCATGATGTGATCTTTATGAGTTATCTTGATCACTGGTACATAGTAATTTATGGAGCTGAAGAGTATTACTAATGGCAGTTCTCCAGTAATTCCTTCATTCTAGGCTCTTTGGAAACTCCCTTCTTCTTCGTTCTATTTCCAGATGATTTTTTGTTCATCACAACAGCCATCTATCGGAAAATATTTCATTTAAGGCATGGGAAGAGGAGACAAAAAAATAAATGTTTTTACTCTTCGGGAGACATGGAGTTTCTTTTGGCCAAGAGAAAGAGAGGAGGTGAAAACTTCACGCAGCTAGAGAATATATTCTCATCGTGCTAACATTGAAGAGATACGATTAATAAACATGACTTTCATATATTTACATTCACCTAGCTACATAATGTACAAGATATATGAAGGTACAGAACTAAAGCATTTCTGGGGAACATCCTCACATGCTCTTCCTAGATTTCTGCGGCATGCTTTTGTGCACCTCCGATCCAATCTATATTGTGTATATTTTCGAAGCGCTTTTATGAATAATATGTAGGTGATTAGGTCTTTAGGAACTCTTTCCCTAAGCCTTACAAGCAAAATTAGGCAGTCATGATCAGCGCCCTTCAATACTTAGGACTTGTGGTTGCTGTTTTTTTGGCAGTCTCTGCAGTATTTTGAAGTTGCTCCGAAGTTTTACCCCCCCTTTCCAAGCCCCACGTTCTCGCTTCAAGGCTGAGAGTTGTAATGCTATTTGCACAATGCTGAAACTTGTTGTATATGTATATTATCTTGATAAGAATGCTTGTGCTTTGTTCAAGTACAATGCATTGTGGTTGAAATGACACTGAGATTTCTAGCGAAGTGGCATAAAAGGCCGGTTTGGAAATTCAGAAAAATAAAAATGACAGGGAGAAAACATGGCGCCTCATGTAAAAATTCATTGGATCTACAATGCACAAGAACCAAGGTCAGATCTCGTATTTTAAACTACGAGTGAAATCACCGCAAATAAATTCAGTATTCAGATTCCTTGAATTAAAGTGGTTGACTTGTTTCATTTATTAACCACTACCTACGTACTTGAGGTAGGTATTTTATACGGCTGTGGAACACCCGAGGAAGATTTTCTATTCCACGAAAACTTGCAACCATCAATTGAGTTCTTCAGAAAGCGCCTGATAATATTCGCTGTGTAAAGTCTTGGAGAGAAGGAACATCCATAGGTGCGGATGTTGACAGGTATACCTTGATGATTCTATTCAGTGTTTTTTCTGTTTCGGATGAAAATATTGCGATAGAGGGGGTGGTGCTAGGTATTCGGGAAAGGCCGTTCTAGTCTGATACGCGTGAAAGGACTCGATCAATTTTGAAGCTATGCAAGCTGCTTAAATCTGGTGAACGTCAATTTACTATGCGCTCTAGCTAGTATCTCAGATCGACAATGCGGAAATATAATGAGACGAATAAATCATTTTCCTCTCAATAAAGATGGTCATCGGCGTCGACGTAGAACCTTCGTGTTCTTGTGAGCTGACCTTTTCTTCTCGCCAATATTCCCAAAATCTCCAGCCTGGAGATTCTCAGGTATCTGCGGCGTCGACAGAATCTTCGCAACTTTGTCTGTAGGCAATTTGAACTTCACAATGAGGGAAGCTGGCTTTTTAGGTTGTGCAGCCGTTATTTCATAGCTGTGTATTCCGAGTCCCGCCTGCATTTTGAAGACAGTAGTGGACGGGTTTTTACTGGCAACAGGCCTGGCTGGCTGAGGTGTAAAGTATTTTCCGTCGAGGCTCGCATTATCTTCGTTCGACAGAAGGTCGAGAATTGGTGGCTCAGGGTCCACACCACAGTAAGCAGCAAAATCAGTCCATTCATCGAAATCAACATCATCCGTTGGATATGCAGGATACTCCAATGGAAAAAAGCTTCTACCTTGAAATTGCAAACTTGGAGGTAAGGCGGTTCCTTTCCGAAAAGATTGCATACCTATAGCTGGTGATATAGAGCTGTTGTGGGCCATTGGAAAATTGTTTTCACATCCAAAAAGGGTCTCCAAATATTGATTAAACAGACGGTCCTCTATGCGTTGATTTGTGATGAGAAAATACACAAGATGTATTGACCCAGGCTAAAACTCAAAAGGCCTAAGTGGAAGATATGATGGCTGTTCAGGGGAAGGTTGTTGTTTGCCCCTTGATGATTACCCGACCACGTGATATATTTGAAGGGGGAGAGATCTAGACTTGGAGGACTGAATTTGAAGTAATTGTAAGACCCTAAGACTTTCAAAACTAAGTTTAGATCGTAAATCTTTATTGAAATATGTAGTAGAATCCCGTAGTGGAATCAATGCAAATGAAAATGAATGAGAGTTCAAGATTGAGTTCTTGGCTGTGCAGAAGCACTTGTTTAATATTATCTTGATCTATTGAATACAGCCTATTGCATTGCTTGTAATGAGTTATTCTTATAAACAAATGAATGCGAGATTTATCAATAAGGTACGACCAAACTAAGGAGGGAGCAAATTGTGAGAACATGAAAAACAGCCGACATGCTGCGCACCGGCTTGTATTAAAATTTGACATTATTATACCGCAAAAAAACTTCATTACATAATAAACTCATTGGCCCTGATTTACGGTTCCAAGAAGTGGCCGAACAATTCATTCAAGTGACATCGCCCGTGCTACATCATCTCTACGTATACGTGATTCACTCCCCTTTAGCAACCAGCTTCATAGTTACAGACACCTTTCAACAAAAGAAACAAGTCAAGTATACTCAGTGGTCAATCTGCCATATAACTAAACTCATAATTCTAGATTCTTATACTAAAGGTTGCAAAAAGCGTGGCATTCATGATCGACAAGTCCGGGGTTTTCGAAGCGTGAGTATAAGCAACATAACTTACCAGCTTTCGAACGGCAACTTCAATATTGAGACCCACCATCTCACTTATACCAGGCTACAGGATAAATAATTAATAGGTGGCTAGCTCAGAGGCGGAACGCAAAGTGGTTAATGCAAAATCTCTTCCAGCAGTCAGCTTGACCATTGTTCAATGTGCTTTTTTGGGCTTATTTTTGCTGAAAACTTCAGATATCCATTATTTTTTCATACCTTGTGCAACTTTAAGATTTTGCGTGCGGTAGGCAGGCACTTCAATTGTTGTGAGAGACGGACGAGAAGTACGCTAGACAACATCAACAAATATTTTTGAATAATAGGTTTAAATCAAGTTGAAGCAAGTATAACAGCAATTCCGGTGACCATACTATGAACCCAAAGCCATTTCCAACACCTCCAGCACTTGCTCTTTGGTAGTCAATGGTACAGCATTTGTGGGTAACCATCTGTCCTTTAAACAATTATCCGCCAGTGCGTCCAACCTTTCCCTACCCACGCCCACGTCTTTCAAAGTCTTCGGCATACCAAGCTCGCTCACTATCGCACCTACCGCATCGCCTGCATCGGCGGTTTCTTCTTTCAATCCGCTCCTCTCGAGTACATCTCTAACGGTCGCCTCCCCCCACAAAACCCTCAGCACCTTTTTCTGGCCTTCAACAACACGCTCGTCATTGCTACCATGCTTCGCATTATACTTCAACACAGGCGGCAACATAATACAGCTCGTCTCACCATGGCCAACACCAAGTGGACCCAATTGATGTCCGATTCCATGGCTCCCGCCCATTGGGATTGCTCTGCCAAGTGCTTTCATTGCTTCTACTACACCCCACATTTCCTTCAGTCTCGCCTCCTCATTCTTTGGATCTTTCTTGGTGATCAACAAATTCGGCACAAGTAATCTCAATCCACTCGAAAACTCATCGTCGCTTTCGGCGCAAACATTCTTATCAAGTGAGCACAGTCCTTCGACACAATGATCTACGGCCCGAAGTCCTGTGCTAAGCCAAATATGCTGAGGAGTCGAGATACATAGAGATGGAGAGAGAATAATAAGAGATGAACTCATGGATGGGTGACTGAAAGATACTTTCTGATGCGTTAAATTATTGGTTGCGCCAGCAAAAGGAGAGTATTCCCCGCCGGAAAGGGACGTTGGTATGTTTATTACGGGAACTTGACATGACCTTAGATTCGGCGTCTTGGCTTCTGCTGAGAGGGAGTAGAGTCCATCACGGGTAGACACATTGTTTGCCAACGCCTGATTAAATGTCAGATGTTGTGCATGGCTTCTTTAAGATGTGGGGATTCGGTATCAGGGGCAATTGCTGAAAATCACAATCAACTCTCCCAGTCTTTGTGGGTTTGTGGTGTTGTGGAAATGTAGTCGCAGTTATCATATCAGCTGGGAATAACATACAAACGAAATGACTTTTGCTCCATCAGTAAGTGATCCAGCACCAAGTGTAACAATGATATCTGCCTCTTTCTCTCGCATATCATGTACGATCTCCAGAATATCATCCCATGGGGTATGCGGCTTGATCCCATACCGCACGCCGACAACTAGATCACCCAGGCGTTCCTGTAGAGAGGTGAAGTTTGATGTTCTGCTAATAGACTTCGATACAATTATGTAGACCCTTGAGGCGTGGAACGTGTTTCTGATATGGTGGGCACATGCATCAGGAAAGGGGATGCCGGTTGAGATGTGGGGCTTCGGTTTTGGAGGAAATGCCGGGACGTAGGTCTCGTTGGGAGCTGCCATTTGGTTGAACTTTCTAGCCGTATGGAGTGAGAAATAAAGTTATCTTTACGAAGATATAATCTAGAGAGTCGAGGACGACGATAATCTTTGCCGCCGCATTGTTCAAGACTCTATGTGGATCCAAACAATGATATGATATTGGGATTATTTATTGATTAGTAAGCAATCAACTACCGTCGAATTACCGACCTCTGAAAAAATCCTCGACGTTAACGTCCCTGCCCTTAAGAAATATAATATCCTTCGAGCTCCTATGCAACGACTTGATTTTTAGGAAATCTGATATTGGTTATAGAGCTATATCCACTTATTTAATGATAAGCAGTAAATGATTGTTGCATTTTTCACGAGTTCTCTCCAAAAACACTAAACTCTGGAACACCATGACCCTGGACAAAACACATACAATGACCTAGATGCTCTTCCCCTCTGGGGACCATTGGTTGATATTAAGAGAGAGTTTAAGGTGGAAGAAGTCTAGTGGCTCTTCCGGGGATAGGAACGCAATGTACTGCTTATAATAGCCTGCACCTTACTAGTCTACGGCGCGAAGCTTGATGACCGCTGGTATACTCAAATGGCCCTTTCAAGCGGAATCCTATTGAAATTCATCATAAATATATTTGGAAATCCCCTTGGAACGTTGGCCATGAGTCCTTTTAGGCAGATGAAAATGCGGATATTGCACCAGCTATGTTGACCTCCAACTCGAAGGTAGCGACACATAACTTTACTACGTCAGCCAGACGATAATGAGTTGCAGCTGTGAGTACTGATGGCCCAGAAGTACCAGTGTCTGTTTAAGTATGTTCCTAAAACTACTCATAGGACGAGAAATACTCAGGACTGCACCTTTTGTTGCACATCTGCTCCGGGATGTATGGACTAGCAGGAAGCTAGATTTTTAAGCCATGTTCTATTGGACGTCTATATCTGGTTATGTCATGTAATCAAGGGCTAGTGTTCTCACTTATATTTTGTTGCACGTCTTTGCAAGGATGCATGGATTAGTAAGAAGCTAAAATGCTTCTATTGTGTTTTATTACACGTTTGTCTCCGGCTACGTGATCTAATTCACTGCTCACTCTTCTCACTAGTATTCGTTGCACATCTGCACTGGGGTGTCCGTCTTAACAGGAGTCTAAGATTCTTTAGCCATCTTATGTTGCACGTCTGTACCAGCATATGCATGGAGCCCAAAGGCTAATATTTTCTACCCGTGTTATGTTGCATGTCTGTACTGGGATGCACAGACAGTCGAAAGGCTTAAGTTCTCATGTCATGTTCTTTTTCATATCTATAATGGAATGCACAGACAGTCCAAAGGGATTAAGTTGCCAAGTCATATCCTGTTGCATATCTGCACTGGGATGCACAGACAGTCCAATGGATTAAGCTCCTATGCTGTGTTGTAAATCTTTCCTTGATCTAAAATATGCTGAGATTTCACAGTTTAGCCCAGGAAGGCTCAGACGATGCGGCCATAGTAATGTAGATCTTTTCTGAAATCCATTCCTTGCCAGAGGCTTCTACCCCCGTGATTGTTCTTAGCTTTTACACATCAGTATCGTGTTGCACATCTGTGTGAACCTACGGGGATTCTCCCTCTTGAAATTGTAGTAAAGGTCACGATATGGGGCGCTGTCCCAATAAATAGTAGCGTTCCTACTCACCACTGTCGAACCCGAAAAAATGCTCACAAATCGACGATGGCACTACAGTGAGAGCAAAACGAACCAATGTATTTCCATTGTTGAAAGAAAGTCTTGAACCTCCTTCGGCGTTCTAGGTGAAAGTTGATTTCGCAAGCACTTGTGTATGCATGAAATCACAATCTCGAACGCCAGCAATGCTCGCGTTGAAGCCTGAGATAGCCGATGCCTTATTTGGAGGTAGTGGGCATTGATTTACGATGCGAAGTGGAGAACATCGAGGACACCATCTTAGATGTAGATGTACTTATTTGTTGACTATCGACCGCCGTGCAAGCATCAATCGAAAAATTTCCTTAAATTTCTGCTCTAGTGTGGCAAGGGGGAAACCCGAGTACCCTAATTCAAAATTTCAAATTCGATGACTATAAGGCCATGAAGCAGACAATTTTTAGCCAGCTACAAGTGGCTCAGAGTTAGAGGTGTTCCGCGTAGAGTTTGGAGTTGTACAGTTTGATGCGAGAGAAATATTGAAGGGTAAAGGTTTACTTTCTTCAAGCACTAGTTTAGTATGAGTCGGCTTTTTCTACACTAAACTTTCAATATGTTTGATGATACCTACACAGGTGGCGAAACCCAATTGCTAGTAAATTTCTGACTCGCAAAACCTAAATCCGAAACGTTCAATATGTTCACTATGCACAATAATCATCAGAATCTACATTACAAAAATTTTCATAGTTCTTTCGTTAAGAAATTACCGTGATCGCTTATTAAATAAAGTCCTCAGTCCGGATGGTGTTTTTGCATCGCAGAGTTTGTTAATGAGGAGTAAGAAAGATTATTCTTAGATAATCAATTGGTAGAATCCAGGGAACATGAGCAAAATAGAGTGTGAATCATATAGTTAGTGGAAATAAAGAACCCATCAAATTGCTATGAGGACCAAAAGCCGGCTCTAGACCACGTCAAAAACCGTTTAATGTAGATCAATCTGAAAAGTTGACGCCATTATTGAAGTTAGTAGCCTTCGGCAAATTTTTGTACATCATACCCCGGTACTGGTTGCGCGCTTAGAAAAGACATGAGTCGGGGCAAGCGCTACCGAGGAAAAAAAGGAGAGTAGTGCTCAAGCTTTTAATCCCAAACGGTAAGAGCAGATAACCATATGATGACTCTTATTTGCAGGTTTGACGTTCGACTTCTGTCCAGTTTTCCTATTACATCTCTGATCCTCGAATATACTTTACATTAATGAATCTTAGGTAAAGATTTGAAGTTGGTTCCTACTCCGGCCTTTCTGCTATGCCTCCTGCAGGTTAATTCTCAACCTGAGACAGTGATTTACCATTCTCCTGCCTCTCTCAGCTGTGTTAGTATCAGTTTCCTTGAATGTTTGATCTTTAGAGCTTGCCTTTCAGTTTTAGTCTTACTTTTGATTCTCTATAAACGATGCATTTCCTTCCTCCCTCCTGCTCTTCAGTTTCCTCTCACAAACATTCTTCACATTCTTCATATCCCATACATATTCACCCACTTTAGAAGCAATACACTTGTAATTGATTCTATCTATCTACCTTGACATACTTATCCTCTAGCTATTCGATATTCGAGAATACTCATTCGAAGTATTCAATAATTTATCTTCAATAATTTATTCATTTACGTAAGTTTCCCTCATTATCCTGTCCCATCCACCAACACTTAGTCGGTCCATTTTTCTTAATTTCCTGAGCACTTAACTTCGGCACTGAAGGGAGGCTATTTTACAATACGTACTCAATTCACCGTGATCTCATACGAAGCAAGGCGTTATCTGTAGTAGTTGAGATTGCATCCAATAACAAGGATTCAAACATAGCTAGACACATATAATATTAACAATGTCGTCTTCGAACGTTTCCGGACTTTGCTTGCAAAAGCAAAAGCAACAAGAATATCAAGATGATATTGAAGTGGAGGATACGATTGTATCACCACTTGTGGAGGGCAGCTCGTGAGTACACCCATCGATGCGTTCACTCGCACCCCTCCCCTCCACCTTGAGTTCATTCTCTTGCGTGACAGGCTTGACTAATTCAACGTAGCGAGGCAGCTTGTGCCTTCGAAGATGTCCCACACGAAATCTTCGCGATGATCATGACCAGACTTGATCCCATCTCTCAAATCTGCTTCTCGTTGACCGGGTCCCGCTTCCGACAAATATTTAAGGGCCTCGCAGCTTTCGACCAATATCTGCTTAGCCATGGCGATCGATGCTTTCGCGCCTTTAGATGCTACTCTGCACGCCTCTCCGTGCCTTTGAGCATCCAAGTATCCGAATGCGAGGAATACATCTACGATCTGGACTCGGGATGTAAAAACTCCATGCCATTTGACTATGATTCAGTGGAATGGGGTCCCACCCTCGCAGACTATCTGTGGGACGAGTCATTTTTCTGGAGCGGCGGTGCAAAATGGTGCCACGAATGCTACAGAATTTTGCCGCCCACAAGTTGGGACCAGTGTGAGTTTGAGAAGGAGTTTTGGGACCACGTTGAGTCGCCATCCGTGTGGAAGGAGGAGCCTCACAAATTGATCACCAACCTCCTTGCCCGCGCTCTTATCTGCGGAGTTGAAAGAGGTAGCGAGGATTACGCTAAAGTTAGTAATCCTGCAGGGTTTCTTCAACAGATCCTGGCGGTTGATGAGGCTACCGTATATCAGTCTCGAGGAAATGATATTGATCATAGTCTCTGCACGAAGTGCAGAATCAAGAGTATCGTTACTGATAACGGTAGGAGGCAAGAGGCATGGACAGGGGAGGACCAGGGCGGTGAGGCTCCTTGGAAACAGGCGGATGGAGTCGCCATGAACGGGGTGCGAAGGCTAATCTTGGAGTCGCATGTAAATGCGGATTTTTTGAGCTTTGGGCAGCCCAATGGCTGGATGTTTTTTGTGCTGTGGAAGGATGTTTTGCGGGAATGTGGGCTTTTTGTTAAGGAGTATGAGAGGGTAGACCTGTTGCGTCGCAGAAGCCTCAGCTTGGAGGAGATATACGGCGGCAACTGGTAGGAGGTCGTCGGTAATCATCTTAATATCTGGGATGCAGCTGATAACTTTCAATTCAGAAAAAAAAAAAATAAATAAATAAAAAAACATAAAAAACCCAAAAAAAATAGAAAAAAATTGAAAAAAAATAAAAATAAAAATAACGAAAGATTCTTTTTTAAAAAAAATTCATATAATTTTAGTTTATCATATTAGTCAATCTAGCTGAAGAAAAGCCATACATGTAGCTCATATTGTAAAAGAGTGGTCAAGATACGTACATCCTGATAGTATATTGTAAAGGAGTGTAAAAAAAGAAGACTGAATAGATTACATTGTAATTAATTACTTATGAAGAAAATAAGTTTTATAATAGATTTGAGATTGTTGTAATATAAGGTATCAAAGTAATATATAAAAGATTGATTGATTGTTTATAGAAAGGAGGGAGCGAAAGCCTTTCCTTATATCTAAATATAGAAGGTTATATGATTAAGCTTATCGAAAACCTCTATATATATGACCAGCAATTCCAACTTTCTCACAATATACTCCTGATGATTATTTACCATAGGAAGGAAAGAATGATGGAAGCTCACAGTCGACACCCCTAGTGCAGATATCCTTTTAGCATGCATCTCCATAGTATTAATGTACCTCTTGTTCAGTTCTTAGTTATCGCTACTGCCCACACTCATGCAAATTCAAGTGACGTCTAATATAAATAATCCTCCGTGAGACAGCTTGTCAGGAGCTCGGTAGTCCGCCCCTTAGCGTTCCACCTCTAAAGTTTCTTTTGCTACGAATTTCAGTCGATAGTTATTGTTTCCTCATTTCTTTCAGTGCAAATATATGAACGATAGTTGTAAGCGAATAATAAATAGATTGTAAGATTACACCATGAAAAGTGTAAGTGCTGAGTAAATTAGGGAAGAATAATAAAGCATTTGCATTTACATCCGGCAAGCTATCAATGCTATAGAAGATTTGCTTCTTCATTCGCTGATGTAACACGAATGTGGGAAATTATATGGAATTGAGACCGAAGCTTTGAAGCTACCACCCCCATTGTGTTCCGGCCTCCGGGTGTTCCATATTGTTCATACAGAAAGTACATACACAAGATTCTGGGATGAACGTTAAACTGGGAAGCTGGCGAAGATACCTAACTCATTCAACAAACTCAAGGTTTTTCTCATAATCAAATTGAGAAGATATGCTAAAATCCAGTACGGGCAACTTTCTCCGCCCAACACAATCTCTCGCACTCGGGATCATTTGACGCCATCTTGCACCTCGCTCGGATGCAACTCTCCAAAATAAAAATAACTGTCATGAAAAGCCTAACCGAAGGCGTCTAGTATTCCGGTTCCTGCACTCTCAAATACATCTGCTTTGAAGATATATGTGAAGATGCTACTAAGGCCAAAAACGACGTGACATGGCTGGATAAAAATCATGGAATATTGTAGGTGGCGCCTATCTTTATGCTAGGATAAAATCGTGCGTTGTGCAGTATAATAGATGTGGTACTATTAATATCTGAACGTTTATATTAACCATTACAGGAAATTCCATAGGGTGTATGAAGATAAAAGGGTTTTTCTTTCTTTTCCTCAACTTAGCTTTCCTCGTTTCATCTATCCCTTTCCTCCCCTCTTTCCTTTCCCATTCATTTCCCTTCCATCTCCCCATTATCTTTTTCTTTCCCCTCACCCCAAAAAATATAACTAACCTTCACCTCCTCCACTCCCTTCATTGCTTCCTTCCTCATCCAATATAAATACAAAACAACCAGCAGGTGAACCCACGTATCAAAAACACAATGACCATCCATCAACAGCCATCAACGTACATATCAACAACAACAAACCCACCCAATACCACAGTATCACGCTATAAATCAATCCTAACTACCCCGGGGCGGATACATTCACATCCACATCTACCTATAGCTATACCTACAACCAAAAATTCGAACTAAGGCTTACCATAACAAAATCATGCATCCGTACACGTACCACGCATCAGATATATCTTGTATATTGAGGATTACTAGGTAGATATAACAGAGCTGAACCAACAAACCTGAATTATAAACTCAGGATATCCATATTATTCTAGATAAATTCATTCTTGATACAGTAAGATTTAGACATATAATAAATATAAGAATTGATATATAAATTATAAAATAAAATGAAATGAGATGTGTTTTTATTCATTTTGTTTTGAAGGCATGAAAATAAAAGGGATGAGATACTAAATGAGTACTAGGTATATTGTTCGTTTCTTAGATGTATAATTATAAAAATTCATCCCTGGCGAGTTTGAGACGTAGATACCCTGTGAGTATAGAGGAAGGAGCTCTTCGTTCTTTTCTCTTTACGAGTACCCGTTATAATAAGCTTAAGCTTAAGTATAACGCTAATAGATATTTTGTTTTCCATATAGGTTAAGTGAGTAAAACTTTACATACTTCCATCCAGAAATTCTTCATTCAGGACCCTTTTTCTTCCACTAGGAATCTACGAGACCAAAAAAAAAGACAGAGGAAAGAACGATCAAAGAAAGAAATACGACACACCCGAAATCGATCCACGAACTTCATAAATTAGATTGTACTATATACCAATACCCTACAAAAATTCTCATTAATTATTCCCCCTCGCTCGCTAGTAATGGTGACTCAAAGCAATTAAGTAATCAAATAATCAGATAATCAACCAACCATTCAATCATAGAACCCTCACCCTCATCCTCATTAATTCCCACCTCACTAAATCACACTCAACATCGCATCCTCAACTCTCCCTGCATTTCCTTCCCTTTCCTTCGCAACTCCAATCCCCTATTCCCACCCAACTTCCACTTACAAAAACCCCATCACCACCGCCCCAACACCCCCAAGAACACCCACCAACCCACTAATCCCCCTCTCCCCAACCCCACTACTCTTATCACTACTCTCCGCCCCTGACGCACTAGCCGTGGACGTCTTACTCCCACTTCCGTTCATAGTACTCGCTCTCGTCGTCGTACCCGTCGCACCTGCACCCGCATTCGCACCTACACCTGTAGGTCCGGATCCACCCGCCGCAGTAGCAGTAGCGGACGTAGGCCAATCTTTCGAGATAGCTAATGAGGAGGTAGATGTATAGATCGAGGCATTATTACAGTAAGTTTGTTTATTAGATAGAGCGCCCGCGTAGCCTGCGTCGTTGGGACATTGGTTGTAGCATCTGGGAATGGGGAAGAGGATTAGTATAGTGAAAGGGGATTTGATGGAGAAAGGAGAGTAAGGAATAAGAGACACACGTCAAAACTGCATTCCAACTCGTGCACAAACAAGAATAATCAGTAGATTGACAGGCCTGAGCAATGGCCGTCGTAGAACTTAAACAAGCATCTAGAACATTTTGTCCAAGACAAGCACTAGAAGAGCCGCCTGTAGGGGCAACAGGTGTTGTCGCAGCTGTTGTTTGAGCGGCGGTATAGGAAACTAGGACTGAGAGAGGAAGAAGAGCTTTTGCAGTTGAGAAATGCATTTCGAGGTTGAGATTGAGATTGGATTTGTGTAGCGTATGGTATAGTATTGTGGGAATTTGAATAAATGCAAAGAACTTGCAAATAAAATAGATGTACGAGTAAGTACTACCACGTATGTAGATACTATACGAGAATGAAACGATGCAGTATATGCGCGTGCCTAGTCTGTATAACTTCGCAAAGCCAAGCGAAAGTGATTCGATAATCAATCAATCAATAAATCAAATGGATGATAAAAAATAAAATAAAATCAGAGATCTAAACAAGAAATTTTCAACAAACGCGAATGAATATCCAAAATATATATACTCTGAATCCCCTTGGTCCTCACCCGTCCAACAGCCACCAAATATGTTCGTTTCTACAGCAAGCCAGCCACTCAGCCAACCAGCCAAGCCATTCCATTCCATTCCAATCAACACAATACAATACAATACAATTAATTCCAACGCGAATAATTCCCCGGACAACCAATTCAATATATCACATACATACAGCCATACTGCCATACAGCCATGCCTCATTGAATCATTAAATGAATCCAAACTTGATCATGACTAGCAGCTCTCGAACGCATAAAACAATTCATTAAAACACCCCAACGCCCCTCTTCGTATATGTATCAACATCCAAATATGTCCGAGGTACCAAGACAGAAATATGCATGGCATACTCCAAACTCCAAACTCCAAACTCCAAACTCCAAACTCCATACGCCATACTCCATACTTCACATCGTACAACGAGGGGGAAAATACATATGGTTGCTCGGCGAACGTAAACTTTGTGTACCTAGGTAGACAGGAATATTATAAGAAGCGTTTTGGAAATAGAAATAAAAAAGAAATCTATAAATATCTATCTATGGGGGTGATATGATGTATGACCTGAGAAAATAAAAGATCGATCCGAGATCAGTAAGAGTCTTGTAATGAGTATTAATAAATGAAAAGAAAATACTACCGGAATCCTAACCCCGCACCACTCACCACCCACCACTCACCACTCACCACTCATCACTCACCCTAACATATACCACAACCACGCTATCTATCCTATCTACCATTCTATCACTCCATCATTCCATCAATCACCCTACCCCCTTTTAACTCCCACCCAACTTCTATAAACTACAATATAGTTCATCCCATTCATCCCATTCATCCCTTCAAACCCTCCCTTCAACCCTTCCTTTCAACTTCTCCCTTCTACCCGTCCCACCGATTCTCCGTCACGCATCAATCTTTGTCTTCCCAGCATTTACATGCCTATCTATATACCTACCTGCCTACCAAATAGACTCATTCACTCATTTATTCATTCACCCATCCATCCACCCATCCATCCATCCATCCATCCATCCATTCCCCCATACCCCCATTCAATACACTTAAACATAGCACATCAAAAAACCACCAAGAGCAACTTATCACCCACATAGAACAATTCTTCTTTCTAATGTCGGTACATTCTAGTACACTACCCTACTAATTACAAGATCATCGGATACTCTGAGCTGGATTTGGTTTTCTTTCGATTATTGTATCAATCGTTACAATGCATTTCCTAATGAGACGTCGAACCTTGAAACCCGCCATTTATTCCGAATAATTCATACCTCCAAATCCGTTCCAGGTAATTTAAAAGTTGAGAAACCTGGACCTCCCTCAGCTTGTATAGAAAAATAACAAACACCTTGTGGAACCAATGAAATCCTTCCATAACATCAATCACTCCTGTCCGAATCCCATCGTCTCTTCTACTGCCATCGTCAATTTCGTTTGCAACTGCTCGAGGGTTTTGTAAGGTGGAAGATCCAGTCGGTTGAAACTAAAGAGTGTGATTAGTACATGTAAAACTGAAGGTATTACGACCAGCTTACCATGTGTGAGATTTTGGTAGATTATTGGGCTCTCCTTGCTTTTCAATTGTAAATCTCCTCGGTCCATCACTACCCTGAAGATCCTTGAATCCATTGACGGGAATACGAGATGTACCAGTTGCAAATTGAAGAAGGCGGGATTTTTGTTCTCCATCCCAGCTTCGGATTGTTTGCCAGAAAAACTTAATAACCTCATCGGATTCCGTATATCCTCTGTAATCTGTGTGCTTCTTCCAGTCATCAACATCAATTTCCGCAATACCGCCAATCAATAACTCAAGTTCTCTTTCATCAAAAACGTTAACAAGTTCGGCTGGAATTAGCTCGTGGAAGCCATTAATGAAAGCTTGAAATTGCTCATCAATTCGCTTTTGAATCCTCCATTTTACCATCAAATCAACATACTCCTTTTTGTTTTCATCTGTGACTTCAATATCTCTTCCACCTGGTTTAAGATCTTCGACATTTGTAACACCGAATCGCTCATCTTCTGTGGAAAACGTCTGGTCTAAAACACCTTCAATTGGATTATCCAACATCCATTGAAGACTTCGATGGAAATCGGCATCAACACCCTCCATATCTTGAAGGGAGACTGCCTTACTAAGCATCATTTTATATAGGGCACCGATGAAAAATGCATCCAAGAATCGACGGTGGAAGATGGCCAAACCGACCACTCTACCAATAAATTTGAAGTAGTTGAGATGTTCCGGGTTAATGCCAGAGTGAGGGTTGATTTGAAGGGTATAGTTGTCGTGAGCAGAGTATTCGAATAAGCAATAGAAAGGGTTGAACATTTCATGGGAAAGAAGGAAAAAGAATTCTCTTGATAATCCACCATAATCGAGACCATCTTCTCCATCAAATTTAATCATAAGACGTTTCTTTAAATCGGTGGCAGATTGACGCATAATTTCAGCGTAGGAGTCCTCAAAAATATGTGATCTTCGAATCTTGACATGACATTGACCGGAGAGAATGCGTAACGCTGGTTGAGAACGGAAGTAAATTAGCTTCCTTCTGAAATCACGTTTGTACTGCGGCACGTTCTGATCCAGCGAAGATGGTAATCGAGGATCGTCCCATGTAGTGGTCTTGGTGTTGTGGTCCACAAAGTATACTCTTGCAGTGTTGGTTAGTCTCATTTCCCAACCACTTGGTAGAGGGCCAAGTTGTGAAACTGGTTGTTGCTGAATGGTATTATTGGCATTTTGACCACCATACATGCGGATGTATTGTTGACGTCGAGGATCCACCCAAGTCGTAGTTCGTGTGTTGTGATCCACGAAATAAGGACGGCCTTCTGGGGTATGTCTCTGTTCCCAGAGGGGTGGAAGCTCTCCTGTTCCTGCAGTTGTAGCGCCAGTAGCCATCATCGTAGTCGCAGTTGCCGTGCTAGTGCCATTGGCTTGTTGCTGGGCCAAGCTTGGCGAACTAGCACCAGTACGATCTTCAGGTAAAGTACGATTTTGATGTCTTTGGCGCTCCACCTGGGTATTAGCATTTCTCTCGTCCTGTCTCGTCTCCGTCGTCCCCGATGCAGATGGTCGATTCCAACTTGTAGATCTTGTGTTGTGGTCGACATAATAAGTTCGTCCCAAGTTATCTTCACGCCTTTCCCAACCAGCTGGCAATCTACCCTGAGCATCCTCGAAAGAGCTTAACCCATTTCGGTGACCTGCTCCTCCACTGGTCGCAGGAGCGTTGCTTCCTCCGCTGCCGGCAGCGGGTGCATGACCGGGTGTCGGTCCGCTGGAGAGGGCTCCATTAGCCATAACGACTCCCTGTGGTTGCGGGGTATGGGGAGCCGGCGAAGATGAAGGGTTCGAGAAATTGGAAACGGAGCCGGTTGGAGTGTGGGCTGAAGGCCGATTGCTTGAGGATGAATGGCCGTTGGTGGGCGGGGCGAGGCTACCTCCTCTTGGAGGGGTATCTAAATTGGTAGAAAGATTTATAATAAGTTTTCCGTGTACCACAAGATTATCTGTCGACTTCTTCAGGTCCCGGGTGAGCATTTCTGTGTGATTCTATTGTAAGCGTCTGAACGTGAATGGTATTAAGAGTACCATCATGACTCACGATCTTGAGGCGATGAAAAATCGACGACATCTCCAACGCGAACATTTATTACTCCCAAAAAACCTTGGTCCTTCTTCTTGAACTTCTTCTGATCAAATATCTGCACGGCCAATATACTATCTTCGTTCGCACGCCTAAAATCAAATTAGTCCAATTTCTTTCCTGCAGAGGAAGTTTTATATTTACAAGTCGAAGATTTCGTTCCAGTATGGATTGAGGGTCCTTTTGATAACAGACGTGGTCTTGGTCTGCTCGCCACTCAATGTCGCAACTGCAAAAGGGTCCGGAAATCCTGTGACACATTATTAGAAAGGTTGTCCTCCGCAGGGAATTAGTATTCGTACTAAAAACATCACGCTTGTATAAACCGTCGGCAGCAATTACTATTGATGATTAGTATATTTAATGATACTCAATTCCCAAGTTTAAGCCTACTAGTTAATCGCAGATTGGGTTGCCTATAGATGTGTCAGTTGTGTTTCTTTTCCTGTATGATCGAGTTTGAAACATACGCTGGAAGACTTGAGTCCACTCTGCTATTGTTGGCCATGGTGAAGGTTCGCCAGAGATGGCGGTGTTGTGTATTGGGACGTCAATGATAGATAATGGTAGGAAAGTAGCGCAGAACACCTTCTAAGTTCCTGGGGTTTCAAGGTTGGCCGTGGGTGGAATCTTTGCGCTTCCGTTGATTTGGGGCTGTGTTCAAAAGAGCTGTAGAAGCCGCCTTACACCAAACTGTGATTGTTACAGTTTCTGGGGTTATCGTTATCGAGTCAAGAATTCGTGAGGCATGAAGGCATGATAATGAAAATGATATTCGTAAAGGGGGGTTCAGTCTAATGCTTTTGAAGAGGAATGGAGTTCTGATAAACCCAAATGTCAAGGCGGCACAGAATGTCCCCGCTAATGATAATTGAGCCCGATTTGTAAGGCCTTAATCGACAATTTTCTATTTTTATACTCACGTCATACAGAGATAATTGTTTTCGACTATATCATGGAAAATGGCATATATAACATTTAAAGGATTCATAGAGTTGTAAAATTCATAAGATTGAAATTCTGTCTGGATCTTACCAGAATGTGAATCCACGACTTGATTGCAACAATGAACTAAAGTAATGTGAGTGGATAGTCTTCGTTTTGGTACCACAAAGCATTTTTCAAATCAGAGGTGATTTATTTAGGGATTTGATAGCATGGCAATTATTGTAGCAGGCCATGGAAAGAATGCGCAGGGAATGAAAGCATATCTTGGTCCACGCCACGATAGAAATGCCAATACTGATTAGAAAGCAGGCGAAAGTAAGGGCATGCGAACACTGAATCACAATTAGGAACCATCACTTGTACAATCATATTCATAATATAACCTTGAATTCTGCTATTGGAGAATTATAGTAGAAGATCATAGTGATAATCCAGGAAATTCAAATGGAGAATCCAAAGAAGATCATATGCTTCAGATAAACGCCGTGGTATTCTCGTGAACGAATGCTTTTCGAATGAATCCTTAAAAGTCCAGAAACGAAATCTCCCCAAATCCACATATTTAGTGCCATCATCTTCAGCAATCCTCCCCATCTCATCATATGCTAGAGTCAAGACAACTCAGGCAAAATTGTCACATCCTTAGTATGGTGTGAAACCTCTACCACGATTACCTCTGTAACCTCCACGGTATCCTCCACGAGGGGAATAGCCGCCACCACGACCGCCACCAAAAAAGCCACCACGGCCTCTACCGCCTCCTCGGCCACCACGGCCACGCTGCATACCAGGGACATTAGTGCGCTTAGGAACAACCTGTATTACGATGAGCTTGAAGTCCTGGCAAATGTGTAGAAAAAAGGACGTACCTTAAGGTTGCGACCCTTGAAGACACTCTCATTGAGCACCAAAGCTTGTGCAACAAGACTTGGTTCAACAAACTCAACATACGCATACCTGCATAAACCTAGATTAGCATCCTTCTCTTGCCAGGTAGCGTTGATTACAATGACACTCGACAGAATTCGTCGAGGTATTAAGGAGCCAAATTTCGTAGAACGCACCCCTTAGGATGACCCGTGAACTTGTCAAGCAAGATTGTTACACGGTTAATAGATCCGCAACTCTGGAAGTGAGCTTGAATATCTTCTGGCGAAGCAGAATAATCGACATTTCCAACAAAGATACTGCGACTATCGATGTCTTCCTTATCTTCTCTAAGATCGGTGCTTTGTTGATCAAGGGTTGCCTGCATTTCTCTAAGCTTGGCTGCTTCCTCCTCCATCTCTGCGACTCGACGCTTCATGGCCGAGATCTCTTCCTAAGGCAACTGTCAACTGTTTGTTCCCAATGCAGGATCTTTCACTTTTTAAACCTACCTCATCATTATTATCATCATCGCCAGCCATAACCTGATCTTGAGGCTTTGGGTCCGTGTCTGCCATGATTTATTTAATTGTAGTTATATTGTTGCAGTTGTAAAATATTGTAAAGTAATTGAACCGGTGGGTATTTGAGGACAATCAAAGGGAATTGTTGATGAAAAAATAGGAGATTGCGATTCTGGAAGAAATCTTTATTAGCAAAAATCTAAAAAAAAACCGTGAGCTAGCCTTTGAAGATTGCGCAATCTTATCACGGAAAGGATTGGAAAGTGAATTGATCTGTTAGCATGATTTTTTAGGTATTCATCTCAACCTATTGCAGGGCAATTCTCGAATGTTGCAGAGGGTGGATGAATATTATGAAATATTGAGCCGTGTAAAAGATTGAAAGGGTATCGACAAAGATAAAGACTCATAGAGAATAACTCACCTAGAACGCTGATCGAATTGTCAAAGAATACAGAGTGCAAAAAGTTGTGGATGGAAAAATTGATTGATTGATATTGAGGTTATTCACAGTTGAATCACACAAGGCTACCAAACACATGTCTACAGCTCGGTTGCTGCCGTCTTTGGTACGCTTAGATAGTTCGGCTATGTGAATGAATACCTTAAGGCTTAAGCTAGGCGGATAAGCAATGCCAAGTTGAATATTCACTTCCAACAAGTCAAGGTATACATCATGCCAAAATCATCAAGGCCATTTCAAAGAATATCAATGAAATCAATATCATACTATGCTATACTATCATTCCCCTACCCAGCTAACAATCAGCTAAACCGCAAAAAGGATGGTACAGCAGCTGGAGCTTGCTTTCTACTATGGATACCTCACGATAAGAACTGCGCATGTACCACAACCATACCTCAAATACTGCAAAATCCCATCGCGTTCTGGGTATCTGAAGCTGTGAAATATATCCTCTCGGGCTTGCAGATAAGTTCTTTTAACCAACCAGACTTTTCCATGCTTACGATAAGGGCTATTTGAATTCTACCCAGACTCTCAACTCAAACATCAGAAAATCGCAGCATTATTGCGCAAAGGAAGCCGACAGAATCAATCCCCCTAAACTTGGAAGAAACATCAAATAAACCCATCAACTATTATCCAACCTCATTGAAATGTCCCGACGCAACTCAGACATTTCCGAACATGCTCCTCTAATCCGCGCCTCGTCCCAACCCATATCCATAACCTCTGAACTCCCCTATCACCACACTCCTCGTCTCTCCTTTTCTCGGCGACTCTCAAATGGCTATCGAAAGTCTCGAGGTTATGTGAGAAGCTTCTTATCCACTCGCGGTCAACATTACACCGTTCTTCTACTCGTCGCATGCGATTTAATTGGTATTTTCGCAGATATCGTTATAAATCTCTATCAATGTGATAATGATAAGGAAGGCAAGACCGATCCAATCTGGAATGAGGTGAGAGTTGGTTTGGGAATCGCTGGATTGGTATTCAGTTGTTTGTTCATGTTGGAATTGATTGCTAGCGTTTGGGCTTTTGGTTGGAGGTGCGTATTTTCTATCATTTTACACTGTTTGGATATAGGGATATATACGGAGGTGTAAAGGGGCTTAGACGGTGTGCAAATCACTGAAAAGTCTGGCTGGAAAACCGCTTTCTTTAAGGGACTTAGTTGATCCCCCTCAGCAAACTACGACGCCAATCTTCCATTCCACATGTCCAAATGCTATCTTCCTGAGTCTTTCCTTGCATCTTCTTTTATGTGTTACTATTTGTTTCACCTTAAGTCGTTCTCTAGGATTTTATACTCCTCTGTGGATGTCGTCACCTAAGCTAACAAATCATCCTCAGCTATTTCCGCAGTAAATTCCACTGCTTTGATGCCACTGTTATTGTTGCAGGGTTCGTCGGTATGTACCAATTTCACATCTCATTCAAACTCATTGTACCATTACATCCCTATTCCACATTCCACCTGACCTCCCCCAACTAACCCTCTTTCCAAATAGTCGATGTACTACTCCACGGTATTGTTGAAGAAGTCGCCTCCCTTGTGATCGTCCTCCGTCTCTGGCGTTTCTTCAAAATCATCGAAGAGTTCAGCGTAGGCGCCCAGGAACAAATGGATGTACTGGAAGAAAGAATTGAACAGCTTGAGATGGAAAACAAACAGTTGAAGAAAGAGCTCAGAAAGAGAAATGGTGGTGATAGTGATGAGGATTTGGAGAATGGAGAAAGAACAAGATAATAGGAATATTTTAATGATAGAATGAATGATGATGATGAAGTAGAAATGAAGATGAATGTATGTATGTATACATTGAATTGAATTGTAAGTATATCTCAGAGCAGACCATTCCCAGACTAAGAAGAAATACCTCTTTTCCCTCCTTCCCTTTGTCTTGATATATCCAAACCCAAAATTTACATTTTCATAAATAACCTACCTACCTAGCATTAATCTCACAGTGACATACACGACGTTAGAATTTACATCACAATCAAAATCAATCAGTCAGTCAGTCTAGTACCAGCCAGTACCTCCCTACCTAGTATTAATCACTATTTCATACTAATAATCGTACTATCATCCTAATCCTAATCCCAATCAACAATATCTAATCTAAATACATACCTACCCGAGATGCTTTCACAGCTGTATACTTAACGAACTACCTAGTACCTACCCATCTATATAAACAAGAAAAAGTTTCACAATTGTTATAAATGTCATTGAGGTTAGGTTAGGTTAGATTAGATTGTGAGATTTATCTTCTTCTTTAGATTAGTTGTTTGGTATTGTGATGTTGGATTTGGATTTGGATTTGGATGTGATTTGTGATATGTGATATGTAGTGTTTGAGCTGATGTATATTTAGATGGTAAATAATAAATAGTTTTTATTTATTTATTTTATATATATTTTTAATTGAGTATTTATTATATTATATAATATAATATTTAATAATTTAATTTTTTTTAATAATTTATAAAAAAATTCTTTTATTTTATTTTATTTTTAATTATATTAATTATAAAATATAAAAATATAATATCGTTAATATGAGATGAGTATATAGTATAAATCTAGGATTTGTTATGAACTTTATATTTTTATATGTGTATCCCCTAAACGCTAAATGCTGATGCTAACCCTAAATGCTCAATGCTAATATACACTTTCGTCATCTATCTATCTTACCTATCACTCACTCACTCACTCCACCCAACCATCTACAACCCAACATCTCCCATCACCACCAATTCTCCCCACTAAACCCCAACCGCAGCCCTAGCCTCTCTAATAATCCTCTCCAAATTCTCCCCTCCATCCTCCACCCTCACCGTCGTCGTCCGTTCAGGATGTCTCCCACACCTCCTCGGTTTACTCGGTTTACCCCTCCAACAACCATCTACGCCATCTCTCCCCTCTCTCCCCTTTCCCCCAAAATTTCCCTTCATCCCACAATATTCTCTCTCTAGTGGTCCTTTTTCCATAAATTCTCGTATGTGCATCCACAGTTCACATCTGCCTTTTCCACAATACCTACACATTTTCTCCGTCGATTTCGTGAATGCGTATTCAAGGTTATTGGGTCCCGTGCGGCGAGTGTTGAGGGGGAGAGCCGTGCCGTGAATGGCGCGGTAGATGAGATACGTGTGTCGGGATGTGAGGGCTAGACATGTTGCGTCGATAGGGTCTAGGTGGGAGAAAATTTCTAGTTTGAGTTCGTTTGGCAGGGTGGGAAGTGTGATTTTCTCTTCTTCCTTTTCTTTTGTGGATTCTTCTTTGGTTTCCTCTCTTATGGCTTCTTCTTTCTCTTCCATTTCCATGGCTTGTGAGAGTGATTGAGATACTTGGAGGAGATGTGAAGGCATAGATATTGGTACGATACTTAATCTTCTTGTGATTTCTGGACTTGGAACGATGGAAAGTCGACGGGTGATTTCGGGAGTTACTTTGAATTTCCAATTGCTTTCTTGGTCTTCTATGTCGATATCTCCGTCGACATCCACATCAACGTCTTCAGAATCTGAAGAGATACCTGAACAATTTTCGGAATTCTCAGTATCGGTATTGGGCAAAGATATACAATCCGCAGCTGCGGACGCTGGAGAATCGAGACCAAGACTAAGACCAGATGGAGGAGTAGCCATAGTGAATGTAGAAAAAGTCATCAGATTCCTCAACTTGGATTCTAGACCCAGATTAGAGGATGAAGGGTCCGAGCTTGTGGTCCCATTTGGAGATGAAGAAGTGTGGGGAGACATGGTGAATTTTTTGCTTTTCAAAAGATGGGGTAATATGATATGATGAATTTCTTGGGGTCGTTTGATCAAGGAAATATGTGTAATATGTGTGTTTTCTACACAAGTTTGTTTGGCGACGTTGATGAATCTTGTCAAAGATATATCTTGAGATTGAAGAAGATAGATGATTCAGAACGCGGTGTTGTCTGATACTTGTGTCAGTAAATAATTCAGATTGTCCAAAGGTTGACTCACTCTTACTACCTGGTTGAATGATGAGTCTGTGGAGACGGTACCCGTCGATACCCTCTTCCGTAACCCTATAACCTTATATATATCTCGTGATCTTCAGCTCTCGTGATTGTCCTATCGTATCGTATCGTATCGTATCGTATTGTATTGTATCAAACTTTAAGTCGAAATCGTATCCGTCAAGCTGAAATACCTTGGATACAATCGATGTATCGTCCAAAGGTACAAATACCACCTTCTTTAGTACGTACAGTCCCGCAGTCGACTCAAATCCCGCTTATCGTATAATCGAACCGTGTATAAAAAGATGTGTGTGCATGTAAAGTTATCACAAACCTCAAAACCCGACATCACTCACACCAATATATCCGTCCCCATCCATCCATCCTTCTAAGCACTCTAAATCTAACCATTTCCATACCCGTCATCCCCGGAGTCTCCCACATCCAAACTAAACATGCTAATCCGGAACACATCTCCCACTACCACTGCCACCGCCAACTCCAAAACTACCAGGAGCAACCGGGACCCAAAATCAAATCGACCAACCAACTAACCAACCACCCAACCAGTAATCATCCCTCTCCATCCGACGATGAAAACCCGGAGCTCCATATCCATTCGCCTCCTCAAACTTTCCAACCTCTTTCCTTCAAGGCTTCACCCAACTCGCAAATCCGACCCACATGATCGGACAAAAAGCGGATTGGAAACCCTTGATAGCGTAATAAATCCGATGGCTCACTCTTCGTTTAGAAGGGGAATCGTGGGATTTGGACATGGGGCATGACTCGATGATTAGGTAATCACATCCTTGGATGGATGATCGCACTGCGAGAGCTCTATCCTGTGCCGGATGGATATGCTCCGTAGGATTTGTTTATACAGACCGGATACTTAGGTAGGTAGATATACAAAAAGAATGACCCGATTCCATTGGATTTTATACAACCTTGGAACCTCCTCCGTACAAACCAGACGTCATTCAGTCCTCATTGGTCGAATTTTCTTGTCCGGCATACAGAGTAACTAACCAGGTCCTTTCGTTGTACTCCGTACAGTAACCAGTAACCTCACACCGACACTTATCCGAGCTTCCATTCATCACCCGCCTAGTAAGAACTTATATTCTTCATCCTCAACATAGCTGCTCACAGCTCACCAGTAACACACAGAACACTCCCTCCACAGTCTACAAGCTAAATGCTTATCTACTACTCACTCATACGCTATTTTTATTACGATATAAGTTTTCGTCGGAATGCTATCCTTATATACGACTTCTTACCTCTTACTTTGTTATATCCATATCTACATCTACATCTACATCTATCCCTACAGCTACTTGCATATCCATCCATAGTAAGTCTTACATACAAAATGCCACCCGAGTTATATTCGGTCTCAACTACTCCGTAGCGATTCTCACTGGGTGTCAGATCAAAATGACTTCCTATTTCTATCTCTTTGAATCATTCATTACCTTAGGTATGCTACACAAAACTTGCGAAATCAGTTCATACATTCACTCATTATGAGGAGTAAGCCGTTAAACTGTAGACACTCAATCCATGGATAACTTAGCTCAACTCATGGCATCAAATGAAACGGTAATAATGAAATGAATTGAATAGCATATATGGTATAAATGCCCAAAAAAATCATCATCAAATATTTATCATTAAACCTTCTTGCTGCCAGTATTTTCTTCAATCGACAGTTCATCCGATCCCATCATGCGATTGCGATTGAAAGCAAGCGCAAAGAGTGCAAATCATGTACCCCATACCGCAAGCCCTCGATGTATTTCCATTTCTCCCCACACAAAATCTGTAATCATCCCTCTATCATCCGCTTCGATATATTGACCTTACCATTATATCGTCCCCTAGAATCCTCCCCAAATCCATCTCTAATCCCCAAACCCATCACAAGCATCAAACCCCAACTCTACAACGAAATCCAAATAACACTAATAACCACATCCAAACCCTTCCCCTCACCACCCTCATACTTAAAACTCCACATCCCATCCGTCTTCTCATTCCAATAAGCTCCCGTCGCACTATGCATTCCCCTCCTTCCAACATGGGGTTTACCATCTGTACTCTTCGCTTCTCCTTTCGCATCACTAGTTGTTATTTTCGCATCATCTGTTGTTTCTTCTGTGGTAATTGGGGGCGAAGCTTTAGATTTATTGAGTGAGGAGGTAGGAACGAGATGTTGGATGATGGTGCTGTTGACTGCGTATTTGAAAGAGGGGGAACCGCCAGTTGAGGGTGTCGATTCGGAGATTAGGGATTTGAGAATTGAATTCTGGCGGGTGAGAAGTGGTTAGTGGTTTTCTTTTCGCGGATTGGTTCTTTAGTAAAGCGAAGGTGGAAAACGTACAATGATTGTAGTATTCCAAGATTCCGTCTTGTTATGTTCGTAGAACTCTGCACTTCCAAGTGCATTCTGACACGCCTATCATTTGATTCTCAGTACTCCGTCCATCCATCCATCCATCCAAAAACTTCACCGACAAAATCCATGTTGGTAGTTATCTAACAAGACTCACATCATTTGCGATTTGTCTCAATCTTGTGTATGAAATGGGCTAATAAATGGCAGACATAGTTAGCCAAATCTCCAAATCCTCTCCTTACAATCCCGTCGCGACTAAAACTTACAGGACTGGCCATATTTGCTTTCTCTTGTGTATATGATGTAATAGTATAGTATTGATAATCAAATAATCAGCTTAACGCACTCGGTCTAAATGCAGGTAGTTGAATCTTTCCGTTTAGTATGAACGAGGCTTGCTAGGTAATGGACTTGATTTACGGCACTTAACCCATCCAGAATCACAACTAGGGGCAGCTAGCTTATCGGTTTTGCAATTCACGTGTTGGAACATCGCTGATTGGTTAATAATGGTTATGCGGTATAGCTAAGATCTTACAAGCATTGGCCAATGATATTACATCTGTGGAAACGTGGTGGAGAGTGGGGCATATTTTATTCCATTACTGGGTTCTGTACTAGGTAGGTAGATGAAAGTTATACGAAAGTATGTAAGTAGAGTTTCTGAAATCCAGGTTTCTTCATAAAATCACCGCTTTGGAAATACAGTTGATTTTTTCTCTATCAATAAGGCTCCGGCGAATCGAATAGGTTGTACGAAGGATTAAGGAGTTCAAGGAAATTATCTCACCTACCTAGTTATACGATTCTATTAGAGCGACCGTGAAAGATATTTGATCTTTATCGATATACCTCTCACACACATTCATTGGCAAATATATCTCAGTCAAGATGTCTAGCCAACCCCTTCTCCAAACTGCGCCTGGTTAGTTTCTCTCTCATCTCCTCATAACACCCTCACAAAATAGCACAACAATCTTCATACTCATCCCCAAGCACCTTTGATTCTCACCCCCAACATCCCACGCACGCAACCTCCCTCCCTCCATCCACCACCCTCAATCCAGCCCCCTCAAACCCCCATCTCCATCCCTCACCCCAACTAACCTCCCCGCTCACAGGAAAACGCATCGCACTCCCCACGCGCGTAGAACCCAAAGTATTCTTCGCGAACGAACGCACCTTTCTCTCCTGGCTAAACTTCACCGTGATCCTCGGCGCTCTCGCCATCGGAATGCTCAACTTTGGCGATCGTCCTGCCTTCATCTCCGCATCTATTTTCACCGTCATCTCCATGTTGACCATGGCATACGCATTATATACGTATCACTGGCGCGCGAAGAGTATTAGGTTGAGGGGACAGGGAGGATTTGATGATCGCGTTGGTCCGACGGTTTTGGCGTTGGTTTTGTTGGTGGCCGTTGTGGTGAATTTTATTTTGAGGATTGTTTATGGGAAGGATAGAGAGTAGGGGGTTGTTATGGGGTTGAAATTTGAGGGGGATGGATGGAGGGAGGTGATGTAGGAAGAGGTGGGAGGGGGATGGATGGAGGGAGGTGATGTAGGAAGAGGTGGGAGGGAGGGATGAGGGATGGGACGGGATGGGATGGGATGGGATTGACGGCGGAGAAACGGGTATATCGGAAGGTGATAATGGATGAGAGTGGAGGATGTTTGTGCAGGAGGAAGAGGAAGGGATGTCGAAATCGAGAAAGGAGGCATAATCATAACATTATGGAGTCAACGAGTCCGTTTACTGCTAGTGATTTCGTGGATGCGATACATCCAAAGCATGTATATTGGGCTCTCGGAGGGAAAATGTGGTTAGCCATTGAGCCGAGAGCGAGTGTATTTAGATTGGGAAATTCAGGCGTAATACATCACTAATAGTGATAACTAGCTTAGCCAGCACAGCACATATATGTATGCACATTTGAGTTTGAAATTAGGAAGCTGAGCTAAAGCTGCCATTTCATGTATTGGTACATCGCTAGTTGCATGAAACTCCGCTGAAATCGCTACCATCTTGCCACCCTTAAAAGCAAGTATTGGGTATGTCCATCCATGAATAGTTGCCTTCAACCCGAAAACGCCATGTTCCGTTTTAATTCCGTTCCATCCATTCCATCCATTCCATGAATCCATCCTCATAGCACAATACATCCATCCTTCTCTCTTAGCCATAAACTGAACTTGATCAGGTCAAAGCATTGGTTTGCTCTCTGTATATCCTCAATTAGTACCTATGCCACGCCAAAAGCAGTCCAGATGATGTGGTTATGCATACCCATAAATCTTTTTCAAACTCTCGATCCTAACTCGAGACAGGTAGAGACTTAGCGTAGCTACACCTCGAATCTTGGGTCTTTCCTCAGCTTCAAGTGCTCGTTCAAAAGGTGTTTTCATAACTTCAAAAGCTTCTTCCTCGCCGTCGTCCTTCATCTCTACATCTCCTTCCTCCTCTCCTTCCTTCTCGTTCTCGTTCTCGTCCTTCCCGATTTCTGTATAGCTCCTCGGAATAGTAGTACTCAGCTCTCCAACAACGTTATATTGAAACCATTTTGCGCCACTCTTTGCCAATTCCCGCTTCACTATCTCTGCAATCGAAATGAGTTTGCATGCAACAGGTGCTTTGGCAGACAAAAGCACGACGTGAGGTGTTGGATCAGAAAAAGAGAAGGTACTGAGAATGGAGAGGACATGAGAAGCCTTCTTTTGGATCTGCGAGGACGAGAGGATGGACATCTGAGTTGTTTGATGGGTGCGAGTTAGGTCGTGAGGAGCAGGGATTTGGCGCTGCGCGTGAGCGTTGACGGGAGCTACGGCGACAGGGACGGAGGGGAAAATGACATTTTGTGGTTGAGCTTGAGGGGCGGAGGTCGTAGACCGAGCTTTTTGGCAGGTTGTTTGGAGAGTGGTGGCGGTAGGTTTTGGTTTTTTGGAGGGGCGATCTTGATCTTGGAAGGTGGAGGGGAAATTTCCTTTGTCTTTGCATGCGCTCTCTGCTACTTCGCGTTTGCGCTTTTGATTATCTCTGTATTCTTTTCCGATGGGCCCTTTGCGGCCTACCATCTTGGTTCGCACCATTGCTCTTGTCGCCGGTATTGAGATTTTGAGGTTTTGTGCTCTGCGGTCCTACTGAAGTGAAGATAAAGGTGAAAGTTTCCAAGCTCGCGGTGGAAATGTGGCAGATTGAGGATAAAGCAAAACAAGTGAATAGAAGAGGCGTCGCTGATGGGATAGAAGTAAACAATAAAGAGTGTAAAGTAGATAGTTGTTAACTTTTGAGAGGAAGATCTGGAAACATCATTTCGATACCATCTTTGGAGAAGTTTACGTGGGTTGAAGCATCAGCATCAACCAGCTTCGGATAATTTTTGGGCAGCTTTTGGGGAGCATCGGAGGTCGGAGATTGCTAACAGACCAATCAAAAGCCTAGATTTGAAGGGATGAAGCGGTCATATCGGCCGTGTCCCCCAAAGTTTGAGAGACTTCTCAATGATAAAATAAATAGATCCGTCACTCATACCATTTCAATCTCATCAATTGTCGCATCCTGCTGTGTTCCTTAGCACTTCATATCTTCATCCTTCATATCTGCATCCTTTCCTCTATCCATCCCGCCATCTTCATAGATACACAAAGTGCTGACAAGAATCTCCATACAGAAACCCGAAATACATCGGATCGGGTATTCCACAATGTCCTTGCAGATGTTGTAGAATTGTCTTGCAAGGCTGGTCAAAATACCCCGATTCGTCGGAATGGCAGTGCCATTGTCCTGTCATGAAAAGGCGCATCTTTTTCTTCACACCGAGTACTACATGGATAAAGTTATCGATTAGTTATCGATTAGTTGATTCTTCATAGACACTGGGCGTTTTGCCGATATTAAATAGATAAGCACTTAACCTTCCCCTCATTATCATATGAGTGGAGTTTTAATCGTTGCACTTGTCTCATCAATGAACTACTTTCGTTTCATATCCGGTCACGGAAACCGTTTGCATTTGTATCATGAATTTGGAAAAACATGAATCATTTTTGATTTTCTCTCATTTCGTTTTTTGTTTAAGGCTACGCAGATGTTACTGTCGCAAGCCTTGTGCATATCTGCCGGTAAAATGGTGTACAGTATCAAAGCACGACGCAAGATAGCATTACGAAAAATTCCCCATGGGACCAAAAATGCGCAGCCTCCCGAGGAGGTTGATGTTCATACACACCTAGTAATATCAAACAAGGGTAGCTGCCCAAGATAGTCTCAGATTGCAGCCGTTTGACTGGACTTCGGGAGTCTCCACGCCTCTCTGCCCTGGTCTCAATTAATAAACTGTCAAGCCTAGACGAGCCAATATCAAGGAAAATTGGAATACGAAGTTACGAAAAGTGTGTGATCGTATCGTATGTCGATTTGAGAAGTTTCTATGATACGGCCGCTGTGTAGGTTTATCCACGCGGCCTTCTTGTTGTCTATTCGGGACTGATGGGATCGTCAAAGTACATCCGTAGACTTACGCACGGTTGTTATTAAAAGGATGCCAAATCGAGATAATTTCTGGGGCAGCCTTCTGAAAAGCAACAATATCATTGGCTCACACTTTTAGCAAATGGTCGAGAACTTTATGAGTCAGTTTTAGAATAGTGGAAAGTAACCTAAAGGCTCAAAGGAATCTAGGTTCAAGTACGTATGAAGTGTATACGCATCAAGAATATGCCGAGCTGTGTGAATAATATATATCTGTGTAGAAGAGTGGGAATCACGTTAACACCGCAACATACGTCGCAAACACATCATACCTATAGTGGATTCTATCCTTCATTTATATAGAATTTCACATGCGCTTCCCCTCTACTTCCTCTCCCCTTTTTCCCATGTTTGATCTAGTTTTGGATCATGCGATAACACGGATGAAATAGTACATTTCACTTCTTTTACCCATATATTTTCATGGGTCTAACATCTTAAAATGGGTCATCCATAGAATAAAAGAAGGGATAGAGAGAATGGAAGATTATCCAATTATCCTTGAAAGGATTAGTCTTTAAATGGGGGAAACAGGGTTAATGATCTTATCATCCAATTATATTCCACAGTTATTTTCATTCCAAGATATTCCAAGCAAATAATAAAGAACCCACCTTAATTGATGTAAGCACATATCGAATCCCAGTTATTTTATCCTTGCCACTTGCATTCATTTCGCATAGAAATAGGATGCTTAATTTAAATTATTATTCACGGGCATTACGGGTGGTAGGTAGTTACTACCTAGTGAGCATTACTTTTTACGGGTCAGCCACTGAAGTGAAGTTGGACAGTGGATTGAAGTGATGAGTTTTAGTTAACTGAACTGATGATTGAACGATGATCCAAAAGAGAAAAAGAGGGTCTTTTGGAGCTCTTCAACTGCTGCCACACTCTCACCTAGCTACAGGGAAGTCCTATAGGCTTTTCTTAATTCCTTAATTTCTGAAGAATCACTGATTCCTTGACTCTTCTGCTCTAAGCTACTACCATTTACATCATTTCACGCTATAACCTCCTTACGAATCTCTTACAACCACCCATCATCAATCAACTCCTTCAACTCTACACCTTTTTTACAAATAACAAATAACAAATTACAAATTACAAATTAACAAATCTACAACTTTACAACTCTACAACTTACAGCCAAAACAGCAACCACAAAACTGTACACTACCACTCCTGCTAGATATTTACTCGATTAAACTCCGGATTTCCAACAATACCCTACCTATCTCAACGAAACGTATTGAAAACAGCTTCTTTTTTTGTCATGATTCAAAATACATACGACTTTTTTACGAAAAACTTTTAATAATTCACTCTTTTTTCCTCAACCTTTTTCTGTTATTCTGCTCGAGTACCTCAACTTTACCTAGGTATCAATTCATTTGTAATAAATAGCAGAACAAAAAAAGCATTCGACTTTTTCGCCGCTTTGTTGATTTCTTTTACCGCCTCTGTTCTTCTTCACTCAGAACACCTTGACACCTTCACGCCTCCATATCACTCTTACTTCATTCAGAGAGCGAGCGCAAGAGCCACCCCACGCACAACTAGACAAACCCACGTACCAACGAAACGAACAAGAAAGGCTTCACTCAATTAGCCAACCAACGAGAACCAAAGAGCGATCGACCAAATTTCCCACCCACCTGATTTATTAATTCGCCTTCTTCACTTTTCGGCCTTACTGTACCTATCGTCCGTATACGGTACATCAAATCATCAAATACATACCAAACCAAAATCAATACGCCAACGCCTCCTTTCTGGTTATTCCTGAACCAACTAAACTCGTTTCATTATTCCATTCCCATTCCACAACATCCCTCCCGCTCACGACACACCCCCCAATTTGGTCCGTATCCCCATTCACACACACTAGGTATCTCCACATACCTACTACCTCCACTACTGTCTTTACTACCTACACACACTACCACCTACACTACTTACCTACACGGTCGCAACATTATTTCAATTGTCAAGGACATTCAATCAAATCATACCTTCCACCTTCCACCTACCACCACCTACCATCTACCATCTACCATCTACCACCTACCCAACAACCAAAAAAACACCTTCAATCACAACAACCTTTATTTTTCTTTCTCATAAAACAAATCACGACAAAAGCCAAATTCATACGGCATAATTTCAATTCTCACGCAATCCTTTCTAAACAATTATTTTACACAATAAACTTTTATAATTGATTTTATTTCAACTGTACAAAATCCTCGGCACGCTTTTTTTAATAGACTTTCGTTCCGTCACTTTTAGGGAGGTCCTTGTCACAATCATCGACGTCAGACCGCAAACTTAACGTACGGCAGCTCCAAGTGAATTTTGAGTTTTACCTCGACCACTTTATCAAAGCGCAATAATAAGTCGGCAACTACGGGCGCATTGTTTACTGGTTCAATAATAATAGTGCCTGGTCGCACATTCTCTAAAATCACATCTCTATACTTCCCATTTATATGCGAATGTTTCGTTTGCCGTGTTGGATCGCTGAATCCAGGGGTTGCGATCAAGTATTAGATGGAGAAAGAAAACACATCATGGCAAACACCCGTCTCTACGAATGCCCCAGTCCTACGAAACGGAAGAGAAGTAGTAGTCCGAATGTTCCGATGCCCGTCTTGAACACTCCAACAGTTCAAGAAGTGAAACGAAGGAAGCGCGAAATGTCCGAGGAAGGTTGCCACTCACCTAAGACAAAGGAAGATGTCGAGGTGACGGATAGGAAAGAACAGATCGTTGATCTCGCTTTAGTTCGAGAAACAATCGACTCTGAACTCAGCCTCGAGATACTCATGAAGCATAACGAATTGCGCCTAATCGAGACCGAGCTGGCCAAATGTCAGGTCTCTCTCGAACAGTTACGTCGCGTTCACTTAATACCATTTCCAGGCGTTCAAAGTACTGGAGCCCAAGTTTCGTCCGAGTCGATGGTCAATGTTAGTGCTGGTACTGGTCCAGCAGTCTGGAGTGGCGACAAAGTTCCGAAATGGGCTCCACCATATGGAATTACGGAGGGGCCCTACACGAGACATTGGGCAAAATGGTTAATTCCCGACCCGGCTTTTGATGGTATAGATGTTGTTGATTCACGTGTAAGTCCAGGAAGGCCACGCGCCGGTAAGATGGTACCGGAAGGGAGAGCTACTAGAAATAGTATCGCTGATGGAGGTAATTTTTCAACTAAATCCAGGTCACATCGTGGATCTGGTCAAAGTTTACAATCCCTTCCCAGCGGTCACACTCAACAAAAGAAAGCCGGACCATCCATTCTCAAGCGTAGTGATGGTAAAACTGTGAAGCTTGTCTGTTTGGATTGTAATCGCGAAGATTTCTCCAGTACTCAAGGTTTTATCAATCATTGTCGCATTGCTCATCATCGTGAGTTTAAGAGTCATGAAGAGGCTGCTCAAACTAGTGGACAGATTATCGAAGTCGATGAGGTCGGCGCGACTCCTGTCTTGGAGAAGAGCCCAAGTGTAGCAACTGGTGATCTCGTTCATCCTCTTATCAAAAGTGCGCCGGTCGATCAAGAAGCTTATACTGCTCTCCTTTCTCGTATCGATGATTCTATGAATCTATATCTACAAGGCAGACTTCCCGGCGTGACATCGATTCCTGGAAGTGCAAACTCGTCACCACAAAAGCAAGTCGATGTGAAGCCCAAAGTGCAACCTTCAAATCAAAAATTCGTACCATCAACTGCTACACCTCATCTTTCCGAATTGTTGAAAAGCCGAGGTTTTGGTGGTGATCTTGATGAAATAGTTGGTGATGCGATAACACGTGTTACCATGGATGAAGCTTCATCATCTGATGAGGAATCTTCTGATGATGAAGTAATCGAAACACCAACTGCTATTCCTTCACGCCGTCCCGGTGGGTTTGATGGTTCAGTAGATACACCGATGACTGGTATGCGTCTACCAGCGCGGGCTACAATGTCACCAGCACATTTTGGTAGACCTACAAGCAGTAAAGGTATTGATGCTTCGGCGAGATCTGGTCTCGCCCACATCTCACCTCATCTATCTTATGCTACCCTCAATACGTCTATGGCCGCACCAGAAATCAGACATAATCGTCCACAGCCTATCAATACCCGAAATCACGATCATGATGGAGATATTGATATGGCTATGGTTATTCCAGATGCATCCTCCATTATTGACCTCAGTCCCAATACGGTTGTTAGTAACAACGCTCCGAGTCTCGTTAGCGATGATGGAGAATATGATGAAGGTGATGATGATGCAGATAGTGTATCATCAGAGGATGCTGACGAGGGTAGTGATGTAGCTGAAATCGACATCGAGGATGGAGACGGGGAAAAGGTGGTTGGAAGGTCGGTCTTGGGGAGATCTCAGGATCGTAGTTCAAAGAAAGATGATAAACATGTTACTTTTGTTCGGGAGGTTCCAGGGGATACAAATTCAAATAATGCTGCAAATAAGAAAGCAAGGCAAAGGCAATAGAAATTCAGAATCAGCATCAGAATAATAGGGAGAATATTAGGATGAGTGTGGAGTGGAATTGAATGGAATTGAAATGATATTTGTGAGCGTTGCATTTTTATTTTCATTTTTATTTTTATTTTAGTTAAATGTTAGCTGAGATATAATTTATTTCCAGATTTAAAGATTTAGATTGGTGGACTATGATGTTTTTGACGATTTTGACTTTTTGGATTTTGCTTTTTATAGCGTTTGTCTTTGGTCTTTAGTCTTTTGTCTTTTGGTTTATTTTCTTTGCAAGCGTTTCTTCTTCTCTACCGTACTCTACCCTACTCTACTCTTGATCTTGATTGATGAGGTTAACTTTGTTTATTTTTAACTATTATGAAATTCTTTTATAAATGAAGAATGGAGAAGTGTGGGGGAGAAATGGGAAGTGGGATTATATTATAACAGGCAGGATGGATGGATGGATGGATGGATGGATGAATAAATGAATAAATGAATAAATGAATAAATGAATAAATGAATAAATGAATAAATGAATAAATGAATAAATGAATAAATGAATAAATGAATAAATGAAATGAATTGAATTGAATTGATAAGCTTGAGATATAATGAGATAGCTTGTAATGACTTGTGATAACTTATAATAGAATATTTGATGATAGTATAAAAAAGATAAAAAAAGATATAAAGAAAAACAATTAATTGTATTATATAAATCTATAATTTCTATTATAACAATATCACTTTTTATTTATAATCATTTAAGAAATAACATTGAGATATTTATAGATCATGACTATATAGTTATAGTTTTCTGAGAGTCTTTTTTGGTAATTTGGTTTAGTGGGAGGGAGTTCAATGATTAAATGCTAGCTTACTCGATTGTTGTAGACTGTTGGTTTGCTGAATTGATGATGTGAATTTAGATGTTGGCAAAGTATGCGGATAACAAACAATAATTAAGTACTAACTAAACACGAATTAATAGATGGATGGATGGACTTTTATGCAGTTGAGTTGGCCACTGACTGATATACGGGATTCAATAACATTACATGCCGACCAAACAAAATCCAGATCCTATGGAAATCCCATTAAAGTCATTAAACAGCAGTGCTAGCTAGGTACTGTATCAAAAGTACCCCTTACAAACTTGACGCAGCTCAATGAAAGTACAAGATAAGATTCAATAATAGCACAGGTATTAAAATATCCATTCCATAATCCCTAAACTCCATCCTCAGCGCTCCCCTATGTACAGTATTTACTCCTACCTTCCCCCTTCTCTTCCCCTCTTCCCCTAGCGAACTAACATACAAACCGCCAACATGCCACTAGCCAGAAACAACCGCCTGAGAAAGAAAATCGTTCTATTCGGGAGCGATACGCTGTAGCTGGATACTTATCATTCCATGATAGAGCATTGTATTAATAGGAAGGCAAGTCAAGAAAAAAGAACTACGTCTTTCCAGCTTGAGCAAGTTGTTCCCCAAACATGCTCTCGACTAATTCTCCGCCTCTGATGGCGAGAATTGAGAGGAGAGAATCGGACAACTGTTTCGGGTTAGTATTTATTCATTTCTTCGTATAATCAAAACATATGAACGGAGAAAAGGAAAGAAAGGAAAGAAAGGAAAGAAAGCATACCCCATGCGTCGACTCATTACAACCCTGCAACCAAATCCCCGCCTCATTTTTCACACGCCCCTCTACCATCTTAACTCTATAATCTCTTCCAACAGTCCATTTACCTTTAACTAAGCCATTCTCTCCTTTAACATCACTTCCCTCGCCAGTAGCAAGTTCTTCACATCCTTCCAAAATACTAACATGAGCATCTCTTCTATATCCCGTAGCTGTAAAAATATAATCCACATCTAATTCCTCTTCTACCTTTTCATCTCCATCTTCAGTTACAATCTTCAGGCGTAAACTATCATGAGAAGGAGATGTAGTTGCGGAAATAACACGTCGATTTACGATGATGGCTGCGCGGGGTTCGGCTCCAGTGCGTTCACATTTAATGCGTTGGATGTAAAGTTTTTCGTAAAGATGCTCGAGGAGTTCTAGACGTACTACTCCATAGTTCGTTGCGCGGTCAAGAACGATGCCGGCAGCGCGGAGGTGGGAGGGTCGGTTGTAATGAGGTGTTACGCGGTCAGGATCGAAGATCTCGTTTACGCTTTTGGGTGTTAGTTTTGTGATATGTGGAAAAAGGGTGGAGGAAGATGTGATGAAGAATGAAGAAAACTCACAAAGGACTATCATCACTTGGTCTCAAACTCTGTCCCTTGACAAGCAAATTAACAGTAACACCCGTCTCTTCACCAAAACGTTCCCATAAATCATTATAAATCTCGGCAGCACTCTGTCCACTACCAATAACAGCAAATCTCAATGGTTTTCTAGTTTCCCTTTGCAACTTCTCAATCTTTCCAATATTGGTAGCAAATTGAGAAGAATGTAACACGCAAGGTTTGTTTTGGAGAACAGGTGGAATGATAGGTTTTCCACCAACAGCAATAACTACATGACGAGCAGAATGAGTGACAAGTTCACCCGAAGGAGAAGAAGAAGAAATAGTAAACGAAGGAATCTTTCCATCCTCAGCTGAAGGTGATGAAGGAACCACCGACTCCACATTTGCACCATATTTCACACATCCTTCTTTTTCAAAATGGCTAGCGCACCATCTCAAATAATCTTCATATTCCATACGACTTGGCAGGAAAGTGCTCAAGTTGATAAACGTATTCAACCTTCCCTTACAATGCAAATAGTTGATGAAAGTAAACTTGGATCGGGGATCTCTAGGCGTAGCTAAATCTTTCAAGAACGAAATTTGCATTCGCGCACCAGGAAGTTGCATACCCGCGTGCCAGGCAAACTCGGATTGCCTCTCTAAGAAAAGAACTTTTGGTGGAGGCAGCGAAGATTTGGAGTAGGCGTCGTGGAGAGCGATAGCAATGGCGAGGGAGGCCGGACCGAACCCGACGCAGACTAGGTCGAGAGATTCAGAGGAGGGGACGCCGGTGAGGGTTTGGTTTGGGGAGAGGGAGAGATTATCCATCTTGAGGGAAGACATGATTTTTTGGCCGTTGATGGCAACGGGACGTAGTCCTTCTGGGGAATTGCTTGTGCTGATTGCTGAAGGAGCCATCTTTTTCCTTCCGATTGTGAGGAAGAGTGTGGTAGATGGGTTATAATTGTAACGTGATCAAAACTACTGATCAAGTGATATCAAGTGATATCTATGTGTATATCTGCTTCCCAAAATTGCAAAGTAGTATGAAGACGATTTTTCAGAATGCCTCCACGACTCGTATCGCCAAAAACCCAGCAATGAAGAATGATTTTCTTTCCTTTTTTTAAAAAAGAAAAAATATCTACCCAGATGCCAAATACCATACGATACAAGAAATACAAAGGTACTTCTCTCACAAAAAGTGCTTTGCAATCCGAAAATTCTGATTGGAAACTTATTGTCCTAATAGTTTCGTGCGACTTGTATTGTACACAGGAGTGAACTTTCGTGCGTCTGTATAGGTCCCTGATGTGTAGATCGGTACAAATCTAGAAGTATTGGAATGTACCACTGGTTTTGGTGGTGATTGCGTCGAAGTGGTGGGTTTGGTGAAGAAGTATGTAGTTTGGAATATTCAATTGGGTCAGTTAACGAATTGGACTCAATTGGTACAAGTGTGCAGCAGCCCAAGATAAGTTGTTAGGATATTTGGATAATGAAACGACCAAGGTAGAGGATATTCCGATAATGAGGGGTTTCTGGAGTATCTAAATGGATAAATGTCGATGTAAGAGGCGTTGTATTAATTCCGGATATGAGATAATCGAACAAAAAGTGATGTCGTCAATGATGTCGAGTAGTGCAAAGGCGAGTGTGAATAAAGGCTAATTGAAAAAGGTAGGTGACGCAACTGCAAAAAAGTGTTAATGCTGTGGAGTAAAAGGATATAGATAGATATATGTATGTCCTTGTCAATAAAAAAAGGTAAATATGGTTCCTGAAATATTGTGTAATAGAATCTCGAATCAAAAATTCATTTACCTTAGCAAGAACATTGGGGACTATCGACATCAAACACTACTATCCTAGAACATGTACGCCAAGAATTTTTAATGTCATCGCTTGGTACAATGGCAAGTTAGCATGTGTATATTCTGATTCCAGAATGGACCTTTTCCGACTTTTTATGGGTCTGTAAGAGATGGTTCATGGGTGATGAGAATGATATTGTAGGGATCGTGGGCAGGAACGGTGAATGAGGATACGGAAGGTAAACTTGGTGTAACCTTTGAAGGAGGGTGAATGGACTGAGTAGCCGATGTATGAGACGATTCATCGTCTGATTTCCAGATATTCTGCGTCGGAGATATTTCCATTTTCCAGTATTGCATTTTAGATGCTCTCTATATCCTAACATTGGAGATTAGCTGTGTAGACAGAGCTGGAACTTTCGGGGAGCTGTCTAATTGACAACTGCTTAGGGTTACCAGAAAATTACCATTCGTACCGGTACATATTCAACCCAGCAAGATTCTACCATGCTATCTCTTCATCACTATCGTTACCTTTTCCCATCATGTGGAAAGGCCGGAGAAGCATGTGAACGCAGCTGCATAACTGCAAGGTGTTCCTACAAATGGAGATGGAGAGCTTTCAGTGAAAGCACCGGTGGGGCACCAGTTAGATGCACCTCGACAAGTTTTCTAATTTCTCCACTTATCAGTTGCCAAGAGAAATTATCTGATCTGATCCGTCCCGAAAATTTGTAAAGGCATGACGGATAAATGCGGGAGCAAGGGAGTGTGAACTTTGAAAAGCGCAAATATTTCAATCATTGAAACTTTTTAAATCAATCTTTCTCCACTCCCGACATCGGTCCACAGCGTTGGTCACCCAACCCATTCCCCGTCAAGTTTCGTACTCGTTATCAGATCAATTGGATTCTCCACTTCTTCCAATCTAAATGGTCGACCTCTTAAAGCTAGTGATGAAAATTTTTTATCAGATGGAAAAGATAATCATAATCCTTGTTAATATCTTCTTTATGCCTGCCACGAGTAGGTTGTGTTAGTCTGCTATGGTCACAGTGCAGATCTCCTAGGTTCAAATAGGCATGTCGAAAGCGACGGAAATTCCGCTTGCTTTGAATAACTAAGATTTTCCCATTCATTGACTAGAAGTGGATGTAAGTAGGAAGACTTCTGCTGTCCTAGATTTCGCAATGTGGGATGATGCAGGTTGTGCTCGACATGGGATTCATAACTTCAAATGGGCGGTCGTAATGTAGTGGAGTCACCACGTAAAGAAAACCTATATATTTACTCGGTACTGGAGAGCCATATTGCAAACAGAAATAAGCAACCTGAAAAGTGGATAAGAGCCGTGCATAATTTTATTCATGCTTGACACCAAGTCCCGATCCAAGGAGGTGTCAGCGGCGGTGTGATCATTCATCGGAATAATTTTGAGATCTGAAGTTGTTGCATTATAATGGGACTTGTGTTGGATGGCTCAAGCTGGATAAAACTTGTCACGATGATTCGGGACCGATAGGATATAACTAAATCTGCCTAATCCGGAGAAAAAAGAATCGAATCCGCTAATGAAAGTGTGGTCCATAAACGGGAATGTATCGCTATCGTAAGGGTCGCATCGTCTTCTTATCTCTAAGCCGTTGAGTCATCAGCTGTCCGTGGTTTCATACTGTGCTCTGTAACACCGTGGAATAATCCATCTATCCATGGTAATGGAATAGTAGTATTGAAAAATCGAATAGAAAGGTTGCGGTTTGTGTCATTTCTCAACATAATACGGCCTAAAACTCACACAAAACTCAACCTTGGGCTCTAATCTCGTCTTCATAAATACAACCACCTTCGTGAACCCGCTCCACAATCGAAAACTTGAATGTCATCTGAATTCCGAAAGGTGGTGAGGCAATGCGCTGACATTATTGTAGTCCGTCTCTGAGAGACAGTTTGATGGCCTCTTAGATTCTGAGCTTCGGAGTGAGAGTCTATAGCAAATATCAGATTTTGATTGCTTGATTCGCAGATTTGGCTTTTCTACCAAGAGCTGAAGTAGATGCATCAAAACAAAATCTCTGGATCACAAAATGTATGCCCGAGTTATCACAACTTCTTCTCTCTGCTTTCCGAAAAGGTGAGAACCAATTTACACCACATTATGCAAAGACAATTAGCACGCTCTGATCTGCAAACAAGATTGTGCACAAGTTTAATGACCATCGTGCAATCCGTTAACAGAGTCATCAATCGCGACAGATTTGCAAGCAGCTTTGACTTCCTCCATTATCATCCTGTGACCTGTTTGAGCCTCTAACCAACATTGAACGCTATGCTACTCGGAAACAAGCCAGGATCCTGCGTCACGAGACTGAGTTGAGCTCGATGTTGGAACACGAAAACTCTCCTGCGATTTATCCCCAACGAGGAGAATAACTCCAGATATTAAGTCGTAAGATCTTTCCATCAACAAGATTGTTGAAGTCCTAGCAACTCCTAATCTTCCGACAGAGCAACTACTTCCCCAGCTTTCATGGGAAAGTAAAGAGTGGTGAGTATTGATGCGTTGGCGCGTATTTGCAACCAGGACCGAAATTCTGGAACTTGATTCTATTCATAGGAACGGCCGATTCGACAATAGAAGTTCTACCTGGAAAGGTTGCCGCGGAGCCGCAATAATTGGTAAGGTCAATGGTTGGTTTGTCCTCATGCCTTTTAAAGGCCCGAGATGCAGCGCCCCTCCGCCCTGCAATTATCCGGGTCCAGGCTAAGCACTTTCTCGCCGCCTGAGTCGAGGACAAAATGGCAAGAAGAGCAGGAGAGACCTAACGACCAGAATGACATTCCTTTCTGAATTACTCGGCTTCCTACCAATAGGCAAGAGCATATCTGAAATAGCTGGAAGTCGGTCAACAATGTGCTTCATCAAATGAGGCAATTACTTACGTGATAGCTAGCGCAAAGGCGAGAAGTATATTGCCAAACGATATGTTCTTCAAGTTCCGTTCTCGATGTTTGGTAACTGTAGCTAGAGACTTACCTGCTACAGCTGTGATACAAACTGCCGCAGAAGCTTCGTACAAACGTTGAAGCGTCAATATATACTGCTTCGTACCTCTTCTGTTTGAATCGAGACATGTATTCTGAGGTTGCCGGCGAGTAGAAGTACTGGAAATATAGCGAAAAGAACAATGCCAATTTTCCAAGCCACGGCATGTGCCAAAATGCGCTCATAAACGTCCCATAACAGCTTCGTTTGGCGCCAAACTCATCGTATTAATTGGATTGGCGTGATGAGAATTTGTCAAACCATGGAAGGAATTACCGCAATGACGAAAGTTTTCCCTCAAAAGGCGGATAAACATCAACGACGGCAGCAAATTTGATGGTGATTGCAGTAAGAACTATTCAACTGTTGTATGTGGTTAGAATCTCATCGATCAGACAGAAAAGATACACTAACGTGCGCCAGAAGTAATTGCAAGCATCACGTCCCGAAATGAAGCGAAACTGGAACTCCTTCAACGGCTCAAAGAGTGCGATATAAGTGAATTCACGAATAACATCATGTTTGAATGATAAGTGTCTCTACCGCGTGGCGGAATTGGCCTTCTTTAATATTCTGATGCAGTGTTCAATCTGAGGACGGTGTATGCAGCTTCTTCACTCAAATCAGAGCGAGCGCGACTTTGCGGTGGCTGGAGTCTGGAAAGGGCAAACTATGCTAATTTTACATGGATTGAAGCTGTCACTGTTCCGTTAATACGCCGTAGATATTGTCACATAAATATCGTCTCTTAGTCTGCGTACCGGAATACTGAATTGTGATGAAAAACAGTATAATATTAAAAAGAATTGAGGCAAGAATGAGTGATGGCGACTGAGTAGCAGAAGAGTACCTATAGGTAGCACCACAGTACGAAGATGACCGATGAATTAAAGGAACTACCTTTGACGCTATAACAGTTGTGCCATAGTAAAAGGAGCAAAGTGTAGTATGGAGAAGGGTGACTAGCATCGGCATTGTAAATCCTAGCAGCGGAGGACAGTCCACAAGCCAGGTAGGGCACGAATATGTCTAGGAACTTAATAAAAGTGACAGCAAACTGCATAGACGTGCTGGGAATAGCAACCGCCACGACACGACACCAATGTGGTGTAGAATTTCACGGCCATCTCCGTGTCTATCAATGTTGATGAAGTATAAGACTGATATTTTGATACATTCAGTGACATTCAATTGATGATCCAAGGTAGGGAGGTGGATGAAAATCAGACTTCTACCTCATCCGAGGTTGTTCCAACTTTGGCTCCTGCCACGAAGGTTTTATCTGTGCGAAGTCCTCCACCCCAGCAGCGAAGGAAATGTAAGGTTAACCAATCATGGAAACGCCAGCGCTGAGAAAGTCTTCCTCCATGATTAAAGGCGACTTTTGGGATAGTCGGCAAACTTGTGATATCAGTCAAGTAAGATATTCAACCATACACGGAAGCATGTTTGGTATCGTTGCGCCATTTACGTACTTCGAAGGTCGGTTGCGCGGATCAGATTAGATGAAAATTTTCATCTGATAAGATCAAAAACATCAGCATTTAGCAAGCATCAGTCCCTCACCTATTTTACCCTTGTTGCTGTAAGTATGACTGGCCGCCGCTGACATGGGTCACTGCATTATTAGCTCAGAAAAACTTGAAATCTTGCATTGGTAAAGTGGGCGATGCAATAATAACGGTTGGTTTCTCTTTTGCCTCTTGCCTCTCTTTTCCATTCTAGGCGATCGGCACTTCAACGGGAATCAAGTGTTGAGTGAAAAAAGACTGCGGAGGCTTCTCTCATGATGTCTAAGTCTAAGAGATTTAAATCTGTTGTCGAATTTGTAGGTCTTGTGGTGATAGTAAAGTACCTAATACTCACTTCTGGAGAATTGTTGTTTGTGTTCCTCGAAGCTTGTGAACAGGATATCATGACTAAGCTGAGAGATTCACGCTAACTTGAATATGAATTCATCATTTGATTCCATTCAAGTACCTGGCGAAAATAAGGAGAAACTTGAAGTACTTTTCATGTATTCTATGGTCGTATTAGAATGAAAGTACTAAGTATATAATGATTTATTAACCTTTTGCTTGGAAAGCTGCTTCTCTAGAGAAGCACGTGACGAACACGCTGAACCTAAAGCCTTGATAAAAAGCTTCTTCTGCCTGTGGTGCGAATGAATGGCACATCCCAAATCTTCCCCCTCCGCCAAGTAATAATACACGGAAACCGTTTTCCGAATCATGTGGTCAAAATATAGAGCAGGCAGGATCTCCAAACAGAGAAGCCATCAATTTTTCCTAGTTCCTCCAACAATGCAACGCTTGATGGCGCGTACGTTGCATCGCCTTACCTATATACTAGCCCGGTACTTTCATATACCACCCGTTTTGTTCCTATCACCTCTGAGCATTCACACATGGAACACAATTATATCCACTTTTAGCTCTATCTCCGTTGATGGTGACACAGGGAACCACCAGTTTATTCAATCGACCAATCCTTCCTGATCTAAAGGTCATCATATTCACATCTCTTGCCCTATGACTAATTCAATGTAGCACTAATCAGTTTTGCACTTGCTATGCTAAGTTCACCCAACCCACGTGAATAACACGAACTTGTACCCGTACTGTTGTGCATGAAAAAATACAAATACGCAGCAGTGACCTTCGAACAATCTCCTGCAACGACAGGACATACATACGACCGTATGCATTTACAGTGGTCCAGATTATGAGGATTGATCTGCATGATCTATCATGGATACCAATATTTCGAGCTTGAACGACCCGCCAAGAATTTTGCCCGGGTCACAACTTCTACATGATTTGATCCGATGGGATGAACACAAAAATTCCTGTGCGGTCGACTTCACTAGTTATGGCAAACGAGAAAAATATCGTTATCAAGATATACAAGCTTGTGTGGCGTCTCTCGTTACACAAATACAATCAACGCTCAGAAGTCATCAGGTATCCGAACAGCAGCACATCATCCCAATATTGCTGCCACAGTCTCCTGGGTTATATATCTCCCAGCTCGCCGTCTTGCAGTCTGGAGGGGCGTTCTGTCCCATCAACCTTGATGCACCGAAAGACAGAATAAAATTTGTCGTAGGTGACGTTTCCGCGAGTATCATAATCACGACATCAGAGTTTCAAGAGTCTGTTTCCTGGGAAGATGGCCCCAGAATCATATTCGTTGACGAATTTCCTGCGATTCCAGCGGAATTGAAAGAAATCAGTGGATCACGTGAATCTAGCAGCAACGATCTTGCATATGTTATTTACACCTCTGGTTCGAGCGGAACCCCTAAAGGTGTTGCAGTTAGTCATTTAGCTGCTTCACAGTCTCTCTTGGCACATGAAAAACTTATTCCAAAATTTGAACGATTCCTCCAGTTCGCAGCACCGTCTTTCGATGTTTCTGTATTCGAGATTTTCTTCCCATTGGCTAGAGGCCAAACACTGGTCGGATGTGATCGTGGTCAGCTACTCAACGATTTACCAGGCATGATCAATGGACTAAAAATAGACGCTGCTGAACTCACTCCAACCGTCGTTGGAGCTTTATTGCAGAAGAGATCACATGTTCCTAAGCTTAAGTTGCTGATGACGATCGGTGAAATGCTAACGAGACCAATTGTGGAAGAATTTGGCGGATCTGACCAAAAGGAAAGCCTTCTCTATGGAATGTATGGGCCGACCGAAGCAGCCATTCATTGCACCATTTATCCAAAAATGGAAGCAAGTGCTAAGCCTGGCAACATTGGCGTGCCGTTTGAAACGGTGTCTGCGTTCATAGCGGAGGCGGCTTCTGGGTCTGGGGAGGTACAGGATATTAAATTTCTTCCACAAGGCGAGCTTGGGGAGCTAATTTTAGGTGGTCCGCAGTTAGCGAACGGCTATCTCAATAGGGAAGAGCAGAACAAAGCTGCATTTGTGACCGTGACAGGAAAAAGCTATTATCGAACTGGAGACAAAGCTCGCATTCTTAAAGATGGAAGCATAGAGATTCATGGCCGCATGAGTAGCGGACAAGTTAAGTTGAGAGGTCAGCGAGTTGAACTTGGTGAAATAGAAGATGCTATCTACAAACATCCGAACATTAGGACTGTGGTAGCAGTCGTGCTAAGTGGGGTGCTCTTAGCTTTCGTACTCACAAGTGACGATACAATGCATTCAGATCAAGTACTGGGCACTTGTTCAAAGTGGCTTCCGAGCTTCATGCTGCCTAGCGAAATTATTCTTTTGCTAGAACTCCCGTATCTACCGTCTGGAAAGGTAGACAAGAAAAAACTAGAAGCAAACTATCACCAACAGTACGACGTAGTAGATAAGCAAAATAACTTCACACACGCTGAAGTAATTGTGGGAGAAGTTCTCCGCGAGATTCTTGGACCATTTCCCTCGAACATACGTTTGGCAGCAGCCGGCCTTGACTCGCTTGTCTCTATCAAAGTATCTAGAGAACTTCGATCACGAGGGTTTAATGTTACCACTCTAGCAGTGTTACAAGCGGAAACCTTAAGCGCTCTCCTAAAGATTTGCGAAAACTGCAAAGAAACTCCAAGTTCGACTATAGTTAACGCGGCATCTACCAACTCAGAGGCATATGCCATGCTAAATGGCGACGCAAAAAATATCGAAGCCTCTTACCCATGTACTCCACTACAAAATGCAATGCTTGCTGAGACTGCCCTCGTCCATAGAGCTTACCGAAATTGGGTCGAGTTGGATTTGCCAAAACTCAGTAATATTGACAATCTCCGTGCAAAGCTACATGATCTTGCCGATCGCAATCCAATGCTCAGGACTGGTTTTGCAGAATCTTACGATAATAGTGGATACATGCAGTTTGTCTGGAAGACATTTCCGGATTCACATATTGAGACTGTGGACGCCTTTTCTGATGATTCGGAGATTTCTAGGACTGCATCACTTCATCGTCCCATATTTTTCGAGATTCTCTCCACTAAATCTTACCTGAAACTCATGATTCATATCCATCACGCACTTTATGACGCTTGGTCCTTAGATCTTCTCCTTGATGATTTAGACTGTCTGTTGCGAGATGAGACTCCAATTTCACGTCCGCCATTCGCAGATGTTGTGAGGGGGTATATTAACGGCAGCATTTCTTCTGACTCTCAAGCCTCTAAAGATTATTGGAGGGATCACATGGCACATCTCGAACTTAGGCATATGCCAAACTTTCATACAAGAAAAGTTACCTCAGCTGGATTGGCTGTAGCGCATTACTCCACTCAGCTCTCGACATCGAATATTGAATTGGCAGCGAAACGAATGGCTTCGAGCCCACAAGCTATATTCCAAGCTGCGTACGCTCTAATTTTAGCCTCTTATTTGGGATCAACAGACATCTGCTTTGGCACTGTTTTTTCTGGTAGAACCATCCCTGTTGCGGGAATAGAAGATATTATTGGACCATGTCTTACAACCTTACCGATACGCATAGATACATCGATAGCGAGTACTCTCCAAGAACTGGTAGAGGTATTGAACAGTACGAACAGGAAACACCTTGAACATAGCACTTTTCCACTTCGCGAAATCAAATCGGTCAATGGTTTGGAGCCTCGCCAGCAATTATTCGACACACTCCTGATATGGCAACAGACTCTTCATAGTTATGACCACAGCAGAAAATGTGTCACAATTGTTGATCAGGTCGATCAACTTGAGTTTAATTTGACTCTCGAGATAACTCCTACCTCTAAAACCCTCCAATTCAAGGCAAACTATCAACAGTCTGTATTTCCAGAATTTCAAATAGCAATGCTTCTGCGGCAACTCGAAGAAATGGCAAAAGCAATCATTGAACACCCAGGGAATCAATCTAATCTTGCCTTCGATGGAAATAGCCCTGAAATTCTCTCCATTGAGAATCCCGTACCTATCGTGACCCTTGGACCCGAGACATTGATATCCCCAGTGGAAAAAGTCTCAAAAGAGGATCCCGATCGTCTAGCAATCGCTTTTGCTAGTAAAATCGATGGCGACGATTTTGAGATCCAGTACATGAGCTATGGTGATCTGAATACTCGTGCAAATCAGCTGGGGCACTACCTTTTTCATCGTGGTGTTCTCCCAAATGATATTGTTTGCATATGTCTCGAGAAAAGTCATGATTTTTATGCTTCAATCTTGGCCACTGTAAAACTTGGTGCGGGCTATCTCCCAGTAACTCCAGATATCCCATATAGCCGGTTACATCACATTACAAGCGAAGCCAAAGTTAAAGTATTAATTGGACATTCCTCATCACGACCATTATTAGGACAGTCTGCAGGCCAAGAAATTGTTTACATCGATGAGATTGATCTGACTCAACAATCTACAGAGAACCTAATTACCGCATTCAAGCCAGAGAATATTTCGTATTGCGTATTTACTTCAGGCAGCACTGGGGCTCCAAAGGGAGTACTTGTCACTCAAGGTAATCTTCTGAGCAATCTTGATGTATTACAGGAAATTTACCCGGCAACCAAAGACTCTAGACTTCTGCAATCATGTTCCCAGGCTTTTGATGTATCTGTCTTCGAGATCTTCTTTACATGGAGAATTGGTGGATGTCTCTGTTCTGCTGTGAAAGATACCTTGTTTCAAGATATAGAACTTGCCATTCGAGTTCTGGGTGTAACTCACCTCAGCTTAACACCTACTGTTGCTGCTCTCATTAACCCTCAAAAAGTCCCAAAGGTGGAGTTTTTGGTCACTGCTGGAGAGGCTGTGACGCAAAAGGTTTTTAACAAATGGGCTAGTCATGGACTTCACCAGGGATATGGACCGAGTGAGACAACTAACATCTGCACTGTCAAGCCGCAAGTCAGTCTGGAAGATCGTATTGATAATATTGGTCTGCCATTTAGAAACACTTCAGCTTTTGTACTTGCCCGAAACACAGAATTCTCCTTGGTCCCAAGAGGTGGTGAGGGAGAATTTTGCTTTGGTGGATCTCAGGTCTTTAGAGGATATATGGATCGCGCTCAGGAAGAGGGGAAGATTATCGACCATCCCAAATATGGGCGGCTATACAAAAGCGGTGACTTTGGACGGCTGATGCATGACGGGTCTCTTGTTTTCACGGGCAGAAAAGATGATCAAGTCAAGATCAGAGGCCAGAGAGTTGAACTTGGCGAGATTAATAATGTTTTGATCTCATCAGGAGTCGACGACTGTGCGACCATGGTTATTGACGGGAAAGGTAATTCGCAGCGCTTAGTTTGCTTTTTTACGCCCAAGTTAAATACTTACGAAGATCTACTTCCTCTCCCGGCCGATCCAGTCATGATTGACAATCTCTATCAGATACTTGAGTCAAAGCTCCCCAGCTACATGATACCTTCAAATTTGATTCCGCTTTCGGTTCTTCCATCAACATCCCAAGGCAAGATTGACAGGCGCCGGTTGATTAGCTTATATGATAGCTTTGAGCTTAGGTATCTTGAAACAACTACTAGAGCGTCAAAATCTCCGACAGGTCATCCGTGGACCGAATTAGAGCTTGAGATACGATCTGTATTAAGCGAGATATCGAAGTCTTCGATAGAAGATATTGGACCACACACATCCTTCTTTAGTTTTGGCATAGACTCGATTTCGGCAATTGCATTTTCTCGAAAGCTACGTCAAGTGATCCCGAAGCAAGTAGATATTTCAGACATTTTGATGTACACGTCTGTAGTCAGGCTTTCAGAGCACTTATCAAGATCTCGAAAGCTTGTCAAAGATGACTTGTCGTTGGCTGATACAAATTTTGGATTCACTGAAGGGTTTATAAAGTCTACCATTTCCCAATTTGAAAAGACGGGCAGAGTTGTGACAAAGATTACACCCTGTACGCCTTTACAGGAAGCTATGTTGTCTGCTGCTGACGCTTCGTCTGGCGCTTCATATAGCAATCATGTGATGCTCAATATCTTTGGTAACCTTGATAGACTCCGTGGTTGTTGGCAAGAAATGGTTCAAAGACATGAAATCCTGCGAACTTGTTTTGTTAGCACAGATATGCAAGATTTTCCATACGTCCAAGTCGTATTAGCAGACTTTAAACTCGAATTTGGCTCTCTTGATTCTAGCACGTTGGAGGCCGCCATCGTTGAAATGGAGACGCAGTCGACAAGTAACGAAGATTCTCCACCATACCAACTCAATGTTCTCCACTCAAATGGCCAACCACGCTTTTTGGTCTCAATGCACCATGCTCTTTACGACGGCGTCGCCCTAGAAGTTCTTTACCATGAAATTGAAGAGTTATATGATGAATTACCCTTGCAGCCCCAAGTGTCTTTCACTCCACTTCTACATCACATGAGGTCGATGGATATCAATTCTTCCGACGATTTTTGGAAATCTACCTTAGAAGGATATCATCCACTTCATCTCGAAGATGTCTTGGATTTGCCGGGACAACCCCAAAAGCACAGCACCCGCATTCAGCAACTAAAAGCAAAAATACCTCTCAGTCAAATCGAAAACAGCATCAAGAAACACAGCACTACGTTTCTAGCAGTCTCTCATGCGATTTGGGCTAGTAATATGTCTGAACTATTCAAAGCCACTGATATTTGCTTCGGCAATGTTGTTAGCGGTCGCACAGCTCCAGTCAGTGGAATAGAGAGACTTGTTGCGCCTTGTTTCAATACTATCCCAGTACGATTAAAAGACCTCCATAAGTTGACATATCTCGAGGCATTTAGAAAGTTCCAAGATGCAAACACCAACTCCTTACCATTTCAATTCACTCCTTTACGGCGACTTCAGTCTAGATTTAGCCCTGATGGCACCCGTCTGTTTGATACCCTTTTCATTTTACAACAACCGTCGAAAAAGCTCGACCCTTCTCTATGGTCCATTATAGAAGATAATGGCGCCATGGATTTCCAACTTGTTTGCGAGATTATACCCAAACCCAGCGATGATACCCTAGAAATTGTTCTTCATTCATCCACTTCAATATTTACTGATAATGATGCATATAATATAATTCGAAGGTTCGAAAATCTTATCAGAGTTGTCTTGGAGAATCCGAGGCGGCAAATTATCTCGTCCTCTGCAAGGGCACAGATTCTCGTAGTTAGCGAGGAAAGGAATAAGAAAAAAGAAGACACTTCAGAGTCATACTCTGATGACAAAGTAACAAGTCAACTAGAATTAGAGATTCGAAATGCCATCGCAGGGTTTACTGACGTCCCCATAGAAAGGATAGGCCGAGAGACAAGCATATTCAGATTGGGCCTCGACAGCATCAGCACTGTTCAGGTTGCGTCTCGCCTGAGAAGCCAAGGATATCACCTCCTTGCCAGTGATATTCTACAAAATCCTACGATCGCTCAAATTGCTTCACATCTTCAGCAAATTGGCACCTCCATGAGCGAGGAGAATAGCCAATTTGACTTTGCGGCTTTTGATCAACAGTTTCGGGACATAATTTGTTCGAAGATTGGAATCTCTCAAGATAATTTGGAAGCAATAAGACCTTGTACCGCTGTACAACAAGGTATGCTTGCTCAAAGTTTGCATTCTGAAGGTCATGAATATATCAACAGCGTGTCTCTGGAGTTCTTGCCGGGTCAGTCGATGACAAGAGTTAAAGATGCCTGGACTTCAGTTTGTAAAGCTCATGAGATGCTTCGGACAGCATTTATCCAGACAGGAGATTCTGATAACCCGTTCGCAATGGTTACATTCACAAATGAATCATTTGTTCTCCCATGGTTTGAAAGCCGGAAACATGTCCTGTCAGATGAAATCGACCGCCTTAAGAACGCATGGTACATAAGCATAGAGCAGAAAGGGGATAAAATTCTGCTCATACTCACTGCACATCACGCTCTGTACGATGCTCAATCTATGCAAATAATTTTCTCGGACTTTACGAAGTTCTATCATAATCAAGCAGTTGTTAGCCGCCCTGGTATCGCCACGCTCTTAAGCTCAGTTTTGCAATCATCTCAAGCGGACCAAGATGAGAAAAAGGCATTTTGGCAACAGCCAGAAAATCGGATTGTGGTTAATAAGTTCCCTGATCTAACTCCTCTGCGCGTCATGAGACCTAGTAATGCAGTTTGTGAAGTCAAATCTCTAGCTTCATTACAGGAACTCGAGGAGAAATGTCGAAAAATTGGAGTTACAATGCAAGCAGCTGGACAAGCAACATGGGCGAGGTTGTTGATGGCTTACACCGGAGAAAATGTTACGACCTTTGGAATGACACTCTCAGGTCGATCTGTTTGTGATGATGCCAATATGGTGGCCTTTCCGACCATCGTTACACTTCCGGTTAACTGTAATATAATGGGCACCAATAGCGAGTTGTTGACTAGGACTATGTCATCTAATGCACAACTTCACAAGCATCAATTCACGCCGCTCACGTCAATCCAGAAATGGTCTGGTTATCCTGAGGGACGGATATTTGATACCTTATTCGCATACCAAAAACTGCCTGAGGATGAAGACGTTTTGATTCCGCCATGGAAAGTAGTCAAAGAGGAAGCCACCGTGGATTATGTCATATCTCTGGAGGTTCAACCTATATCATCTGGTGAAATCACAATTCGACTATCTTTTAGAGAAGATATTGTGCCCGCAGCACATGCAGAGCTTATGATAAAACAGTTTGATGCGTTACTGCTAGATACGCTTGACAATCCAGATCATCTATGCAACGTAGCGCCCGAAATTGGAATGAGCCTACTATCCATTACGCCTGCCCAGGATCCAGTCCTTCCCGACTCCGTAACGCTTCTACACCAGTACGTTGAAAGAGGCTCCAGAAAATGGCCAAATAGAGTTGCTTTGGAGTTTGCTACTTGTCTTGAGCCGGCCAATTATCAAAGTCGAAAATGGACATATCAACAGCTGGACGAGGAAGCTAACAGAGTCGCTCATATGCTTCATCTGCGTGGGGTGACCCCGGGCGAGATAATTGCGATTTGTTTTGACAAGTGTGCCGAGGCTTCTTTTGCAATTATTGGTATCATGAAGGCTGGCTGTGGTTATGTTGCACTAGACCCTAATGCTCCTGCTGATCGTTTAAAGTTCATCGTGGAGGACTCTGCTGCGAAGTTGACCATTACTGCAGGAAATCCGGCGCAAATCCTAAAATCTTTGGTAGACGGAAAAATAATCGATCTTACCGATTCTTCAGTACTTCACGAATTTAAATCCGAGGTGCCACGACTTTCGAGAGAAATTACTCCCGAGGACATCTCATATTGTTTGTATACATCCGGAACGACTGGCACACCAAAAGGATGTCTGCTCACCCACGAAAATGCTATTCAAGCAATGCTCGCATTTCAAAGGTTATTTGCTGGTCATTGGACCACAGAATCGAAGTGGCTACAGTTTGCCTCCTTCCACTTCGATGTTAGTGTTTTAGAACAATTCTGGAGTTGGAGTGTCGGGATTTGCGTAGCTTCAGCTCCTCGGGACCTGATATTTGAGGACATTCCGGGTGCAATTCGACAACTAGGTATCACGCATATTGATTTGACACCAAGTCTTGCACGCCTACTGCACCCCAATGATGTCCCATCATTGTGGAAAGGCGTTTTTATTACGGGTGGGGAACAACTAAAGCAAGAAATCCTGGATGTATGGGGTGAACATGCTTGCATTTACAACGGATACGGGCCGACTGAAGCTACTATTGGAGTGACAATGTATCCTCGAGTGCCAAATAATGGCAAACCTTCCAATATTGGTCCTCAATTCGACAATGTAGGATCATTTGTACTGAAACCAGGTACAGAACTGCCGGTCTTAAGAGGTGGTATTGGTGAACTTTGTGTTTCTGGAAAACTTGTCGGAAAGGGATACCTCAATCGACCAGAACTTACAACGGAAAGGTTTCCAACACTTACCTATTTCAATGAACGTGTATATCGCACTGGAGATCTTGTTCGCATCCTGCACGATGGCACCTTTATTTTCCTCGGCCGTGCTGATGACCAAGTCAAACTTCGTGGACAACGCCTGGAACTTGGTGAAATTAATGAGGTAATTAAGACGAGTAGAAAAGATCTCGAAGAAGTAGTCACGTTAGTCTTGAAACACAAAACCCAAGCTAAAGAGCAACTGGTCACGTTTTTCGTCATTTCGGGAAAGAACGAGTCGGAAAACAGTGGAGTGGTCCCCTCCATTAGAGATGCTTGCAAATCGCGCCTTCCAGGATACATGGTCCCTACACATTTTATTCCCATCAAAGCACTTCCACTTAACGCAAACAATAAAGCTGATTCGAAACAACTAGCAGCGCAATTCAACGACCTGAGTATGGAAGATCTTCAGAATATGAGCCTCTCAGTGCAGAATCATGTAGAATGGACAAGTAGAGAAGAGAAAGTCCTCGGCTTTATCGTCAAGGCGTTTCCCATCGAGGTTCCCGATTTGACTCGGAGCTCGAATATTTTCCAACTTGGTCTTGACTCCATCACAATGATCAATTTTTCCCATACCTTGCAAAAATTGGGATTAATCCATGCTACTAATGCCACTGTTAGGAGCAATCCCACGATAGGAAAATTGGTTGAAGCACTCCTCGTTGCACAACCGAATGAAGGCAAGGAAAGCCCATATCTAATTGCAGCCCACTTGAATATTGTCGGGTTTTCACAACAGCATACAACGTCCATTTGCAAGGAGCTAGGGGTGGGATTGGAACAGATTGAGAGTATTGCACCTTGCACTTCTGTGCAAGAAGGAATGATCTACAGATTTCTTGAGAGTGATGGAAGGCTATATTTCAACAACCTCCAATACCGGCTAAAATCTGAAGTTCTTCCGGAAGAGCTCAATGCGGCTTGGGATCGTGTCGTTTTTAATCTCCAAATCTTACGGACCAAATTTTTATTGACAGACGATGGGTTTGCCCAAGTGGTTCTCAAGCCTAGAGAATCATCACCCAAAAGAGCATCAGAAGTCTCAACGGGAAAAGAAGATATTCTCAAGAACCCATGGTCTTTTGAAGTCGTTGGTTCTGAAACAGAAAAGAAAATGATCTTGAACATTTTCCATGGCCTTTATGATGGTAGCAGTCTAGGTATGATGTTGAATCGCCTTTGCGACGAATTCTTCAACGTAGAGGACATTCAATACGGGCCAGATTTTCATTCGTCCTTGGCGTATGGGCCATTGTCAATAATTCCTGGAGCCGAAGCCTTTTGGAGATTCCATTTGAAAAACTGGTCTGATTCTTCATTACCTCATAGACTGAAAGATAGAGGAAATAATGTGTTCGAAAATACCCTTGACCTAAAGGACTTCGAGAAAAGACGAAAAGCTTTATCTGTCGCCCCGCAAGCCATAATTCAAGCAGCATGGATCGCAGCTATTCAAATGATCATTTCTGCAAACCTAACAACGATTGGTATTGTCACGTCCGGTAGAGGAATAGATTTCGAAGGAGTTGAGGAAGTTGTTGGACCTCTTTTCAACACTGTGCCCTTCCATCTTCCCATTGAATTTGGCACCCTAATGTCCACTCTGATAAGTGATTGCCATTCTATTAATATGAAAATCCAAGAATTTCAGCACACACCTTTGAAGGATATCACGAAATGGATCACACGGGGAGCTAGCAATCCACTCTTTGAGACCCTCTTTGTATTTCAACGTCCGGATGTTAACGAGAAACGATTTTCGAATCGTTTAGGAAGGAATACCACAGTGATTGACAATGGTGACACAGATGTAAGTGGAGAGCACTTCCATTGATAGAAAGTCGACCTAACTATTCAATAGTATCCGCTAGCACTCGAAGCTACTTTGAACCACGATAGTACCAAGCTTGAGCTGAAGATAGTTGCCAAGAGCTCGGCTGTGACAGAAGTCATGGGAATGCTTGTGCTCCAGAACATGCATGATATGATTCGCAATATCCTTAGCGGCAAAGACGAAGAGATACAAATTATTAGGGCTAAACAAAATGATCATACAAATTCGAGCGGCAAGCTGAATCCGGAGCTACCTCGCTCTCACCCATCAGACCAACCACTTCCATGCGGAATAGTTCTAACAAAACAGCAAATCAACGTGGTTTGTGGCGAAGTTGCGGTTTTGGCCAAGGTTGATAAGATACGTAACGATGAGCCTAGATCAATTTTCCAACTTGGACTCGACAGCATCGATGTAATCAAATTATCCTCACGACTGCGAAAGAACGGAATTGAACTATCTGTCAGCAAGATCATCAAATGTCAGACTATCCCTAAAATTGTAGAGAACGCGAGACTTTTGAAAGCCGGAACACACAGCTCTCCTTCTATCGAAAAACTGACAAAGATAAGCGAACAGCTTGATGAGTGTCTAAAGTCTAGACTCCCTTCTAGAGTTGAACGGATTTTGCCAGCTACACCTTTACAAGAGAGCATGTTGAAGGAAATGGTAAAATCTAACTTCAAAAGTTATTTGACTCTGCAGGTTTTTGAATTAAGTGAAAGGACGCAAGAAAAAAAGTTATTGAACGCCGTAGATCGTGTTATTGGAAACTCACCCATTTTAAGGACAACTTTTCTTGAAGTTCAAGACCCACAGTCTCCTGTGAACTATGCACAGATTGTCCATGAAGACTGGGTGAAAGTTTCCGAAACGAATCCGGTCATAGGGCATGCACATAAGGGTCCCGAAAGCCTTTTACAGGAGGTGAAATCCAGATTAACAGAAAACTGTGCGTCGATAGAGGCCAATTTGTTTGGAATACTTCCCGTTCATTTCGAAAACAGGAGGTTCATAGTAATGAAAATCTCACATGCTCTTTACGATGGCGGATCACTGCCGATGATACACGATGATATCAGCAAAGCATATTGGGGCAATGAATTTACTGGGCGGCCTGACTATATGTGGTACCTGGCGGAGATTCTCGATTCTATTACCGATGAGGCAAAAGATTTCTGGAAGGCCACACTTTGGGATTCGCCACCGTCTGTTTTTCCAAAGCAGGAAGCACCGCCGATGGACGAGATTGCCATTCACAGATATGAAAAGACGTCCAAATTCTCATTACAAAAAGTCAAAAACTTCTGTCGCTCTTCTAATATTACGTTACAGACACTAGGACAAACATGCTGGGCTTTAGTTCTTGCAGAACTTATGAGTCAGCTTGATGTTGTATTTGGGACTGTGCTTGCTTGTCGGGATACGCCCGAAGCTAGTAAGGTAAACTTCCCGTTGTTCAATACTGTGGCAGTGCGAGCGATACTTCGTGGAACTCTCGGTCAAATGCTTCGGGATATGCAAGAGAAGAGCGATACAAGTCGTCAATACCAACATTTCCCCCTTGGTAAAGCTCAAGCATATGCACTCGGTTCTCGAGGCGATTCAAACAAGGATACCACGATGTTCGACACACTGTTTACATATCAAGGTACTAGGCCCGAGGCAGAAATCGATCCGCTGTATTCATCCTTAGGTGGTTCTTCAGATGTTCAGTTTGCAATTTGTGTTGAGATGGAGGTAGAAGACAAATCAGATAAACTTTACTGGACGACGGCTTGTAAATCTGTTGCTAGAAACGTAGCACAGACACAAGATATTCTCGAAAATTTAGATACACTTCTAGGAAGAGTTATGGAAAACAAACAAGAGCAGGTTATTACGATTCACTCTGACGGAATCTCAATATGCGGATCCCCAAGATTTCAACCTCGAGACATTTCAGGCCCTCAGAGAATCCCAAAAGCACTTTCTATCCGTGATGATTGGTCGCAAACGGAATTGAAACTTCGAGAAGCAATCTCCGTCATCTCAGGTTTGCCGGAGGAGGATATCCTTAAAGATTCAACGATCTTTCAGTTGGGCCTGGACTCAATTACGATAATCAAACTTCCAGCACTACTTAAGAAGTGCAACATCTCCCTAACTGCTTCGGAAATCATGAGATATCTCACAATCCAGGATATCACAAAATACCTATCCGGGAAACATGAAGCGCAACCGGATGGTCCTATCGATGCTGATGCTATTTTGGTTCAATCTACACCATGGATTGATCAACTCAAGCTTGATCATTTGCAAGCTACTTTGGGTGAGATAGAATACATCATGCCCGCAACAGCAGGACAAAAATATATGATCAGACATTGGCAAAATTCGCAAGGATCTGTCTTCTATGCTACTTTTAAATTCAAGTTGTTAAATGGCTTTAATCGAAATCGAATCGATTTTGCTTGGTTTAAATTGCTATGTCAACACGATATCCTACGTACTGGTTTCATTGAGTCGTGCACAGATTCAAGCATCGCTCAGATTGTTTACAAAAATCCGTCAAATAAGATCATTTATGTAACAGAGTTATCTAAGCTTGAAGAATGTATCGAATACTGTGATCTAGAAAACCTCGAAGATCCACCACTCCGTCTTTTCGTCATTGGGGATGATTCCAGGTCAAACACTTCAAATCAAGATGTCGAAATGCACTTGGTTATCCACCACGCTCTTTACGATGGCATAAGTATCTCGTTGTTGATTAAGGATTTGGTAGCCTGGTATGAAGACTCGGAATTCATGTCTATTTCTTCAATTGCTAAAGATAGATGGAAGACATTTGTAGCGATAGCAATCCAGGAAAAAAGCAAACAGTCTATGAGGGATCAGTGGGTGGAGTATCTTGGCTCTCCTCCTGATAATCATCCAAATCCAAATTTTTACAAGGGATATGGATCACCAGAGCCAGAAATTGAAGAGCCAAGGCGAGTCGAGGTTTTTACACCTGGCTTACCAGCAAAACGCTTGAGGTCAATCGCTCAAAATGCGGGCGTCTCGATTGATCATATATTGATCGTGTTGGCATCCAGACTTTTAAGAATGAAACAATTCGAGAATCCTTTGCATATTCCTCCTTCTCGAAGCAGAAAAAGCAACAGAGAAGACCTAATCGTAGGCCTGTATCTGGCAAACCGCTTTCCGTTTTCGGAAAATCTTTCTTCAATGCTAGCTCCAACGCTCAACTTATTACCGATCAAAATTACAGAGAAGAAGGCAAGCTTTGGTATCAATTTTGCTTTGCCATACGAGGAGTTGGCTAGAAATGTGCAGAGAGACTTGGGAAATATCGGCGTCGGGGGCATGGCTAATGTGAACCTGGACGAGATATATGAGTGGACTGGAGTGAAGGTGGATGGCTGGATTAATATTGTTAGGGGGGTGGACGATGGTGAGGAAATGGATAAGGGCAAAGGGGTGAGTGGAAAAGCGGGCGAGGAATCGGATTGGGAAATGATTGTGAAATCGAATGCGGAAACGCAGAAGGAGAATAAAAATCCCTGCGCGACATTTTGTCTAGAGCCTTCTGTTCAAAGGGGCCGAAAGGAGGTGAAAGGAGGAGAACTTCTTCAATTGGTTGTTGACAGGGAAGCGTATGCGAGAGTGGTTCCACTGAAGAAGAGCAAGAAGATGCCAGCTGTGGAGGAATTCGGAGCGTACCCGGTAAGTTCTAATATTTCAATTTTTCTTCTTCTTTTCGAGACCCTATTTCTGTTCTTATAAAATTCCGATTCCATATCCCGATTTACCCCTCCGCCTTCCCCCTTACCTGTTACCCCTCTATACCATATCATCATCCTCTTCTTCTCATTCTTGCAAAGAATAAACCAAACCAACTAACAACTTCCTTTTTCTTTCGTGAATAGCCATCAGTCGATATAGAAATCCGCTATAATCCCGAGAATGAAACGGTCGACATCGGCATCTTTGGACCGAGTGATAAACTTGGTCTTGAAGAGGTTGCTTGCTGGATTGAGCTTTTTGGGAATCAGATTTAGACTTGGGTTTGGAGGTTCGGCAGAGAAGAGGGAAAATAAGGAAGGGGAAGCAGGGTTTTTATAGTATTGTTTCGCTGCGTTGGGTGGTTATTTTATATCATTTTTTTTTAGGTCCGCGTCATCTCCTCTGCGCTTTGAGGGATCGGTGGTTGTGAGAGGAAGATTGGAAGGGAGAAAGGAAGGGAGTATTGATATTGATATGATTATGAAGGTTCGAAATTCTAGTTTAGCCTTACCTTAGATTGCAAGGCACACTTTATATTTTACTCTGTACTCGTTTTCTCCTTTATTCTCCACGAGTACCTTGATATCAAATCACGGTGTAACTTCAGACTGAAAAATAAATAATGAAGATGGAGAAGAAAAAACGAAAATGCAATTTCATCATATATTGGCAAGTTTTGATATTTAACTAACTCTTAAAACTATCCTATCCTACCATATCGCATCCTGCTTCTCATCATATCATTTCGTTTCGCGTGAAAATCTTCCCTTCAATCGATCAGATCAACCTCACTAATAATTTGACATACTTAATAGCATATCCGAACGCCTAATCCTGTCATCCTATTACTTCCAAAAAAGGAAAAAAAAAACAGGAAAAAAAGAAGAAGAGGAAATAAGAGTGAATATCAAATTCTTATTGTTTTTGCAGAAAATGAATTCTCTTATCATATTTTTCTCAATTTCTTCTACCCTGCACACAAAATCCCCCTAATACCGATCTTCATCGTGGTGTCTTCCATGCGAGTGACTAGAATGTCTCGAATGGCTTCTATGTTCATGGCCATGACCATGATGACCATGATGCTCATGACCATGCTCATGATGTCTCCCGTGTCTCTCCTCCTCATATCCTCCATGTCCGCTATACTTCTCATCCCTATAGCCCCCATTATATCCATGCTGCGCATGTTGTGGGTGTAAACCCTCCCCTTCTCTTGGCGGCGAGCATTCTCTTCCCGTTTGGGCGTCCTCGAAGTATTCTACATCGCGGTCATTGTGGTCTTTGCGGTATTTCTTGACTTTGTTTCCGAGGAATTGTCCGGCTATCATGCCGCCCGCTGCGTAGAGGATTTTGCCCATTGTTCCTCGTCCGGTTTGTGAGCCTACGCCCCAGCCGCCTGCGGCGCCGAGTCCCATGGACACGAGTCCGCGATCTCCTTCGACGGGTTGTCCGTTGGCGTCGAGTTGTGGGGGAGGGATATTGGCGCCTGGTTCGTTGTAGGTGGGGGCGGGTGCGCCGTATGGGGTTGGTGCAGGTGAGTACCCGCGGTTGTCGGCGTAGGTGTTTACTTGTTGGTTTGAATATGGATCATGAGGTGGGTAGGGGTTTTGTCCGTAGGGGGATTGTTGGGGTGGGGCGCCGTAGGGTGAGGGGAGTGTGCTGGGGAGGGGCCGGGGGCGCCGTAGGGTGGTTGGAGATTTTGAGGGGGATAAGAACTTTGTGCGTAGTTTGGTGCTGGGGGGTAGGCGGTGTTGTCTTGAGTGTAGGGAGGTTGTTGGGGGTATGGTTGAGGGGGTGGTGCAGAACCATATGGTTGATGGGGTGGGTAGGGGTTTCCACCTCCGTAGAATTCTTGGTTGGACATTTTTGTTTGATTTGCCTTTACTTTGCTGAGATTATCTCCTGTTCTCGTGTTGTATTGTATTGTATTGGTTGGTGAAGTTTGAGATGTTTGTGTCAACTTTAGAGATAGAACAAGAAACGATGTGATCTCTGTTCGAATGTGAGAAGAAGAGGACAGGTGGATGAGGTGGGTAAGAGGATTAGTATTTATATTAACACGAATTATGTATGGAGTATATTAGTGAGGCACAGTTAGGGCAGTGAATCATCTGCAGCCTCGAAAAGCTAAACGATAAAGCTGACTATTATTAGTGGGGAAGAAGCAAGATCTGAAAATGTATTGGCTTGTTGTTTGGCCTTTCATTCCGAGTTCCGATTTGAGGGGCAGATACTGCGCCACGGGTATCCTGGTTACCTCATGCAATGGAAGTATTCCAGAAGATTGAAGAAGTTTTCCGACGGGCATTGAGGAGGATGAATAATGATTTCGGGGATGAAATGCGTATGCAGTCTGAATCGTTGTGAATGATATGGTCACCTGTTCTGCGAGTATGTATCTCGACTTGAAACATTCACATTTGCATCTACTCCGTACGTGTTAGGCTATTCGCATTTCGTATCCACATTTAAGGTTATCAATTTCCTATTCTCATACGTTATGAATTAATCGTACAAAAGAAAAACCCCTTCAGCCAATTCCTCAAAATGGCAAATGCTACTTTTACTTTCTACTTCTCTCGCTTCCGACCCCTTCATCCATTCATCATCAATTCATCAACTCTCCACGTACATACCCCATCAACCCTTCAACCACCAAAAACAAAAAAACGTCATCAACCATAAACACTTACGCCTTACACACTCCCCTACCGCCAAGCCACAAATCCTCAGCCCCGCCCCGCCACCCTGCACAACCAAACGCTACGAAATGCCGATTTTACCGTTCTTGGCATGTTCTCTGGTTAGATTCTTGTATTAATTCCCCCGGATACATAAGTACTACAGATCTGTGTATTGAGATATGTCCCTACTCTGTACCCTAGAATCTAGATTCTAGATTCTAGATAAATATTAATGCTACGCGGTGAGTTCCGGATATTGATGAGGGGAAGATGATTAATTTTGTGGGTAGGTATTGGATATAGCGTATTGATCTTTCCGGTGATGAGTGCGTGGATAGATAAGTGATTGGGAGGTCACGAGTAGATAAATAAATTGGAACTCCCATGTTTGTCTACAGTAGATCTTATGAGTCTACCGGCCCTATGCATATGGGACCTGGGTTCGGTATTGACCAACTGATTATTATTGCCGAGGATAAATGGATGGATCATATTACCTACTAGGTATGCAAACGGTGACTCCGAAGATGTTGGTTATGGATATTAGATACCTAGATAGGTATATGGATAGGGATATTGTGTTGGCAGAGCAGATTAAAGTAATGAGTAATAAGTCACGAGGTGTAAAGGTGCTTGATTGAGACTTGGCATTTATTATATTATTACTGTATATAGATGATGTTTTCGAATGTACTCCGTGTCCATCCGTGATTTAACGGAGCGGAGAATGAAGAGTTTCCTTTATTTATGGATCGATATAACTATATATATATATATAATGATATGAATCCGTAGAAGAAGAGAATTTTAACGACGATCTAATTAAAAAGTAAAATACTATTAATGCTGAAATAATGCTGATCAAACCAATTGTCTTTCGTTTACAAAGTACTCTCTACATATTTCCAACTCTTCAATCAGCTCCAGTTACATTAATCTAGACCTACGATAACCATCATCCATCCCCACCGTCTCATCATAAAAAAATCCTAATCCTCCTTCCCCCATCGCAGCTTGTCTCTGCATTATCTCATCTTGTCCCATTCCTATCCCCACTTCACTAACCCAATCTTCTACATATGGAGATTGGTAATTTGTATCCACGCGACGGTCATGACCACCTCTATGATTCAGATTACCAGTATTAAAAGTAACAAACGGCGTCATTCCTTCTCTTCCCATTTCCTGCCGTTCAATACCCATCTCCCGTCGCAAATCCGCACTACTTCCACTTCCTAGAGGAGAATGTATAGATCCGTATCGGGAAGATGTAAGTGGACTGTCCATTTCGCCGTACATTAAAGGGTTGGGACTTTGCTGAATTGCATTATGGTGGGTACGCGGATCCCTCATGGTCATTTCGTTGTACATCATGCGGGGTGTGGAACGGTGGGAGCGACGTGGAGAGTTTGGATAATGTAGAGTGCCTTGATGTTCTGGCGCCATTACGAATCCAGGAGGGTCGGGTCCGAGACCTTGGAATTGTGGTGGTGAGTTTGGAATGCATGGGGAGTGGTATCGATGTTGCATCCGTGGATTGGGAGAAGTTTCTCCGAGTGAATATTGACGGCTTGAATTGGGAATTCCTCGATTTGGTGGCCTGGGTGTCATGTTGCGGTTCGTAACGTGTTCAAAGGTTGCATAATCATTTGATCGTAGAGGTGATTGCCATCTTCTCCTATCGATTTCTTCAAAATGTTCGAGCCCTGCTGGGTATTGATTGTCCAGGCTAGAATTCCGATTACGAAGATCTTGATTACCAATCCTGAGGGCTTCAAGACCTCCTGGGTTTTGACCGATGCTTCTAGATCTTGGACCTATTCCTCCCATTGCAAGAGCTTCCATACCACCCGACCCTTCCATATATCTTTCACCTGGGCTGGAGTGATTTCTTTGAAGTAAAGGTAATCCCATTTCAGAGGTTGGATCTTCAAGTATGGGATTTCCTGTACCAGAATCTCTTATCCGATTCATCGACAGTTGATCTCTAGTTGCTATTTGTCTAGAGTTGGGGTTGAAATTTGGACAGCCTTCCCAGTGAACTCCGTTTTTTTCGTGGCGAATATCGTAGCAACCAGAGGTTGAACCCTGGCGATTACTCAAATGTGAAAGAGCATGTCTAGAATTACGATGATGAGATCGTCCCAGACCGATACTTTCTAGAAGCATCGTGAAAATTGGATTGAGTTTTGATATTGACACAGTGTCAGTGGTATAAGTTTAAGATGAGGATAATAAGAAGGAGAATGTTAAAATGGAAAGTGGAAAGACCATAAAGCGAACGTCTACGTCTGCATGAACCGGTACCGGATGCGATAATGAACAGTTTGTATGAGTCAAGATATCTTCTGACTATGGGGAGATATCCATAGGAGGGAAGAACTGATCCTTACATTGTTTGCTAGTTGAGAATTTTTGACAAACTGTAACACTTGTTCGTGGTCAAAATTGGTGCAACGTGATGGACTGTAGGGTTTTGGCCAATTGATCAATTTGATATCTAGACTGCCCAAGAATATGAGGTCAATAGGCAGATTAATGCTTGTGTGCTCGATAGTTGTCACATCGATCTTTCGGGTGAGCAGACAAATATTCCGATACAGACTTGGCTTATGGCTATGGAGCGGTCCGGTAGTCGGATATGTCCAAAGGGTATTCGAGGGACTAAGTGATGAGTAGAAGTCACCCAGAGAGGCTCTTAATTCAATGTAAATACCTACAGGCGGTTCCATTTTCATAGCGATAACAATAGGGGAAAGGGAAGGTAATCTCATCATCATGCCCAAGATATGTCCATCTCAAGAAGGTGACACTCAATTCAAAGCCTGTACCTAGGCTAAATAGCAATAGGAACTTCCTTGATCTTTGCTCTTCTTTTTGTGGTATGTTGCATATGTATTGATTGATTGATGGGAAAACGATCGGCTCCAGAAAGTACTGACTCCAATTGGATTAATGCCAGATGTGTTGATTGATGCAGAGGTGATGAAAAACAGATAGAAGATGCGATAAAAGCTATAATTGAGAAAATGATATACTCAAAGTGATTTCGAATTGGTTAAGATCGGGATACATCGCCATAGATGGTTGTAGCCATGTAGTACAGAGAAATTAATTATAGCTGGCCGGATCATTTGTATTGTTTGAAGCTAGTCGGGGGTTCGAATTGATGGGAGAATTGAAATGGATGTGTAGAATGGGTTGAGAAGCTATATAGATATTGAATCTGCGTATACCTAGTAGTCTGTATTAAGTAGGTGTTCCAGCAGTTCATGGTGGCTAATTGATTCTTTTCTAGGTTGAAATGACGCTCCGCTGGCCCTTCGGGGAGCACTCCCATTGAGGCAGAATATTTGAAGATGTAAATATTTTGTACTCGAATATGTGAGAGTATTTGTAGAAAGATATTGAATGTAAGATCTTATATAAGGTTTATATCCATCATCCACTAGGCATACATCAAAATATTCTACCCTTGAGTTGATAATACATATGGAATGGAGTTATATAGGAAAAGAAAGGGGCAATTGGTGCCTATGATATTATGTATCAAAGTACTATAAAAAGGGGTAAATGAAGCATCGCCGGTTACATGTATATCATCGCCAATGAACAAAATATGAAATGAGATGAGATGAGATGAAAGTGATGAAAGAGATGAAAGTGATGAAAGAGATGAAATGATGATTTCTGCCCTGTAATTTTATGCCTTATATTCAAGGCCCAATTACCCGTCACAACCAAGAACACACATCGCGCTAAACTATAAACATACTAACTTACTCAAGAAAGTTGAAGCTACTAACCGTCGACCTTTCTTGCCCTTCAACCTCCTTCGCTTTTTTTGTACGAAAATCGAGGTCCCTCAAATTCCAAAAGAACATCCAATCCCCCGCAAATTCACCAAGAAAATTCAATCTGAAATCAATATCGTAAGATATTTATTCAAAGATATCTTTAAGTCTTCTCTACAATCTTTAAACAGTACTTATTACCTATTTAAATTTGTGCGCATTATCGCGTCCAATTTAAAAAAGTCGCCCACGCTCATCAAAACTCTACATCATCGATACTTCCTTCTCAACTTGTGCAAACAATAGGAAGCTACCAACGAAATCAATATGCCTTCGCAAATGCCGTCAAGTTTTGCTTCTGCTGCAGCAGCTGGTTCGGGTTCAGTCGCGGGTTCGAGTCGTGATTCTCGAACTGGAAGGAACGAAAGTGCTCGTGGTACTGAATGGTATGTTTGATTTCTTCACAATCCCTTCTTGTACACACATTGCAATCACCTCTTTGGCAATATTGTAATTATTCTGGATAACATCATATCTATAAACATTACATTCATTTCATTAGTGCTCTTTTCCCAATTCCTTCCTAGTTGCTTGCTTGATTGTTTGGATATTCCAGACGTCATTAGTACAATCAACCATGCCATTTTTAGGAGTGGATGGAGGGTACGAAATTTATTCGCCAACCAGCAAAAATCTTCGACGTATTGAAAGTCAGTCAGATCCTATAACTAATGCGATACCCCGCTACAGGGCAAGAAGAGATAATAGATCTACCAATGGCAGTGGCACATTGACCTTCCGTCGTTCTTCTAATGCTCCCCACACACTATCCGCACAAGCAGACAACCTTCCAGCACAGAGTATCGAAGTTTCCGAGGATGTACCACAGCAACAAACTCAATCATATGAGCCATCTGTCCCTGCAGATCTTCGTTATCCAAAAGCTCATCTATTGGATTTATATCAAAAACACCGAGAAGCTAAAGATTCTGGCGCACGCAATGGTGACGTTTCAAGACTCTATGTTGAAGGCTGGAACCCTGGTCAATCAAATGGAACAAATGGTCGAGTATGGGGTAAGGTTACTGATGGCAGAGAGACTCATGGTCCAGACGCATGCTGGGATATGACAGGTAGTCAGCGACCAGTTTCCCTGGAAGAGATGACCGAAGATGAGAAAATCGTCAGTTTATCTACCTATCAGCTCGCCGCAGTTATTTAATACTAATCTATACATTAGCTTTTCACCACTGACGTCAATTCTCCCATGAAACCACCACCCCAAAATCAGAACAAGGGCCCGAGCGAACAAGGATCCAATACAAATGGTCGCAAAACCTCCATTTCTCATGGTTCTGGCAACTCTAATTTCGCAGTTACTTCGCCAGCTTCGAGTAGACCTGGCACACGCCGCAGAGAGACGAGCGATGCAATTCCATTTGCTGCTGGATTAGGATCCCCTGCCGGAACTGGTCGATTCCCTCGCGACGAGTCTTCTCCCTTTTTCACTCGCAAACTCACGGACTTGAAGGATGATGGAGATGATCGACCTGACGAACCAAAGAGCTCCCTGCCATTCGGCCCATTAATGCGTTCCAATACAGGTGGGTCTAATTTGGGAAGCGCGCCGTTGTCTCCTTGGGGACCAGCGCCTGTAAGCGCTACAATGACTCCGATGGGAACTTTTGGTGCTTTTGCAATGCCAGCTCCCACAACTCCAGGCGAGAAACGACCAGGTTTCGGTAGCACTCGCGGCGAGAGTCGGCTTGCACATCTCATGCCAAAGGATAAATCTGAGGATAGTGCATCGCAACCCGCCGAACGCCCGTGGAGAAGTAGACCTCGAACAGATACGGACCCATTTAGCGAAGATAATATCCCTAGCGGCAGCGCTGGCCTTGGAGGTGGTCAAGATACAAGCCCAACCTTGAACCCTCAGCGAAAGGCACCAGGACTTGACACGCCAATTCGTGGACTATCAAGTGATTTTGGAATGTCTGACATGCCTGGTTTCAGGGATGCTCAGTTACGTGCTCAAAACCACCAGACGCCACAAGTACAGCAGCACTACAATGAGCCCCTGAGCCCAGATACTAATCCTTATCGTAGCCCACACGAGGAACGAAGAGAGAGAATTGGACATGAGGATAATTCTTTCGACGATGATCATTCTCATGACCGACCTCAACCATTGGGAGGCATCCCCGAGCATACACCAAATGCTTTTAGTAATCTTTCTAGAAACTTCGGCAGTGGAGCTTTCGATGGAAGCGATCGTAGCCAAACTTCCAGTGTCGTAGGTGGTGTGTCCCGGGGACCATTCACGGCTTTAGCGGGACTTCCATCTTTGAGTAACATTGGTAATATGGGTGGCTGGCCAACAAACAATATGGTTTCAACACCGGATCGCGAAAGTCGATCAGTATTTCCAGGTGCATTTGGAAACTCCATATTTGGCCCCATGGGTGAGTTGCCATCTCCAATTCATAGTTCTATGGGTGGAGGTATGTTTGGCCATGGCAACCCGATGGGATCTATTGGACGTGGAAGTAAGCTCGGATCGTTGTTCCCTCCCGCTATGCAGGCTCAGATGCAGGGCGCAGAGAACGACAATCCTGGTGAGATTGGAGACCTAAGACAAAACAGCGCATTTGGAGCGATTGGTCGAACCCCATTGCACAGCCATGGCTCATTCTTCGGTTCTGAACCCCGTACCCAGGAACCATTTTCTGCGGCGGATTCCCAGCCTAGTACAATCGTTCCACAAGCTCCTTCTGCTCAATCTAGTTACCAACAAACCCAAACTGGGCCGGATTCTGCACCAGGTCAACTTCCTAATGCTCAACAACGTACTATGGTTATGCCAGACAGAATGAGATGGATTTACCTTGATTCACAAGGACAGCCTCAAGGACCTTGGTCTGGATTGGAAATGCATGATTGGTACAAAGCCAATTTCTTTACGGCTGATCTCTCGGTCAAAAAACTTGAAGACACCGAGTTTGAACCGCTTGGTCAGCTCATCCGTCGCATTGGTAATTCACGTGAACCATTCCTTGTCCCTCAAATGGGTATTCAGCATGGACTCCCTACCACCCAAGCTACACCATTCGCCTCCGCTGCTACAGCCCCTCCTGTTCAACCCGGGTCTGTGCAACCTCCCTTTGCTGGAGCTTTCCCAAGTTTCGGTACTACATTGACTGCCGAGCAACAGAACAACTTGGAGAGACGTAAGCAAGAGGAACAATACCTTATGGCTAGACAGAGGGAGTTTTTGGCGCAACAACAGGTCAGCTTGAAGCAAATGCAAATGGGTGGTCTTCCTTCCACCTTGCACCATCATTCAAGTGCTCATAGCTTGCAGAGTCAACCTAGCTTCGGTAGCATGACATCGCCAATTTCTATGCCACCGCAGCCTCCAATGCCCGGCGGGTTCTTTGAAGCTGGCCCACGACCCGGCCTATCTCAGATGATGGGAGCTATGCCCAATGAATTTCTTCACGATGATTTAGCTCGCCTCGGCCTCCAAGACCGTCAGCAACCCGGAGCGGTTGGTGCACAAACCTCTCAAGCTCAGCAAATTAATGCTCTTTTTGGTCAACCTCAGCAGATCGGTGCGCAACGTGAGCCACCTCGAGCGGAACAGAATGACCCGCAAGGTTATGTAGCTCGTCTTCGACAATTTGAACAGCTCAGAGCTGAACATGATGCAGAGGAAGCAGCTCAATCCTCCACGAATGAGGAGGCCACTCCTTTGGCACAAGCTCAACCGGAACCACAGGAACAACAATCACAATACGAAGAAGACACTGTGTCAGAAAAACCTCCGGCACCAAAATCTCCCGAGGTTCTCTCTTTGACTCAACAGATCAAGGATCAACAAGCAGCTTCCACCGCCGCAGCGCCTGCTAAGCAATCTCCGATTTCTGCTCCCCAACCCGAGTCGCCTTGGGCGAAGGTAAATACTAGTCTTCCAATGCCTTTCCCACCCCCTGCACAATCGATGACACCTCTTCCTGCCCCAACTGCCCAAAGAGGTCGCTCCGGCTTGCCGGACTCATTACATGCTGAGGTTCAATCACGCTCTGAGACGCCCGAGGTAGTTAGTGCTGGACCAACCCTTGCTCCATGGGCTGTTCAACCGGTCGAGGCTCCTAAAGGTCCTTCTCTTAAGGAGATCCAGGAAGCCGAAGCTAAGAAGGCTGCTAAAGCAGAGGAAGCTGCCGCTGCTGCACGTCGTGCACTCCATGAACAAGAAATGAAGTTGCTAGCTAGTCAACCAGCTGCACCCGCTCTTGGTCTCCCAACAACATCCACCTGGGGAGCTACAGCTACACCCACAACTCCTTCTAATGCCCCCTCTGTATGGGCTAAGCCTGTCGCAGCCAAGGCTCCCGTAGCTGCCACTTCTTCCAAGAAGACGCTCGCGGAGATTCAAAGAGAAGAGGAATTGCGTAAGAAGAAACTTGCAGCCACTGCAGCAGTATCTCAACCTTCTCCTGTCGCAGGCGGGAAACGCTATGCCGATCTTGCAAGCAAACCATCTGCAATTGCTCCCACCGTTGGAGGAGGCTGGGCCACTGTCGGCGCCGCTGGAAAGGTCAAAATCCCAACAGGACCATCTGGCGCAGTTGTGCCTGTCCCTGTTCGTTCTGCCAGCAGTGCCTCTGTAGCTAGCCCCGCTGTTCGCACAATACGTCCAGCAGCATCTGCTCGCAGTGTAACCATGGCTGGCAGTCAAACCGGTGGTAACGCTGCCAATGAAGAGTTCAAGAAATGGACAAAGGCTACTTTGAGTGGCAAGGAAGGCCTCAATTCTGACATTGATGGTTAGTTCAACTTTCTTATCTTTGATCCATTTCACACACTAACATATCTTCAGTCGACGTATTCATGACTATGTTGTCTTCATTCCCAGACGAGGCTAGTATTATTGCTGATGTCGTGTATTCTAATTCTCGTGTGATGGATGGTCGTCGTTTTGCTGAGGAGTATATTCGCCGCCACAAATTGGCTGAGAAGGGTATTGTTGAACTTGCTAATACTGGATCAAATGATAAGTCTGGTGGAGGTGGATGGAGTGAAGTCGCCAAGAAAGGGCCACCAAAGGAGGAACCTACAGCTGGCTTCAAAGTTGTTCCCAATAAGAAGAAGGGAAAGAAATGAGCGGTTGTATGGAATTGATTACACTTTGCTATATTATGGATACCTTGTCTAAATACGAATTTTGTATCTCAGAATAGGTTTGTTCATTCTAGCCCGCGGGGGTTTCCATGATGAAAATGGTGTCTTAGCTTATTGATCAGCGAAGGGAGAAACATAATTCAACTCCCAATTGTAGCTCTAAAGTAGCATCAATGTCAATATGACTGTTTGAGAATTAAATACTTATTATCTAATAATATTATAAAACGATGACTGGGAATTTTGAAAGTCATAAATCAAATTCTAATGAACAGATGAAATATTGAGTTGAGCATAGTTGACTTCAACTACCACTTCAAAATGCTCTCGCTTACAAATCATCCTACCCGACCTTGATAAATTTTTCCCACATAAAAAAATTGTAAAGGGCATCAATACAACAACAATACATACATCATGTCTTTCGCCTCAGATTTATCTACTGGTGGTAAAGGTGGTACCTTGGATGCTATATTATTCAATTTAGAGCAATTAAAACAGCTTGAAGCTGTGTCAGAGATTATCACAAATTATCTTGATGGCGACTACAAAGCCGTTCTCCGCACGCCCACAGCGCAAATCCTGATTCAAATTTTAGCAGAGAATGTTCATCTTTCCAAAGAGGAACAAACTCTCGCTCTCAAAGATGCAAACCTTCAAAATCGAGAAGTTATTCTTTATACTTTCATCACGGGATTGGCAGCTTTTAATGCATTTCTTCAAACCAATGTTACCGGGCCATCAGTTGATTTCGGGGACGTTTTTCGGAGCTCGGAATGGAATGCTAGTGAGCTGAGGGAGAAATGTTTGAGGAGTTTGGATGTAGATGGTGTGAGCGTTTATCAACATATTCCCAAGGTGGAATTATTTTGCCTGGCGAGATATATCTTCACGACTGTTTTTCCCAGACGTTCTTGGGTGAAGACTTGGGATTGTAAGTGGATGAGAATTAGGATTAATGCTTATCATCAAAGACTTCTGAGTGGATATTCGATGAATGGGAGGATGAGTGATTCGACGGTCTTGCAAGATCTGATTGAGCAGGATTTGAAGGATTTAGAGGCAGAGATCTTTGCAGAGGAGAGTGCATTTGGTACGGATGCGAAGGTTATGTTTTTGTTGGAGAAGGCGCAGATTTATATCATGGAGGGCTTGGATTTGAAGGCGAAAGAGAATGTGAAGAAAGCTAGTGAAGTTTCGGGATTTGAGTATGCTCTTTCTGGAGCTTTGGGAAAGAGAACGAAGTTTCAACAGAATGATATTTCGCAGTTAGTGGTTTTTGCGAAGAGTAGGGAAGATGCCGCCAGTGCTGATATTGGGGATTCATCTGAGAAGTCGAAGGAAAGTTCTCACCCATCGGATGAAGCTGAGGAGCAAAGCACAACTGGTCCCCAAGCATTGGAGTTGAATGATGATACATTATTGGAATCTATCGAGTTTGCCAAAACTCCATCTGACAAAGTGGATAACTCCAATTTACCGGCAGCTTTAGCTGGTATGAAACCGGATGAGCAACCACAACTTCATCCTCTGGACCAGATTACCCTATTAACGGAAGCTACTCTTAAAGATACTCTATCTCCTCTTGACAAGCTAAACAGCGAAGAAATCTTACCATACGCTGTTCGTGTCCTATCAGACAAGCCTACAAATTGGCAAATCTACACACAGGCTCTCTTGGTTCGAAGTAGAATTGAAGCTCATAGATCTAGAACTCAAGAAAGATCTGTTTTACAACTCCAAGTCATCGTGGATCAAATTATCGCCGATACACAAGAATCCACGCCGTCAGCAGACGCCAATGGAGTACCTCAAATACAAGTCACTTCATTCCTTCCTCGAGCGAAAGCTGGTGAATCTGCTCCTATTACCGAGAGATTAAGATACGTTAACCAACTCAACACTCCTACAAGATGGGAAATCGAAACCGAGCTCGCATTTGCATGGTCCAATGCCGGATCTCTCGTCAGCGCCCTCGAAATCTTCAAGAGATTAAAGATGTGGGCCGAAGTAGCCTTATGTTATCATTCTGTGGCCCAAGAAGACAAAGCCCGACAAGTCGTTCGAAGACAGCTCTACTACTCTTCTAAAGGCCCGGAAATGGATAAATACGATATTGATGCCGAAGCCGTGGTTAAAGAAGAATGGAACGGTGAAATGCGCTCTCCACCTCCACCTCACGCACCCCGCCTGTGGTGTATACTAGGAGATCTTGACCAGGATCCAACCTGCTGGGAACGAGCCTGGGAAATCTCCAAACACCGCTACGCCCGCTCTCAACGTACACTAGGTGATTACTACACACGAAAAAACGATCTCACTGCAGCTCGCGAAGCATATCTTGCTTCTGTAGTCGTAAATCGTCAAAACAACGACACTTGGTCTCGTCTCGGCGATATCGATCTCAAGACTGGTAATTGGGACGGCGCCATTATTGCATTTCAACAAAGTATCATGATCGACGATACCGATGCCAAAACATACAGTAACCTGGGATCGGCCCTCTTATCCAAACACGACGAACTTATCTCCTTACAGAAAATTGCGAAGAAGGAGGAAGCATTTACCGATATCGCGGATGACGAGGAAATCGATTTCGCAACGTTAGATAAAAGTGATAAATCCAATGATCCCAAGGAAATCCTCAGACAAGCATTAATGGCCTATAAACGCGGCGCTGCAACCGCACACGATAATTGGAAAATCTGGGATAACGTCATCACGATCGCCACGAGAATGGCTCCCCCCGCCTTCCCAGAAATCCTCATGGGTCTCCGAAATATTCTACGTATTCGCGCGCCGAATGTGGGTGAATCTGCAATTGATATCGATATCCTGGGATCTCTGGTCACCGAAACCGTTAGCAGAGATAAAACCAACGAAGTAGGCCAATCCGATGACTCCGGAATCTGGATCCCAAAACGCGGAACCCTAGCTCGTGCCGTGATTGAAATGATGGAGCGGGATATCGTCCCCCTCATCACAAAAAGAGTAGAACTCTACGAATTGGTAGAGAAATTGAAACTCTGGCAAAGGGATTACAAGGGTGCGTTGGAGGCGGCGGAAAAAGGTTGGAGGGGGACTATGAATGGGGAGGGATGGCTGGAGGAGGAAGAGGCGTGGATGAGTGTTGTAGGGGCGACGGAGAGATTGGTGGGTGCGTATGAGAATTTTGGGGAGGAGGGTCGTTGGAAGGGGAAGGCGAGGAGTGCGATTAGGGGGGTTATGGGGAAAGGAAGGGATGTCTGGGAGGGAACGAAGGGATGGGTGGTTTTGGAGGGGTTGTTGGAGGAGTTGAATGGTTAGTGCTACTAGGCTTTAAAAGTTGGAGGGTTTTTGGTATATGGTATGTGGTGGGATATGTATGAATGATAGAGGTTTGGCTCGCAAGAGCTGTTATGTAAGGAATGGATATGTGATATAACATATGGCATATGACAAAAGAGATACAATGGAATAGGCATCTGTGGGATGTGTGGATCGACAGTACAGTACAGTGGTGTCTCAAACAATACCCCAATACTAGAAGTTTTCGTTTGCAACTCACTACAACATCACGTTTAGAGATTCTGATAGAAAGTGATCTAAATAGCGAAGTTCTGTACTTCAGTTCATGATCTATTTATCCATTCGTCCGCTCGCTGCACAATCTACTAATCTAAACCAACAGCACGTTCCTCCACCCCCTCTCTCCTATTTCCCTTCCCAGGTCCTTCACCCCCACCAAAAGCTCCTCCGTCTAATATAATCTCTTCATTATCATCCATATCATCCTGTACTCTTCGCCACGTTTTCTTTTTCCTAGTATATGCATCCCCATCCACCTCTGATTCCGTCTCCGTTTCTTTCCCCTTCCCCTTCCCCGCGCTCCAAATGGGTTTAATAAGACCTGCCAACAACGGATTGCGACTAAACGTTCCACCACCCCCATTACGTCCCGACACCTGTTCAATTTCCATAGCATCTTCTTCATCATTATCTTCGCCATCACTCTCAAACTTCGGCGTCTCAACCTTCGCCATTCGTTTCACCACTTTTCCATTCACCAAATCCACACTAACAACCTGTCTCCTCTTTTCATATTCCGGTCTTGCGTTCCATTCCTGCTCAGCTAGAACTCTCTGCTGTCTCTTCAATTCCCTTGCTCTCTCAGCTGGGCTAGACCACATACCACCCATTCCACTTCCTCCTCCTACCGCCATACTAGTCGCTAAACTTGTATCGAAATCCGCAGCTTCGTCTCGAACTGTCGTTCTCTTCGCATTTTGCGCCTGGAATCCCAATAATCTATCGCGATGTTCTTTGGCTTTTTGTTCCGCAGGTGTCATATCGAGTGTTTTTGGTGCGGAGAAAGGAGCAGGTGTTCGAGATACTTCAGCCCGTCGATGAGAAGAGGCGTCTAATCTTTGTTTTTCAACCCCGCGTTCTTCTTTGAGTGTGCGGATCATGGATTGGATTTCATCTTTTCCCAAAATAGCAGAACCGCAGAATGTACATGGACCAAGACCTTCTTTTACACAGATTACCTTTCCACAGTTGAGACAATTGGGCGCTGCGGCTAGCAATGCATGACGAGTTGCTATACAGTTACATTTTCTCTTTGAGGGGTCGGTAGAGAGTGAGGCATTTGTGGATATTTCTAGCGTGCGGATTGCGGCGTCGAGATCATTGAGAACGGTTGAGGCACCATGCATGGCATTTCCACCTGTGATGTTTACTTTTGTTTTTGGAGCCGGAGAAGCATTGCGAGAGGGATTTTGAGATGCGGCGCGAGAGGAAGAGGTAGATTTGGATTTCTTTCCAAAATCGGATATTAGGCTGCCAGCAGCGGAGGGAGGGGGACGAGGGGTGGGCGCCTGGATCGCGGAGGGAGTGCTGTCGAGCGCGAAAGAGTTGGTTGTTGCTGTAGGCTTGGAGGAAGATACCGGTGTGGATTTTCGAGATACATAATCATCTTCGTCTTTCTTTTTATACGCCGTTCCTTGCCCCGTATATGTATCTTGGACTTGACGCGGTGCTGGTGTATGGATAGGTGCTTTCTTCTTTTTTGGTGCCCGAGTTGATTTAGGTACTCCGGTTGATGTTGATGTTTGGGCGGGGGATTGTGCTGATGCCTGTGAGTATGTCTGTGTCTGCGGATTTGATTTAATGGTAGGATCTTGCCGTCTAGCATTGAATGAAGATATAAATTCGATACTGCCGGGTGATTCTCCTAGTAGATTGTTGAAATGATCTGCGGCAGCTGGTTTGGAAAGTGTGTTTGCATAATCCAGTACTTGCTTTAAGTCTTCCTCTGGTAGAGGTAATAGGTTTTGTAACTGTGTGAGAGACATGGTTAATTCTTCAGGCGTGGTACGGCAAGATGAGGTTGTGCGCTGGTGATGAGAGATCAATTTATCTTGGTTGAAGATGCGGTACGTAACCTTATGTCACGGCGAACTCATTGGCATCATCGATAGTGGGGTACTCTACAGAGTAGGTTGCAGATGAACTAATTGATACCGAAATTAACAAAAATAAAAATATTTACAAATTAATTACATTTGCAAAGGAATAATATATTCAATATTCTAATTCATAGATTAATAAATTGATTTATATATTGAGACAAAAAACTATCATTTAATTTTCATTATTATTTTTATTTTTACCTTTATAATTAATTTATAATGATTTCTGGAATATATCTAACCTATCTCATCTACCCACGAGCTTCAAGGAGGATAATTGCAAAATTATCATCTTTAGTCTTAAGTTGGTAATTTAGGGTTGATTATGGTTTGATGTTAATTAGACTGAGGATCATGTAACGGTTTAACGCGAGAGAGTCTATAGCTTTGGCCCTTAGCTAGACAGACCTAAAGCCAATTCCAACTGAAGTCTTCACCTTGGCTCACTTCGGTAACCTTATATGCTTATTGAGGATGCGACAGAGATGATTTAGGTGACTTGGCGACGGCGGTAACCGGCATGGCAGCCGAGTAATTTAGACTCCTCCATGACTTGTGAGCCTCTTGGTTACATGGAACCTACTGAACTGATCTTACACGCAATATTATTTCGATGGCGGTTGAAAAGTGGACTATTCAGTGCATTTAGAAGTCTAAGCACTGTCTGGTGCGAAAAAATGGTAACATTTCAAGACTTCAATAATGACTCCCTGATTCAACAACACCGCTCACAGAAACTTTACTGGACGAGGCAAGTGCAACAAGTCAATAAGGTTAATGGTTAATGAGAAAAGATCAAGCTGGGCTGCTTCAAGTAACATCGCCTTATACGATCAAGACCTACGAGTCCCCGACTTGGAGAAGTTTTCAGAGGGAACATTCACATTTTCCATTCCAGAAATCATTCCAAGAGCGAGGCTCTATAAAGACAGGTTAAGCTTGTATTAAATTTATCCATTGAAAAGTCAAGCTAGAGCAACAGCAACAACATAGTGATTCGCTTTCATTACATTGTCCATTCGCAAAATTAAATCATCTTCATCTTTATCCTTGTCTTCATTTTCATATGCAACAACGAGCTATCCACATGCCCTGATATAACCATCTTTTCCCATCTTCTCCTCTCCCTCAACCAAAATGTGGTAAAAAAGCTCCCCAATCCACAGTATCAAAAGCGCTTTTGGGCAAAGAGCGCAATTGTGTTAAATCTAACGTGAGTATCAACATCCGCGAGCTACAATAGAAGAAGCCAACGAGATACATCGGGAGAGTTGCTTTGAGGGGAATAGAGAGTGAGGGATCTTTGGAGAGAGAATTGTTTCGGAGATGCGCTGCTATCCAGCTAAGGATGGAAGGCTGCGAGCGAGGTCTGGGTGAATTCGGGGAGGAGTGATTAGATGGTATTACTTCTTCGGGTTTCTCCAAATTTGTGTTTTTATGCTTATAGGACGACTGCGATGGCATCGATTCTTCTGAAAGAATTTCCTCTGCGCCTGTTTTGTTCTCGGACAATGCTTGCGATAATATCTCGCCTCCTTGAGATTCTGTACTCAATACAGGCACCGAACGAAAATATTGCTCAAGAGCAGGATAGACCTCATAAGCAAACGCCGTAATGCTGAAGTATAGCGGAACCGTCGCGACCATAGACAAACTAGCAATCCTCCAAATTATCTTCTCCGCGTTCGTAGGAAAACGATTATTCCACGCCGCCAGGAAAATAGCAGTGTAAGCTAAACTCATGGCATAAAAAGCTGCCTGTCCTCCCCGTTTCAACTCTTTCCAATCCGTGTTTTCGAGTCTATCAAACGGGAGTGTTTTCGGTGCAAACACTATGCGCATATTTCGAAGGATATTGATCCAATGTTTCCAGTATCGAGACCAATACCATTCATGACGACTGATGAAGTCTAGAGGAGTTTGTTGATATGGACCTGGTGATGCATCTTTTGCATTTTTCAAAATATCTACCATGGTCGTCTTGGTAGTGAGGGTGATGGGTGTAGCGACATCTGCTCCTTTATTCCACCAACAGTACGTTGTTCCAAGACTACAGACAATGAACGCCGCAGTCGTGAGTTCCATGCCCGTTATTTCGAGACCTTGCGCAGCGCGCGCAATCACCGTGACGCTGAACCATATGATTTGACCAACAGAAATCAGACGGAGGAGATCATCCACTTTATTCTTGTCACGAATATCCTGGATTCGGATCTGAGGATACTCGACATAGCGATTCGTGATCAAATACAAAAGCTGTTTGCCATCGACAGGGATAACTTTAAAATCGGGAGTCTGCAATAGAAACCCGCCAGAATCGGCATAGAAAGCATGTCTCATCGTCCAATCCGGATAATCGGCATCGCGAAAATCTCGAACAGATCTTCGAGCCGAGAGCATTTGGCCAAGTGCAATTTGGAATGTAAACTCGGGTCCCACGCCGCAGAGTGCTGTGAGCCAGAGTCGTCGCCAGAGTATTGTTAGGCGCGAATCATGGGGTCCAGGAACTTGGAGACAGAGAACGGACCAGGAACAGAGGGATATGGTAACCAGACAGCTCCATAGGATATCGATAGATCCTCGACCCGAAGGTGATGCCGTCCAGCCTTGTGTGAGAAGTACTGAAGAGACGTTGGAAATTGGTGGGGGAGCGTGTGGAAATACAGTAATGTTGGAGGTAGGGATAGCGAGACAGCTTTGAATGTTAAATGCTATGATTATTAGACAGAGCTCTGTGGAAATCATCGTATACGAGTTAAGTCATGTTGAATGGGTACTTCATATTGCATCCACTCAGTGGGTCTTGGGATATATAGACATCTACAGCGTAGGTACTCATCATACATTCTCATGATAAGGGGAGAGTTTCGTCAATCGAACCATATTTTATGAAACTGGAGGCACACCATCTTATCAAAAGGAGCAGTCCAAATGCTATTTTTGCTAAGGAAACAGTTGGCTCTAAGAATATTCTACATTTACTTAGATTTCACTGGTGAAGATATAGCTAGTGTAAAAAGCGATGTAACCTGATGTTACAATACGGCTCGAAGCGAGCGGCGTCTATACACGCACTCATATGAGTGGAGAGATATTACGAGCTCAAGACGTGGGGTGTAAATGATTTGTCCTCGAAGCACTAGACTTCTATTGTGTTGTCATGAAACCGTAACAAGGGCATTACGACGGATCAAATTCCATCAAGGGGTTCGTCACAGGATCACATTTAGTTCGAAAGTGTTATTACGATCTAGGTATTTTTTTGGTTGTTTTCTTTCTTTCTTTCTTTCTTTCTTTCTTTTTTCTAAAATATATCTATTTTAATAATATTCTATCTACTCCTTCCTATTGTACTAACGTGAAAAAATCAATGTGACTAGATATTATAAGGTTAACATTAATATTGCTTAAAGATCGTCATTATTCGCATACTAATTCTATGTTATATTAACTTTGCATCATCAAATAATACTCTACCTTACAAAGAGATGTTGAGATTATATACTAGGTATTTTATAGACGATTTTAGTTCATGAACTGTGATCTCAGCGTAACATTCGGTTATAACATCTAATAGTAACCTAGTAACCTTAATCGTTTTTAGGGGCTAATAGCCCTCTAACACCTCGTAGGTTCGGGCTCTTCGGGGGTATATTATACTATTCCAAGAAACCCTTTTAAATTCTTTACATTACACTTAGTAGATACTTAGATGTTGGAAAAATGCCAATAAATTCGCAATCATTCAGTAAACCATTATCGCGAAGTTCATAATCATACCATTCATTCTTCATTAGAAATCGCATGGAATAGGGTATCCGAAATCAAAGAACCCGCTCGCTCTCAAATAGGTATACTAAAGAATAATCAACCAATTTCCAATCCTTTAAAACATCACATATTGATCGTCATGTCCATCTACTTACCCCCATCCAAAGGCTTCCTCGCCGAGACCGCAATGTATCTCGATGTGTTTCTATAAACATATCCCTTATACCCAGCCACCGTGTTAATGAAGTACGACTGAAGTCCTAGGAAACTGATGACAAAGTACGGAATGAAAGCCAGGAGATAAAACATCCTCAACATGGGGAGAACATTATCCGAAAGATCTTTCACCACCACATCTTCAAATCCAGCTTCTTCTAGTATTTTTTCCAGTACGCCTTGATTGAATCGCTCGTGTGCTGGCATCGCTGCATGCGTGTTGATCCTGGTGAATGAAGCTCCGATGTCTTTTGTTTGCGTGGTGAAATCGACGTGATCGTATTCGTACCTAGTGTTCATAATTAGTCGTTAACCAATGATCATTGAATGGATATTTTTTCGGGTATTAAAACATACATCGCAAGTTTCCCACCTGGTCTCAAAATCCTCAAGAATTCTTTCGCGGCAATCTCTGGCTCAACAGCATGAACAAATGTTTCCATCGTATACACCCCATCAAACTCCCCATCCTTAAAGGCATCCAAGTGATGATAATCCTCTTTACTAATGGTAATCTGTCCCTCCAGCCCATCTGCGTTAACATTCCTTCGCGCCTTCATAAGATGATGATCCACGACATCAATTGCATGAATGTTAAACCCCGCCGTCTTAGCTAAATGCATAGCGACATGTCCCACACCACATCCAGCATCTAGTACTTTAGATCCTGATTCCAAAGCTAGATTCGCGATAAGATGATCCTCCATGGCGTGTAAAGCCTTGCGGATAGGAAAGGGCCATGTTGTGCCAGCGGGATAGAAACCAAAATGACGGGTCCCTCCTAAAACCAATCGGTATCCGATACGCGATTCGAGGGAGGCATAATAGTGTTGGAGGGGTTTATTCTCAAGAAGAGGCGTTTTGTCATGTTCATTTGAGGAATTGGAAGTCATGATGAAAAGTTAAAGCTCGAAGGCGGCGCCAATGCTAGGTGGAACGAAACTGGGATGGCACTGGTAGCACTGTGGATTTTGGGGGGTGGAGTTTAAATAGATGCAGATGTTTGCTTAGCTAGTAGGGTGAACTGTGTGTCAAAGCGGGATTATGTAATATTGCTTGCTGAATACGGATGATCGTAATCTTAGACTAGATAACGAAAAATCAGACTTATTTAATTTAATATGAGTAGGTTTTTGATATATCGAAGTTCAAATATTAAAGTATTAAAAAATCAAAAAATTTCTATAATCAATTTTAATATTCCAACTTTGAAGCTTCAATTTTGTTTTTAAATTAATTATATATTATATTTATAATAAAGATATATAAGAAAAATATTTATAATTCTTATATGAAAATTTCGAAATTTTGTTCAATATAGATAAAATATTAGAATTTTCTACCTCCGATTTCTGTGAAATCGGGTCATCTTCCGATTCTGATGGGTAGATCACATCATTATAGCAAAAGAAAAGAGTCTGTAAGAAAACAGACTGAGTACAAGGCATCATCTTGAAATCTTCCCGGCTCTTTGATTAGCCATACAACTCCCATCCATTTCCCACATTACACCGCCATTTAACTCCGATATACCCCTCTGCTCATCCATCTCCGGACGAAGTCCAGCATTCAATTCTGCAATCCGACGCTGCTCATCCATTTCATGCATGCCTGTTGTATTTGCAGGAAGGACTGAAGTAGAATCGTATGTTAATTTAGCGAAATTAATTTCTTCTTGTTTTTGTCGCCGCCGCCAAAATAAATAGCCAAGAATAGCTAAAATTGCAACTGCGACGCCGCCTGCTATACCTCCTGCTATAGCACCAACATTCGACTTCTGTGATGAAGCACCGGCGTATGAGATTCCTCCCGACGTGTGTGTAGAATTATTCGTAGAGGAAGGACCTGCAGTTGAATTGTTGAGAGTTACGGATGAATTTGTTTGAATGTATTTGATAACTGCCTCTAGACTCGCATTATCGAAAGTCGGGAATCGACTGGATGTATTATAGTAGTTTGTGATGAGAGCGGGAGTAGCATAAGCGGCAGCATCGGAATCGTAATTAAAACCCCAAGTCAACTCTGTTATGTCAAATATTCCCATTCCACTTTTCCATGGATCTTGATCATCATAGTCGTTACCATGACCCCCTATACTTAACATTTGTCGCTGGCCGATGATTTGACAATGATGACTGCTTCGTACTGTGCCACCTGTTGCGGGAGCTTCAAACCATTGGAATGCAGGAAGCGTCAGGATATACACCTTGTCAAGACCAAAGCTGTTGATATCTCCCAAATGAAATCCTCCATATATAAATCTGTTCATGTTAGAATGCAATCTCAACGTTCGAAAGTTCTACATACATCTCCCAGGTAGAATTTTCGGAAGAACCCGCTCCGACGGCGCAAAAATTCGTCCTCGGAAAGGGAATGCTGTCACCTCCTGCGCTCTGCAGATAGAATTTTCGAGACTGAATATCGTAAATGGTAATCTGATTCATGGGAACCGGGTTACTGCCTTTTGATGACGTTACTTGAGTAAAAGGCGCATCTCCACCTAAAAAGACAAGAATGCCCTCTTGCCCAAAAATGGGCACATACAAGCCTTCTCCTCCCGATCCAAAACCTGAATGCCCACCAAATACTGTTCCGCCGTAGTCGGTACTACTTGAGTTGGTCCATAGTTCCTTTTCAAAATTATACTCCACGATTCCAGTCATTGGTACTGAATTGTTTCCTAGACCTACAAGTCCAGGATCGGTCGATCCAACCATATTACCACCTAAACTGTAATATGAATTCGGAGTAGCCACCCAAAGCGCGTACGAAGCCGAGGTGAATCCTGAAAACGAAGCTACACTAGAGCTTTGGTGAATACCACCAGTGTATTTTACTGTCCAATTGACATTCCCTTGATCATTGACAGGAGACCAGTATACTGCCACCGGAGGACTGTAATATGACCAACCACCAAATCTGAATATTGATTTTTGGACTGGATCATACCACATAGTTGGTCTTCTTGTCATCATGTCCGCTGCTTCTGGTCCGGATCGACTAATGTTGGGATGAGCAAATATTTGGGCGGCATAATCACTCGTATTCCATGAAGAAGATAAGTCAATTGAAAAGCTGCATAATACTACAGAGGTAAGAAGTTAGCCGAATAAACAGAACTATATATCACTGTGGGACATACGGGGTGAGTTATCTTGGGAGAAAGATTTTCCCCATATCTCGCCGCCATCGATATAAAGCCAGTTTCCAACCACGACGGCTAAAGTATCTTAGTATACAACTAATACAATGCAATACACTCCATTAGCTTACAGGTTTGACCCCACCACTCAATCAAGTCTGATGGAAGCCAAGTTGGATTCCAATTAGAAGAGGTCATAACGACAATGGAAATATCAGGACATTGTTATCAGTTGGCGACAGGAAAAGACAAACCAAAAAATAAACGGATAAAATAAGAAAGACGATAAATTTTGAAGCTGGAAAGGCGATTGATTGCATTCATTTACATCTTCAAACAAGGGTGAGCACAAAATTCATGCATCCTGGCGGTAACGATCGCACACAATACAATGTCTCCAATCAAATCGATTCAGAAATGGGGGTTGGCCAAAATTAATGACCCTGCCACTTATCTGCAGGCAACTTTGCGCACGCTTCACTGCGATGGCTGGGGGATATAAATGTAGCATGTAAGCTGACAGATGATTTATTTAAGCTATGAGCCCTAGTTGAGGTACCATGAATTTAGATGCATCATGTCGCTGACCCCCGTGCTTCATTTTACTCAATTTCCACTCGGCTTACTAGCAATTTAAATGTTGAAAGCTCTTATATCAGAAGGAGTGATAAGGGATACGACTACTTCAGTCCTTCAGTCGTTGTTGTGTTTCTATATCAAAAATGTGGAAAGTTAAAATTTAGGAAAAATGAAAATAAAAGACGGATTATTTCTTGTGGCCATTGTGGACTCTGACTCTCCGGCATGTCTGCTTCTATCCATGAGGTTATAGAAGACCACCAAGTAGGAATGGATTGGGCTGTCTGGCCAAGATTCTCATCTGATATGAACTTATTCTTAGATTTCCCCCGAGTGCCTTCAATCAGGTCTCCTTCAAGCTGAGGCTAAGCGTCAAAACGATTTATGTTTCGATTTGTGTCAATTGCTTCGCCCCCTCATGTTGCATGGGTGGTTGTAGGATTTAGCGTTCTGTTGATATTGTTGTTTATTAACCTACCTACCTACCTTGAAGAGATATTCAGGGCAGGGCAAAAGCGGTGAACTGGCAGAATTTGCTGGATTTTGGGGACGGGTGTCACGTGGATAAGTGTTTTGGCGTGTACTGTACCCTTTCATGATGGTGAAATCTGAAATCAAGGAGCTGGTTGTGGAATGGAAATATCATAGTACCGGGTATTTCTTTCATGCACTATATATATATATCTCGAACACTGCGACCTTCAATAACTCCGACACCTATCAAGTGCGCCTTGTTTTATCCTCACCTCGTCGGTATGCAAACGAAGCAAAGCCTTCTCACCGTTTGATACGGCGGATTTGAACATATATACACAAGTCTGATATCAATAGGTTGGTACTTGGAGGTAGTCAGACTTCGATTGCAAAATAAACACTCCGCGATCTCTCTCCTAGCCAAACCTGATGCGCTGAGTTCAGTTGAGAACCTTACTCCTCAATTGACTGGTGTTCTTCCATCCTGATATACTGAAAGTGCCAGCTTTATATGGAGTCGTTTTTCGTGGTAGCTGTAGAAGTCGTAACTATATCTTCGCATAGCATCGGGAAGATATAATGATATTAACTTCATGATGAAGAAAGAATCCGGGGGCTTATGATTGGCATTTTAGGCTTAATTGCCATTATCGTGATGGGTGTGTTGTTTTGTCTCGGTGGGGGTGGTGGACTCATCAACACCAGCACGCCTTTTACTTGACTACCTTTCACTTCACATCTCCCATTGTATCAACCACAATTGGATGGAACCGGCCAGATTTCATCGTTTAGATGGAGAATACTTAGTCTTGGCGAGGGAGTCATTGATGTCTTCGTTTTACTGTGATAGTACTGACCATTTCACTATCGCCATGACTTCTCCACCAAAGTTATCGATGACTCCCCAAGCCATTTTCCCGGAATTTCTCCACTGACTAGTATAATAAACTTCATTCTTCTTCTATTTATCGTTTTCACTGTTTATATCATATCAAAATACTTCAATTTTCATCTCTACAACTTGTCAATATGGGAGAACCGGAGACCAAGCTCGGGGAAGCTTCCCTCAATGACTCAACAACATATCAAGCCACTCCTTTTGGCAAAGAGATGGCCAAGCATTTTTATTTTGAACCAGGATGGAGAAATTTAAATCACGGTATTTACTCACTATTCCAACTTCAATTTCCCAGCTCACGATGTCCAGGTTCTTTTGGTACTATTCCTCGTGCCATTCGTGAGAAGCAAAGAAAATATCAGGATGATTCCGAAGCTCGTCCGGATGACTTTATTCGACACACATATCCTCGACTACTCGACGAGTCACGAGAAGCTTTAGGAAAACTTCTCAATGTTCCTACTGATACTGTTGTCTTTGTTCCAAATGCTACAACTGGTGTTAATACTGTTTTGAGAAATTTGGTTTGGAATGAGGATGGGAAGGATGAGATTCTTTACTTTTCTACTATATATGGTGCTTGTGGTCTGACGGTATGAACCTTCCAGAATTTCGATATGTCTTCATCAACTTTATTGTCGGATCGTTCCTAATGCAAATTTCATGCTAATATAGCTCCCAGATCAAATATGTTTCAGAAGCCAATCGTGGTCTTGTCCAGCCAAGAGAGATAACCTTCCAATATCCCATTGAAGACGATGAACTTGTTGGACTATTCGAAAAAGCCATTGAAACTTCAAGAGCAGAGGGCAAACGTCCTCGAGCTGCTGTATTTGACATCGTAGGATCACTTCCTGGAATAAGAGTTCCTTACGAAAAATACATCACCATCTGCAAGAATGAAAAAATGTACTCCATCGTCGATGGAGCCCATGGAATCGGTCACGTGCCTCTCGACTTATCAAGCCTCGATCCCGACTTCTTCGTCAGCAATTGTCACAAGTGGCTCTTCGTCCCAAGAGGTAGTGCAGTATTTTATGTACCAGAACGAAATCAAGATTTGATGAGAACAACTTTGCCTACCTCACATGGTTTCGTTCCTATTGGACCTAGACCATTTAATCCATTACCACCAAACAGCAAGAGCGTATTTGTTAATCAATTCGAATTTGTTGGCACGATTGATAATACCAATTATCTATGTACCGCCGAAGCAATCAAGTGGCGAAAAGAAGTCTGTGGTGGTGAGAAAGCCATAATGGATTATTGCAGCACTTTATCACGGGAAGGTGGTAAAACTATTGCCAAGATCCTGGGTACTCAAGTTATGGACAACAGTACACATACTTTGACAGATTGTGGTCTTGTTAATGTGTTACTACCATTGGAAATCGGAACCACTGAAATCGATGGATTTTTCAAGGTCAATGAGGATACGAAAATGGAAGCTTATCAATGGATGCTGAAGACATTGATGAAAGACTATAAAACATATATCTCCATCGCATACTTGAACAATAAATGGTGGGCTCGACTCAGGTACGTGTCATGCACTTTCTTTATGATTCATAATTCTATCTTATTTCACATCTTATATCTATCCGATTATTATTTTTAAATCCTCGTCTTTGCAAACTAACCATCCGATTTCCTCCTTGCAGTGGCCAAGTGTATCTCGAAATGAGCGATTTTGAGTGGGCAGGCCACACACTCAAAGAACTGTGCGCAAGAGTTGGGAGAGGAGAATATCTGAAGGGAGGAACGTAAGCGGAATACATCAAAATTTCGAGAGAAGTTTGAAAAACAAAAGGAGGTTGGATGATGAAACACTTCCAATGTTGAGGGTATTTTTTTGTGCGTGCTCGGACTCTCTGAAGATGGACCCTGGATGCATCGATTCCTGGCCGCAAAAAAAATTATTTACGAATGATTGAGTAGGAACTCGTGGAGACGATCGCAATATTCTTGGATTAATTCTAAGATCTTACAACAATCTATCAGCCATCTTACATCCCTCACATTCCTCTTTCTATATGATCAGAACCCATTCTTCCATGTCCTACTTTTAATTCATTCCCAGATTTGCGGATCTCCTCTTCTATCATCAACAGACATATCAATCAGGTGCATCAGAATGACATTAGACGCTCAGGACATTCGCTTCGCACGAGCTTCCACATACTTCGCCCGCTTTGCACTTTGCACTTTGCACCAGCATTTTTAGGTGTATTGTTGTAGCTTTGACTTTCTTTTTAAATGTGGATCTGCACAGAACAACCGTTCGCACGACTAATCAGCCCTCGGTACATATCATCATTATTTTCGACATCGCATATTGTTGCATTTCTTGTTAGTGGGAAGAAAAATGTCCCGAAATTGAAATTGGGATTGAGATGCTCGGACAGCGTTGAGGAAATTTTGTGTCTTTGAAAGTAACATATATGCAGAGAAATCCTGTTCGTTGATCCTTTTCGAGTTGCGAATTTCCCTTATATTTTTTCCTGCTTTTGTTTGGACTTTTACTCCCTTTACCTGCAGTGAGCCAGTTCTCGCGTCTTGATTTCTGGTAAATCATTTGTGCTGATCTGCTTTTGGATTATATCTTATTATATTGATTCATATATCTTCATTTTCATTGCTCTTTAGCAAATGCGATACTTTCGTTTTATCTCCTTTGCGACCTGTACTGTCGGAGTGAGAATTTAACTTAATATATTTTGCTTCATCCAGTTTCTCCATCTCTCCACTAGCGAAAGCTGTTTCATCTGTTGGAAACGTTGAAACAAAATACCGTCTTGTCATCCGCCATCTTTTAAACTCGAAACGCCAAAAGTGCTTTGACATTTTTTTCTTCTGTTGGTCTGGATTCAGGGTTCTGCATCTATCTATATTACATTTCCATTAAACTCATTCTTTTCCTACCACACAACCCAACCTTACGGAATACACACCAGTAATCAACAAGATGCGAAACCACTATTCTCACATGTCTCCCTCTTCAAAAGCACAACAGGAATGGCCTCTAAAATCCACCTTTCGCCGTCTAAAGCGATCGCTTCTTAGACGTCCATCCACTCATTCACAAAAGGCACCTCAAAAAGCATCTCGGCGCCTTCCGGAACCACCTCTCTTAGTCGACAACCCAGAATTGGATTTAGTAAATATTCTGTCCTCGACTATCAATACCACACCTGCAAATCTCAACGCTGGACCTGTTTATCAACATCAACGACAAAACACCCTTGAAGATCCTAGGAGGTTTAATGTCCTCGATGTAGAAGCCCAGAATCGGGTTAATCAGAAAAGAGAGAGAACTATGTTTGGAGGTCTAAAGAGAAAAATTTCGGATAAACATCCTCGTCCTACTTCGAATTCCCCTCCCGCGACAAGGGAAACTCCATCTTCATTCGGTATTATTCAAGAACGCACATCAATGGACTTAGTTATTCATCGTTTTCCCGCCGAGTATTATAATTTCCCAAGACCCCCGACTCCGAAAACCCCATCTAGATCTCAGGAAGTTCCTCCCGTCCGTGCAGCAAAGTCTCTTAGAAGCAGAATATCGCGCACGTTTTCGAGAAACGGGAAAGGGAAGGGGAAAGGAGGAGAACATGATTTTGACATGGAAGCTTATCCACTTGAGATAAAAATGGTGAAACCAAATCCGGCAGCGCCTCATCCTGCTTTAGATGAATCTACTGCCTCTGCATCTTCACGATCCGACTCTCCAAATCTCTCCCAAAGACGGTTTTCTCAAAGAGATCTCCTTCGACCTAATACTTCAGCATCATCATCTACCTCAAAGTCTATTTCGGCAGCTTCAACTCGTGGTACTCCACTATTAACAGTCAACCATCCAAGTGCGATTCAGAGAGCATTCTCCAGCTCAAGTCTGCGAAGTCAACTACAAATCGTTGTTGATGTCCCAGTCATTGAAGCACAGGAAGTCAAATCACCACCACCTACTTATAGTGCTTCGATGGATTTTGCCATGAAGGGAAGTGAAAAAACTACGGTGAATTTATCGGATCATCCCGCGCTTGCTGGTGTCGATGCTGGTGCCTCGAGTTCGAGCGTATCACAAAATCAATCAATACCTACATCTGAAGAATCAGCACCCGTAGCTACTGTTTCCGCACAGCGCACACGCGCACTAAGCAACGCACCCCGTCCCTCTATGACGCAAACCGTTCGTTCATCCTTCGACAATTATGGTAGCACCACCATAACAACGCAAACTACACACGACACCGTCGCACCCCTATTAATTCGCAAAACCGCTCGAGGTTCCTCCCCAAAACGTTTCGCATCACTGAAACGCTCTCTCTCAGACTTAACATCACGACCTCCTCCATCTCGATCCCAATCCCAAGACACAGGACTCGCAAACCTAAACTCAAACACTTCTCCAAAAGCCAAACGTACAAGTACGAGTTCCACGTCTTCAAAGTCGTATTATACATTAGGAAGCGCAGAAGCTGCCATGCCAGGTGTATCGAGAAGTTTAACCGTACTAAACGCGAAGAGGAACTCGACCATTTCATCACCGAGAAGTTCTTTCGTTTCCACAAAATCACATTTTTCCGCAAATGCAAATATATACCCTAGAAGTTCCACCTCGACAATAAGGAGTGTACCCCAGGAAGTAGAATTTCTACCCACCAAGGCCGCTCCTATTCCTACTCCTACTCCTACCCCAGCTCCCGCATTCGGTTCTCTGAGAAATTTCTCCAAGCCAAGCACCGCTCGATCTCAAACTCAACGTCTAATTCCAGCTGAGAAGATAAATCCCCCGGTACCCCGACGCGCAAAAACAGATTTCTTGAAAAGTTTCGAAGTCCCTAATTTAATGATGGATTGTGGTGGTTACGATGTTCATGAGTTTAGTTATGCGGATTATACGTATGTGGAATCGGAATCGGAGTTGGGATATGCGGCGTATTCTACTGGGCAGATGATTAAAGAGGTTGCGGCGGGTGGTGCGGGAAATGGGGAGGGGGAAAATGGGAATGGAGATGGAGAGTTTGAGAAGTTTATTTTGGATGCGAGGGAGGGCGGGAGGGGGGAGAAAGGGAGAATTTTGGGGAGGAATGGGATTGTGGAGATGAATTTGGATGTGGATATGAAGATAGATGTTGATAGGGATGTTCACACGGCAGAAAAGAAAAATAGAGGAGTTTGGAGGAGTTTGAGGAGGAAGGATAGGAATGCAGGTGTTAGAGGATGAGATGTTGAGAGGCTAAAAGGTTAAAAGTTTAATTTATGCATTGTGAGAGGACTTATTAATTTGTGGTTGAGGAGTACGAAAAGAGAGGAGGATGGGTTATTGGTAATACTTGGTTATGATGATTTTATTATGTGTTTATGTTATGTTAGTTAGACTTAGCTTGATATCCTAATTATTTTTTAGTTATCTATTTATTAATCTTAAGATCTTGTATTTTTATCGGATTTGTTTGACGTATTGTTTTTGTTTTTGTTTTGCTCTTTGATGATAACCTAGTCCCGATAATGGATGTGCCGTTTTTTAAAGACTCATGCCATACATCAATGTATGTATGTATGTATGTATGTATGTATGTATCTTGCAGTAGTGAAAGATCATAGATGCATAGCTTGCAACCTTATAACCGCTCATTATCACTAGATCATCCTACCTAGCCTGAATATAAAACATAAAACATAAAGCAATATGAAAGAGGATGCAGAGGACGCCTCGATAACTAATACAATTATAAGGCCTTATAAGGTATTAGTATTATAAAAGGTTTATAATTTTATATCTGGATCATTTCATTAGTATTAATTAATATTTAATAAATTTACAAAAATTAATATATAATAATTTTTATTTAATTTTAATTTTAATCAAACAAATTTACAAAATTAAAATAATTCTTTTAAAATCTAATTGATTATTAATTTTCAAAACTTGATTTAAAAGATCGTATTATAATATATTATAATATTAATACTCTATAAGACTTTATAATTATATTATTTTTCAAATCATCCTTTGTACTTCCTATTGGTTTATTTTAATTTGAATTTACTCTTTAGATTCCGGTGAATAATAGTGTCACGTGGTCAAGGCCGATCACGTGGATCGGGGCTCTAGTAGCTCTGCTTTCTTTACATAAAGCCCCATCCCTAGATTCAATATCCTTTCCGTCACTCACTCATCTACCCTTTCATACTCATGTTTGTAGGAATTTTTGAGATCTTCCATTTGTATACATGCTGTAGAGATTATTCATTCTAGTCTTACGTACCTGCCGCAAGCGGGTATGATATAATAAAATAAAGCAAATAAATCCTTCTTCTGTACAAGTACCTAGGGATAGCTGCTTTATATAAAAAGGAGCTGGATTGAAATAAAGTGTTACATGATGATTTAATATTCACGTTAAGAAAAAAGTCCTTCTTGATTTGTCCAATTATATATTTTTCCAAAAAAGATATTAAAATAAAGAAAATTAGATTATTATGTTCTAGATTCTAGAAACTACATCTCTATATAACCTTACAAGTGGAACTAGTGAATTTATTTATCATGAGCTTGAAAAATCTTTGCCCCTTCCTCTTACAGCTCAAGCAATCTCTCAATTTACCATCTCTCAGGAATCGAGTTCTCAAAAGACCATCAAAAACTCACACTGCAAGTTACTTTCTCAGCAAAAATCTCAGGCTTAGCCAACCAACCATCGTGGAGAGTCACAGTAAATCCAACATGAATAGCTTCAACAAATGCGTCAACTCTGACCTAGAAACTCTCTACAACCGTCATTTCATACCAGAGTTAAATGACTTATACATCGACCGTCCAACCGACATGCTCTGTGCGTGTCCCGATTGCGGAGCTCTCACTGGCCTCTTCAAAGACCCCACGGGCTCTATCAAACGCGACGACAGATCGCAAGTCATATTTGTCGATGGAGCATGTAGTGGAAATGGACAAGCAGGAGCACAAGCATCCTATGGTGTTTATTTCGGCGACGGAGCTAAAAACAATCGTTCGGGTTTAATCGATAGAGATCTCCCGCAAACTAATCAAGTTGCCGAACTCGTTGCCGCTATCGTGGCTCTTAAAATCGCGAGGGGTCAGTTGTATGAGGATATTGAGAAGAGAGTTCGTCGCTTGCCAAATCGTCACAGTATTCTTATTATTACCGATTCGGCATATGTGGTAAATGGGGCGACGAGTTGGGTGTTGGAGTGGAATGAAAATGGATTTAGGACATCGACGGGTGCGCCGGTCAAGAATGCGGAACTCTTTGTGGAATTGGATGATTTGATTGAGGAGTTCAAGGGATATCATGTTCCCGTTTGGTTCTGGCATGTTAGGAGAGAGTTTAATAGGTCGGCTGATGCCATGGCTCGTATTCCTCTTTATGGTGATCAGGAGATTCCTGCTGTGATTCCTTTTATCAGAGACTGAGGAATGGTTGGGTGGTGCGTGGTGAGATGAGCTAGCTATCTTTCTATGCAGGTGCGGTTAACTGGTGTCCTGTGAAAATATTGTGGTGTAAATGGTGGGATGTGGATGAAGTAGAAGTCATTCCCACGGGCAAATTATCTTGAGCACATAACCTTGTAGTTGATGTAGGAAGTTTGGGGACTAAAAGATATTGACACAGGTTAAAGTTTCGATTTGATAAGACTTAACTTACGTTGCACTGCATTTAAAATAGTTTGAAATACTGATACCACGAGACAAATGAATATGAATCAACCATTAAAATTTCCCGAAAGCTATAATAATCTATTGAGAAAACACACCCCAATGATTGCTCTATTAGTCATGTTAAAAAGTGCCAGGTGAAGAGAGTTAAATGATCTATTAATCTTACATCTATATAACAACAATTTCTTTTTATTCTTCACACCTTCATACAGTACAACACATATCTATAAATACTTAGCGAGATTTATCCAAGTATCTAGATAACTACTGAGGAGTTATTTCCACATCATAATCTAGTTACCACACACATCATAACAATAAATTATAATTAATAAATCTTATTTATTTATTTATAATGAAATAAAACTTTGTTATATTATATAATTAATCTTAGATTATAGAATCTAAGAGATTTTAAGAAATTGTAGTTTTTCTCTTATATACTTCCGAGTTCAGTTTAATTTATCTCTAATTCAAGTCCAAGGGGAAGTAGAAGACAGGCTCGAGTGATAAGTGAAAATTGATGAAGCAAGGTTATTTCTTATAATTCGAGAATATGATTTAAAAGTACTAGTATCAACAACTCTGTCAAATGTTTAATAATACCATGCTAAAATCTCAATATCCTGAATTTTCAATAACAAGAAGCTTTCAACAGCAGGCTCTCGAAAACAAACTCCCCACGCACAATGACCTCCCCTAGAAATATCATTGCATAAAACCATTTCCCCTCATATAACCCCTTGCCCGAAATCATCATCCCACCTTAAACTTCCCTCCTCCTTCCCCCCTGCACTCCACTCCTCACCCTCCTCCAAATCTCCCTCCTAAACCCTCGCACCCAAAACCCCGTCCTCCCAAGCGCATCCCCATTCTCCTTAACCCTCCTCAACAAAAACTGCAAACATTCCTGCGTAGAACCCCACACTAAACATTTATACGCCTTCGGTTTCAACGCCATCTTTATATCCGGCGACACTGTCGAATTGTACAATTTCTCATTTCGGCGAAGCTGTAATAAACTACAACTAATCTCATCGGCCATTCCTTGGAGTTGTCCGAATGCTAATTCTATGGTTTGTTTTCCTTGATGGATTCGGGAACTTTGGATGGAATAGGCCCGTTTGATACTTTCTTCGTTGTGGGTTGCTAGGAATAATTCTGCGCGTGGGTATGCCGTTTTTTCATTGGTTGTGATACATGGGTATGATTTTTCTAGAAGGTTAGCGGCAATACTGTTATATGCCGCATGTGTATCCTGAATCGTATCATGAATTAAATCTCTTTTCTCCGTGGCAATATATGCACCTCTCACTAATTTAATGCCCAAAGTCCAGTTTTCTGCCTGAGCGAGCTGTAAATGGTGGAAAATATTGGCTGGAGTAGCTTTTAGGTATGCTTGCATGGTAGTGTATAGAAGTGCCTTAGGACCGGTGTTGTAAATACGCATGAGATCTATTGTCCATTTTTCAATACCATGTTGAAGATCTTGTTGTTCTGCATCGAGCCAGATGCGGGCTTTTTGTGAAAGGGCGGTATTGAGAAGGAGATGCATGGACTCCTGGACGAGAGGTGGTGGGGGAAGATTATTTGAAAGGGCATGGAGAGCAAGAGGACCAGCTCCGGAGAATCTGAGTTGGGTTTAGTGATCAATTCCCACGATATGGTTGGTAATGAAATATTGCAGGAGAACAAACTTACTTGAGTGATAGAAAATCACCAGGTTGTAATAGCGAAAGTGTACTCATAAGACCATCCCTCCATTCTCTAATAGCTTTTTCCCCCACTTCCTTGCTCACAGAAATTCCATCTCCACGTTGAACTTCTCCCCCCGTAACATTAACTTCCTTCGCATATCCCAAAATAACACCACTAAAGCCCAAATTTTTCATAGCAGCTACACTCGCTCTCACTTGAGAGGCATTTTCCCCAGCAATAAAATGATCGTAAATGAATTTCCTCACTATCATATGCAAAACCGGATTTCTATCTGGATTTAGCAGTGTCGAATTAGAATTTGCGAGTGTGTTGAGTAGTGGAAGAAAGAATTTGATAATTTTGGGCGAAGCCAAAATTGAGGTTATGAAATATGATTTTAGAAGAAGAGGCATTGGCATTATTGATAATGGTGGAAGCTCAGAGTTTTCAGATGAGTTCGGATAGTTCGGAGGGGTTGAATTGTGAGGAAAGCCATTCTGATGAGAGATGGTTGTCGTTATTGCACAATACGCCCTACGAGAGTGTATATGATATCTCGCTGTCGAGGGAAATCTACAAGATCGTCTTAAGAACATTTCCAGAAGGTAGAAGCGTGAGTTTCAGACAAAATGAAAGTCCAGAAGATTGGGAACCTCGAGGTAATCATTACCTAGGTACTGTAAACCTATAATATCCCCCATTTTCCGTCACTACTAAACCTTATAGTTCTACGATAACAGTTGGCTCGTATATATAGGCATCACATTCGACCTCGGGATGCATGCTCGACCCCGCATATCAACCTCATAACATTACCTTATCTGGATGGTGGGTCCTTATCACGAACCCAAACGTGTGACATGCTGTGCATAAGTCCAAGATAGGAAACTGGCTTCGATGATGAAACGGAATCTAGCATACGGATCACAGAATAGTTGGTGGAGTGGCTTGAGCGATCTATCGACTAGTTGTTGTGGTTAATATGCTGTGGACAAAATGACGCCGTCGCTATCCGCGATAATGAATGCCGAAGGGGATATATAAATACCTTATCCTTGTAGCTATTATGGTAGCATAAAAAGGGTCTTGCCTGTGGCAGGTAAAATCATAGACAGCCTATGTTCTTTCGTTGAAGAATTTATGCTTGGTTGATTAGAGTCAGGACTGAATCCAAAATGAATGTTGGACAAAATTGATCTGTAAACGATATGTAGAAGGGAGCTATCATTAGCCCGATGACAGCCGGGATTGAATCCAATTATCGACTTTCTTTGGATTAGGAAATAAGTGATGCTTGTGTCTATTGAGTAAGTCCTTTTGTCACCATTCAAGTCCTAATATGTTAGCATTCCAATAATACAAAAATGCTCGGAAGAAAAATGTGTCGGCATGGTGGAAATCTCGATGGGAAATCTAGTCTATTGACATGATCTGTTCTAATCTATAGAAACCTGAGCTTCGTCTATCAGATTACACGTCTGTTTTCAAAGGCAAGCAAAGTATGAAAAATGTAGCGGTATTCTTTCCTTCCAGTGCGAAAAGGCACAATTTCTTAGCTGGCGGCAAGCTTCAGTTCAGTCCTCTATAGAGGCGAGAAAGAACTTATTTCTTGCTCATGTTTAATCCATGTCGTACAGAATCGATGGTTGCATCACAATATGTGGATCTGACACCACCCTTCTCAATAGTTTTTAGACCTTGAATAGTGGTACCCTTAGGCGATGAAACCTTCTCTCTCAGAACTGCAGGATGTTCACCATTCTGTATGAGCTTTGCGGCTGCAAGCATAGAACCGGCTAAAATCTCTTTTGCGGTATCGCGCTTCATTCCTTCTGACACGGCACCGTCAAGAATTCCATCAAAGGCGGTAAGAAACCATGCTGGAGTGCAACCTGCGAGAACACCGGCAACTTGAAAAACATTGTCAGGGACGTATGTGTATTGACCAATACTTTGGAAGATCCATTCCATGGCTTTTTCGTGTTTTGGAGAAATAGTTTCGGATCCAGTTGAGATTACGGTTGATGATTCCTTGATTTGTGCCCCAAGATTTGGCATACTCCTGACAAATGAACAACCTTTTGTGTCCGAGCTACCATTGAAAGCGAATTCTTTCAATTGTTCCGTTGTCGAGCCTGCCAAAACTGAGATGACAAGTTTGTTTGCTAAAGCATCACCAACACCAGGAGCGCCGAGTACTTCCTCAGCCATATACGGCTTACATGCCAGTATGATAACATCAGCCAATTGGAAAGCTTTCAAGTTATCGTCGTAAAATACGGCAAGTCTATCGCCAGCCTCACAATCTTTTGATGCTTGATATACTTTGGAGGCTGAAGCTTCTGACTTGGTACAAGCAATAATATGTGAAATTGGTGTATTATCCCTTGCGCCTGACAAGGAGTTTGCAGCGAGAATCCCAGTAAGTATAGCACTACCCATATTTCCTAAAAGTGTGAGTGAATATTCCTTTATCATCTGTCAAGTTTCTGACTCACCACATCCTACCACGGCGGCGACCAAGTTATTGCCCTTAGTTAAATCCCGGTCTTGTATCCATTTTTCTATGTTTCCCAATGCTGAATTAGCAGTTGGGTCACTGCTGATATTTGCGGTTCTATTTTGTCCGGTCATGATGTCTATATTGATTGGAAGATTTGAGATTTGATGGTGTTGGATTTGAATATCACTTTGAAAGAAGATTGATGTCCCACCAAAAACATTTGGAGGTGGGATTAGTCAGCATTGACGAGAGCTATAGTCAGCTCCGCACCTTAACGCCTTCATCACTATAAATCCTTATCATCTAGTGATCTTGTATATTTACCCAAATCTTATATTAAAGCTAACATTTATAGGCTTCAAGAACCTTACCTAGATACCCAACCATGAATTCCATCCCACTTATGAAATTTCAAGAGAAAGAGTGGAATATCCAGAACATCCATTGAACATTGGGCTCGTAAGAGCTATATCACCCGTGCCTTTGTTCTTTGCACTCATTCCATATTATATCCATCATTACGAATGAATGTTGATTGTAGCGTATTAAACAAATCTATACTCATCCAATTTTGGTAAAGGGTGCTCGCTTCATGGTATTGTATTGTATTCTATTTTCATTTCACAAGAAACAATCTATCTTCAAGCCCATAGTAGCTAGTTATGTAACCGCAATTCTAGCCCAGCAACTAACAACTCCACCTAATCCTCTTCATTTACTCATTTATCTATCATTACAAACTGCCCCAATACTCATTCTATCCCTAACAACAATTGTATCTCCAGAACTCGCATCCACATCTCGTGCATACTGTTCCTCATCCACAATTATCCGACTACCCCTTTTACTTCTCGTCCCATATGAATGCTTCATTACTTGTCTTGGCTGCACAACAATAGTATTTTGATCCGGGTCCAACGGCGAACTAGCCCTCTCAACCATCTTCCCCTTTCCCTTATCTTTCCTCCCGGATTCTGGAGAACCTGTTGGTGGTAAACTACTCAAGCTCATTCCCTTAATACTAATTTTAGAATGTTGCAGCCCTCTCAAATTTGGCAAGCCAACACCATCTGGCGCACCATCTACTCCGATATCGTCAAAGGATCTTTTGTATCCAATGCTATTGCCTGGCACGTTTTCGGCAAGTCTTTCAAAAGGCACTCTGGCTCGTAGGTTATCTAAAAGGCTTTCAGAAAGTGTGTTATTAGTTATTCTGCGGACACTTTTGAGAAGGAGATCTTCAAGCCATGTACCACTTCTATGTGGTTCTGTTGAAGGCGTCTTAGCGACAGGGTTATTTTCGGGGATAGTTTGCTGTCTTTTGGATTTGCTGGTCGTGGCAGCTGACTGTGGTTTGGTGTGTGATGAGGCTGGAAGAGATTTGCAACCTTTCCTAATGGGTAATTTCGATACTCCAGACTTTTTGATTGACTTCTGCTCTGTTATTTGTCCAGTAAACGCCCTAAATGCTTTACGATCGAAAGGCACCCAGTACATTGGACGCTCTGACTCATTTCCTTCAGCATCCTTGAGCTTACGAAGATCGTCGAGAATCTTAAATGTGAAATGAACTGCATTCGTTTTGTCGTCTCTCTTACACTGTGGTCGGTATGCTGGCGTTTTATCGGACGGATTACGCTGTTTGGATGGTGCAGGATCTTTGCTGGCAACGTTCTGTGTCGCATTTGTATATGGCAGCCAGATATCGCTTCTTCTTTTCTTCAGATCCAGCACCCAGGCATCACAATCCCATTCTACCCAGTAATCAATCACATCACCCCATTGACTCTCGGGAGGTTTCGTTTGGTTGACAAAGATAACGCTTCCCCCTCTAGCATGAACAGCTTGTGCAAATTCTTTGACCATAACTTTGAGACCATGAACTCGTAAACTAGTGCCAAGAATGAGAAGAACATCTGGACTCAATTTTAAATCGTGAATGATCAATGGCCCTACTAGATTTGCGTGTGGATGTTCTTCTCCGTAAAGAACAATATCAGGTCTCAGTCTACCAACAGCCAAGCCTCTACGACCCTTATCTTGACGCGATATTGAGCTTGAAATACAAGAAGGGCAGTCAGGAGCAGACCCAGCCATTGTAGTAGATTCTCTATCTTCCTCATCCCAGCTGGTGAGTTTTGAGCACACCCCACATCGCAACCTACGGAGTGAGCCATGCAATAAAACACACTCTACTCCAGTTGCAACAGAGGCGTCTTTTCCTCCTCGTTCTTCTCCAGCTGGAACTGATTTTCCTTGGACTTTGGATTGAAAACGCGTACGATCACCCGCGCCAAGTTCGAGATCCGTAGTAAGGCCTTCACGTTCTTCGAGACAGTCGATATTCTGTGTGTAATTCCGGACGAGGCGACCGTTGTCTCTGAGAGCACGGATAAATTGGTGAGTGGTGGTGGTAGACTTGACATCGTTATAAATTCTTCGACGAAAATTGGAAATAAACATGTAAAATACTGAGGTCGAGAAGGGATCAGACCAAATGACTGAATCAAACAGATCTTTTCCTTTAAGATTTGGTAATGTACGTGATGAGGAGGATTGAGATGATTGTGAAGGAGGCTCTTCAGATTCGGAAGCAGCCGTGATGGAACTGACTTCGCTCAAAAAGTTGCGTTTGTTGCTGCTACTACATTCGCTTGACGAAATTGAAGGTGTAGAGCTGCTGGCTGTGGATGCGCTTTCTGTATTTGTGGTGGAAGACAATTTACTGTTGGGAAGTTCAAACGCGGGAGTATTTCGTCGAGAAGATCTTGTGGAAAGTGAGGAGCATTCTTGCGTAAGCTGAAGTTGTGGCGGTAAACTGTCACCTCGTGATCTCTTTGATTGACGTGGAGATTTGCTTTCAATAATTGAATTGTCGATAGAGGATATCAGTGATGAAGATCTCTGGAGGTTTTGTTGTTTGGAAGGAGCAGATTCCTCGTTGGTGATTGAGGCTTGAATTGTTGACCGAAGACTACTTTCACGCCGAAGTGAATTTGATATGGAAGAATCGGAACGAATTTGTGTTGCGATAGAGCTTTCTTCTTTTGCAAAAGATGAGGGAGAATTTGCTCGAAGTGAACGTCGAGTGCGTACTTGTTTACTCTCAATTCTATCCACATCCTCAGGCAACCGAGAATTTTCGCACGAATGTTGAAAAGAATATTCACTCGATTCTTGTAATAATTGTTGCGATACTTTTTCTTCCATGTCCAAACTTTCTGAATCAGGCTCCATCTCTAATGCGGGACTTATTTCTTCCTGAGATGTAGTATACACATTGCACGATGCACGCCGTTTATATTCTGTCCTGATGCATTTAGCTCCTGCTTTGGAACATGGCTCACAACATGGTTGGAATTCACCACATTTTATCTTCCGGACTCGGCATCGATTACAAGCGCGAGTGAGACGACCTCGAGAAAGCGTACCTTTGGCGTTTGGCTTTGGTGACTCATCTTTGGTATCATTTTGTGTTAAGGGAGCAATCTGAAGTCGAGAACTTTGACTTTTCGAAGGTGATGTAGGCGACTTATTGATAGAACCGTCCTGTGCGAGAGAGGCATGCTGAATATCAGCAGTTTGAACCTTCGAATTTAGTTTCGGGGACTCTTTGGAAGAATTGTCCCGTGCGAAAGAACCGTTGGGAGCTCGAGAAATTTGACACCTCGGAGTTGGTATAGGCGATTTATTGATAGAATCCTTCAATTCTGAGGAAGATACCGGAGCTCGAGTGCTTTGATTCTTCCTACTCAGTCTCGGAGATTCATTCTTGATATTATCCTGTGCCTGAGATACATTTCTACGAGAACTTCTTCGAGATGAAGCTGGAGCAGGCGCTTCTGTGTGTACCGAAGATTCTTTTGAAGGTAGCTGAGAAGGTTGCTCGGAGGTCAATCCAGGAGATTCCTCGGGAGGCTGTTCTACCCTCACGCCATCAGCTGTCACAAGTTCGTAGTAATAGCGCTCTGTCACACGTCTCTTCTTTTTTGGTCGATCATCAATATCATAATCATTAATTTCCCACGGAGGATTCTCAAGTGCAGCATCAAACTGGGCTTGAATCATGGAATAAAGTCCGTTTTCTGAACGAAAATCCTACTATGGGAGTAAGCAATTGAGCGAGTGGCAGTGAATAGATTGCTGTCCACTTACGGGAATTCCGACATTCGTGCTAATACCGGCTCCTGTCACGACCACAACTTTCCTAGATTTAGCAAGGATGTCTGCAATCTCCTGTAATTCTGCAGCAGAGTTTGGTACGACATTAATTGTCGGCATTGTGGCTATCATATAAACAGACCGCACTGCTCCGGTTTCTTCCTCTCCTTTCTTAATAATTCCACTCTAGAGTGATACAGCTTCCGCACTCGGCGTTCGGTCTTCCAGGGCTAGCGTCTTGCGCTTGTTGAATATGCGATCAAGACAGTGTATCTGAACTTCAGGTCATTTCGGAGATGGTACACGGCTTCAGACGAGGTAAAACTTGGGATATGCTGCTTAATTCTTGTGTGTGGTGAATCCAGATTCTCGCAGTGAATGTTACGGGTCCTGAACGCCCCTGAGCCTTAGAAATCTTCAAACTTTGCCGAAATGCAAACAACCCAATCAAGTTCCCAATTAACGCCAATGACTCCCAATTATGATTTTGTTCCGCGAATGTGCGTTGCTGTGTGCTGTGTTGTCAAAAAGTGGATGGGTCGCTGAAGGAAGCAGATCTCTGTCTGTCCAATTCGAATCGATGCTTTAGCAAGTTGTTTGAAGCGACTATGCCAAGAATTAGGTGACTTGGAGCAGGTATTCCTCTTCCCGAAGGGTAAATATCGCAGATGCTTCGAGACTCAACGCGCAGACCGATCCCAGGTCTTCCAACGTCTATTAAAGGTTGATATCAAGTTCAAATCGATTCTCTCCTGGATAGATTTCTCCCTAATTCACCCTCTAAAGCTCTCGAAGATGGCTGAAATGGATCGATTCTCATCGAAGAAGGATTCCGCTAGCAATGTTTTGTTGATTATTATGTTTACTTTTCATCTAAAGATTCTGGTCCTTTGAAGGGTAGACGCGATGTGTTGCCGATGTGTTGCCGATATCAACCGCGTTCTGCACAGACCATCAAAATCAATATGACAATTGTGTGGGGTTTTCAAATGGTTAAAGCTTCATCAAACTCTTGAGTAGGAATATCATACCGAGTGGTAGTAAAATATGGCACGTAGCTATTACTCACATTGACTGGTGAAATGTGGCACAAGATCTTATTCCAGAAGTTTGCTGCTTGTCCATCATGAAAACAAAAGGTCTGCTGTTCTCTTCGTACCTTTAATTTGTGCAACTGCTATCATAAAGTTCTGTATACTCTCTCAGATTGCCCTTTCTATATATATACCTAGTGTTTGCAGGACAAGCAATGAAATGAACTATACGGGATAACTGTCATGAACATGACAAGTATGACTACTATCATTGTTGGCAGAGTAAAACTGTATGATTTTGTTTTGCTAGCCAAGTGAGCCTCAAAGAGTTAACAGCAGCTTGAATAGCAAGGTTTGGTGGCTTGAACCAATCCAACTGAGTCAAGCATAGCTATGCCATCAATATATGTAGTCATTATATGATGGACATTGAAGTTTTCTTTACCCTTTCAATTTATCGACTTGATGGTTGCTTCTCTTTAAAATGCCAGACAAGAAGAAAAACCTACAATTCATCTGGCCCAAAGATGGACCCAAAGGTCGCAGCGGCCACCGAGGATTTTTCGGGAGACTGAACAATATTGTAACAAATCGAGGGCCAGATATTTTTGTTGGAAAACAAGGAAGTAGGATCAGTCCCGATCGCTGGCAGAATTGGTGAATTTATGCATTCAATAGTCATACAATGTATCTGACTTTTCAACAGGGACTCTTACCATGATGAACATAAGCACATTCATGAAATAACTGGAGCCTTCTCAAGAGATTTCAAAAGATATGATCCACATACACGGAAATATGTCGAGTGGGAACAAACCCAAGATTGGAACGGATATGGAGTCGCAAATAATCCATGGGAATATCCACGCTTAACTGCAGATGAATGTGCCCAAATTTACCGGTCCTATCATCAAGGTCATCAAATTGATCCTTCCAAGTTCGAAGATTGGAATCATGCTGGTCCTAACGTAAGTTAATTTTGCAAAGGCGGGATCATTAGTAACTAATATTTAACACAGAGATTCAGACAAGAATATGATAGTTTCTGGCAAGCAGCACATCGAAGAGGAGAAAATTATAAATATGGCTGGAACCATTTAAGGGGTGAAAGTAATCCTTGGATGAGGATGCATCAAGAATGGCCTACTGATTTAGAGGATTGGATGGCGCTTCGTGGGATGTACTAGATATGTATGGTATATTTGAGAAGGGTGAAGATGCTTCGTGATAGGGGATTCTTGAATTTTGGTTCTTTGTTTTCTTTTTGAGTATTTATTTGTTGATGGATTTGCATTATGCTTAAAATGAAGATTTATTACCTAGTAGCTGGGGATTTGTGGTACTTTGATGTTGATAGTGATGTTGAGCTGGTGTATGGGACTGGCTTAATGGGTGTAAATTGCAGATACATACACGGATATACGCTGAGACGTTCAGGTTGAATAGTAACAGATTGGTTGACTGAGTGTATGTCTGTTCTACATTCTACATGAGAAATAGATAACCTCGTAATATTTGGCCTATCTTATCATCCTTACTAACTTTTGTACTCCGTAGTCCCTACTTCCATCTACCATACATCACACCATCTAAACTCACTCCTCTCCAACATCCTTCCACCCAACCATCTTCCACCCCGAACCATCCACCACCTACCCCACCAACCCCCAAATCTCATTCCACCTCCTCCAATTCCCCTCAATCGGACCATCCAACTCCCCAAACCTGGCCGGTTCCCCTGTATTAGCCTCCGGCAAACAAATCCACTCCCTTACACTCCCTGGTATTTCTTCTCTCACATGACTTATGCATAGAAGTGCTTGATTTTTATTTAATCCTTTGATTTTTACATTTCCCTCTTTCGAAATATGCGATTCAACGATTTGGAGTTTAGATGGTTTTATTGCTGTTGTATTAGTAGGGTGTTCTTCTTGGATATGGGCAAATTGTTTTTCTTCACCATGAGCTAGGAATAAAAGACAACGATCGCGAATACCATCATCCATACCGCTGAATGCTTCGTCGAGAATGATGAGATCCGGTGCTTTGATGATAGCGCGGAGAAAGAGAGCTACTCTTTGGGATGAAAATGGCATTTCGCGGAATAAAATATCATCGGCCCATTTGGTCGAATCGTTGTGACCAGTTTGAGCAGTGGCTCCTCCTAGTCTCAAATCTCGTTCAAACCATCGTAAAGCCGCATCGATACGCTCTTTCGCATTATCATTCAATTTTGGTACACCCATAAAAGTATCTGCCCATGCATTGGCGAGAACTTTCCTTAAAGTCAAATGCCGAGGAATATGATTATGAATTTCCGGACTTGAGTGACCTATTCTTGACTGCAAATCAAATATCGATATTCCAGGCTTACCAGGTTCTGGTAATCTGGATTTACCAAATAGACGGATAGGAAGAGAATATGTTTGAGGGTGATCAGAACATATAAGAGATAGAAGGGTTGTCTTTCCGGAACCATTTGGACCAAAGATACCCCATCTCTCACCTCGTTTAACATGCCACCATAGGCCATCTTTTTTGACACCATTTACATTTTCAGTCCAGTTTCCCAGTACGGATTTATCTCCATACTTCACTCGAGCACCTTCCATTTCTATTAATGCTTCTCCCGTCTCTAGTGGTTGAACATCATTCAAGGGGTAACCATCTCGACTCATTGGACCTGTCTTTTCTGGAATTTTCTCTTTAATGCAAGCTGAATTGCTGGTAACCAAGTTTTCTTCATAGTTCGGCTGTTCAATCCCATCCAAGGCCAACTTCCGACCAATCTCCTTCAAAGACGACAAAGTCAAATGGAGATTAAAATCATCCCTCCCATCTTCACTTTTTTCAACATGATTTCTCAATTGACTCAAAACATCATCCTTCGGCCCCAAGAAAGCAACTTCGCAATTACCCTTTAAATATACCAAATCCGTAATCCAATGCGGTATAGGATCTTGAGGTCTTAAAGACAACACAAGCCTTGGAGTATTCGCCCTAGCCAATCGATGTAACATTGGACTCAAAGTCAACAATGTAGGAGGATCCAATCCCATAAACGGTTCATCTAGTAATAAAACCTCCGGACCCTCCAGCAATGCTCTTGCAATCCTCGATCGTCTCGTTTGACCATTACTCAAATTCGATACCGGCATATTCAGTAATTCCTCCAGTTTCAAATCCTTTATAACACGTGAAAGTATTTCATCACCCAACACACCATTATCGATCTTTGTGGAAGGATTGAGTTCTGTATTCCCGCGTAAATAATCCAAAACACTAAAATCCGTATCCTCTCTCCTCGACTCATATCTCGCACTTAAATATGCACTTTTAGGAGCCTGTCTCCTCAATCCTTGTTCCCCATCAAATCCCACATATTCAATCGCCTGACTTGGAGTCCGCAGTTTAGAATTCTTCGCTGCAATAGAGTCGCTGCTAAGGTATGGGTACGATCGCGCAGTTGGAGGAATACATAAAAGGCCTCCTCTTAAAATTTGCAATAATGTAGTTTTCCCAGATGATGAAGCTCCAACTATAGCCCAATGTTTCTCTCTTTCTGGAAATGAAGGTATTTCAAATTTTAATTTTTCGAATAATGGAGGATTCGTATGTCCGACGACATGGTGAGAATTAGGATGATGACGATAAAATGTGCCATTGTCAATTCTAACAATTGGCGGATGAGCTATACTTGTGCTTGCATTTGTGCCATATCGACGCAATGGCAACAAAGCCTTGCGATTCCATATCATGGGCCTCCCCATTGCGCATAGGTATAGTTAAAAATGTCCATTTTGAAGAGAAGTTGACTCAATTTATGAAAAGTAAAGAGAGCCGACCCCGGAACGCGGGGAAAGCTTTTGATGGCCCATGCTAAGCCTGTACCTGGGCTTAACCTTATCACTAGAAGCTGATACTCATAGGCTGTCTTGGTCAATGGTTAATAGAATAACTTGAGAACATGATAAGTCCTTCATATGGAAATCTAAGAAAATATAAAGCAGACCTACTATCAATAGTAATAATCAAAATGAAAACATAGATAATACACCGTTGAATTAATACACATTTTCAATAGTGTTCCTCTTTCCAATATTCATAAGGTATTCAGCGATAAGCGGTTAAGGTTATAACCTTACCGCGCTTAATCCCGCCCGTTCCAATTCGCGCTTACACGTCCCTGGTGCAGCCTGAAGCTCTCTACAATAAACAGCTCCTCCATTACATACATCTACATCAAACCCAAGCTTCCCAACTACAACTACGAAATCCTCACATCGAACAATTCATTTCGAGTCAATACCACATAAACCTTTCTTTAAGTTACAGACAAGAAATTAATTCATCATGGTAAGTTCCATCATCTCCATCTCAACTCACCTTGATCCTCATTCATCTCCATCTCCATCTATCCCTCCTCCCCTCTCCCTCTCCTCTCCCTCTCCTCTCCTCTCCCTCCTCTCCCTCCTCTCCCTTCCTCCTCTTCCTCCACCGCCCGCACCCCCGCTCACGACACCCTCCGCCACGGCGTCGGCCCGACCCAAACCTCCTCCCTAAACAGCCAACCCGACTCTTCACACCCGCTGGAAACCCGTCTCAAAAAATGGGAAGCAACACAAGAATCCCTCAAAATGGCCGGACTACGTCGAACATTCGGTATGAGTGAGCCTATCCGTAGAGGAATGGAATTGAAGATTACGCGCGAGGGAGAATGGAGACCGCTTGCTCTTGGGGACCAGGTGTTCATGAGGAGATTTTGAGGGGGAATGATGCGACGATTTCGTGGGAGGATGTTTTTAGGGGGGATGAGATGAGGAGTTTACCTGGTTTTCATGAGGAGGTTGAGAGGAAGGTTAAGATGGGTTTTTAGATGCCGGGGGTTTAGGTCATTTTGTTTGCTGAGTTTCATCGTGTGGAATGGATGAAATGAGATTAAATGCGATGATCTGCTTTGATCTGGTCTGGTCTGAAATGATACAACGAGTCAAGATTGATGGAGCATGTTCATACTGCAAAGACGATGTGAACGAATAGCAGATTAGCACTTGGTTGGGGCATAAGAAAGAATAGACAGCTTGCCTTCTTTGCTAACTTGCTCGTACACAATCTGTCATACAATCATAAAAATACCAAGTCTAGCAATGAGATTACGTCAAGAAAGACCTCATTGCATACCATACCATACCATGAAGAAATCAACCATCATAAATGACAAATGACAAAAGCAAATAGAGCAATAATTTGCCCATCCATAAAATCAAGCAGGTGCATAATTTTACCTTTGAAGAAGGGCCCATTGAAAAGCCCTCACAAAATATAACATAATAAACGTGCCTGCCTGCCTTGTATATCCAGAACATCCACTATTCGTTCTTCTGATTCCTACATTCCTACATTCCTAAGTCCTACGTCCTAAATTTCCATTTCCATTTCCATTTCCATTTCCAAATTTCCGAGCCATATCCCCCACACGCATGCTCGCTCACTCGCTCGCTATCAATCAAAACATTCGACGTGATCACCCTTGCTATTTTGCCATCCATCCCTCCATCCATTCGTACTCCCGCCCTTCCTTCACATACAAACTTTCCGATTCCACAAACATAACACCCATCCACCCATCCATCCATCTATCCACCCACCCATCCATCCATCCATCCATCCATCCATCCATCCATCCATCCATCCATCCATCCATCCATCCATCCATCCATCCATCCATCCATCCATCCATCCATCCATCCATCCATCCATCCATCCATCCATCCATCTTATTATACAACTGCAACACTCTCCTCCCGTTCAATATCGCATCATCGCATCTCTCCCCTCCAACCATGTATTAAGAGGCTTTAACAGGCTTTCAACAGCCAAAACACCATAATCCTTTTAAACGCTAGAAAAACCTAACAAAAGCAAAAGCAAAAAAAAAATCCTTCCATTCGAACCAGTAACGCCCTCCTCGCTGTCACTCGTAACTAGCTGTAAAATTCCGTTCCGCTGGATAATTAAGATGTGACAATGGATATGTGCTGATAGTGGTTGTTGTATATTTTGTTTGTTTGTTCGATGCGTCGAAAATGCACGCATGTAACTTTTTTTCCCTTCCCTTCCTTTGCTTTTTCGCAGACGAGGGAGGGTTGTACTCGGAAACAAATGATGATTGTAATGGGTTAGATAGGTATTCAGAGTATAACACATCTGCACCCGGCATTAATTTCATTATCTTCTCTTCCTCGACTCGTGGATTTCGCTTTCGATGCATCTTCCTCGTCAACTATATCTTGCGGTCTAATAGTCATATGTACCACATTTGATGTCTCGAGATTGAATTTACATGCTGTGAGAAGTAGATGTTAGTTAAATAGATTCGCAGAACCGATCGTTGCCACAAGAATATATATCAAGTGACTTTGATCTCACATTCAACCTTGTGACCCACGGCTTCATCTAATTTTAAATAAAAAACATACCTTTCAAAGCTTCCTTATCATCCAACAATTTTCCAAAGAATATCAATCGTATGCTACTCGGACTACTCGGTTTTGTTTCCCATTCTTCCCTCCATTCCCTTAATATTAACTCTTTCAGCGTATATACACTAATACTGAGAGGATCCTTCTTCCCATCTTCCGTAACATCTGGTACCGTAACAGCTCGTTTGGTTAAATATTTCTCGTCGATCTTATATGGGTGGCGAGCGCCGGATCCAAGTAACAGAGTAATCGTGAGCGCAGGTCCAGCATCGACAGCAGTGGATGCTGGCATTACATGGGTCGATTCGGTAGAGGGGCCGATGGCTACGGAACCAAGTCGTGCTCGCGTTGGTCGGGATTCTTGAGCGTCGGAGGATGATTCAGTTGCAGGGGCTTTACCTTCGCTTTTTGACATCGTTGGTGGCGGCGCGGGCGCGGGATCGGTCGGTGAAGGTTCGTCGTTCGTGGTATATTGTGCGGTTAATTGTTCTTGAGAAGCAGATCTTTCATCTCCGACTCCTGCGTTTTGATTTGAAGAATCACCCATATCTGCCGTCGTGATTGCTGTTGTTGTTGATGTTGATGTTGTGGGTAAAGCTGAAGATGTGGGTAGATGAGATTGATAATCAGTTGTCATAAATGATGTTTCGGGAATGAAAATATCGTTCAATAGGCCCGACGTTCCTGCGCCTTCTATTGACTTTTTTGAAGTATCAAGATTATCCATCTCAACTGGAGCGGTATTTGATGATATATGTGTGGTTTGGATAGGGTCAGTACCATGGCCTGCGCCCGATGTCGAACTCGCCATTGGTTGCAATTGAGTTGTTTTGAGGTGCAGATGAAGTGGAAAATGGGGTATCTAGCGCCCTGTACTGTGAAGAGAAAATGGGGGGGATCCACGGCTGAGTACGGATTGAGCCGATGATTGATAGATGGATGTATCTGGGGAAACCAAGCTTGAATATCGTAAGATGTAAGATGTAAGATGTAAAATGTAAGATGTTCCTTTATAGTCAGGATTGTATTTGACGGGATTGATTCCTTTCAGAGAAGAAATACTCGAGTGGGAAGCAGGTAAAATGAAGGTATTCCGAGTATTTGAAAGACAACAAAATCAAACTGTATTAACCAAAAAAAGTAAGTATAGGAAGACAATGCAGATTTATAATGGAAAAAGGGAAGAACAAGAGTGCATAATGAATAATGAATATCAAATACTTGATAAAGGTACCTACGTACAGTAGTGAAGTAGTAGTGGAAGTAGATGGTTGGTTGAATTAAGATCAAATTTTGGACAGTCCGAACCAATCGGTTTATTCTTGGGGGGGGGTTTTATTTTTGATTGTCGATCCTTCGGGGGACAGCAACAACAAGAGAAGGTCTTTCTTTGAACTTTTTGCCTTTGTGCTTTCAAGGTTACTTATTAACGTTGATATGATTTATAATTTGAAGAAATGATGCTGCTGTTTAGACTCGTATCTTCGGGATTTCTAATGATTCCGATATCATATCTCGTAATATTGCTGTGAAGGTTTTATAGATACGGAGTGCCGAAGTCCTTGAATCGTTAAGATTACCTAGGTACTAGTAGTTGGCGCAATGATGTTGATGTTGATGTTGATGTTGATGTTGATGTTGATGTTGATGTTGATGTTGATGTTGATGTTGATGTTGATGTTGATGTTGATATTGATGTTGATGTCTGTTGATGCATGTTGACGGGAGTATGAAGTAGTAACAGTACGTGAATGGCCGAGATATTCAGAACACCTTATTGCCCTTGTTGATTCCAAAAGCTGGAAATATCAAGTGCATCCATCAAATTGGTGGTGTTGTTCTTCGAACCGTTTCTTTCCACTGTTTTCGGATGCCAAATACTGTTCCTCCAGCCTGTTTCCGGCCTGTTTCCAGGTACTAAATCCTATTCCTCTAGCCTGTTGCCAGTCTACTTAGCATGCTTATTTATGCTTTCAGGGACAGGAACCATCCCGTGAACGCCGTGTAAACCCCGAAATGACATCCACTCACAAGCCTAAAACTAGCACTATATCTTATATCTATACATGCTTCATGTCAATGCACAACCTATCCTTAATATAAATATAAACTTCATCTAGAATCTGGAGATGGGGAAACACATCCAAAGCACAAAATACTCTCATATCGCGGCTAGCAATCAATTATACTTACGAGTGCAAACATCAAGCAATGTTCTGTCATGGTTTCAGATACATGATACAAGTCGATCAATCGTGCTGTTGTCTAGATCTGATCTTCCGTGTTCCAAACCAAACAATCAAATGGCGGTGGTTTGTTTTCAAGATTCACTTCCATCACATCGTCGCTCAACATGATTCATTCATTACAATATCACTCTAACCATATGTTTGGATCATGGCCTATGTTGTACAAGGACCCGTGGGTTGAACTTGTACTTCTCTTATCGTCAATTCCTACCTCCCAGATTCAAATTAAAGCGCATGAACTCGAATCTCGTACCCCTATTTCATCTATTTTCCGAAGAATCTGATCTCGTATGTCATGGCAACAAGACATTTCCAAAGTCAGCTGTGACTACTCAGAGATGTTCGTGTAATGGGCGACTGTACCACGACAGGTACTCCAGGAATTCGAGTAAAAGACTTCTTGATTGAATATATCGGCCTTATATAAATACAGCATTCTTTTTCTTCGCAAAGTTCCGCAAGGGGGAAGGTTTGGGGCACCACAAGACATATGTGCCAAACTCACCATGTTTTACGCTCAGACAAATAGAATTTGCGGTGCAGCTTACACGCAGATCAAATGTTTGGTCATTAATTCTGACATGTAGGTCATTCGAAAGAACTTTACAAGAAAATTGGTCTTGGAGGCCTTTGCCAACTTATCGGCGCAGAAGCTGTGTCCATAATTGGCGGATCGCTCGGAAAACCACTCGAAGTTTCAATGGTTTCCATTTCATCCCAGAATTAGTCTCTCGCGGTCACTCCCGTCATGATTGGCTTTCATCTCGCAGCTGCTCTGTACCTATGGCGGGTGAAGAAATCCATATCTACATGCATGACCTTTCGGATAGCCTTCCGACAGCCAGGATTGAAGGACTGGCATTCTGTTTTAGATATACCTTCTTGGAGGTTTGTGATCCTTTGTGATCTCAGATCTTTCCATGCACAATTACATTTCTATGATTGGTATGTTCCTCGCTCTTATCTATGATGCCATGATCAATACGAACAAATGTCTGTCCCGACTGTGATATCTGGAGGAATGCTAAGCAGCAATTACGTTGAGAGCTGGAATGTATAGCACGGGATATTGCTTTGCCGTCTTTGAGCGGCCAAGGTAATTGATTGTTGGTCGATACAATCTTGGGAATTCTTAACTTTCTTTCTTTCTTTGGGACCTGAGTTTGGAAAGCGTCTGTTCCCTGATTGTTTTCCAAGACGAGAAAATTTCGTATCGGCCAAGGGGCACGGCAAGAAAATCTCGCTATGCGATCCTTCAGCAATTAAGACGTTATATCATTCAGATACCGGCTCATGATCGCATCACAACAAATGCATACCGTTACCAGTATTCGAAATTGCCGCCTCTATGACCGCCCCCTACTTCTTCTCCTTCCTTCCAGACTTTGGTCGTGGCGGTTACAATGGACCTAGTGATGGAGTCTGAGGATGAAGATCGACCACCTTGATCATATTCATGTTTACAAAGCCGACCCAAGCCAGATTCAAATACTAGCCAGATTACAGAGATGTTAGGTGTCATCGCTACTTTCCTTTTCCGGGTGTTGAACGAAACACGACGAGGGGCAAATCGACAGTACGGGAATCGTCTTACCTACATGACTATAGGACGTACCGCGAACCTTCTAATATCTTTGCGGAGAGTTATAAAGCATAAGAGCTTTGTCTGGAACCTGGCGACTCGTGCTCCAATACAAGAAAACCCCTAGAGAACTCACTCCATATTGTGTGAGAAATAACTCACTGCCTGCGTCAAATCAGTACCTTTTGAACATCCAGCTTTCGTCTCGTGTACACCATCCGAATCAGCCCCGAGTGTCTATTGAACTCCCAGATCTCCCTTTTCATTCTCAAGCGCCTCTTACCGGGAAAACACTTCGAGTTCACCACAATCAAGCACATACCCCGAGTATTTAAGACTCAAATCAAATACTTGTGTCTATACCTGTCGCTAGATTCTGATGAGCTTCGTTTCGGGTAAGTGGACGTGCCAAATATGGACTCCGGGATTGATTGCTTGTCTCTGCATGGAATAATCATGGAGATGCTACCACGGATACCTCTTCCTTAGCGCGTTTAAAAGGCGCGTCTTGGAAATCGAAGGTTCTTGTTGCGTCATTCTGGATTCTGAAGCAGAAATGAAGACGGAGAGGAACAGGCTTGGAGGAGCGTATAGGAGAAAGGGGGCTTTACTTGGGTGTACTGATTGGCTAGCACGTATGAAGTCAGGATCAAAGGAGCATATGATGAAATACGCTTTGTACAAAGTGGTCTAGTGGCAGGAGAATCCATGTTGGGGCAGAGGATGAGGTGCATATGAGACATATTGATCTGGGGTTATTCGAACGTCGTTGGATTCAAGCTTAAATGCCAAGAAAGGAGCCAAATGACGAAACATAAAATCTATATGTGATTCTTAAACTCATAATGAAGTTCAATAGACGTAAGAAATTTGCTTGCTTTTAATTCTAAAATCTAGGGTTATATTGAATGTATATATCCATTCCTTCTTTTATATCAAGGAAAATCGAATTAATGATCCTGGAGTAATAATATTGATGTGAGAGACAAACTCGGCATATGCATATATATAGTGTTATATACAATAGAAGAATATTACAAACTATTAATGAAAAAAGAAAAGAAAATAGATTTTCCCATCCAATAAACCCGCAAATAAAATACTAAAATCAAACATAACCCCCTCGCTCCAACAGAATTTACACAACCCCCTTTCAGCTGCAAGTCGGTACGTGCATAGGCTTAACCCCCACAAATTCGGGGCAAATTCGGGGACCACCACAACTATTGGCCTGTTATTGGTGTCCGATTCACCACCACATTACCTCCGTACGATAATAATGATATGAAATGAAATGAATTGAAATAAATGAAATAAATGATCGGGTAGCCAAATGCCTCATTATTAGATGTTGGTTATGCTGTTTCTGGTCCAATTACCCTCTAGTCTTATCTAAATTCCCATCTCAACTCCTACCGCTCGCAGGCTTCCAAGCTCGAAAGCTCCTCGTACTCGCGGTCGCATGCCCCAATGCGCCGCAAATGGCGTCCCGAAACACTCAGCAGGTGTTTCCTAAGACAGCATCAGATGAGCATTTAAATGAACATTTAAACGCGCATCCTAGTTCGAGCTCTTCGAGCACTGCTTCTGCAGAGGTGAAGGGCGCGCATATGACGCCGGATTTTGACTCGGATGACCTTGATGATGGTAGTGGTGATGGTGATTCGGATTTAGATTTGCTTATGGGTAGTATGGGCATGGGTATGGGTACGAGAGGGGGTGATGGACAGAGGGGGAGTTATAAGATGCAGAGATGGGAACCGGTGGTGAAGAAGAAGAGGGAGAAGGAGAAACCTAAAAAGGGGAACAAAAATGGTGAAGATTTAAATCTCGATATGGATTCGTTTGAGGAGAATAGTCAGAATGTTTATCGTGATGAGACTGGGGAAACTGGTGGGAGGAGAGGCAGTCTCTCGACAATACAATCATATCAATTATATACGCCAGATGAAGAACGAACTGTGGTGAGAAAATTCGATAGGAAATTGGTGGTGTTTGTTGCATTGTTGTATATGTTGAGTTTCTTGGACAGATCAAGTATATTCACCTCTTTCACTACCACTCTTTCATCTGCTTCTCGTCAATAAAAGGAGGTGAAATCATGCTAAATATTTCTTTCATCCAGATATCGGGAATGCGAAAATAGCCGGTCTGGAACGAGATCTACATTTGGATTCAAATAAATATGAATGGGTTGTCACGGCATTTTATATCGCATATATCTGTTTCGAATGGATGAGCATATTATGGAAAATAATACCGGCGCATATTTATATAACGGTTATCGTCCTGTCTTGGGGTGTCATCGCATCTCTACAATCTATAGCGACATCTTTTGCGGGATTACTTGTTCTACGCACATTATTGGGAATAGGAGAAGCTGGATTCACGGGAATACCATTTTATCTATCCTTTTTCTTCAAGAGAGAAGAATTAGCATTTCGAACTGGCATTTTCCTAAGTGCTGCTCCTCTGGCAACTTCATTTGCAAGTTCATTAGCATGGGGAATCGTTAAACTTGGTGAACGTTCCCCTATAGCACCATGGCGACTTCTCTTCCTCGTTGAAGGATTCCCTAGCGTTCTTGTCGCTCTTTTCGCATGGCATCATATTCCTGATAGTCCCAACACCGCTCCCTATCTCACCACTCGCGAAAAGAAAATCGCACGACTACGTCTTCGTCATGAAATAACTTCAACTCCCAATTCCAAAACCCAGCCATCATCCGGTCTCAAAATTAAGGAAGTTCTTTTAACTCTCCGAGACCCCAAAGTTTATCTCACGGCCCTCATGTTTTTCTTCTCCAACATGTCCTTCAGCAGCATGCCTATCTTCCTCCCCACAATCCTAACACACATGGGGCATTCCCCCTCAACATCCCAAGCCCTTTCCGCACCCCCGTACCTCCTCTCCTTCCTCTCCGTCCTCCTAACCTCCTATCTCTCCGACAAATTCCGCACCCGCTCCCCCTTCCTCCTCTTCCACGCCCTCCTCTCCTCTCTCGGCTACACCATCCTCACTCTCCCACCACACCTCCTCTCCCCCACAATCCGCTACCTAGCAATCTACCCCGCCTGCATAGGATTCTTCTCCGTAATCACCATCCTCATCACCTGGACCCTCAACAACCAACCCTCTTCTTCGCGTCAGGGGGCCGGTTTCGCAATCATGCAGATTATTGGTCAGTGTGGCCCGCTTGTTGGTACGAGACTTTATCCAGATTCTCAAGCTCCGTTTTATCGACAGGGAATGGGGGTTTGTGCGCTGGTTATGATGGTTGTGGCGATTTTGGGGGTGGGGTTGAGATGCTGGTTGGTGAGGGAGAATAGGAGGGGCTGGGAGAGGTATGAACGCGTGGGTGGGAGTGAGGAGGGGGATGGAGATGGGGATGAGGAGGAGGGGAGGGGTCTTGTGAGTGATGGGAAGAGAGTGGTTAGGGGGAGGAATACTCCGTTTCAGTATATGCTTTGAGTATCTAGATGGGATTTCAATGCAGATTTTAGATGAATGTATCTGATTGATATATTTTCTTTTGCGTCCGGGTTTATTTGCGCTTTTCTATGATCTCTATATCTAGATACTAGATAAGATTACATCTATAGAGTGTTTATCGTAGTATGCGGTGCCTGCTTCTGTCTGACTTCTTTCTTATACTCCTCATATTCCTGATCTTATTCATCCAAATATCCAAATATCCAAATATCCAAATATCCAAAATTCTAATCCCCCAATGAAAATTCGATCCCTATCCTCCGCACCTCATCTAAGCAAACCATAAACATCTCTTTTCTTTTCTTTTCTTTTCTTTTCTTTTCCCTTCTTAAAATCAATCAATTCTGCTTCTCTACTCCAAAGCTAAAACCAAAACTATTACAATATTACATTCTAATAACTTGCAAGTGACAGATTTCTAGCTGTGAATCCGTATCTCTGGATCTCTGGAGCTTGGAATCTTAAGTAGGTAGAGAGACGTTAATCATCTATTCTAATCTAATCTATGTACTCGAGTAAATAAGAATTAGTTTTTTTTGGTTTTTCTGGGGGTTTTTATTTTCACTCTAGAGTAGATAGATAGGTAGTTAAGTCTTATGATTCATTGAGTCGGAATGTGGAAATGTTGAAATGGATTTGGTGTATTGGTGGTTTTTATGTTGTGTCTTTATGATTTTTTATGGTTAATGTTAGAATAGAAAGGGTATAGATGATTTGTAACGTCTAAGAGGACTTCTGTTAATTATTGAAGTTGGGGATTTTGATGTGTGTATTTGGTTGAGTATCACCTCGAATAAGAATCCATTTCGCTGGAATAGTATTTTATTTACTACAGTGTATTTCACGAGTACTGCCCTCAAAATACCTTAATTCTATCCTCATCTAATCTACTCTAATCTAATCACCTATTCTATCTCACAACCCTCTTCCATCCCCCTTAACCTCCCACCACTTCCTCCTCACATCCCACCACATATTCCCCAACTCTTCCATATTCTCTAACCCTCTAATTTTTAACCTCGCTCCTTCTACTAGTAATCCCTCTAACTCCACAAAACAACATATGAAGCGTCGAGATTCTTGTCTCGAGCTTTTTCCAAGATGATTGAATCTCGAAGATGATGTCGAGGAAGCGAGGTTGATTTCTAGTCCTTCAAGATGATTGATGAATGGTTTTATTACTGTTATTGCGGATGCGAGGACATCAGGATCCATATGTTCTGAGGAAGTTAATTGGATGTATTTGATCTTGCGAGTGGTATCGACACCCAAGCGGGAAAGAACATGATGCGACTAGACTCACAAAATTAGTCCTTAAATCATCCACAAGAATCGAATAGCGGCTCACCCTGCTATCATGTCCACAAACTCCATGACACCACGAATTCATACAATGAACATGTCGCAATGCACCCCTCGCCCTACTATGCCACCGACTAGTCTTCTCATAATCCCGTCTTCGCTGATCTCTCATCATCTTACAACAAATTCCACAGTGAATATCCTCAATATCAAATACCCAATAGCGCTCACTGGCAGTAGTTCCTGCTATCTCCCGTATGATGGCGTAGTCTTCGGATTTATCATCGACTTGGCTGGATCGCTTGGAGCCGTTGAGATAGAGATGCATGTTTTTGGGGGAGGTTTCAAGTAGGTAGTTTATTATGGTTGCTTTGGGAAATTGAGGTCGAGGGGTGGTTATGGTGTTTGAGGCTTTTGCTGAACTGTTGTTTTTTTCTGATAAGGATCTTGTTGTTTCAAGCTTGTTGTTGTTCGTCGTGAATCTGAATATTGGGTTTTTCTCGGCCATGTTCATCTCCTCTTCCTCATTGTCAGGCAGATATCGTAATAATTCAAGTGTCTTTCCCTTTGATACGCCGTCTACCCAGACATCCAGTCCTGGCGTATGTACTTCGGCAAGTCGTGTGGTCATAATTTCATGACATTCACAACCGTCCTTTATCTTGATATCCGAGCTATTTGTCTGGTACTTAGAGATCATCTGCGGCTGCGAAGCAAACATTTTTTCAGGATGACTCATGACTTGACTCTTGTCGGTGTGAACATGGTTGTAAATGCTCTGTTTCTATTCTGAATAATGAGAGTAATGATATCATTGAAGAACGTTAAGAATGACCTGAATGCTCTGAGTGAACCAAACAATCGAAGTGATCTGATCGGTCTGAACCATATCAATGGATTGGATGAGTTGGATGGGCTGGATGGGTTGAACTCGTTGAACTGGTTGAACGTATTGAAGGATTGGAATGGATCGAACGATCTGAATGGATTGAATGGGTGGAATGCGTTGACCGATCTGAATGGGTTGAACGATCTCAATGCTAGGAATGGTAAGACTGTTATGATTGAAGTGGATTAAAGCAATGACCTCGCGGTCCTCGATAGTTTGAATAGGCTGAATATTCTGAATAAAAGAAGCCATAAATAAAGTATCTGAAACCTTCTGTTGTGAAAACTATTTCCACAGAATACCAGTCATCAGTAAATATTACGCAGTTTAAAAATTCAAAAACTTTCAAATCGGGAAAGATGGATGGGTATTCATGATTCTCATTATGGCAAGTGCACATATCATGCTCAAGTAATAGCATTTATTTAGATCCCATACATCATAGCACGGAATCTTGGACTCTCTATCAATGTAGGCTAAAATTCACGTTCTTTGTCTGTTTCTTGTTCAGTCCTATGCGAGGGCTTGAGTGAGAGACATATAATCTTATACCACATTTTTACCTATTACTCAAAATCTACTTGCCAGAAAATGTACTGAGAATGTAAACTCTTGAATTTTTTTCAATGCTCTATACGCTTTCCACCTCTTCCCATGAACCATCTAAACTCTATTTTGTTATTCGTATGCATCGCATATTCTGCTTGGTCACAAGTACATCTAATCTTTAATGCTTCCCTAGCATCCTGTTGTCAGCTCGGCAATATGAGATTTTTTAGGCAGCGCTTCGTTTTCATGGGACTTTACACCAGTTTGATATTGCTGACCCGTTAGAGGAGTCAACATAAGGAGTCAATATATGGTATGGAAACTCAGTAGGGACCATGCATCAATTTACTGATATTCTGTATTCCCAATTGATAACCTGGAATAATGTGAACTTATATCGGCGAACCTTGCGCCCAGGTTTTGATCATTGTGGTTCTTGTCCGGATAATCACAATCAAGATGACCAAACTTATGTGTCTTCTCGGATTGAGTATTGGCAATGCTCGGGTATTCATTACCTGAGACTCAAACATGATTAGACGGGCTAGAATAGGAGTATTCATGACACGTCTGGTGTATGATTCTGTGGATGTTATTCATGTGAAACACCATTTCACAGTACTTCATTGCAGAAACGAGGTCTTTGGGATTGGAGAAATGTTGAATCAATATTATAGGGATGGATGGGTATGAACAGCCGGAACGAAGGTGATTACAGCTTCTATTTAATCTTACTCAATCTAGAGAATAGCTTCATCTACTCCCCATCACATGACCACACCAATTTCAACTGAATGAACGTCATCGTATTTGTAGGTTCTTTATCTTAGGGTAAAACTAGCTTGCTCGCTCGCCATAGGAGAGGAGCACCCGTACTACTGCTTCTTCTCTCAACCCCCTTTCATATCACGCGACGAAATTCATGGCTCACTTTGACTTAAATACCAAATTAATTCGATCACACGTGATTTAGCGCCTTTGAGGTTACATTGTGGGAAGGCTTGAGCAAAGTCTTCTCATCATTCGAACTCGCAACTTGTGGTCCATAGTCATGATGATCGGCAAACTGCGCCAACGTGACTCTTGACATCTCGGTGATGAGAGAACGGCGATTGAATCGCAACCGGAACCAAACACATTACCCTATTGAAGGAAATGAAATACGGTAGAAATTCCCAACAAACAAAAGCTATTGTCATTCATCGCCCCCATTCCCACGCCCACAAACACACGTAGCCGCTATCAATTGAGGACTAATCATCTCATTTATCGGCCGGTCATATTTCGGCCTGTATATCGAAAAGGCCAGTGCGGGCCGGGTACAGTCATGCCAACGCAATAACCAAAAAAGATGGGCTACATGTCATGGAGGCCCAATTCATCCATTTATACGAGCATCAATGGTCTGATAATGTCCTTGTTGGTAGTTCCCAGGATGACGGCGATCAGCATTCAATTAAATGATCTGATACAGGAATGAAGCTGCAAGTAAGCCCAGAAGTGGCGTTTTGTCATCACTATAGTCAACGAGTAGCTCAGGTCTCTCAAAACCTGTCCTATTTGGGAAAGTTTCGCTCGTTGATATAAAGCTTACAATGAAATCCTATACATACAAACAACAAAAAATTTCCATGGGTATGCTGCATGCATATGCTCCAAGCTAGCAAACATCCCTCGAAATGAAAAAGAGGTGCTGTTGCTTTAGGATGAGTCCCCTGATTAAGCGATCAAGGAATATCAAGATATTTTTTGAGCATCCATCGTCACCATCCTTTGTACCGTTTTTTCCCTAGTCCAATGTACTACTTGTTTCAAGCTTTTTTCGCAGTAACATCCGATATTAAGATCTTACACATCATTCGACATGCATGTCCGCATAAGTGCCATGCCGCACCGCCACATGAGGATTTATGCTTGAAATTCAACTGCGCCCCACAAAAGTGAGCATATACCTCATCAGCCAGCAACTGCATATAACATATAACGTATTACACGTGTTGGCTATAATTATCTATATCCATCTGATCCTATCGTAATGTTTCATTCCTATCAAACATAACCGTTGTGCTGGGTCCCGAGTTCTAACGTCAACAAGTGGCGGTGCTAGTATTGTAATGGTGGCTCAGGCCGTCTTTAAACTTTGGTGATCCCGCAAAACCATAGGGCTGGTTCAGGCTGACACCAAAATAAGCTGATAGACAGTAAGGAGAAACCTTCTGTTCCGGGCTATGCATTTGAATCGCGCAGTGAGAACCGAGAGATGGGCGGCGCTGATGATGTAACGAGCCGTATATTTCGGTTCATTCCTTGATGCTCTTAAATCGAGTCTTCACCGCTCCACCTTTCTCACATTCTCTGAACATGCGTATATCTCAAAAGTAGCTGATCCAATATCAGAACGTTGCATATTGGCCTCCATAGCTTCCTTCGCTTAATAAATATATTTGTCGGCGCAGAACGACCTTCAAAGAAGTTTTCCCGAACAGGGAACTGGTCCTGCGTGGCATCTGCCGACCGATTTTCACTGAATCTTTCAAAATCTCTAAGCTCTTTTGAGTAGCTTTTCCTCTATAGTTTGATAATACCCCATAAGGTATAGCTTTGAATTCAACAAAATTGGGCTTTGAGTTATGCCCTTTTCAAGTAAGCTCATGATTATTGTTAAGTGTGAATGGGACAGCCGAGTTCACCACTATCCTCGAGGTAGACTTGGGAGGCAAACACTTTGAGTAACCTAGGACCAGTTTTGGTGCTTCGAGCTCTGTTCGATTTTGATTCCTAAGGCACAAAGGTTTTCAAATGACTCAACTTGGTCAAGCCGGCGAAACGATCTCACAAGATAGCCTCATGATCACGATAATTTCCCCTTTATGCTATAATGATTCACGCTTGTGGCCAATTGTTACTGTGACTCACTCAAGTGAGAACTGGAGTAACTAGGCGTTGTAGCTAAAGCTTGTATGCCAATTCGATCGCACCGCATACCTAGAGGCGCAGTTCTCGCCTACGCTTCACACCCCTTTCACTTTAGGCTTCCACAAAGCTACGTCAACTCAACGCCCTGGCATACGTGGGCCCTGGCAATCACAAATTAATTACTTCAAAGTGTTGCCCTCGCTTCGGTGAGAATGTTAGGAAGGTGCCAGCCTCTTTCTTCGACGATGCAGCTTCCGGTGGCTGCTTGCAGTGTCATATCAGTGTATTCAATGATAAGAAGTAGCCGCCAAGATCCTTGAAAGTGCAACGTCTGCTCATCCCAACTGCCTTTCCCTTTGACCGGGACCTTCCTTGAAAGTGCAGCAGCACTGGCCGCTGTTTATCTCTCGCGTGGATATAATTACCGGCAGCCGTAAGAGGCTCTGGCGCAAGTAGCGACGTGCAAACTTAGATAACAAGATTGAATGCCTACGCATATTTAGTATGGTATATGATTAGCTTGATTTAGCAGGACTTACTTTGACCTAGGCTAGGTTGTTACACTTTCGAGGCGTACTCTCTAGTGATTCTTTACTGGGCCTTTCCTATATTGGAAAATTTTTGCCACTCATACTCTGTTTCCTCTCGTTAGCCTGTACTAATACTTGTCATGTGTAAGGCCTAATGCATTCTTAATTTTTGTACTATTGCCCTTTGACAATTCAGCGAAGGGCCCCCGCTGGGATCTTCCTCGTCCAGAAATACACACTATGACATTTTACCTTTACTAATCTATAACCCCTGTTATCAACAAAAGAATAGAGAAATCGCCTTCGATATCATTCGACAACACATCATTGGCATCTAATCTCATCTCACTAAGCTACTAGTCGCTGAGCTAAAGACGATCAGACTTGGACAGAATAAGGTCACATTAATCCCTACATACTTTTTAGCTGGGCGATTCGCCGATTTCCGCTCTAGTGCCCATCCCCGCCCAACAAAGCGATTTTGCATGTGTGGTTGGCAGCGATCTCCCGGTGCCGCAAATACGCACGTACTCGCTGGCGCTGAACTCTAAGTACTATTTAGGATCCATAACGATGCACAGACATTGAAATTGGCAGATGATCATATCCTTGCAGCTTTCTTGGCCGATCCATATTCGGATCAATCTTTTCACATCAGGTTTGTACTATGTCCAAATTCAGGATATTTAGTTGATGATGGATTGGAATCATTTTTCCGTCAGATTGAACTCCACAAATGATGAGCCCGGGTTAATCATCTCGTCATCTAAAAGTGGGGGTGTCGTATGCAGCTACTGTATACCCGGTATGGGATCCACTTCCTTCACAGATACTTGCACTTGCCAACAATGTTATCCATACGGGGTAGAAAAACAATCATCTCCACTAGGAAAAACGAAAGTTGGAAGATCGCGAGATACTCAAAGCCCTCTGTAAACTAGCCCTCAGATCGAGGGTTTGTGCATCTATTCACATTGTCGCCGACAGGCTGAGACTTTTCCCTTGATATTTGAATACCTGCACAAAAGTACAAGTAATACTCTCAGCATTGAACAGCGACATCCTGATGTTAGACGTCGTTATCGTCTCATCATAACTGAGATGACCATCCCAATTCCTCATGTTAGCTTGATGAATAATTAACTGAGACTGTGACCGAGACTTCTCGATTGATGATGACCGATGTGCCCCGACAAAGTAGTAAGTAACAATTAATGTCCTACCTCAGCATTGAATCAACGACAAGAAAGGAAGCATATCTCCACGATTCGGCATATCTCTATTTACACAAATAAATATCTCCATTTCTGCATTGAGATGCACTCCGAGCTTGAACAGAGGTCATTGACAACTCCGGACGGATATCGAGAAAGCTACCGCTAACTGAGAAACCTGAAACAACTCCACATCTCCAATCATCATAACATTTGCAAATCATCAAGCAGAACACAACAAGAGTGTCACACAACCACTGCACGAAAACCCGTTGCCCGTAGATATTCCCTTAACCGTACATCTACATTTGCATATGCATTGCATTGCATCACATCTACATTGCATTGCAGTATGCGTATATATAAATAATAATTTCCATCCAGTGAAACATAACTACGCACCAGTACCGTGACAGCTTGGACCAAACCATTTCCAAGTCGAGGGTACTGCATATGCATCGCGCCTCCGATGAAATTCCCATTCCTCCCACTCTGGCACAGTGCCACTCTTGAATCTCCTCCCTACTCTCGAAGCATCATGAATTCCAAATGAGCGCTGCTCAAAGCGGATAGTAGCTCCGAGTTTACTCCATCTCAGTATACACAACACTTTAAAGAAATGTCTTCCTGTCTCGGCCCTGCTTCAGCTCATACAAGACAACATAAATTAACAAGTGAAGAGATTTTGATATCTCCCGAGTATTTGTACACCTCAAAACCCCAGTCTTGTACCCCATTCCCAGCCCAGTATTCAATAACCACCCACTCTTCCTGTCACACTCAAACACAAAGCCTCGCACCACAACATACCCGAAGGATCCACTTACTGTACATACATACCTAGGTACATAGCGTAAATCTCGAGAGAATGGGATACAATACCATAAAAATGATCCGATTCCCGAGTCTCCGATGGTTTCTGTATCTTGTACGAGGGACGCTGCATATATGGTGTTCTGATACCGGACTTTCACCAGTTTATCTACTTGGAGGATATATAGCTTTGGGCAATTAGTTGAGCAGAACCTAATTAGTACTGTACAGTACATGTAGAGTTGCACAGCATCAGCACATTACACCATATATTATAAACATTAATGAATAGAAATACAAACTAGGAGATATAAAATGCGGCCGAGGCCTTGACCCAAACTGCTGGAATTTTCAATATTTTCCTTTTGGGCCGCTCATCCATATCATTTCATCCCGTTTTGTCCGTCTTCGCCGTTCTTCCTATTCCAATATGCTGCTGCTGCTAACCTATACTCGTATTCAGGTAAATAAATGCATTTATAACGGCATAATTATCAAGTCCGGTGCTCAACAGTAAATACTAGTGGGCCAATCATTCTCATGCTCGCTTTGCAAAACTTGGATCGGACATATCTCCGTTGCCTTTAGCACCACCAAATGTATCCGTACATTTAGACACCAATCATTTTCTCTTATTTGACATAAATTCAGTAGAAGATCTACTAAAGCATTTAAATATGCTAGAATTGGAAATTCTCTCTCACATGGTATGGGAAAGCAGGGTTTGGTGATGGAGATGAGACATTAGAATCGCGAGACCTGTGAGAAAAGAGTGTGTAGACACAGATATTAATTTATACTAAAATAATGATACGAATGTCACAGGGTAATTAAGAATAAGTTTTCAAACTAGTATGGATTTACAGGTTGGGAATTTCTGGTCATGGTAGATCTACAGATATGCTAGAATCATTTGGGAGGGATGGATGCTTGTCACGGTCAAGTTATTCGAAGGATTCACGTATCATAAGTAAGCCAACATGAAACTAACTTCACCCGCGTCACGAAAACAGAATAGTTTGAGGATAAATATTATTCAAAGATCTCTTATTAAGAATTAAGTAAATGTGAAGCCTCCTAGCAAGTAAAGTGCCTAGATAGTATATAGTAGATAAAAAGTAGAGTGTAAAATTTATTCTTTCATCTCATCTCGTCTCGTCGATCTCCGAGTCATTCCCATCTCATGAATACTCGACTCCCTTTCTGAGCGAGATCTCTGATTCCCTTCCCAGTAACCCAGCTATTAATATCTCTCGATACCATACAGATATGCACCCCGTAATCCCACCGAAATCAAAACCTTGCTTTACCCAAACCCTACAGATGTACCCGGCACATCCATCCTAGCCCGCCCAAACCAAATCAGAATAGACCCAAACAAAAGAACAAAAGCACACGTATTTTTTGGTGACCTCACAACTCCTCTCCTATGCGACCCTATAATGCCCATTGCGGCTTGGCCCCTACCGCCCATGTGTCCAATCCAGTACAAATGGAAGATGATCAACCCGCTGACTATATAAGGTAAGGCTCGAACAAAGTAAAGTGAGAAAGGAAAGCGATGTAAAAAAGAGATAGAAAACAAATTGATGTCTTTAGCTGACCCGAACGTACTCGCTCAAATGGTATCTAGTAACGATAACGATGTATCTCCCTCAACACCCTAGCCACGCAAGAAGACGCAAAGCAGGCTAAGCAGTAGTAGACAAGATTTAAGGAAAATAGAAGACAATTGAAGGAAAACAGGTAAAAGTCGAAGTAGTCGGCAGTATAAAGCGGCAGCGAAGGAAGGCCGTGACGAATTTGCGAGCTAATCCCCCTCTTGCCACAAGTTTGACGCCAAGGAAGATAAAGGATAGCCATCTATCCCTTTCCCGCACAACTCGGATCCGCCATGTAATGATAACCCGTTACTGAGGATAACATAACAGTTACGCATGGGCGTTCTTGTGTCCAATGCATTGTATAGTGCAGTGTAGTGTATTGAACCAACCAACACCTAAATAACACAAGCTAAAAAAACCATAATGCTCGGGGATTATTCGCATGCAAGCAATATGCACAATGCAATGCGAGCTGCAAGTATTTCTCCAAATCGTGCAAGATATACCAAGCAAGTAAAGGTAGGTTCCATAGCTAGGAGGGGTTACCAAGATAGGTAGAGAGGTTTTGTTTATTTAATATGCCAGTGATGATGCCATATGATGAGATGAAACAAGATCTTTCTCGGAATACCATCGGACAGAGTAGATATGACATGGATACGAACATAGATAGCCAAGCAGAAAATATGGAAATAAAACAAGGTAAATGGCCAAAGAGAATATTGGTATATGCTAGTACGATAAAATGAGGCAGGTCGCAATTGGATTGATGAACGCCACACCACCAAGGACATTTATTTAGTCCAGCCAAATCCAAGAACCAGAACCCCCCGTTTCGCTACTTCCCATCCGAAGTAAGAGATATGCAATAAGGTCTAAAAAAGGTGTTGATAAAATATTCGAATTCGGATGTAGTAGTGTCGTAGTGCACCAGGTGATACACGTGTAGGGAGAGATAAGGGATCTGAAGATAGATAGTCATGCATGTAGAAAAGTAAGAAACAGGAAAATAAGCGTGTGGCGGAAAATGGTGTGTTGAAATGGTACGGTGGCTGTGTTTGAGAACGAAGATGATTGCGTAGAGTGGGATGAATAGATTTGAAGAGGGTGTGGAGGATGGATGTAGCGTTAACAGGATTTAGGAGGTGTTTTGATGTAGTGTAGTACTGGTGGATATTAAAGTCGTAATAGGCCGCGGTAGTATGCTTAAATCCATCGAGAGCAAGTATCATCTAGAGGACGAATAAAACAGAGGATTTTCAACAAGAGTGTTTCGTGAGACGCAGGGTCGCTTAGAGAAGCAGGTATAACGACAAAAAACAACTAAAGTGTGTTTTTGAATACCTTGAGAATGTGTATTAGTCCTTTCGATCGTAACGATTAACTTGATAGGTCGAGAAGTCGATTAAAGATAAATTGATTTGCAGCAAGGGTTATTAGCGTGGATTTGTGCGCAAGGTATGTTAGATGCAGGAATGTGCATGTGAGGGTAATACGAGATAACTTCTGCCGAATGAGCTTTCATCATCTCGCACTAACCCACTTTCGTACCCCATGCTAAAAGAGAAACAAGATCCCATGACCAATGAATTCCATTGCTCGCCAGAAGGTAGAGAAAACAGGACACCCTCTCACACAGAGAATCCCAGATTTCCTATCAGACGTGAAGCCATGAGCTCATGATTTTGCTGCATTAGCTCAATCGTTCACCCAATAGGGCCGCGTAATCGATTCACGATTCACGTACGCGGTATCTGCTGACTCTGCTGTTGATGCTGAAGAGAAGATAAAGTACGACTTCCACTGCCCCCGCTAGCCATTGAAGCATCCACAACGTTTCTCGGCGTCTGATGTTGCTGTTGGCCTTGATAATCAACCCCTGGCCCCGAAGTGCCGGCGGCAGTCGCGGGACTATTTTCAAGATAATTCGATAAGTCCCATGAGCCTCTAGCGCTTGCTACAGCTGCCGCATTTCCAAGTTGTGCTTGATAATGTTGTTGTGGTGTAGGCATGTGATGTGTAGCTCCTTGTGGCCAATGACTCGATTCTTGTGTGCCATGTGGTACTGCGACTCTTAGATCAGGGGGACCACCTTGAAAATTTACTGATTTTTGGCTTTGTGGTGAGATTGCTCTCTGTGCGGGAATATTGGGATTGTAAGCTGTAGAAGTTGTTGATCCTGATATTGATCGTGGTGAAATTCCTCCATGATGATCACTTGTGTATGGTAAGCCCACAGATGAAGTTTCCGTAGCGTAACCGGTGGAGCTGACGGGTGTCAGGAGGGCAGGGGCATGTGCGGGTGGAAGGGTTGAGGAAGGACTGGCGGACTAAAATTCATTGTTAGCATTTTAACTCATACCAAGGAATCGATAAATCAAAAGGTGTGCTTACATATTTGCTGATAATCTTCTTCAAAGCGGGTCCTAAATCCTTCCAGTGAAAGACTTTGACATCCTTTTCAATATTACGAGGCTTAGGATTGGGAAACGCCATGATGACTTTAAAGAACTCCTCGCTGTCAGGCTTTCCCTTAGACACAGTGGCGGGTCGGAAACCTTCTAGATTTCTCCGTATTCTGTTTTTTTCTTCCACGGTGAACTTTGCTGCCACTAACGCTTCCAATAGAGTAATAGTATCCACGCTTGTGACATAACAATCATTTTTCTCTTCCCAATATATGCAGCTGATTACAACAGATTGAGGTGGTCGTTCATCAGCTGAAATAGGGTTGAAAGTTGTCGTGATAGTGCATCCGGATTGTGATCGCTTGAATTGGACCAGCCGCCTCTTGGATTCCCATTCTTCTGCGGTCCAGTTATTTACCATCATGTCACCCAAATCCCCGCTGATTTCCAATTTTGCTTTGTTTGCGTACATTGGGTAAGGATTGTATGTATGGCCTGCATGAGGCGTAGCACCCGGACTTGATGATTGTAAGGTGGAAGTTCTTATCAAAGCTGGGTTGCCAGGAGATGGCAAGGATGACATATTGGATCGTTGTATTGAATTTGATGGTAAACCAGGGCTTCGCGCCATACTTGAACCAATCGTTGAATATCCAGAGTTCCAGGTAGATATATGTGGAGAATGTGCTTTGAGAGTAGGTGGCGAAGCTGTTGATGAATTTCCATACCCATAACCCATGTTCCTAGGCGCAGCTTGAGCTGTATAGCCACTGGAAGACCGATTATATTGAGGCATCAAATTACTGTAGGAAGAACTTGCTTGAAGGTATGGTGAGTATGATGAGGACGAGCCATCGCTCGATGAAAATGAGTAAGGAAATTCCTCTTTCGGTTTTAGCTGTTGGGAATTACGTTTCGCTGGGCTCCTCATTAATTCCGCAGATTCGGTCGAGATTTTCCTTTTTCTAGTTCCCTCAAGTGATTGTGGGCCATTTTCGTATGTGAAGTCCCCGACATCGACCTTGGAAATAACATCTCCGTCACCTTCCATGAACATCGAGACTGGTACCCGGGAAGAGGACCAATTTGTAGATGCAAACTGAGGAACCTCACAAGCCACAACGTAACTGCACACTCCTCCAGACTGGTTCATTTTCCTCACAGAGGCCTGGCATTTCTGCTGTCCAAACACTAGATAGAAGGTCGGCGAGTTCGAAGTCAAGAGCTCGTACAATGTGGTTATGTAGACGCTGACTGGAGTACCATGACTTCCCCGCTGAGGCGAAAATGATGTAACTTCGGGTATTGGCGTAGACCCAACATTCAAGTAAGGACCGGCTGGCTCATCATAAGTAGTACGTGTGTTACTTGATGCATAGCCTAGCGAAGTCATCTGTCCGGCATTTTGATAAACTGGGGCAGGCGTTGACGTTGGAATTGAAGACTGGGTTCCATATGGAGGCGTTGAGTATGGATATGTGCTCTCAGGATATGATCGTCCAGTTTCGTAGCCTGTTTTTGAAGTTAGTGATTCAATGATTTGTATGATTTTTGAGTAAAGGAGTATCCCTTAAGCATACTGACCATGAAGCTGCGGTGGTTGCGGTTTCCCGTAGGCAGACATTGACAGAATATCTGTCGGGGAATCCGCCCGGGGCACAAGGGCTCCCTCGTACCCTCCTTCGTGTAAGGCTGTAGTCTCTGGTGATGGATAAGTCTCGTCGATTATTATCGGTCGACCAGAGGAGAGGTGTTCGGACTGTAAATAAAGCATTGTATTAGCGGGAAAGATATCTCCAAAAACAGAGTCGTAAGGATACACATACGTCGAACAAAGTGTAAGTTGAGTAGGCCAGTTTGGCGGTGGGAGAAGAACAAGGCTAAAAATACTATCGACTCCACAAGAACGGTAGATGAACACTTCCACGAATCGAGAAGTTCTACTGATGAATATCGTAGAAACTTTGGTCCATGGAATATTCAAATATCGTGAAGTGTTAAGGTCGTGAAGAAGAACGAGAATTGCGCGATGTTGAGCGGTGTCTATATGACGATTTGGAAAGAATGAAGTATTGTCGATTAAAATGCTTTCGATAGAAGTAACGGAGCCGTTCCCAATTATTCTCCAAGTGACAAAGTGTTGGGTGGATAATGGTAGTCTGTTAGATAAATCTTTGGTACCCTAGGACACTCAGATAGAGTAGTTCCTTTTCCCTTCCGTTCTTGGGGAAAATTAGGGTTTGATCCGCAGTGACTTATAACGATTTATGATGGGATGCCGAGTTTAAGTAATAGAACTTGAGTAGAACAGGTTAGTCGAAGAAATAGTTTCAGAGCTGAATCCTTTTTCAACGACGCTTGTTTTCCAATATCTTAACTAGCGATTTTAAGTTCCCGCGCTCTAGAAATAACTAGGGCAAAGGCGTAAATCTTTTGAACAAAGTCTCGGGAGCATGAAACTAAAAGAATAAAGTACTTTAGAGAGTCGATAACGATACTAAAGGAAACTCTATGAATCAATCAGCCTGAATGACTTTACAAAATGATGAAGACAAAAAATATTCTCAAGATGGCTGACGAGGGGCGTTCATAGTTTAGTTGCATTCATGGTGAGGGATGGGTTGAGGCACGTACAGGACAAAGAATTTGAAGTTTCTTGGATGTTCGATAGGATATGCCGATTGCCAGAAGATATGCAGCCACCCGGATGGTCGAACCTTTTGAATGAACCTGTTCGTTGCGAGGTAATGTCAGTATTTGTATATCAGAAGTATGCCGTCATTATAATTGTGCCGGTGACAAGTTGTCGTCGAGAAAGATGTGTAGTATGAACAGGTAGTAAGTAGCATGTGCGCATGAGGGAGGGTATACCCAGGGTACAACGATAGCCTAGTGGTTAGATTGTGTGGTGGTCGAGGTGGAGGTTATGCTTTTGATCACCCTAGTTCCGTATATAGATTGGCACAAATGACTTCTCAGATGCAAGGATGAGGAGGTGTGATAAACATAAGAATGATTAAAAAAGGTAAAGCGTGAAATACATACTGATGGTGGGGTCTGGAAGGCACTTTTAGGGTTTATGAGTAAGTTAAGTGACTTCTACTGGGCGGAGAAGAAACGCAGTAGTTAGCTAAAAAGGTAAAGGGCCTGTTGCGTGTGGCCTTTCTCTTGATTGCTCGGATCTCGTGTAGGGTGCGAGGCGGCTGATGGCTGATCTGCTGAATGCAGTCACACCAATTTGAAAGGTTCGAGGAAACAGCTTCAAACGCCTCGAAAAGGCTGGGCCAAATCAAATGTCTTCTAGTTTGCCTACCCCGAACAAAAGAATGTAAATATCAAGTCCGTTGGTCGGATCCTTGGTATAGTTTCGAACCCAGATATACTACTTTTGCGGGTTTCTATTTCATCCGATCGTGTATGGTATATATTAAAAAACGTTTGACGTATTTCGTGGGATGAAATGGAGGCTTCGAACGGCAGGATTTGGATGCAGGCTAGACACGTTCTTGATATTGGTTTTGAGTGTGGCGGTTGCCTTCATAGGATTTAGAATGAGGCAATGGTGCTTCGATGACTCCGAGTCTGGGCAAAGAACTTTTGAAAGGTTCGAAAATACGCGGTCGATATTTTGCTGAAATGCTGTGCAGTTTTGGGTGGTTGCTAAAGTCTTGAAACCATAGGTTAAGATGTAGTGTGGAGAAAAAAAGGCTGACTTTAACCTTGAAGGCTGTGAGGAGATGGGTTTTTGGAGATGGTATGATTTAGTAGGAGGGTGTCCGAAGAGAAGTGGCAATAATCACTAATTAATATTTTATCGAAGTTGTTGAATGAATATTAAGAGCTAGATATGGAAGATGTAAAGATTTTCTGCTTTAAAAAAACAAACCCAAGGAGTAATAGATGTGTGTTGGCTTGTTCGAGAAAACCGAGGTAGGTAGTATAGGATCAAAGTAGGAACATTAGAGCTTGACCAGGAGCCCTTCTCGAATTCGATGCTGACCTCGAATTTCGGCTTGGGTTAATGAAGATGGATGTTGTTGTTTGAACTGAGGTGTACTAAATCTATGACATGCATTCCCTAATGGAGAGGATAACGAATACGTTTTCTCGCTCTTGCATACGACAGGGTTTCTCTTTAGGAGCAGGAAAAGACGTGGAGTAGATTTTGGACGAAGGATTTCTTGGAAAAGTGATGATTCCGTAAGGTTCAAAGGATAGAGGAAGCCACGGTCAAATCTAATCGGGTTTGGTCGTGTGCTTCATTCGATGAAAGTAGATATTGAACTGTAGGTCGGCGACTGCGGCTTGAATTGATGAGATCGAAATGGAAATTATATTCTATGCCGATTTATTCAGAATGTGGAGAGGGAGGCTTTTGACAGGACAGGCAGCTTCGGATTAGATTAGAATTACTTTCTTTTTTTTTATCTCTTTTTCCTTTTTCTTTCTTGGGACTTGGTGGTCTGAATTAAAAATTTATGAAAATTAATATTATTTATTATTATTATTATTTTTCAAAGAAAAGATGGTACGAAATTTACAAGAACAACATTGGTGCACCAAAAAATTCATGATGGGAATGTGGATGACGGGACTTCACTGTAAGAGGCGGTGACATTTTTCCCTAGGGAGTGGAATGGGGACAAGGGGAGCCCACTCAAGCTCAAGGATATAGTTCGAATAGAAATTCTAACGAAGACCTTGTTCGGAGAAGGATTATGCTTTAGGTATGGAAGAATTTCCGTTTTGCGGACAAGTTTCCTCTTTTCCCCAAGTCCCTGTTGAAAGATCTTTTTATTTTCCTTGAGTTTACAGGGGATTATATGGGGATGATCGTTCTTTTACAAGGATGATAGAAATTTCTAGAGGGAACTCTTACCCTGCCCATTATTTTCCATTTGACTTGTATGCTTGGCCATTTCAAAGAGCATTTCGGTAATCAGGTCGACATGGGATGCATCCACGGGTGAGATAGATGGCCGCTGTTATTGTCGTACAACGTACCCAGGCTGTAGCTGCCCCTGCTAGGCCCATCGATTCAATTGCGGCGAAGCTATTTAGTGGATCAAATAGGGCCACGACTAATATAAAAATAGTGACAAATTAGAAGCTTTTCTGTCTTTATAAGCCTTCTAAAGCCCATGACAACTTGAGGGATCCCTTCTAACTTCTTAAAGCTCCAACCCTGTAAACTCTCTTTTCTTCCTTGAGCTCCCTGCTTGGAAGCTACTTGGAAGCCGCGGTACAACAGCATCCACTGTCCGGAATCCCCCAGAACCCTGAAATAATATACTGGTCCTCCGCTTTCGTAGAGATTGATCGAATGGGATGAATGGGAATGGTAGTAGAACAATGGTACAGATAGAATGGATTAATGATGATTGAGGGGCATCGTTTCATAGTTTATTTCGTTTCCGATTAGGCCTTTGTTCTAGTGATGAAGGGGGATTCTCGGTTGAGCAAATTGGTGTTTGTTAGATCGATAAATTGTATTGTTCTCAACAGCACCACAAGAATTGATAGTGTTAACACATCATCATTGCGATGAAAGTATGCATTATCTTTCATTTAATCGCAGTCCTCTTTTATTTCACGTCGCAACTCGTGGAAAATACATACCGCAGTACATTTAGAAGCCCACGTAATTCCACGTACCCTCTTCAGAGCTGTACAATCAAAAGTCCCTCGTACGAAGAATACCAAAAGTGCGGTACGTACCGTTCAATTCATGCCCAAATGAAATTGTTCCGAAGAAATTATCATCTGCCCTTTGGCAACTTACATCTTGCATATAATACTTGCATAAATGAACGTCACTAGACTTTGTACATACAGTACAAAGCACCCTTCATTAATATCCATGCCCGGCCAATTGTGAAACTTATTACTATTTTCCTTTTCGCTCGGCACTTGAGAAGATCACTCGATTGTTTGAGAGCATTTAGATCCCTTATTAACCCTAGCTATCAATTCCCAATCTTCGGCATCTGGGTCTATCGAATAAGTCCGACGATCTCATTATCTGAATCTCCGAATTTAGCTTCTTCTCTTGTAATGATGAAATTCCTTCGTGGGAAATCGTCAATCCGGGCATCATTTATACTGCTGGGTCTGCTTATTTTCGGTCGTGGTATTCTAAACAAATCCCCTCGGATAAGGCACTAACACCAAAAAAGGTTCTTGCGCAATATTGTACAGCAGCTCAAATTTTTCGACATATTCTCCTAGCTACATAACACAAGCACAAATGACCATTTCATCGGAGAAAAAATTCTTGCTATTCTCTGGTCGTCTTAATCGCTTTCGTCGGGTTCGGTCCAAAGCTAGCAAGGTGAGCGGGATGAGCATAGGAAGCTCGACTCTTTTAGGAATTAATGGCTGCCACTTCTCATGCTGAAAAGCTTGGAGCGAAAGCTGGTGCTCATGATAAGCAATACTAATACTTGAACTAATTAATCGGGAAGTGGATTCCTCCACCAATATTGATGGGTTAGAATCGAAAAATGGATGAAATATGAATTATCATCATCATTGATGTGATTAAAGGCGCTCGATGATAAATAGGCGTTGGAGTGCTGCTTGACGAATCACGGCAGCAGTGTAAGGGTGCTGCAGGCAAAAGATCGACACTTGGATGTTCGGGAGTGTCAGGTCATCTACATTATGAGAGAGTGCTATGCCTAGCCAGGTGTGCATATTGTGCATATTAGACAGGGTTAGAAGAGTAAGATCACTAGACACTGGACGCCACAAACGACAGGCCTGTTCGGAAAGGGAATCCGAATTCTGGAAAGTACCTCTTTTCCCTTTTTGTGCCCGGTGTAGCCAAATTGATATTCTCCATCTTTTCCTGGTTTGAGTTGAAGAGCTAGGATGAATACCTTGGATGGTAGCAGGACTATAATCAATTTGCCCAGCCATAGGAAGGTCTTCAACACCTTACGAGAAAACCACAAGCCTCCCGTCGTGACCGTCGGAGCACAGATTAAAATCGTATTCACCGCTGCTGTGGAATCAAAGAAAGGGAGGAATAATAACATTACCCCCTACCTTAGCTTTTCTAATACTGCAGTGCTTTCTTTTATCCGTTACACTCACGTCGAAGTACTTTCTCTCACTACCCAAAGGAAGGGGAGAGGAATGCGTAATACACTTGGTCAAAATACCTGCAGCCGCCTCCATCCCCGTAACGTTATCCATAAACCTGAGTTATCCTGTCTGTTATTCTATCATGTGAACTATGAATAGGACAATTATTAAACGACCATAATAGAATAAATAACTTAATTTTGTAATGAATTTATGATAATATAATATCGTTATTTTTTCCGACAAAGAAGTGACCAGATCATGCGGGAGATTTCCCCAAAGTAACCCCGAACTAATCCTAGTCAAGTAATAAATTCAGGAGAGTGTGTGACAAGTTCTCCTCCCTTTCATCATTTGATTGATTATGGTTGGATGAAAACCTTGGGATCAATTCGTGGCTGTGCTTGTTTTGAAATAATTGACCCTCGTTTTTGGTTGCATAGACAGGATTTTGGGCATCCTCTGCTCTATGGTATTGTCAGCTTGGGGAAAGGGCTTTAGAACTTGATTAGTCATGGGGTAAATACGCTTGTCCTCCTATTGCTCCGTATTAAATACACTACCGATATGACAACCTATGAAGGAGAACAAGAAATGGAAAGCTGCTTTTACAAGAAAATATGCTAATAAATTGCTAATCCTCATGGACCTCTTCCCCCTTCATGGAATTTGATTGCATTGTAGATTGAAGCGATAACATCGGCATTTTTCCATCAATCTGAGCAGAGCTTTTGTCATTCCGGACGTTCTTCATCTGTTCCGTTCCAAGCTTTTCCTATCAAGCGAAGTATCTTTCATTTCATCGGAAACTATTTTCCTTTCCTCGCTCCTATTCTAATGAACTCTCTCGCCCGAAAATCAAAATGGGTACTGGTACTCCTATCTATCTCTAAAAGTGGCATCGATTTAGGTCTTTTCTCCCACCAAGACTATCAAAAAAGATACAGAACTATCAATTAGTTTTGCTTTTTCTTCCTCCCTCCACCCCCTTACTCATAAAAGCCATTTTCATGCATTAATTTGAAAAACCTCCAACGTTTAATATCTGTCATATTTTTCCAACAGAAACCAACCGGATTTTCAGGTACCAAGGAAAACAAGCTTTATGACCTGAGCCAGATCACCAGATTGACAGCTCGCAAGTACCTAAAAGTTTCCTCTAATTCTAAAAGTCACTCTGACAGCTCCTTTCTCCTCCCTGAGGCGTGGCTTCAATAGTTTGAATAGCTAGAAAAAAGTTCGAGGAAATTAACAATATTTCAACTTTTTTCCTTGCCTCATCTCATCATGAATTTTAGTATCATGATTAGATCGCTGGACTCGAGATTCCGCGATTGCATCGTTGTAGTACACGATATTGTCGGATTGTTGCACCTCATGCAAGGTCCCATATTCATCATTACCTCATTACCGACTTCCCTCGAAAGCTAGATTGGCCGGCCTTTCGGGTGTGATGTGAAATAAAGTTACGATCATCTACTAAGGTTTTTCTTGTCATACAAATACCTATGCTTGTTTTCTGTAGCAGGCCAGGGCTCTACACGCCGTTTGCGGCACTACTGGACCAACATCACACCATACACAACAACGTTGGCGAGTTGGTTAATGAATCAGATGGAGCCACGACATCTTACAACTTACAACTTACCAGGCTCTTCATACAATCATCAGACAATTTGTTATAATAGCTAAACATCGCTTTATTGCGCCACCAAACTTTTGGCTAACATATCTAAATTAGTTCGACTTGACTCCTTTTCCGGAATCGTGTTGGTTTTCTATGCGGCGTCCAGCTCTAACTTCTAAGCGCGCATTTTTAAAACTATAGCAAAAGATATCATAACAATACAAATTCTCGATCGCTACGCCACCAAGGTAAGCTCCGTGTAATTTCCCATATGGATACCTGCATGAATTATTTCCTTACACAAGAACTTTCATTCTTGAAAAAAACATTGGTCGGCACAATCCGGGCCCTAGAATATTTCTGGTAAATTCGCCAAGAATTGCCATAATCGGGTTTCGAGTTCAGCTGCGTTAGATAGTCTCGAATCAGATGCTTCTTTTTTGATTTGCTTGCTGTTGCTGACATAGCTGTTGTGATAACACAACTTATATCCAACAAAGAGTATAAACTGAATAAGTAAGAGCTTACCTTAATCTTTCAATTCTATTTGTGTGTTTTCTTCTGTGCATGGGCAGGGTAACAGGGCCTTGCATCCTTGTATTACAGCAACTTCTTACCAACCACGGTCCTGGATCCTTATTTGATCTTCTTGCCCTTGGCTTGCTGCATGAAGCCGAATTTCGGTTCCTGGTCGTCGGGTTGATCACAATTTCATGTACTCATCCAATTTAGAATCCATGTATCTCTCTCTCGTACTGCGCTTGTTGGCAAAGTGTTGGTCTAGACTATTTTCAGGTCCATGGTGCTGCATGACATCTAAAACGACAAGCTGAACCAACGAACGACCTTGCATTGTATTCAACAAAACCATAAAAAAACTAAACTCTTTGCGAAGAGGGAAAAAGGTAAGGAAAAGACGCTTTTCCCGTCCTGTACGAACACTCCACGTGGCGACGACGGAAATGGAAATTGATGACGATAATCTCGCCGCTGCATTTGTATGTGTTCCCGCGGTTGCCACGTGTATTTAAGGCAAGCCGAGAATTCAAGAATTCAAGAATTTCCTCAGGCCGGGCAAAAGTTGTTATACGAGAGAAAATTCTCAAGAGCGGAATGCGTACACGGTATGTAATCAGCCTTTTCTTTCCTTCCTGTCTACTTGGCATGTGCATAGATGATTATTGGACGTACGTTTGTAACTGCAAGAGATCTACGAAGCATAACCGTCTGCACGGGACAGGGAACAGGGCTTTGGGTTTATGTATGATGGAGTGCCACCAATATCCCTTGGAAAATCACGGGTAGCTTCATATTCTCATTCCCCATGGGGAACATCTACTCGGCTTGTTGAGACGGAAGATGAGGCGGGATGAAAGGTACCACAAAGTACCGAGACTTGAGAAAATAAGCTCACAGCGATAATGCGGCCTTGAAAGGCACAAAGCCAAGTCCATTTGCGAAATTTTGGATGGTCAAAGTTTACGTAGGTGCTGTATCATTTTTCAGTCAAACTCTACTCAAGCTTTCGATACCAAAATTTACATTACAAGTCTTTTGATGCTAGTGCAGATCAAAGGAGAGACGAGTTCAGTGGCTCTGTCAGGAGCACAGCCTAGATAGAGACCAAGGCTTACGATGGTATGGAATGACATTGATGATGCTCACTGCGTTACGCGTCCTTGTAAGATCTTATGCGATATCTTTTTGTGGGCGAAAGGCGAAGTTTCAATTCACTGGTCGAAGGCCAATACAAAAGTCAGCCTTAGCAGTTCAGATTACCTTCTCTCTTCTCAAAGTTTTGTGGCATACTTCGAAGTCAACAAGTTTACAAGTCAAAGAACTTCGAGAAATCCATGTATGCAAGGAAACATGTGGTTCTTAATCTTACTGGCTCAACTGGGAAAGTCGAACTGACTTTTATTTCTGCTGGGATTGCTACTGTAACTATCAGTGAAATATCGCAAGGTGTATATAACATCAGTAGCGATTTTAAAATGTTATCTGATCTTTTAAGGGCCCGGTATTTCACTTTGAACATATTTGTTTGCGTATCAAAAGTCTCGGAGGATTAATTTTCTATTCCAATTCATATTCATATTCACCTCCTTCCCTGAGATTCTAGTTACATAGATGGGAGTTACAGCAGTCATATGTCATCGCGATTGAATTGAATTGACGGGAAGGATCTGGGCATTTTCATGAAATTATATCATCAATACATTCATTGTTCAGAATACATACAATACAAACAATAACAAAATTATGAACTTTTGATCCAATATCTCCATCTCAATTAAATTTTTGTTTTTGAACAATCTAATCTAACATTGTTCACCCCAGAGAAAATGCACTGCAACCTCATTCATATATCTCGACCACCGGCTCACATCCCAACCCCTGACGACATTTCCCCATAACAAAAAAAGAAAAATTCCCGAAATGCACGACCCGCGTCCCAACCACGGAACATTGGCGATGTATGTGATGGTGATGTGATAGCGGAGTGCAGGAATCGTGAAAAACAAAAGTTTGGGTGAGTCTTACTTATTAGTCTTTTTCCAATTTATTTTAACATTATTTGCCGATCATCACAGTCGTAGTCACTATCACATGCATGTGCAGATTTTATGTATGTATGGTATGTGTGTGTGTGTGGGTGACGGAACATGGTTCAGACGTGGAGTTTCGGGACCGATTTCTGTTTTTGGGTAGAAGCGCCGTGGGGGCTGGAAATGCGGGGGTGCTTATATATATAGTGCTGTTGTAACGACATGGCATGTGTGTGGTGATATCGATATATATCTTTTGGGTTCGAGGGAGGGAAATGTCTTCTTGGGTTATAGCTGTTTCTCATCATACATAGGTATTATGGATGGATGTTGGAGGATGAGGTAAGCTATTTGTACTCTACTACTTCGTGATCAGGTTTTAAGATATTCAACTGTCATCTCCCAATCATCTAATCACCCATTCTTCTCTGATAACCTCAGCCGTCTTGGACTTTATTACCTTGCACAGGTATCGATATACCGAAGTCATAACAGCTTTCCTGTCAAACATGCAACTCCGCGTCATTTCTCTGTATCTCATCCATCAATCTTTTCCGTACCAAATAATTTTATCTCTAGAATATTATGCATTACCGACATCTATGTCATCCACTTAGGTCTTATATGTGACCTGGTTTCTTGTATCCAATGATAGCCTTGAAGGTGTTTCTTCACTGGCAGATAACAACCCCACACAATTTGATCCCGCACTCTAGTCTACTAGAATCCTTCATGTATGAGTTCTTGCAGTGACTTTAACACCTATCAACCATAAAGCCTACCAAACCCCTAACTTTACCCCAGTAGCTCTCCATTTATGTTATCACGGCCCAGGTCATAAGTGCAATTCCGGCAGGGAATTTCCATCCGAGAATTCTCGGCTATCACTATTCCAAGTACGTATACTCAAACAATCCATGCCAATATTATGAACCAGCGTTATGACAGCTGACACCGAAGCACCTGATATCACAGTGGCAAGCCCAGACCTAGGTAATAACAATATATATCGCAGTAAGTATATAACCTAACATATCAAACTATCCATGCACAGAATGACAAGAATTCGAGAAATTCCAACAACTTCTAACAAATTTTCCTGGGAATATCGAAGTAATATCGTCCAAATCCCAGTAGGTAGTGCTTCAAGAATACCTATTTCGGAAGTGTGAATTTGCTGAATTCCAGTGCTTTGGACCTTTGGTATGTTTCTAGTGATGTGCAATATTCTAGATTACATTCGATATTATCAATGGTAACCTATAGACTAGGTATTAAACAGGACAACATGTATTCAGAAATTCTATAATAAGACTTACTATAAATTAGTAGCTATTTGATATGGGTTTCGTAGCACGATATACATATATATCGAAGAAGTTCAAAGACAAGGGGCGGTGATAAAGCTGTTAAATATCAGAAAGTATAAGTGTATGTAGAGAATATAGGAAAGATGTAGGTTCTAGGTAATCTTATAACATAGTTCCTCTCTGAACTCCCGTCTCAAAATGGTTCCAAGATGTAGAAAATTCTTAGTTTCAACTGTAAAATGTGGACTTCTGACCTTGGGAAGAAAGGAAGGAAGAAGTTCAAGTAAAGTGTGAATTTGCCCCTCCACAACCCGAGGCAAACTCTTCCGAAAAGCATCAAAACCCATTTAGACTAGACTCATTGAATAGATGATATACATTAGAGTCATCTCAGATAGATAATTCTTTCTAATTAGACTGCGGAGTACGTGAGACTGGTGTTAATTAGCGGACAGCTATGGAGTGAGAAAGTAATTATTGGTCGAGATGTTATGAGGTGATGAATAGGGCATTAAGTCAAAATGTCTAATAATATAGACAGCAAATAGTTTAAATCACTTTTCGAATTTCGTATATCTGATAATGTTTTGATCATTAATAAGTTCTACTGAAATAGAAGATTGAGCGAACAAATGAAATAGCTTCTGCGGTTGTACTTTATATCAATTTTTACTACTCCCTCATGCCTGAAACTTGACAAAGAAAGCAAACTGCATTACACGTACAAATAAAATCTAGTTCTTTAAAATCCTGAGACGCTTAACTAGGTATACTATCAATCTAAATTCATTACTCTATTCTCCTTACTTATCCTACCACCAATTACTCCTAAGCAACCTTAAAACCCTCAATCCACCCCCTAACCCTCTCACAATCCCATCTATCAGATCTCTTCTCGGCTATCATCCCCCTAATTCCCTCCGCCATCTCGTGCTGCTCAAACTCAGTCGGATATATACCCGATTTGATATTATTTAGAACAATATGACGCTCGGTACGAGTTGTAAAAGGGGTGATTAGCTCAAAAGCTATAATACCCAAGGCATAGACGTCTAATTTAGGACAGACAATGGAAGATTTTCCCGGAGGCATATATAGCTTTGTACCTGCTTGTTTTGATCCGAGGCGAGAAAGCTGTGATGATGGGTTGAGCTCTCGGGCTCTAGTATAAGGGCCAGTAGCGGGAGTAGCTGTAGTTTCGGCTAATTTGACTGCTAAGCCAAGATCTCCAATGCAAGGTGTGATGTAAGCTTTGTTTTGATCGGCAGAACCGGTGCAGGTGGCGCAGGCTCTCCTACTGACGTCTATGAGGTCGTGGGAAGGAACGAATGCTTCGAGGTCTTTCTTGGCGGATAGGAATATATTTGCGGGCTTGAGATCTCTGTGAATCAAGCGTTTTGCGTGAAGGTATTGAACTCCATTGAGAATGGCACTTAAAATCCGTATTGTGGGAATTGTATGAAAGCAGTGGCGGATAGGAAACTCGTGGCCTGGCTGCGGTGCATCAGTCGAGATATACTCCTCCAATGTAAGAGGATAGACAGTAAACCGAATGTATAGAATGCGAGCCCTGTTGTCTCGTGAATTGATGGCATTGTCATTGTTATCATCCTCGTCATCTTCAACTTCAACTTCATCTCCATCTTCTGCTTCCACTATATTAGTCGACTTCCTACTACCCGTCGTAGTCCTTGTCTCTGAAATATCAAAGATGACATCACTGCTAATTCTTCCTTGGCCCTGTCTTCTGTTGTCTTTCTCTAATTCTCTCTCCATATCTAGACGCAAGCCGGTCATCCCGAAAGTGGGATCTTCCTGCAGTCCAAGTTCGTCCTCTGATCTCTCGACTTCACTAAGGATATTTGTTAGTAAAATTCCAAAATCACAAATGGTTTCCAATAGATAGTATAGTATTCAATCTTTGAATTTTTTTTTTGCCCCTGGCAAACTCGATTTTTAATAGAGCTCGATACACGAGGGCGACCTTGTGTATCGAGCTAGTATCAGTATATTATTAAATAGATTCATTCTTGGATTGCGCCAGGGCGTCCACATTAGAAGATTGAATGATGATATTCAATCTCTGAAAAGTTGTGAAATTCTAAGCTCAGCTCAACATTCTAAACGATTTGAATGTCACGATTAAATTCAAGAACCAAGAGACCTCTCGTTGCCGGACTTTCGTCTGGACTAATAGAAGCACTAGCCATGATTGTGCAGGCGCTCAAAGCTTTACAACAGTTTTAAAAGGTATCTTACCTCACAGTCATCGAAAGATAGCTTGACTCATCAGCTTCCATCAATCGCCTCACTGATGGAACAATTTCATTGCCCATTTCAATCCAGCAGCCATAGTAATTGACAATATTGGGGTGCTTGTGTTCAGCCAATGCTTTAACTTCAGACAATAGTGCTGCTGTATCAACCTTGCGTAGCTGATCTGGTGTGATGATGACCTACCAAAATACGGAAGTTAGCGACATAATATTCACACCAGAACAGACACTCAAACACAGCTGAACACTCAAAAATATATGGAGTGCCCAATAGAGTTGAAATCAAGGCAGGGTGTCCAACACTTTAGTGTTAGAAGATTAGATGTAAACTTTCAATGCCTGAAAAATTCCAAACATTTGAGTAAAGTTCAGTATTTGAAATAACTCGAACGTCATAATTCGATCCAAGCATCCAAAGGCTCTTCATTGTTGAAATGTAGTCGGGCCATTGGTTACAATAATTGGGAAGTGGCTTGGTGCTCACCTTCTTGATAGCGCACTCTAAATCATCAACTCTGTGTCTAACTTTATAGACTGCGCCAAACCCTCCCTTGCCCAGAAGACTAATCTGCTCCCATTCTCTATTATAAATCGACCTATACTGAAAGGGATTCGAAGTTAACGCAGCTGATGAGAATGGATTCTTGGGAATCATCTCAAGATTTAGATTTGGCGGCTGATCAAAGTGGGAGATCCCAAATGATGAGCCAGATGCCAGAGGGAGAATGGAGTTCTGGCTGAAGGTCGAGTTTTGCATCCGCTGTGATGCACTGTTCGCGAGAATTAAATCGAACGTTGAAAGATAACCCTCACGAAGAGCTACAAATTCTCGACTCGCAAGCTCATCTGCTCTAGGAAGTACCCCTGACCTACGAAGCTCACTCGCCATATCACTAAAGAGAATTTGAGCTAAACGTTGGATATCTGGATGGTTCTCCGGTAATTGATCATGGGGTGCACGACTAGAGTTTAATGTAGTCAATGCTTGTGCTTTGCATCTTGCCTCGATCAAGGAGAGGTAGAAGAGAGTAGATTGTTGGTTGTTTGATTGTGCAACTGGCAATGGTAACCTTACATCGCCAGGTCTTGTCAGGGCTGTGGACGGAGCCAAGTGAGGAAGATTTATATCTTCAGTGGATGAATCCCATTGAAATTTTTCATCCGTTGTCTCTTCATCGCTAGAGAAGGTTTTCTTGTTTCCATTGGAAGACATTTTGTATTCCACCCCTATTTCGTCCTGGGGCGATTTTCGATATCGAACTGAGGTCTGAACATTGAATTGCCGATATACAACCAACGAAGAGATAGAAAAAAGGTGCAATGTACTTGAATAAGGGTGAGTCTGACTCCTATATAGTTTTTTTGGCCTTATTGTAATCTGTCAAGTAAAGGGTTCCTACGGAAGAGCATGGGCTGTAGGTTGTGAAGCTGCACCGAGCTCTAGAACAGTCATCGAAGCTTCTTTCTAATTCTGGAGTTCGCGTCCCGTAAAAATGGGTCCCGGAACAGATATAGTCACGTGATTAATGGAGAGGTGGTACTGCGGCGGTGGGACGCGGCAATACCGTACTGAATCATTATCAAAACATCCCGAGGACCTTTGTCACATTGAATTTCTCTTCTCAAAATCACAACGACCCTGGATTTATTTGATCTTCAGCAAGCTGCGTTTGTTGCAAATACCGGCGAATCAAATCTGAATTAAACAATTCATCGAAAGCTTAAATGTTACTGGCCTTTTCTCTTTGCGATAGTGTTGCGCGCTTCCTATGACGCGGACTAACGCGTTCTATATGGCTGGGGGTCAAGTGCTTTCTCTTTCTTTTTCGGTTGGACTGTAATTTTTGTTCGAGAAACAAAACTACAAATCGGTGCAAGGAGGTATATCTATAAGCCTGACAAGAAATCTGTTCTGGTGAATGCATGCCTTGATGGCGAAGCGCATGGTATCACATCACAGTCTACTCCTACAGCTCTCTTCACACGCCTATTTTCGAGACCAAGCAGGTTTTCAATTTCCGTTCTTATCATAATTACACACTGGAGGCTGGTGATCTCTCCATTAGCTAAAGAGTTTCTATGCTCAAAAACGACTGCTGCAGACAAGTCGATGAACAGGATAAAGGATTGTGAAACTATTCCTAATACATTGAATGGGGAGCAACTATTGCACCTTGCATCATTCATAGTTATCTTGCTGCGCTTAAGAAATTCACTCAGGCACCGTTACCACTACGAACATCACCCATACTCAGCTTGCCACTTAGCTGAGTAAAGGATTGAAGGTGGGTAGGTACTTCTTGAAGGAATCAATGCCGACCAATCTCTACTAGTGACGAAAACATTCCGCTCAACTCTTGCCATATTTCGAAGGCCTTGCCTTGTACGAATCTCCTCCATCGCACCGTCGAAGGAAGGGACTAGCTCATATTACTAGCCATTGTCACTAATCGGATTCGGTGGCAGTGATATTATCTGTTGAAATCTCACCACATAATTTCTCCACATTACTATACGCTTAGTGGCCGTCCAGGTGGACATCCGATTTCCTTGGGATATATGCTCAATTTAGCGGCCGTTTCATTGTTTGGAGATGCTCCCACGTAATCTTATTCACCCATCTCAAGATCAGGCAACCCTCACAACTGTATCCTATAACAAACATCAGCACTCTTGTCTAATCATGAGAACACTCCCGTGGAAGAGAAAAGGAGGGTCAAGTACAGTAACTCACCAGAAGAAAAGTATTGCATCAATAGGCAGATCTACAAAACGGTCTCGTGATGAAGCTTCTCCTTCGGACAGCCATGAGGGCTCCGATCATCCGCGCAAGCAGATCCCCGAAAGTCGTAGTATGCACCCTTATAAGCAGCGTTTTGGATATCTTGCTAATTTTATAAAGGTCGGGAGCCATCCACATCTCCGCCACTAGAACCTCCGGTCGAAAGGTTCGTTATATACATGGCAAATTTCTCTTTATGTTACTGACTAGGTTACTAGTTTCATGATAGAAGGTCGAGAGCATGATGATGAATATCGCATGGTTGAAGATGAGCTTTTGACCGTCGCGAAGTCATTCACAGTACATCTACACACAGCTGAATATAAAAGGCTCGGGAAAATAGCCAACACGCGGAATGCCGACGCCATCAATTCCATTTCAAGGCCGGTTGTCGGTAGAATGCCTGATGCAACTAGGCGTAAGACGGAAGAAGTTACAAGGTCGAACGATCAGCGAAACATTTTAGAGAAATTGGTTGGTAAAAAGAAGGGGAGTTTCTGATGATAGCGATGAAGAAGCTTTACCTTTCGTCGGAACTTCGCTTTATGGTCTGATGACAAGCCCGAGGAAACGGGGAGTATCGCTCATGAGCATTTCTTCTCCTACCAAAACTACAAGAGCAGCTGCGGGATTTCGCAACCCTACTAAATTGAAAGATGCACCACGTGCGTCTTCTCCAGCTATCAAACGCAGGACTCAAGCTGTAATACTAGATCCAGACTCTACAGCTACCGAAGATGAAAACGACGACCTTGACGGACCTATTTCTGCTCCAAAATTTTCGTCCTCTAGACCAGATACTCGGAAATATTTCGTGTATAAAAAGCCAAATGCCAGTTCGCCGACAGAACCAAAAATAGAAGTCTCTACTGCGGTACCGAGTTCAAAGAGAACTGGAACCCTCAGTGCCAACACGACTAAATCTGCCAAAGCTCTGGAGGCCGGTTCGCCGTCTCAATCGTCTACTACTCAAGATAGGATAGCAAGACGAATTGCGCAAGCGAAACTTAGAAAGCAGCAGGAAGAGGAAGAGAAAAAGAAGCTTGACATTATACCTACGTTCTTATGATTGGTTGAAGGCTATGCATTGATGTTATCATCACAATTCTACACATATGGTTCACGTGGTGCCAATGAAGGCCTCATCCAAGTAACTATGAACTAGATGATTTATTATATTGGGTGCAGGCTACATGTAAATGTTCAGTACATTATCATGCCTTGAAAGGCGTCTCGTATGGTGCTTCAGCTTGCGGTGTGATACGTGCGAGATGTCTGCGAGCTCCACCAGACCAATCAATAAGAGCTGTATGGACCGCCACTCTGTTGTCCCACACCACCACAGTTTTCGGTGCCCATTTGACTCTTACATGGAAATCAGCTCCCAGCGCAATATGATCATACAAGAAATTCTAAAGAACAGTCAGATCATCGTTGATGCAAATGTTTTTGGTGTGGATGTGGGGGTTGGAGGGGTTTATTACCAATAGCATATCACTTTCCTCTTGTTTAAATCCAACAATCTTTCGAGTGACTGGAATCAAGGTCAGTACTGAGCACATAGAGAAGAGCCGGCTCGTTCTTACATTGTCTGTTGACATATAGCGCCTTTTCTCCAGTTACTGGGTGCGTTCGGACAATAGGGTGGACGTTCACAACAGGCTCCCTGCGAGCAATGCCATTCCTATAGCGAGAAGCGTTCACTTGTTCAATTCCGGAATGTGTCGCAGAAAGCCCATGCAGACGCTCTTTAAATGAGTCGCTGAGTCGATTATATGCTTCAACACCATTGGCAAAAAGAGTATCGCCTCCGCTTTCTGGGACGTCAAGAACATATAAGAACGTTGTTCCCGGCGGCTGCTTCTCATAAGTGACATCTGAGTGCCATGCTACGCTGTTTGTTCGAGTCTCGAAAAAGCTTTCAGCCGTTTTGTCGCCAGCTGATCTATGTACTAGGTGGACTTCAGGATGACCAGCAGGGGCACCAGATGTTGGATGGATATGAGGTCGCCCAAAATATCGGCCGTACTCGACAGCTTCTGCGATTGGTAGAGCCGCAAAATCTTGATCTCTGAAAGCTACGACTTTTCTTTCCGCGACAAATCGAGCCAATTGATCTTTGCCTGCATTGCTCAGCTTGCTCAACTGTACACCTTTGATTTCTGTGCCCATTGCGGGTGTCAGATCAACTGTTTCTACACCTGGTGCAAGTAGCTCTGGATATGTTGTGTCGGCATCCAGCCCATGGTCTCTGTGCTCAAAGGACTCAAGGGGCGGGTATGTCACATCATCCCATGTAGGGAGATAATGCGGGTACTAAGATCAGAGATTAGAATGTCTTTTACTGACTACTAGTAATGAATTATTCGGAATACGTACTGACGCGGCAGAAAATTTGCCAACTCCCTTCTCTTCAGCTTCTTTATCGAACGACGTGGGAGCAAGCTCTTTATAGTTTCCAAGCTCACTTGCAGTAAACCTATCATCCGCAGGCTTTTTAAGTTGAGTTGGAATAGTAGCGGCTTCAGTTGCTGAGGGCGCCATTGTACTTGATCACTATTATTGCTTCTGTCGTCGTTGCTCTTATTAAAGATGTGACTCTATGTTTGGCTGCTCAATGTAGGTTTGGGTTATTGCTTTCACAGTCGAACAGGATTTAACAGGGCTTAAATATATCTGGACATAACGCATATTCGCAAGTTTAAACTAGCCATTGGCCCAAACCTACCATATTGAACCCGTCAATGCTTGATAACGACATAGTACATGGTTCTCATTGGGGCTATCTCCTCAAAAACTCCTCCGCAAGATCTCCTCATAGATAACGACTAAATTGTAACACGCTTGGAACATCCAATACGCAAGCAGAAACATATTATGCGCAATACGGCGCAGATGATCGTTGAGGTATTAGGGTGGCTATTGGTCGGTGAATGATGGTGCAATTGTGCTGAGCGATCACGAATGTTAACTGGGAAGTATGCTGGGGATAGTGGAGATATCGGCGATAGAGCAGTACATAGGTAGTTAACATTGTAAATTTCCTGTAGGATTATTTGTACCTTATCAAGAAGAACTTCCTCGACATCCATATTACCCGCCGCACAACAAGTCGGACTCGAGGAGGGATGATGCTCCACGTGATACTGTCATCATTAATTTTTGTCACGTGATTGTCACGGAGCAAAAAAGTCTTGGGACAGGTCTGCAAGTGTGAATTTGACTTTCATCATGTTTTTGAGGGGTTTAACAATGTCAAGTTTGGGTTAAGATAAAAAAGTATTATGTCTTCATTCATTAATCACTCATTATGGCTCAAATGTTGATTGCTGAGAAATCAAGTGTTCATGTGGTAGCTAAATCTATCCGTACTAATCGATGGTCAACCGTAGCCGGCGTCATTCTCTATCTTTTATCTTTGCGGGGCAACTTTTTTCTCTTTTGTCAAAATCAGAAAAAATTGAAAAGAAACAGCCGCCATCATGTCTGCTATGGATGTCGACGACGCGCCTGTATCTATTGCCTCAAGATTTCAGGCACAAGATCAGCAAACTGGTGCTACGTAAGTTTCTTCCTCAAAAATCCCAAGTCATTGTCGCTGATAGTTTTAAGTATTCTCTGCTGCAACTGTGGCGCTCCTATCGATGGAACAACCTCCGCCGGCGCTCTCTGCTATGATTGCGTAAAACTTACTGTCGATGTATCGCAAGGTATTCAAAGAGAGGCTACTGTACACTTTTGTCGAGATTGCGAACGATGGTTACTCCCACCTCAAACATGGATCCAAGCCTCCCTCGAATCCCGAGAACTCCTTGCCCTTTGCCTGAAGAAACTTAGAGGTCTACACAAAGTACGAATTATCGATGCGAGTTTCATTTGGACGGAACCTCATTCTCGAAGAATTAAGGTTAAGCTTACTATACAAGATTCAGTATCGGAGGGTGTGGTATTGCAACAATCGTTTGAGGTTGAATATGTGGTTGCCTATCAACAATGTCCCGATTGTGCGAAATCTTATACCGCGAATACATGGAGAGCCTGCGTACAAGTCAGACAAAAGGTTCCTCACAAGAGGACATTTTTGTTTTTGGAACAATTGATTTTGAAGCATGGTGCACACAAGGATACTATCAATATTAAGGAAGTTAAGGATGGTTTGGATTTCTTCTTCGCAGCACGAAACTCGGCCGAAAAGTTTGTCGACTTCTTACATTCCGTGGCACCTGTTACCGCAAAGAAGTCTCAAGAACTCATTTCCATGGATATTCACACATCTACCAAATCCTACAAGTTCTCCTTTTCCGTCGAGTTGGTTCCAATCTGTAAAGATGATTTGGTTGCGCTCCCGATTAAGTTAGCAAAGTCGGCTGGAAACATTTCTCCTCTTGGTCTTTGCTACCGAATTGGTAATTCTATCAACATTCTTGATCCACAATCACTCCAAACTGCCGAAATCAGTTGCCCTATATACTGGCGTGCACCATTCAAGCCTTTAGCCGATGTTCAGGAATTGGTGGAATTCATCATTATGGACATTGAGCCCCTTGGTCCTACAAAGGGGCGATGGGCGCTTGCCGAAGCCACCGTTGCTCGTGCATCTGACCTCGGAACTAACGACAAAACCTTTTACACAAGAACCCATCTAGGAAATGTGGTTCATCCTGGAGATTCTGTCATGGGATACATGATGACAGGTACCAACTTTAACAACCCTCAATACGACGCTCTTGAAGAATCCAACAATTATGCATCAAAGATTCCTGATGTAATGCTCGTCAAGAAATTGTACGCAAGAAAGAAGAAGTCTAAGAACAGGAACTGGCGTCTTAAGCGTATGGGTAAAGAAGAAGGAGAGGTCTTACCAAGAAAGCAAGATCAAGAAAAGATGGATAGAGATTATGAGATGTTCTTACAGGATGTTGAGGAAGATCCAGAGCTCAGACAAACACTTGCTTTGTATAAAGCTCAAAAGGCTCAGAAGGAAGCTGATGCTATGAGTGTGGCGGAGACTAGTGACGGTGAAGATGAGACGCCAAAGATTGATATGAATGAGCTTCTTGATGAGTTTGATGAGCTCAACATGCAAGATGGTCAATGAGTTTGATGATTCTCTGATGGTGGTTCTTTTATATCCTTGGGTGGCGTTGGTTAGAAACGGCGTTTGAGTGTTGTTTGGACAACTTAAAATGGTTACGAGATTGGGAGCTATGAGAGGAAAAGGGCATCGGCCAAAGCTTGAGATAGCAAGATGATTAGCTAAATTATAGATGCTAGTGCACCATCAATGAGTGCAAAAGGGTATTAGGCTAAACTCGATCTAGCAGAATGATTTAGCTAGAATCACAGATGCTAATGCGCAAACATTTGAGGTCTTCTATTTGAGTTGTTCTAATTTTTATCCATGTTCTGTGAAGTGCAACGTGCCTAGCAATTACTCACCAGCCTCACAACCTTTCAACTAACTTATTCGCAAACCAAGTCTTATCCGTTGGTATACACTTCCCTTCCCCCCATTATCCATATCAACACTCTTGGCGTCTTTCCTCATCTCCTTCTTGCTCCGGATGTTCAGTCCCATGCACGCAATTTCATAGAATTCAAAATCCCACAACAAACACCAAATTCCTCATGATGCAAATCGTGCGTCTTTGTGAAAGATAGATGCACAAAATCTCCGTCGTTCTATTCAGGTGCATGACCAATCGTAAGTGCTGTAAAGGTAAGATAAGGAAAGATATGCACAGGCTCTATAAGGCAGATTTTGGTGTGGGGGGTTCTATGATGGGAATTCTGTTGGTGGCGATGGTGTAAGGGTATGGAATGTAATGGGCGAGGGGAAGGGTGGCGCATTTTGTGGATGTGTCTGCAGAGAGTATGATGATGTATGATGGATTATGCGGCGCGTTTAATATGCGGAGAATTCGTACACAAACCATACGAAGAGTAGTTAGCCATGGAGTAGCGTTCCCCGCATTGAGGGAGTACTTGGCAATTACCATGAATTTGAAGAGAGATCGAGGTGCGAGGATGGAGAAAGTAGTGAAAATCTAGCTGGATGATGGATCGGGAGTGTAATGGTATAAGGTCGAAGATGCAAATTCTGGATCAGATATATGTATGTTTGATGTTTGATGTTTGATGTTTGATGTTTGATTTTTGATGCATGTATGATGCATTGCTATATTTGAGTACGTAGCAGTTTTATTTATTGTCGTTTGGGATTGGGATTCGGATATATATTATCTGGTTGGATTCTGTGATGCGGGGGAAAGGTGGAAGGGAATGCAGGGAAGGGGGGAAGGGGAGGAGATGCTAGAATTTAGATAGTATAGGGGATTCGAAATTTGATGATTAACTTTATCATCGCCATGCTGGTTTAGGGCTTGAGGTTTAGGGCTGAGGAGGGATAGAAGGGGATTGCCATGGTGGGGAGAAAGATTGGTGGATGATGAATAGATATTAGATGGCGGGAGACATTTTTGTATGTAATACGTATATCCCAGCTGAGCTGGGGATGTCTGGATACTGTAAAATGTGTATTCGACGGGGAAATTGGGGGTGGAATGGAGTTGAGTGGAATGGAGTTGAGTTGAGTATTTCTTATTACCTCTATCTCTAAATTGGAAATTCTAAGATTTCTCTCGTGGTCCTGATTTATTTCATCTAATCATGGGGCAGAAACTCTCTGGGGCGTTGACTCCGGAAGGGTTTTATATCCGGTTTGAGTTATTTCTAAATATTATGTTGTCTTAAGAATAGGGTTCTATGTATCATGTATTTATCTCTGTTCTGTGTATTGATCATTGGTCTGTTAAATATATGTGGATTTTGTCAAGTAGTTGGTGTTGTCATCGAATCACAATTCTAACATGAAATTTTCTGCTACCTATCTGTGTTTTTCAGAGCTAGTAGTATGGAGTTAGTAAGAGATGGTAGTGGGTTAGTGTGGTGGTTATTAGATCTTTCTCGGGAGATAATCTGGGAAAAGTAATGATTGCTGCTGCATCGTATATGCGAATGCATTGATATGAGGTGTTGTGGGCGGTAACGGCGGGATTAGCTGGTATGGCGGGAATAGCTAGCATAGCAGGCTTATTGAGTTTGGGAGTGAGGAGTTGAGTTTGGAGGTAAGTTGGGTGATGAGCCGGGAGTAATGGAAGAAATGAAAAGTGGTAGGAAGATGAAGTGAGGTTGATAGAATCTAGATGCGTGTACTAACTATGTGGGAGTAAAAGGGATAAAGATCTGATATTACAACGAATTTTACTACACGCAAACTCAACTGCTTCGGTATATTAAAGCAAGAATTTGTGTCAACGGACTGTTCCTAATAAGATGAACTTTGAGTAGTTGTCAACATCATTGATACAAATATTTAATTTCATCTCGTTTCTCAATAGCATCACGAGTAACTTGTGGGAGACGCCCTTTCCCATCGGATTTGGATATAGACCCACCGATTCGCTTGAGTATCAACATTTAAAATGAAATCCGCATGAGGATTGTTTATGATAATTCACAAAGCATGTAGAAAATCATGATGAATACTTTGAGTAGACAAGACACAAAGGCGGAAAGTGGCATATATTTAAGCCGGCGAAATTACGCAGCCTCATGGCTGAGATATGAAGCCTAGTATCCATGAAATTACGGTGAAAGTGTGCTTCTATTTGAAAGTCCATTTATGACAGGACTCCCCTCGACAAACGAGTCACTTGATAAGTTAAGTTCATCATATCTTCTTTCTCTTCGATGATCAGATCTGGGTTCTCAGTACCTTTTGTTTCAGCAGGAGCTGCTGGTAGCCACCTTCAACGAGTCAATCTCAAGTAGAAGAATTGGACTTAGAATCAATGAAACTCGGATCATATATCACATCGCTAGCAATCTGAATCTCTTCTCTTAGTTTGAGAAGCGTTTGGCGCAGCCATATACCTGCATCCTATATATGCATCGCACAGAGAAAAGAGATACAGGACTTGCGAGCAAACATTCTCCGTCCAATAACATTGACCTCATGGCGTTTAATATGCTTAGAGTTGCATTTCTTGTTTTTTTCCCCCTTTTGAAAGTCTATGTATTTTATTAAACATGACCTTGAGATTCAATCATCGCTTTTTGGGCCACTACACAATATCTCTGACTACAGATATTCAATTGAAACGAAAAAGAACATTCAAAAAAATATGATAGAGATAGGGGCAGTGCCAGCATTACTAGCGCTGAACCATATCTTTCTTGTGGCTGCAGCGCCACAAGGTCGAATTTGAACTGCTTCGGTTTGTGCGAGGAACCTCTCTGATATGAAATCCTCTTAGCTTAAGACGCCCAATGCTGATCACAAATATACACGTAGTGTAGCATCAGAGTGTGCGTTGCCGGAGGAATTGCATTTTGAATTTTTCGTACGGAGAATGAGAATTAAAGGGAAGATGGATGTACTTGTCGGAGGTGTGTTTGGCAGCCAAGAAGCGACCTGTTTATGCTAAGCCTTTTGATGGAGAGGATTTTTGTTCCTCACCTCCGCATACCTGGGAAGCCAAGATAGACATCACGTGATCAGCCATCTTTTGTTGCATTTCTCCCCGGTTCCTCATGTTCACATCATGCCAATCTCAACATCTCGCTTTTTGAATTCTCGCTTTATCCATCACGTAATCACATCATCATTACCATCATTACCATCACATAGCAAGATGGACGGGTAAATGTACTTTAGCAAAGCAATTATAAAGCAACAATCCCACGACATACCATCGGATGTAACTAAAACATCTACAAGGTACACGACAATCGTCAAGAATCACTTAACTCACTGACGTCGTTGATTGAAAGAAAGCACGATGTCAATAAAAATATGACGTAGATAATTGGTAAGGAGTCTTTACTCCGCCAGCACAATCGATCAATCAACCACAATTCTCCCCGCATTTAACATTTCCATATATACTTCCCATTTCCTCATATCTATTTTCCATTTCCCATACATAATACACATCAAGTCAATCATTCCTACACCGTCAATTGGAATCACTTAACTCTACTCGATATGGCATTTACTCAAGCAGCAGCTCTCCTAGAGAAAGTCGTCGGTCATGATTCCAATGCGACCACTGAGCAAGATGTGACGAATCCCGCTCGCGATCGTCAAAAGTATGCGGATCCAAGTGGCGAGACTATGAAAGCTTTATGTTGGATGGGGAAAAATACTGTCAAGATACGTATGTTATATCTAACTTGATTACCATTACTTCTATATCGCATGTCTAATGCATCCTTTCTATGAATATTTAGAGGAGGTACCAAAACCGAGAGTCATTGAGGATAGAGATGTGATTCTTAAAGTTACGGGAAGTACAGTGTGTGGTAGTGATCTCCATTTACTTCATGGCTCTATCGTAGAGCTAGAGAAGGGAGATATTCTCGGTCATGAGTTTTGTGGCGAGGTGGAATCTTTTGGACCGAGTGTCAAGAATTTGAACCAAGGTGATCGTGTGGTTGCTAGTTTCCAGATTGCTTGTGGGGAGTGTTACTATTGTCAGAAGAAACAATCGTCGCAATGTGAAAAGACGAATAGTAATACGCTCGCTAATGGAATGGTAAGTTTCTATCTTATCATCGAAATAAATATCAAGTGCTAATGTTGTCATGATAGTATGGAGCGAGAACGGCGGGAATGTTTGGGTATTCTCATTTCACGGGTGGATTTGCAGGTGGTCAGGCAGAATATGTCAGAGTTCCATACGGGGATGTAAATCTTCTTAAACTTCCACCAACTATTCCAGACGAGAAGGGTCTGTACCTATCTGATGTCCTTTCAACATCTTGGAACTGTGTCGTCGACACTGGAGTCGAAAACGGAGATGTAGTTGCTATTTGGGGCGCCGGTAAGAATTTCGCAACGTAACAAAACCCATCATTCCTTCACTCTAACAATATTTATTAGGCCCAGTCGGACAAATGTGCGCCGAATTCGCTTTTATAAACGGTGCATCACGCGTCATCCTAATCGACAGCAACTGGAGATTAGACTACGTCAAGAGTAAAATCCCCAAGGTCGAAACCCTCGACTACACCAAACTCCCACGAGGAACATCTGTGACCAGCAAACTCAGAGAGATGGTCCCACGCGGTCCCGACGTAGCCCTCGAATGCGTAGCAGGCGAATACGCAAAAGGCTGGGCACACTACTTTGAGATCCTCCTGGGGATGGAAACCGACACTTCAGAAATAATCAACGAGATGATCACCTCTGTTAAAAATTTCGGTCGCTGCGGCATCACAGGTGTTTACGTAGGATATACTAACCATTTCAACATTGGCAGTTTAATGGAGCGCGGAATTCGACTTATTGGGAATGGACAAGCGCCCGTCCATATGTATTGGGAGAAACTTTTGAAAATGATTGAGAAAGAGGAATTTGATCCGTTGCAGATGGTTTCGCATCGGGTTTTGTTGGATGAGCTTGATGATGTTTATTATAAGTTTGAGAAAAAGGAGGATGGGATGCAGAAGGTTTTTGTGCAGACGAGGTTTTCGGCTCCGCCGGCCCCCGGGAGTCCGGGTTTGACGATTTATAGGAAGTGAGGGGGGTGTGGGTGAGTGGATGGGTGGGTGGGGAGAGGGAGGGAGGGCGGTGGATCGATGACGGAAGGGATAAGATAGGATGATTAATGAAGGGAGATGATGATGATGTCGATGATGAAAAGCGTGTGTGTATTCCTAGCAAACATGTAACTTGACTTATTCATAATGTAGTCATGCAATTGAAATTTCTATTGCACAAATTCATATCATGATATCTGCTAAGTAAATAATATCAATATGCAATTACAACAACTGAACTGGAGCATATATCTATTTCTATGTAAAATTCGCTACACTATCCCGCGAGTCACGCCACGCCTTGAGTATTTCATTCCTCAGGGCTTCCCTCCACGTACTCGAAACTGAGCCTTAATTATTCAACACCAACACCAACACCAACACCAACACCAACACCGTAACTCCCATCTCATGTATCATCGCAATACCATCATTTCCATCCCTCTGCTGCCCGTACCATCCCTCGCATATACATATATAACTACCCCCTTCATTTAAGCGACAAAATAAGTACATGTACATACCCACAATCAACAAGTATCCATCATAGTAACCAAAGCCGCCTTCTCATCACTCGTGATTGTAAGATTATAGACATACTTGACCTTGATCCACATTTTCGCATATGTGCACCAGTAAGTAGCTATATCTCAATTAGTATTTATAGTTTCTACATCACCATCACCATCACCATCACCATCACCATCACCATCACCATCACCATCACCATCACCATCACCATAACTTCCAACCCCCAAAAAAAGAAAACTTACTCAAACTTGGCTTCCAAGCCTCAGGGCCCCGATCCCTTTCTCGTTAACTGTGCTGGTCACAGCCAATAATTGTGGATTGACGAGATCATTAGCGAAGGTTCGACGTTGATCAGTTGTCCAGGCTGAGGCGCCGGCTTTCCAGGCGTTGCTTAGGGGGACCAGATGGTCGATGTCGAGATCTGAGGCGGAGGTCCAGACAGCTCCGTCGTAGGGAGATACCCACTGGGGATGGAATGTTAGTAGGATTTAGGTGATAGTTAATGGATTTGGGAGTTGGGTCATGGAGGGAAGGTTAAATTGGAGGTACGTACGTTTCCTGATGTGGCTGCACAGGCTGTGTCAACGACAACGTTGGTACCGTCACGTTTGATGACTGTTTCGCGTGTGTTGCAGTTACCGGAGATGGTTATCCACTAGATGAGGGAGGTTAGCTTTTGAAGTGGATGTATAGGAGGAAAAGAAGCGCGAGAGCAGGAAAGTGGAGGTTTGGGGAACAAGGGAGGAGCGGATGAGATGGCATGACATGACATGACCGAATGAGCAGAACATACAGTAGGAAACAAATCTCTAGCATAACCATCTTGACTTCCAGCCGCAGCAACAGTCAAAGCAGCAAGTTCGGTATTAGCAGTGGAAGTAGTTGGTACGCCTGTTGGTGCGGGAACAGGAGTTGCATGAACGAGGAGTCCTGTTGCTAGAATGCTGAGGAGAAGACTTTGAAGCATGGTGAGATGAAGTTTGACTGTTGTGATATTCTCGAATTCCCTGAAGACTGATGAAGAGAAGATGAGATGGCAATACGTCGCTCTTATAAGTAAGTCTCGTCGATTGGAACAACGAGGTATATCAAAACATCTCCATCTTAATCTCTGGACCCGGTATCACGCGAATACCTCCGCATTCACTTTGATAACTTTATCAGAACGAAGCATTTCCAATCACCTATACACGCATTCTCTATCTCAGCCGCTTCATCCATATCACGATTAACTTTCCCGGATACATATTTCCTTTATCTGAGTGAAGCATTTCCAATCACCTTCACACGCATTCTCTATCTCATCTGCTCCATCTATACTACGATTAACTTTCCCCAAATACACCTTTCCTTTATCTGAGTGAAGCATTTCCAATCACCTTCACACGCATTCTCTATCTCATCTGCTCCATCTATACTACGATTAACTTTCCCTAAATACACCTTTCCTTTATCCTATCACATCAAATGTCACCCACACACTCGAGAGTACCACAATCTTCACCATGGTGTTAAACTTCTTAGAGCAGGAACTTGAGTCCATAACTCCGATACCGATTCTTGGCGCATATAAGGACTTCAAGAACCCTTACTCAGGACAGGAACATTATCCCCACGATATTGAAGATATAGTTGATAAGCGGCAAATCATTCCGGCACATGTTCTTGGCTGCTTATATCCGATGCCTTATACGGAAGGTGGGTGGTGCTTGGCGGTACGGACACCGCCGTGAACTTTCATGAAGAAGGTGGGGTTTTGATAATGGTAGTGAGAGTGAGTACCGGCGGAATATACTCTGAAACGCACAATAGTTGAAGGGAAGAAGTCAAAAGTGGATGAAAGATAGATAGTAAGATGGAAACTAGCCTCTAACTCAATCTCTTGATCCATTCTCAATACGACACAGTGACAGAGTCGACATCTATACCGAGCTTGAATGAGTGACCTCCAACCCCAGGACCGAATTTGCTTTAATATAGTGATACGTAACCCAACCAATCTCTCTGATAACGGGCTGAACTTTCAATCGTTCTTCTTTCTCTCTTTCACTCTTTAAGCCACTTAAGGATTGCGAGTAATATATTGGTTGAGTGTTTGAGATAAACTCGAATTGACTACGCCAATGTTTGATTGAATCATTGAAAAGTTTAAGAAAGTACTCTATCATATGTCAAAAGAAATAAAGTGGCATGATGTACTCTGCGTGTTATGTCACTACTTCTTAAGTACAGCTAATACTTCGAAGGTAGTTTCGAACATACATATCAAAGTGCTTAGTTTGACCTGACTTGTGTAGTCCACTGCACTTGGATTTGAAAGCTTTCAATGTTTGAACAGCTGTCAAAGCACAAGGATGACTTTTCCAAACATCTCAAGCATATATGATCAATTCTGATGTTCAGATCCTCTTCTTGTTGGACAGCTGTCTACATCATTGGGGAGTCATGTCTCCTCCCACTGACGGCTATAGCTAGAAGGTGTAAGCCATAAATATTCAGATTTATCTGAACATGGCATGTTGTATGGATGTTCTCACAGACTTCATCAACTCAGATGAATTTCTACATCATGTCTTTTTCTGTGATGTATATGCTGGTTGGGTATAGAAAGGCAAGGCTCGAATGTGAATGATTCGGTGGTAACGATATCGTGCTTCGTGGTTCGTGGGTTATCATAAACCAATGGCCCAAGCTCTCCCTCTCCAGTTTTTGAGAGCATCAACAGTAAAACATTAACATTCGGCATTCGGCATTCGGAATTCTCATCAGATCATTGGAATAAGTTCATTGCCAATCAAAGCATTAAAATAAAACATAAGACTCGAAGCAAACTCGAAGAAAAATTGGGTTTTGAAGTAAGAATGTTACTTGTTTTTGGTATTGTATCAAGGTATGAAGGAAGGTATGGAGGTACGAGGGTATGAGGAGAAGGTATGAAGCTATAGATCTAAGGGGGCATGAAGCTACAAAGGTGTGAAGCTACAAAGGTGTGAAGCTACAAAGGTGTGAAGCTACAAAGACATGAAGCCATAAAGGTATGAGAGGATCCAGTAGCTTCGCAGATATCCCTCAATGTGCCATGCAGAGCTTCAAAGATTATCACTGACAATTGATAGATATCGATGGACACGGCGATATTTAACTTACTAGGAGTCTTTCAATTCTTTCCACCGCATTATCCCATTCGATCCGTACAATATCGAATGTTTCACCACGAGCCTTGTCAACTGCTGACTCAATACTCATTCACTTCAATCTTCTCTACAAAGCTTATTCGAAAAGCGCTTTTACCTGAAAGAAGCCCTGGCTCAAGCTGGCGCGATCTTTGTGCTGTGTGCTGGATATGTGGATTGACATTCGTCAGCATAAATAACACTTTAATAAGATGAAAGAAAGACGAATTACGAAGCTCTTTACTCGATCTTCACCGCGTTACTCTCAAGAACTACGGACTTGATACGCTTTAAGAATGAACGTCCGACAGACAACTAATTCCAAATTTGCTTCACATACAGAATACCGCCGCCAACCCTTGAACAAATTAAACCGCAGTGGCAAGATCACTCATCGGTGTGGATTGCATGTTAGGGTTGTATTGGACGCAAAGAGCTTCAAAACATTCATATCCGTCTCGTTGGGATTTCCAGCATCATTTTTCTGCATGCCAGGTAAACAGTTACTGTATATGGAAAGACCACGGTTCTCGACCACATGGTTGATGGCAAGGACGGATAAACTGGCAGATTCGAACCCGCACAATACCACGTATGAGTAAATGAAACTCAGGGGTTCATCAAGCATTGCAGCCAGTTGAACCGTTGAACTGTGAGTATCATGCACGATTCTAGGACTTTCAGTGGACACTTCCAAATTTCGAATGGGAGCCGAGATTGATGATATGTACATCGTCCAATCCGTCAACATAGTGGAACTTTGGCTAGCAAGGGAATGAGGATGAGTGCGTGGAAACATCGGAGAGCGATCATGTCTTTTCCGCCCCACCGGTTGATGGATCGATACCCAAGGGTGTCAATGCATGGTTTGTACGGAGTACAGAAACAAAACAGTGGGTCTTTTTGCATGACCATTTTCACATTTCTGTCTTTTACATTCTTACCATTTTCTTTGAGCCTTTCACAGCAGTACAGTAAGCACTATGCTGTTGGAATCATCTTCCCCCACACTTTTTGCTATCCAAGTTCTTACCTCCTTCACATTAGCGAGTTTTCCCCGGCTTCATTGCTCAAAAATGAGCCATTTCATTGGTTGCACCAACCCTTCAATGTTAATTGAAGACAATCCACGGAGTATGAACATGGTTCTCCGCAGGTAGGACTAGGGTATTTTGCCGTCGGCAGGACTTTCAGCAAATGGAGTTGCTCTTTACTGGGGTAATACATGGGAATAACCTTCATAATCATTGTCACACCAATGTAACTGTACCATTTAAGGATTCTTAGCTTTGTACTCTTTAGGAAGTTTGATATGGGCCCTTGTCTTATCTTGAAATCAATCTTGACCGACAAGCCGTTATTCCAAAGTCTTAGCCACGTTCTTTTTAATGCTTTGCTTTTCCTTGAAAAGGTTTCTTTTGTTTTCCAGTTTCAGCATTTTATCTCGACAAGCTTTTGTGTGAATTTTTTCAGCCATGGACGCCTTTACTCCCGCACAGGCAAGTTGATATACATTCGTACTTCATAGACTTCACCTAACATGTTTCGCACCACCAGACTACCGAGCTCGTCTCGCGCATCGGCGCCAAAAAGGCTCGTATGAGGATTGATAAAATGTTCATCAACTCATTCATGGGAGGGTGCCTCATTTCTTTTGGATGCGCCATTTCCCTGTCCACGAGTAGCGCGCCATGGTTTCAAACGAATGCCCCAGGTCTTATTCGTACCATCTCTGCTATGGTCTTCCCTGTGGGGTTGATCATGGTTGTGCTTACCGGAGCGGATTTGTTTACAAGTTATTGCATGTATAGCGTGGTTGCTTTATTGCATCGACGCTGTAGCTTTTTGGATCTTCTGAAGACTTGGGTCGTCAGTTTCTTTGGAAATTTAGCAGGAGCATTGTTTTTGATGGCCGTTCTTACAGGTTGTAAGTATCTACTCGGCATACAGGAGCTTATGATTGCAGTATGCTAATTTACAACGACAGACGGTGGCACATTCGAGTCTGGAGCATACAAAGATGAAGCCCTTGCTTTTGCAAAGGGAAAAGCAGTTACGCCAGAATGGCATCAGATTTTCCTAAAGGCAATCATGTGTACGTTTATCCTTCCCAGTGTAAAAATTTATCGTTATTCGGAAATTAGCGATGAGGAAACCTTTACTTACGATGATACACAGGTAACTGGCTGGTCTGCATGGCCGTCTTCCTCGCTGTTTCTTCCCGCGAAGTGCTCTCCAAGATCGTTGCAATGTGGTTCCCAGTGATGTGTTTCGTTGGATTGGGAACTGATCACGTCGTCGCTAACAGTTCGTATTCCATTTCCTTGCCATCTTCCATTCCGTCATCTCTTCAATATCGCATGTCGTGCATATTGAAGAAATACGCCAAGCATGATGCACCTGCCAAGTCATTGGCGCCAATACTATTATTTTTAAGCCACTAACGCCTTCACCTCAGTGTATTTCATACCTCTCGCCATCTTCCTCGGAGCACCGCAACCACTCACTGTTAGCTACTACATCTGGAAGTCGATGATTCCTTCTCTACTTGGAAACATCATCGGGGGCGGCGTCTTCTGTGGTGGTGTCTACTGGTACCTTTTCCTCGCTGACGAAACTGTCCCCATTCATTTCGATACTGTGGATGCGAATACAGCGGTCTATGAACAGGGAGGTCCGATTGAAAGACAAGTTACAGCTGATGGAGCCGGAACGGGTTACGGCATGGAACATAATAAGAACGTAGTTCCTAATTCGGGAAACAACGGGAGGAGTGGAATTGCGAAAGAATTAGATCTTGGATTAGTGGAGAGTTTAGGAAGGAAAAGGGAGGGAAGTGAAAGGAGTAGTGGGAGTGTTTAGATAATGTTTGCTGTTTAGAGGAAAGTCGACCAGACCGCTGAAATAGAAGTGGTGCATTTCGATGTAAAGGGTTTGAAAGAGTGGGATGTGAGTGGTGATACCCCATATTTTTTGATACATGGATAATGGTGTACATTTATTTACGTTTACGTTTAGTATGTGGTGTGTATAATGTGGCGTGATGCGAAGTGGTAAGATTTATTACAACAAATGATCTGAACTCTTTTTTCGTTCTTCTGTATATATAATATGTATATTTATATGTATGTAGTATATATTATGTTTTGTAATAATCGAATGGGTATTCATTGATAGGTATGTAGACAGACAGACAGATAGATAGATAGATAAATGAATATTAAATATTAGATAGGTAGATATGTAGACGGTCTTTGAGTTGTATATTATAGATTGATAGTAATGCTGGCTTAATTAATCTATTTAGGCGATGGATGGTGATGGGGTTTCTTGGGGGAGTGCTGGCCTGTGTCTGGGGTTCCATGCTTGACGGTTTGATTGTTCTGTATAATTAGAGTTTATACGTAACAATGGTTGTTGTTTGATGGGGGCATTATTTCTTAGGTATTCATAGTACATAGAGATAGAGATAGATAGTTTGTATTTCAGGCTCACTCACAAAGTAGAATATCGAGATATTCTCAAGAGGATTTGGTATGTTGTCAGTTTTATATTTATATTTCTATACCATAGGTTTACTGTTAAATATTGAACGCCGTATAAATCACCAGATTTCCTTACGCTCCACTTCTATTCCCGTTGAATCTCGTGTATATTCATGCATCAATCTTTGTCCGTTCATACATGCTCAACATGATATTCATCAACTATCATCCCCCTTCCGTATCAACCCGCCATTCAACCCAACCATCTACAAAATCCCAGCCTGTCTCCTCAACATCTTCGTCGCTCCACTCGCAGCATTACAAGCCGTCTCCTGCGTCTCACATTGTTCCTCTCCTCCCGCCAATTCCCCACTATTAACTGCCTTCGCACACGCATTATGTTGTACGCTACAACTTCTTTGGAGAGCTGCTCCTTCACCTACAAAAGTATCGCCGTTAACTGAGAACGGACGATCTCCTGCTGAGGAAATTACTGGAGGTGGTGTACCGCCTAGAGTACCGGTGAATGCTTGGACATTTGTTCCTGTTGCTGTGATGTTGGTTCTAGAAGATGCGGAAGAGTCTGTTGCTACTGCTGATGAAGCTGTAATTGTGCTTGTTACTGCAGCTGCACATCCATCACCTGTTGCATCAGAAGTTGAGTCACTCGATGAGCTAGAAGTAGTAGCTGTCAAGGTAGAATTTTTTGAGGTTCCTGCAACAGCTGCTGTAATTTCATCGGCTGTAGCATCGTCCACTAGAAGATTTTGAGTAAAGATACAACCAGGTGAGTCATCCTCAGTATCACAACTATTACCAGCACCAGTTGAATCACCAATTGTTCCAGGTGCAAATGTACCAGAAAGAAGAGCTTCTTGAGGATCAGCTCCAATAGAGGCAAGTTGTTTGGCGAGTGATAGAACAATGGCTTTATTGGTAGCGGCAGCATTTGGTGCAGCTGGATCTTGATGTTGTTGAACTGCTTGAATCTCTGAATTGACGGCAGTTTCATTGCAAATAACAGATGCGAGACCAACTGATCCAGTATTTCTTTCAAGCGCAGCATACATCAATGCATCAGCCATACCGGTGATATTATTAGCAGCTTTGGCATTGGTGAAAGCTTGATCGGCTGTAGCTTGATGAAGACAATCAGGATTGGTGATAGATCCAGCTCCTTTAATAGCGGCGGCATTACCCAATAGACCAAAGACTGGATCTTGGATATTGTTTGGGTTGTTGATGTTCAGATTGACACGGACACCGTCGAGAAATCGATTGTGGGAATGTTCTTGAGGAACTTCACGACCTCTTAGCATTCGCTTTGGTGTCGTGGGAAGATTGAATTTGTTCTTTGGCTCTGCGACAGGAGCAGCAGATACCATGTTTAGGATGGTGATGAAGAGAATTGCGATTTCGTACTTCATGATGATGAATCGATGTGATAACGATGGAGATTGAAAAGTGGTTGATAGATAATAATTTGACTAATACAAGTATATAAGGGCCTGCCTAGATTGAAATAATTGATTGCAAGAGCTAAGTTTAAAGAGTGTAAAAGTTCAAGTTCTCAGAACTGACAAGAAAAGAATGTAGATAGAGCTGAAAGAAAAGCGCAAATGCGATGAGGAAAATAATATTTACTTGGCAATTTGACAGATCTTATATCTTGAGCCATTAATGCCTTCATCATGTGACAAAACCTGGACCAAACACATCCCAGGTCGAACATCAGGTCGTATAATTCGCATCTATCATTCTGACTTTCCACACTTGTGAAATTTACTGCTTCGTAGATCAGACGGAGAAAGGAAACAAGGTCAAGGATTTCACTTTCATCCGTTGAATCCTACTTGATAAAATTAGCGCTATAGAAGAAGCTTGAGATATTATCCTCACCCGTTCTAATACATCTTATGTGCGTCTGAAGTTTGGATGAGGTATCGCATATTGGTCACTCTCCCAATTGGTTGTGGTATATCAGATCGATCGGTTATTGTATGGTAAATAGCTCCCTTAACATCATATCTTTACATCAACAGTCTCAGATAATGATAAATGGTCTCTCGACGGTCATTTTGACAACCATCCGGGGTCTAAATTTGACATATCCGAAGAGATGAGATGAATGGTGACAGAACATTCACCTCTAGCTCAAAAGCTGGCACGTCAAAAGCATGATAATCCTTTATCTGTCTCATGGGATCTAGACGTCAAGCTTGTACAAAGTATTGTGATTGGGCATTTTGACATGATGGCGTTGATATGGGACGAGTCTTGTCGCAGATATCAAGATATGATTCCAAGCGATGTCTGGAGTCCCTCAGGGGTCTGGGGTAATCACACGTGACATGTAATCCATCCGAATTGTGTAACACGATACCTTGCATTTATCTGACTTGTTGATGTCGCAGAACTTCAGATGCAACTCATATTGAAACTCTTTAACGTCTACCTTGGGATTTAATCTGCGCAGGGCTATTCATAATCTATCTGAAGTACAGAATGAATCTTTAACATTATTTATATATTTTTTTCGCTGTCGTTAACCGAGGTAAAGAGGAGATGATTGATCACCCTCAATCAACTATTTTCGAATCTTTACTTCCTAAAAGCTTTGCTTTTGCATGAGCTGAGCTGGATCCTAGTTCACTCTACTTCCCCTCGAGACCAAAAATTGACGTAGAAATAGGCGTTGATATGTATAACCATTTGCTACGGGAATCTCACATTTTATCTTTTGAATATTCCATTTGTATTATTATTTTATATATATATACGGCAAGTAGTAAGTATAATTCCATCTGATCTATATATAGAAGACCCCTCATTATATTCTAACCCCTCGATATCTTTTCTACGCCTGCTCTATTCTTCCATTCGTCTAAGTAACCCTCAACAATCTTCAACATCTAAACAAACCTTACAACTCCTACATTCCAATCCATCCAAATCTTACAATAAACACCCTTCAAGCTTCCACCGCATCTTTCACTTCCAAATCCTCTTTAGCATTCTCCCTCTTATCCATCGCCTTTTGTTGTCCTTTCAACGTATTCCACCTCATGAAATAACAACAAAACGGAAATAATACACTACTGACCGCAACCCAAGCGAATAACACACCAAAATTCAAGCCTATTCTTGAGTGAAGATCGAAAAGTATTTGTCTACTGGCCTTGACGACTATTATTTCATTAGCTCTGTGTACATATCTGATGATAGAAGACGTACTATTATGCAATGGCCATGCATATCCCCAATTAAAGACTCTCGGTGCCAAGTCAATCAAATAAAAACTTGTAGAAACATTTGTAGTAACCGAAAAGACCAACCAAAGAGCCGTCCATGGCTGTCCGATAATCATAGTAACATTCTCACATGCGATTCCTAATGCTGCCATACCAACCCAATTTAGTATCCAGAATACTACAAAGGTACCCTTTCCATAAGCTGTAGCGTGATTCTCAACCATTGTTATACTCTTATGTCCTGATGAGAAGGGAATTTGGAATGCGAGAGAGATTAAAGAATAGAAGAGTGAGAGGAAGAAATAAGCGACTATATTTGCTAACCAGCGCCAAATAATCAATTGAGAGAAATGCATAGGAGGATGTCCTTCAGGTGTGATATACTTTGTATGAACAGGAAGATAAAATGAGAATGAGAAGAAGGAGATTATTATTAAATAAATGAGACCAATGCTGACAGCTAATGTAGCGACAGGTGGTGCAAAGGGCCTTGGATTAAATGTTGAAAAGCCAATAGCAGGTGAGATTGCTTGAGGATTATTTCGTATATTCGTCAGTATGGAAGTATCTGTTACGGCCTGTTCAAGAATTTGTGAAGTCCATTGTTGACCAAACATGCTAGTGACAGTTGATTGGAATTGAAGTAGTTGTGGTGTGATGTAGTTGGAGTGAGTGGTTTCATCTCTAGCTTCTACATAGATTATTTGTGCGATGACGAGGGGATCAAAGGTAGTATTTCCGTTCTGGACTGCATCTTGAAGAAGTGCCGTTGCATTTGCGTTGATTATTACTGCCTAATAGTGTGTTAGTATGAAGGAGTGTTTTCATGAGCTCTGTATAGAAATATGTCGAATGCTCAATAGAGTCAAAATTGCTCATGATCAATAGTACACATCGTAGTCTGGTTGCGATTCAAGCTTTGCATAGTAAGTTCTTTAACTATTCCAACAAAACTCTGTCCCAGAAAAATCAATGATCGAGTGGTTCAGAGTTCAACATCATGTGAACGTTTAACTCATATAAACGTCCAAATCTTCTTCACCTCAAAAGTCTCCTATCATCAAACCACAATCAAACGATCTACAAATCCACTCCCATTGCATCGAAATCTACTACCCATACTACTAATGAGGAGAGGTTTTGCTCTACGTGAAAGATGGCACCCCAGTAAATGGAGAGGCTGGCAAGGATGGCAGCGGAGAGGATGATGGCTGGATGGTGTTAGTGAGAGGGATATGGGATGAAAACAAAAGGCCGAAGATGTGAAGATAGAGAGGGGGAGATGGAGAATGAGAACGCAGAAAATGGAGAGACAGAAAACATAGATCCACAATGCAGTAGATCCAATAATCCAAACAGCAATGTAATATCAATCTCTCAATCTCTTAACATCAAAGCCATTTCAATAATCAACCATCCAACATCAAAGCCCTCCCAGCATTAAACCCCAACCCAAAAGAATCCATCACCCTACTACAATTCCCACCGCATAAAACCAAAACTCCAAAGTCCAAACCAGAAAAGAAACTTACCTTACTAGTAAAAATCCACTTTCTAACCACAAACCCCCTCACACCATGTAATTCCCTATGTCAAAAACCCACTGGTCGAGTATCCTGTTCCTGTTCCTGTTTCTCTTCTCCTTTCCCATTACCCTCCTTATAGCTATTACTCGACATTTTATACTGATTATTCAAAGGGTTAACGGTGGACGGGTGGATGGTTAATACTACTACGGAAGGAAGAGAGGAAGAGAGGAAGAGAGGAATGCGTAGTTCCGTTTAGGTTAGATTAGGTGTGGTTAGATTAGTTGGGTGAATAATGGGATGGAATGGATGAAAATGAATCGAATTAAATGATTTGATAGAATAGAAAGAAAAGAGTAGGAAAACAAAAGGATGGATGGATGGATGGATGAATGAATGGATGGATGGATGAATGGATGGATGGATGAACACATAATGCAGAATCCAATCTAGAATAAAAATACAGATACAAATTCAAAATCTAAAAGATATCTACCGAGTAGTCTCTAGCTAGGTAGTATCTAAAATGTACAGCACAATACAATACAATATATTCTCTAGTCTCTAGTCTCTAGTCTCTAGTCTCTAGTCTCTAGTCTCTAGTCTCTAGTCTCTAGTCTCTAGTCTCTAATATCCAACAAGTCCCTAATCATCAATAAGATCAAGATCGACCATTCATTTCATTTCATTCATTCATTCATTCATTCTTGGCAATAACTTCCATATCATATCATCATCATCACAACCCATCTTCCCATCTACCTAGCACACCTATCCACCTACCTACCCATCTATCCCCCTACATCCCGAAATACCACAAGCACAAAATCCAAAAATCCCAATAATCTTAAAATCTCACCAAAGTAAAGATCCACAATGTCACCACTAGTATCAAGAATATACCGGTGATATACTATGCTTACTTGTACTCCAGAAATCCTATTCCCAATCAAGAATCAAAGAAGCAAAGGACGTGCGATTGCTTTTTGTCCTTTGTCCTTTACCTTTATCCTTTACCTTTATCCTTTATCCATTGTCTTTTGTCAGTTCTCGGTTGGAGTTAACATTTCAACTTCTATACCTAGATATATACGAATATCAACATCAAGATTCATTTCACATTTCTTTGCAGGGTATTGCCATCATGCCATCATTGCATTTCATTTTGCATGTGCTGTCATGTCATAGTATTTTCTATCCGCCTGAGCTCTCCATCTTGTAAAAAAGTCAACATATTGTCATATCCCCATGCTCTCCTAAAACAATGTAATGCTCATCACCAACCATAGCCATTCTTCTTCCTAAATCATAATAATGATACTTTTTTTTTGATAATCCGCCATCCACTGAAAACGCTCCCATTCATAAGTGCTGTCCCATAGAGACCGCTTAATGCTATACTCTCGTAATCGTCACCTAACAAAAATGTGGAAAGCAAAATTTAATATGCCACTATAATCAATACCAACAAACCCTTTCATTGGTTTCGACCATCAGATATCGTAGTAGAGAAAAAAGAAAATTCAATATGGTTTAAAATATGAAAAGATATTGGTCTCCATCATTCATGCAAGTAACTCAACATCAAGTCCGATAGACCGCATGAAGAGGTTTACATTTGCAAGTCGTTGACTAGACATGGCAGGAGGTAATGTTTTTGCGAGTCCAACCGTTTCCATCACACGATCCTTAACAGCCATGACTAGTCGTTGTTGTTGCTCGGGGCTAGCACCAATACCGATGGCTGCAAGGAATTGCCAAACGTACACATCTTCACCAGTGTTGACCGTACCAGGGAAGATTTCTGGAAGTGTGGGCTCAAGAGCATCAAAAAATGCATTGTGAGTGGACAACCTAAAGAATGAATGTTAGAATTATACCAAAAGCAGGGTAGGATGTGCTCACCAGTCATTCCATCCACGTTCATCAACATCACCGGCTTGTTTGGTAATCTCAGCCCGACTGAGAATCATGGTCAATAGACTGAGACCGATTCTGGTACGAGCAATCAAATCGATGTTAAGATTAAGAATAAGTCCCAAAACTCCAGTAGTAATTTGGAAGTCAGCATCGTGAAGAAATCCAAATAGGCTTGACATGACTGTCACCTGGAAGAGATCGATGTTTTCTCGAGTTTCAGCACTGAGCTGAATTCCGTCAGGGCCAGGTACAGCCAATCGAACGACATCGAGTTTATCCAGATGAAGAATGATCATGGTCAAAATGGTAGCACGTTGTTCATCAGAGATGTGCCTGAAAACTCGAGGAATTGCCTTTTTGCCCTTGTTAAAGGAAAGGAATGCGATGAAAGGGTGAACAGTCGTTGCGCCAATTGGTTCATGAATTCTCAAATTTCGCCATAATTGCTTGTTGAGAAATTGTTGTCGTTCGTCCCAATCCTGGTTCATACCAGCAATTTGTGGGTTGATCTCATCATGACCCAATGGTCTGGGCTTTGAGCGTTCGTGGTCCTCCAACTCCATTAGTGTATTATAAACATTCTCGATATCAGTCAAGGTAGTCTTTCTGTTGCTACCGCTAACATTTGCGAGGTTAGCCTTGCGAGGGTTGGGAGACTGTCCAGGTCTTGTTTCACTGCTATCGGTTCGCTTTATGTTCAACAAGGGCTTAGGAGTCTTTGCATTGCTGAATGAGATCTTTCCCAGACTTCCTTCAATTACCAATTGCTTGTTCTTTGGCTTATTTTTCGCTGCCTCAACCGCTCGCTGTACTTGTTGCTCCATACGTTGTACATGATTATCGCCACCACGAGCTTGTCTTCGCATGCCACCATGACGATTGCCGGTTTGAAACAGATATGTCTGCGCGAAGTTGCTCAAAGGTTGATGGGGATTTTGACGAGGTCCACCTCGAATTTGACTGTGAACTTGGTAATAGAAATCCTCGGAAAGAGAAGAATCTATACCATGTTCATTAGGGTTTCCAGTAGCGGTAACCAATTGCTGCAATTGGATGCGGGTAATGAAGTTCTTGTCTTGAGGTGTCATCAAACCGTTGTCTTTCGATAACAAGAAGATCTTGTGATTCCGCTTCGCTCTCTTGGCATCTTCTAGCAAGAATGCGGCTCTCTCTTCTTCAGATAAGTTTACCAATTGTTGTGGGTGAGTGATAACATGTCGGTTTCCGGAAGCATGTGGGTGATGGTGACCACGTTGCGCGCCTTGTGGTTGACCTGGGAATCGGTTCATGTTTTGCATATGTGCAGGTTGAGATGGAATAGAAGGAACATTGGCTTGGCTCGTTGGAACCTGGGGACGTTGTAAGATATGAATTGGTTGCTCAACAGGAAGCTGGCGTTGTTCCAATTGAGGTGCAGCGCTGACTTGAACCGGGAATTGCTGTTGATGTTGCTGCTGGGGAGCTTGTGGGTGAAAATTTTGGTATTGTTGAGGCGGAGGCTGTTGGTACTGTGGTTGAGATGGTGGCATTTGTTGCTGCTGGATAGGTGCTTGAGGCTGCGAGGGTTTTTTGGCTTGAGCTCTCATTGCTGCTTCCACTTCCTCTAAACTCATCATCTTTCGGCTCGGTGCTGATGTACCAGCAACGGGAGGAGTAGCAGTCTTAGGAGGAGCTTGTTTTGGTGCGACACCCCAAAGGTTCGCATCTACCTGCATATCGGGAACATATTCCGGCTCTTGGTAACGCTCATAGCCAGTCCTAGCAGGTCTTGACGTATGTTGTTGTGAGAAGGTAGATGTGGCTGGGGTTGTCCTAGATACTACTGGTTGTTGTCGGGTGTATCGCATTTGTTCCTCACTGATAGCACTGGAAACTTTTGCAGTTTGTCCAAAAAAGTCAAAGTCCTTTCCAACTGGCTTGCTTGCAATAGAGTCACCCGCGCCGGCACCAAAGGTATCATCGTTGAAATCATCACCGGTCTCTTCGAGTTGATCTCCTAAACCGTCATATGTATCCTCGAAATCGAATCTGCAAGATAGAAGCATTAGCCTTTTTCCTTCTATCGACGGAAGTACAAGAACGACTGAGAAATCATCTTACGCTTCATTATCATTTCCTGAGCCAGAAAGACTCGCAAATGGATCTGCATGTTGACCAAAACCTGGAGCAGCAGTATTATGACCCCTCTCCTGAGGCCGTTGACTGGGATCAAATCCAAAGAAAGACATGATTGAGGATGCAAATTCAAATCGACTTTGTGTCCATTAAGAAGCGGAAATCAAGGAGAATTTTGACGTGTAAAGTATGCGTGGTTGCAATTCCAAAGATGAAATTTGAAGCTTGAAGAAAAGATTAGATCAGTGAAGATAGTGCAAGTGCTCCCAATTTTTGATGGAACAAAATTGTTGATGAGTAAAAGAAGTTGAAGAATACAACAAGTACAAGAAGGAGAAGGTATTTTTTGGATTATTTTTTTTTTTTGGAGCTTTTTGATGTGTTGGTGGGATGAGTTGCGGGTGACGAGAGGAAAGGTGGAGGAGATCGAGCTTCAAAATTTAATCAAGTGTGGTTGGCTGGTGGGTAAGGAAGGACACAGACACAGACACAGACACAGACACAGACACAGACACAGACGCGACCCTGACCTGCGATTCCTGCGATCTAGGCGTGAATGATTAATTCTACCTACCACCGAGTACTGGAACCTTACACGATAGTTGGAGAGTTTCTTATCTCAGGAGGACAGTGCTACGTTAACAAGTCGAGATGTTGCAGCAGCTTCCCATAGTAAATAGGAGATATATGGGAGATATATACCAGGTATCGAGGTAGGTAGCAACAATATATTCTATCCGTGTCCACCTAAAGCAGTAAAGAGTGAATTGGCTTTGATATGGTGGGGTAGTCCTCCAGTTGAAAGAATAGAAAATGGATGCCTTGCCTCTGTTCCAGCCTTACGATCCTGCTTACCTAACGCCAGGATCTATTCTATCAAATCTTTGAAGAGAAAGCCGTCAACCTTCAAGCGCAGGAAGCAGTAGAGGTTGGAAGCGTAGCCTCACAAGAATGCACGCTTCCTAGCTAGTTGATTACCTAGTTAATCTCAATGATCAAAGAATGACGCTCCGCTGGCCGTCCGGGGGCCACTGCCGTGGTGGCAGAATAAATAACCTTGAAGATGCTCGTATACATTCAAAATACGTCTATTTGATGGTATCCGATCTGTATTTGAACTGCCGACCTCCAACTGTTGGTTATAGATAGCATTTAACCGCGAATAATATGGCTCGTATTATCTATTGATTAGATAATGGATTTCGGGGTAGTTGTACCTTTTGAGTCTTGACACTTTAATATATTCCTAATATCCATATATGAGCTTGTAGCGCAGAAAGGCCAGTTGGACTTCAATATATCTCTATATACTATTTGAGGGGTATCAGCAAACAATCATTCATGTTTTCCCATATCAATTGCCCAGGTAAGAACGATTGAACGAACTTCTTCCATCCAGTTGTGCAGTTTTATGGTTATACCAATATCGTATTCTATTATTATGATTAGACGTTGAAAACTATCCCTGGGCAGTGTTTGATAGGTAACGGTGCTCATGTTTCCGCTGCTCTGTATTATATCATCTACCTACCTACCTAGCCAGTACCTACCTACCTAGCCAGTACCTACCTTCATGATAGATGCACAGATGCAATTTAATATTATTAACTTTTGCCACCTTCTCTCAAGGGCTTGGTCGTCTCACTCGTCACCCGTCAGTCGTCAGTCGTCTCGTCTCGTATTACTCTCTGTGAAAACTTTATCTGGGGCGGCAGCTAAAGGTGCCTATCTATCGAATCCACGCCTGCGGAATCTTTTATTATTATTTTTATTATCAAAGAAAGGGAAATCCTCCCTTGCGTAAGATTCCCCAAATTATACAAGGATTCTTGGGGCTAGATACTTTTTTTGGTCTCCTACCTACCTACGCTGCGTACACCCAGTCAGTACAGGAGAGAGATTTGACCTCCTTTATTCATATTTTAAACGTAAATCAATTTCCTCTTCCTCTTTCTTTCCCATCTTCAAATTCTTTCTTCTGTGTGTGTTTAATAATATCACACATCTTTTCTTTTCGGATCGCTCGTTTTTCCCCTTCATCCTCTTCTTCAGTCTCTCTTCATTTTGTTGGAGGGCTTATTGAAGGCAATTTGCATTCGGGGCACTTACTCGTTCCATGCCAAAAGAGAAACCGTTCTGGGGTTGGTAATTGCTAAGAGTCCGTTCGTGTCCAATTGGTTAGTGAAATAACTGTTGGATTTATGAAAGAGGCACATCAGGAGGTTCAGAATTTCGACACAATACAGTTATATAATCATGGCTACAGGAACAGCTAGATATTTGAGATATATTCTCTTTGCATTCTTTGTAAGTATTTTGACCATTAATTTCGATGACAGCAATTACCTAGATCCACCTATTGACATTTCTCTTTATAGGGTCTCGCCATCGTGTACTTTATATCATCTTCATCAGACCAAAGGTTACAAACTGCGCAGCAAGTCTTCACAGACAAGACTGGCATCCCTATCAAAGCAGGCACTTCAACATCGGGTCATTCTGCTGATGATTCGAAGACTTCCGATGCTAAAACTTCCCCAAACACTCATGATCTTCCACCTGCGACCGTCCCTGGAGAACGCATGAATGCGACATTTGTTACTTTGGCACGAAACGCGGATATTTGGGAAATCGCACGATCCATTCGTCAAGTAGAGGATAGATTCAACAAAAAGTTCAATTACGACTGGGTTTTCCTAAATGACAAGCCATTCGATTCTACATTCAAGAAGGTTACCACATCCCTTGTTTCCGGAAAGACACACTATGGAGAGATTCCAGAGAAACATTGGTCATTCCCCGATCACATTGATACCGAAAAGGCTAAGAAGGTCCGTGAGGATATGGCACAAAAGAAGATCATCTATGGTGATTCGGTCAGCTACCGCCACATGTGTCGCTTCGAATCTGGTTTCTTCTTCCAACAAGAATTGATGTTGAACTACGAATGGTACTGGAGAGTCGAGCCATCCATTGAGCTTTTCTGTGATATTAATTACGACGCATTCAAATTTATGGCCGACAACAAGAAAAAGTACAGTTTCGTATTGAGTCTTTACGAATATGTTGAAACTATCCCAACTTTGTGGGACAGTGTCAAAAAGTTCATCAAGGCCCACCCAGAGCACATCGCCGAAGGCAACTCAATGGGTTTCCTTAGTGATGATGGTGGTGAAACCTATAACCACTGCCACATGGTAGGTTTTCGTCATACACAATGAATCGCGCGGATTTTATACTAACACAATGTTACAGTGGTCTAACTTCGAGATTGGCAACCTCAATTGGCTCCGATCAAAGGCATACACGGACTACTTTGAGCAACTCGACCAAGATGGAGGTTTCTTCTACGAACGTTGGGGTGATGCACCGGTTCACTCCATTGCTGCAGGCCTTCTCTTGAAGAAAGAAGAAATCCATTTCTTCAACGATATTGCTTATTATCATGTCCCCTTTACCCATTGCCCTACTGGGGAGCAAACGAGACTTGATTTGAAGTGTCACTGCAATCCAAAGGATAACTTTGATTGGAAAGGATACTCATGTAAGCTTTACTCCTCCCTAAAAATTGACATTGTACTAATAAGAACAGGTACGTCACGATTCTTTGATATCAATAAGATGGAAAAGCCAGAGGGCTATGAAAGTCAACAAGACTAAAGACGTAGTCTAAATATGTTTTCGTATTCATATGGGAATGCATTTTCTAGGGAGCAGCATTGATGAATCGGGGAGTGAGGATTTGAGGACAAAGTGAGGATTTGAGGACATTCACTATCTGGCATGATAGGGATAGGCGGACATGGGCGTTTGCATGGGGTAAAAATCCAATTGACAAGCTGTATATGTTAAAATGGTCCGGCTTGGGATCTGGCTTGGGAAGTAATGCCTCTTGTTTTTTCATCGGGAGGTAGAAAATTTTTGAGATAGATTTATACAATAAAGCAATATCTGCCTATTGGGGAAAAGAATAGATCCTTTTTTTGCAATACGTTTGAACCGTTGTAAGGTTCTCAACCCAAAGTCAACCTCGCTTCCATCATCAATTAAATCTTTGATAGGTGTTTGAGCCACATCACGTGAATCCTTCAGCCACACGTACTCCAAGTCTTGGCAATATCGAAAGCTTTCTCTCCCCTCACCATCTTGTCGTCGACGAAACACAATTGATTCAACGGTCACCGCGCTCACTTGTCACAATGGCCACCTCAATATTACAACGACTCTTAATGCCGTCAATACGGTCGACGCCTTCAGTCTCTGCCTCTCGTCCCACCACACAATCCATCACAAACCAACTCAAATCAATCACAGTTTCCTCGTCGCGGACGTTCTCCTGCTCGCCATCCCATGCCGCAACATACAATCAAGTCCGCCGCGGCTGCCGTACTGCACAAGCTATGCGTAAAGCCGTCTCTCCTGCTCTATCAACAGTTCAGGCCCCAGCGCTCAAAGGTGTAGCACTGAAAGTCGGAATAACAAAACCAAAGAAACCTAATTCGGCGGAGCGAAAAACCGCCAGAGTTAGATTGAGTACGGGGAGAGTGGTTACGTGTTATATTCCGGGCGAGGGACATAATGTGCAACAGCATAGTGTGGTATTGGTCAGAGGAGGAAGGAGTCAAGATTGTCCGGGTGTGAGATATCATCTGGTTAGAGGGGCGGGAGATTTGGTGAGTAGATTTCTGTTTACTTGTGGAGTTATGAAGGGGTGAGCTGGGATATTGTGTATCTAAGAGATGGATTGGCATGGGAAGCATGGCGGAATGGATTATGATGTTTATGAGGATTCATGCTAATACATTTGCAATCACAGGGAGGAGTAGGAAATAGGGCAACATCACGATCGAAGTACGGAACCAAAAAACCAAAGAAGGCGGCTGCATAAGAGTTGAAGTAAAATAGGGTCAGTCGGAGGTAGAAGTCGCATTATAGAGGAATATTTGCGTACGCGAGATTAGGGATACCAGCGATAACACATCCAGCGAAAGAAAGACCATGGCCACTGGAATAGACCGAGGCAATGAGAATCAACCTTCTGGTGACATGTACAGGAACTACGGGCTCCGTGATTAGACAATAACGGGGGTCGATTGTACAATACATAAAAATTCAAAAGAGCCATGCATAAAACTGGATTAGATCAAAGTGCTCACAGGAACACGCAGGTAACATCCTGCAATGGTCTGCAGCCAAATATTGAACAATGTCTTCAAATGAGCCAGAATACCGGTCAAGTTTACAGTTACTTTGTGGGCTTAGAGTGTCAATACATATCCACGGTACTGATGTCCGGCTGTCCAACACCAGCACCACATCACTCATATGCAGAAAAATGCTCTGTTGGCAGAATATATAAGAAGCGCCAACGTTGGCACCTCATTTTCCCCGCAATCAAGCTCAAGGAACATTTTCGGTCCGGACAAACTTATCTTCTCTTTTTCTTTAGTATCCCATGCAAGAAGGTGAGGCTATACCACAAGCGTATTCATGTGCTTCGATCCAAATAATCCGGTTGGTGCGCAAAATCTCAAGCTATTTCTCCACAAAACCAACGGATTTTTACAAATTCCTGGCGTCATTTTACTCTGTGTCATTTTCATCAAAACTTTCCAAGGCAGCTCGGTTCGGGACAATATTCTTGCCTTTAGCCAAATGAAGTGCTCCGACATAATGGGGGATGTGGTTGGCTGTGCAGGTGGAGTTGACGATCGTTACCCCGCATGCTGGGGTCCGGAGTTGAAGATTTTAATGTGCCTGTGCCTGGCGGTACTTGGCATATATGATGTTGTCTAGGTGAATTTTATCGTCAGATGCAACGGTGTGTACTTGCATGGGTATTGGAACTCTGTTACTCGTATTTGGGGAAATTTCTGCAGATGAGTGAGGGGGCAAGACCGTCAGAGTGGGTAAAGTAGTTGGTGGCTATGGGTACTATATAAAGGTTACCTCGGTGCACTTCAGTCGTGTTCGTGTCAAGGTGACTTATCTTCCATTGCGTGTGTCTGATTGAAACTCTGCAGTTGCAGTCGAGACATTGCAATCATGAGGTTCTTACATGCTTTCACGACAGTTGCTTGTGCGGCTCAAGCTGCAGCATTGTCGATTAATATTGGTGGTGAGAAAATGGTCGTGGAGAGAGATGCTGGGCTTCAAGATGTTGTAAGTTTTTGCTCCTCTTTTAGATCGGCCAATGAACCAATTGATGGTCAATTGAGCTCTAGAATGAACATTACTAAAACTACTCCAACAGGTCACATATGATGAACACTCTCTCAAAGTATACGGAGAACGTATATTCATCTTCTCGGGAGAGTTTCATCCATATCGACTTCCAGTACCTGACCTATGGCTCGATATTTTCCAAAAAGTGAAAGCGCTTGGATTCAATACTGTTTCCTTTTATGTCCATTGGGCATTACTCGAAGGAAATCCAGGACACTACACTGCAGATGGAGTGTTCGCCTTTGAACCTTTCTTTGCCGCGGCAAAGGAAGCGGGTATATATCTTATTGCTCGCCCAGGTCCCGTAAGTTCATACTCTCTCGATCTTCTGTCTCTTATCTCTTGCTAATATATGCAAATGTAGTACATCAACGCCGAATCTTCCGGTGGTGGTTTCCCAGGTTGGCTTCAACGCGTAAGTGGCGTTCTACGTTCTCGAGCACCAGACTATCTCGCAGCGACCGACAACTATGTAGCAAACATCGGTAGTCTAATCGCCAAATATGAAATCACAAAAGGGGGACCAGTTATTCTATACCAGCCTGAAAACGAATACTCGGGATATTCCGGATATGTTCCAGGTGGATTTCCAGATCCAGTTTACTTCGCCTATGTGAAGAAACAGGCGAGAGATGCGGGCGTTACAGTCCCATTTATTAGTAATGATGCTTGTAAGTTTCCTTTTCAAGTTTATGAGTCTTAAAATACAAGTGCGGGAAGGATGAACATCGTGATCTTGGTAATGAGCGACGAGCTAATGAGAAATAGATGCAGGAGGACATTTCGCACCAGGTTATGAGGTCAATGGATCAACAGCTGGTGATGTTGACATCTACGGACATGACTCTTATCCATTAGGGTTTGATTGCGCACATCCAACTGTCTGGCCTACTGGAGATCTACCAACGTCTTTCGCCGCAACCCATGAGAAACAAAGTCCAAGTACTTTCTACTCTATAAATGAATTCCAAGGTGGTGCATTTGATCCTTGGGGTGGTCTCGTGAGTTCCAAACCATGACGGTATCATGTCTTCTTGGAAATTATTGTCGCTAAACTTTTATAGGGATTTGATGCGTGTGCTCAGCTCTTGAATGAACAATTTCAGCGAGTCTTCTATAAGAATGATTTTGCTTCGGGTGTTGCTCTTTTGAGCTTATATATGATCTGTGAGTCTTGGATCTCATGCAAACAAATATCCGAATGCTGACAATCTTGTAGACGGTGGAACAAATTGGGGCAATCTTGGCCATTCTGGTAAGCAACAGAATCACCTTCATCACTAGCTATTGCTTACAATCTATCTCAGGTGGTTACACTTCCTATGATTATGGCTCTGCTATCACCGAAAATCGTGAAGTATCCCGTGAGAAGTACAGTGAGCTAAAGCTACAGGCAAACTTCCTGAAAGTCAGCTCGGCATACCTCACCATCTCCGTTCAACGAGCTGCCAATGGTACATATACCACAAGTAATTCCATTACCACAACTCCACTTCTTGGAAATGGAACTGTTACAAACTTTTACATTGTTCGCCATACAAACTATCAAACTTTAGCTTCGGCGACTTATAAATTGACTGTCAATACAAGTCAAGGGGCATTAACTATTCCACAGTTGAATGGAAGTCTTACTCTCAGCGGTAGAGATTCAAAATGGCATGTAACGGACTATGACATCGGAGGAACAACACTCCTATACTCTACAGCAGAAATCTTCACCTGGAAGAAATTTGATGACAAGACTGTTTTGGTCGTTTATGGTGGATCAGGAGAATTGCATGAATTGGCTGTGGTTACAAAAAGCTCCGCGAAAATTGTTGAGGGTTCAGGTGTCACAACTAAGAGTACTAATGGCTCGACGATTCTTAACTGGCAAACATCTACCACACGTAGAGTGGTTAAGGTTGGCAATGTGTTTATCTACATTTTGGATCGAAATAGTGCATACAACTATTGGGTACCAGACTTCGTTAGAACAGATAAATGGGGTGCATTGTAAGTATTTCACCCTATTCCTGATTCCGAAATCCGCTCACATGAGAATCAGCGCGTCAAGTATCGAAAACACAGCTTCCGTCATCGTAGAAGCAGGTTATCTCGTCCGAACCGTTTCGACCCAAGGCTCTGACCTCCACATCAACGGTGATCTTAACGCCACCGCCCCATTCAAAGTCATCGGCGCACCTAAAGGAACCAAAAATCTTTACTTCAACTCCCAAAAAGTCTCATACAAAACTGATTCGACTACCGGCGAACTCTCTTCAACGCTCACCTATACAGCCCCAAAAATTTCTCTTCCAAACCTCTCAACCCTCGGCTGGAAATACCTCGACAATCTCCCTGAAATCAAATCTACCTATGACGACTCAGCCTGGACTCTTGCCAACAAGAATTCAACAACCAACCTGTACCTCAATCCCCTTCTCACTCCCACCGTCCTCAACGGTCCAGACTACGGATACAGCACTGGTGTCTTAATTTTCCGCGGCCATTTCGTCGCATCCGGCAATGAATCATCCATCTATCTTTCCACCCAAGGTGGAGCCGCGTTCGGCTCCTCTGTCTGGCTCAACTCCACTTACATTGGATCCTGGACTGGAGCCGACTATGCTGAATCAAATAATGCCACTTACACGCTTCCTAATCTAAAAGCTGGTGCTAAATATGTATTCACTGTAGTGATTGACAACAATGGTTTAGATGAAAACTGGACTGTGGGAGCTGAGGGAATGAAACAGCCTAGAGGAATCCTCAACTACGTCTTAGCAGGCAGAACAAAGGATGCCATTACATGGAAATTCACGGGAAACTTGGGAGGAGAACAATACATTGATCAAGTGCGCGGTCCTCTCAATGAGGGCGGTCTTTATGCTGAAAGACAAGGCTTCACACAACCTAGTCCTCCTTCTTCATCGTGGAGTTCAGGATCTCCTGTTACGGGACTAAAGAATGCCGGAGTGGGATTCTTTACGAGTACCTTCAATTTGGATTTACCAAAGGGGTATGATGTACCGCTGAGTTTCAACTTTGGAAACAGTACATCGACGAATGGTACGAGCGAGTACAGAGCGCAGCTCTGGGTTAATGGCTGGCAGTTTGGAAAATACATTAATAATGTGGGACCACAGAAGAGTTTCCCCGTACCACAAGGTTTGTTTTCCCTTCTCTTTTCTCTTTCTTCTTTTACACATCACCCCTCCTTCCTTTCCTCCTTATCCCAAACCTCCAAACCTCCAAACACCCAACTAACACACCTCCCCCTCGCAGGAATCCTAAACTACAATGGCAAAAACACCCTAGGCATTGAACTATGGGCTCAACAATCTTCAGGCGCTGCCTTGACAGATTTCACTTTAACTGCTGGAACACCCGTACTCACGGGTTTGAAAGCCCCTGCTTTGGTGAAGAGTCCTAGTTGGAGTAAGAGGGCGGGTGCTTATTGATTTATTTATTGATAAATGGAAATGCCATTGAGAAAATATGGTAAGTGGGTGGGTATGGTTATGAATGATGATTTTGCATGATTTAGATTATTCGGTGGTGTGATTACTGAAGAGGGGGGTGGGGGGGAATTTTTGTATATATATACATCAGAATTACGAATATAAATTTTAAGAAGTTATTAAATTTATTGCGTGTTTGATCTATTTGCTTGAGCTTGGTGTATAATTCATCTTTTCTGTGCATACCATGAAATAAGGAATGAGACACGGGATACGAGATGCAGGAATGGAGGTCTACGTAAAATTTATCAATATTGGATTTCTGGCTCTTACGCTAATATGCTATATCTGTATATCCATTTGCGTGATATCTTGCTAGTACGTACAGTACACTAACAAATCCCATGTCATCATTATGTACCAAAAAAATCTACAAGGTAAATAGATCTGAATAATTTGTACAAATTTTCTTCATATTCCTGCCAGGTTTCCGAGTCGGAGGTCTATGAACGACGTATTATAAATGTGAAAATGGCTCCTGCTAGTACTGCTCCTCCAGCTGCACCTTCTAATGCTATGATTGTGATGTCTTTTTTGGTTATCGAAACTTGTCTTGTACTCCATAGGTCTATTGCCGCAGCTTTCCCGGCTTCCATTTTTTCTTTCCAGGATTCTATATTTCGATAGTCGAATGGAGGCCTTGAGTATGGAATATTCAGTTCTGCTGTATCCATTGCTGTCGCTGCTTCGCCAATTTCTTGGGCTGGTTCGTTATTTGTTTCGTGATGGGGTATTCCGCCTTCAATTGCAGCTGCCACTGCTTCCACCGCTGGTTCACCCAAACCTTCCTCTAGGGCCTCCTCATGCAATTCCTGAACCTCAGCCGCAACAATCTCATCCAAGCTCACTTCTGAACCCTCTCCCCCACCAATCTCCGCACCTCGAATAGCCGTAGACATGGCTAAAGTCTTCTCCTGCTCTAGTGCCTCTCTAACTTTCTCCTCAAATCCTGCAACTAATCTTCTCCTTCTCCATGGCTCAAATCCAAATTGGAATACCAAAAATAACAAGACGTTCACTCCCATCAATCCCCATGTTCCCCATGTAGACATTCTCCGGATCTTGTCACTCCAAATTTGCTCCTCGTGATATCGTGATAATATACTACTACCCAACTCCCCTGCTGCTTTCTCAGCTTCGCGCTCCGCATCTGCGAGTCTTGTGGCTGCTTCCTGGACTGCTTGTTCATTGGTATGATCCATACGGTAAAGATGTGTAAACCGTTCGAGGTCGGCAGGAGTCCATGTATCTTTCCTTGCTAGTAAAGTTGTAACCTCACGCTGAGAAGAAGCACGATCTGCGACGGTAGTTTTATAATGTAAACGAGTACTTCGAACTAACTCCTTAGAACTGGCAACTTGAGCCTCGAGATTGGTGATTTTGTTCTTGAGGGCTTCAATGCCAGAGTAGCCTGTAAGATCGTTGATGCGTTGAGAAGCTATGAATATATTGCCTTGCATATGGTCCATTAGATGGGATAATTTCTTCGTTATGGCAAGTTGTCGGCTTTCGAGGGCAGAAGGAAGCTCTCCATCCCTCTCAAGTTGCGGAGAGGGCGAGTCATCTTGTTTGCTGTACACTGGGGTAGAAGCCGGCTTCTCTTCTTCGGGTTGAGGTTTAGGTTCTTCTGGAGGTGTAACCTTAGGTCGAAGATGAGGAGGTGGTTCTATTATAGGTCTTTGATCATCTGCGAAGTGTCGCCGCAGACTGGGGGAATAGATTCTACATTGTAGACAGATTGATGATTTGAACGAAGGTCGTGGAGAGATTCTTAAACTTCTCGATATTGAGGCTGAACCTGAATCGATTGCAAACCGAGGGACAAGCCTTGTCAATGGTTGCATGGCAATTGACAATTGTCTTCCTCTTTCTGAGGAATTGTGTCGAGCAGAGGACTTTTCTCTTTTCCTGACATCGATTGGGAGAGAATGAGATAATGAGAGAATATTCGGATGTTGAGCCCAGTGGAGCTCTGACCATTGGGTGTTGTGGGCTTGTGGGCTTTGATAACTCTGTAAATTATAAGGTTCTTCAGTGTATTCCTCACCGCTGTTATGATGCTGGTGAAGGATAATGGAGGGCCACAGAGGGTCACAGAGGGTCACAGAGGGGCATCATTCGGGGTAATGATGCTGCAGAGTGCAGCAAATAAAACTATTTAACCCCACCATGATGATCTTACTTCTTGCTTGAATAACCTCAAATAAATAATAAATCCAATACATTTATTTACCTACGATACCATACGATACCATACTCCAGTACTGTACATGCTTTGTATAGAATAGAACAGAACATATTTATATCTTCATTTCTAGATTCATAGACTTCTAGTTACCTTCTTCCAATCCATGTGAGTTCGAAACATTCACCAAAAACGAAATAATGGCTCCTTCTCTTATATCTATCTCATCTCAACTTCCAACCTTTCGTCCCGTCTGCCAACTACCAACAGCACGCACTACCGCCTTCTTATTCACATCTCCAAGACAAGTCAGCCTCAGTCGCTAACAACATCACCCAGTCTTCATTGCACCTCCAAATTGGTTCAAGATGGGATCAACTACTCTCCCCGCTATGCAAACCTCTCCTAAATACATCTTCTTCACCGATTTCGATGGCACAATCACAACCCGCGATTCCAATGATTTCATGACCGATAATCTTGGATTCGGTCAAGAACGTCGCAAACAAGGGAACAAAGATGTTCTTGACGGCACAAAGACCTTTCGTGATTCTTTCCAAACAATGATGGATAGTATCAAAACTCCATATAGCAAGTGTATACAAACTCTTATTGAGAACATCAAGTTGGATCCCGGTTTCAAGGAGTTCTTCGAATGGGCGAGGGTGAACAACATGCCAGTTGTTATTCTAAGTGGTGGAATGGAACCTATCATTAGAGCATTGTTGGAGCATTTGTTGGGAAAGAAAGAAGCTGCAGAAATTCAGATTGTCAGTAATCAAGTTGAGGTTAGGAAAGGATTCAAGAGTCTCGATGAGGAGGGAGGTTGGAATATCGTGTACCATGATGAAAGGTACAGTTTTAAATTGGAAAAACGATATGGGAACAAAAGCTAACAAACCTAATAGTCATTTCGGACATGATAAATCTAGAGAGATTAGACCATACGCCGCACTTCCAGATGATCAGAGACCGACTATGTTCTATGCTGGAGATGGAGTATCAGATCTCTCTGCCGCAAAGGAGACGGATCTTTTGTTCGCCAAGAAGGGTCATGATCTGATCACATATTGTGTTAGAGAGAAGGTTCCATTCACAATCTTTGAGGATTGGACTTCTATTCTGTCAACAGTTAAGGATGTTGTTGCTGGAAAAACAACTGTTAAGGAAGTCTACGCTGCGGGCATCAAGGACTTCGAACAGGGAGAAAATTAAACATAGACTATATTGGGCTTAGATTTCTGTCCATAGAACATAGAGTGTTCATAGAGCTATAGACATGCACATAGATACACAATTGAATAGTCTCCTTGGCACTTTATAACTTCCCTGGTGTATCCATTGATCTGGATTTAGAGTCTGACTTGAGATGGCAGAAGAATGATCTATAATAGTTGTCATTTATTTTTCGACTCAAACTTTCCTAACTTTCTATTTTCTAGGTCTGTAAATCATTTTCACAATCTCCTGCTTCTCATAATCGCCCTCAACAACTACATCAACCCTTCCCAACTCCTCAAATCCTGTAGCAAGATAGGTCGGTTCCCCCATTGGACTCGCTACTAAAACAAGAGGTGCATTATCACGTTCTGCTCTCTCAATACCCCATTTCAAAAGTTGAGTAGCATAGCCTCGACGGCGAAAATCCGGATGAGTGCATATCAAGCTAAGATACATCTCATTACCTTCAAACATGGCGGTAAAATCCTTTCGTGCATCACTCATAACTTTCAAAAAAGCTGCGTCATAAATGGGGTCTGTGTCTTTTCGAGTTTTTACCCCAGCTGCCTCCATTGCTTCGTACGCTTGACGGGATTAACTTATAGTTCTTGGGCTTGAAAGGGGAAGAGACCTACGTGCTAGGGACGTATAAGTTTCCCCCTTGGCTGCATATACACGCTTATTCTCATACGAGATATCCCATATAGAAAAAGCAGCTACGTTCCAGCTAGAACCCTCTTCCACCTCCACAATCAGAGTCGCGTAGTCGGCAAAAGATCCAGATACCAAAAGCTCAATGTAGAGTCGAGCATATTTGAGTAGATCTTCGGGATATCTCTCTCGATGCGCAAATCGATATCGCCACATGGCGTCGGAGCTTAGGGACGTGATCATGCCTGTTGTTATGGTATCGATGTCTTTGGGTTCTGCGTCACGAATGCGTGACTTCGCGGTGCTTTTGGAGGAGATTGCCATTGCTACGACAAAGGGTTTTGCAATCTCGCCAGTGTGGAAGGGGAAGAGTAGCTAAATGAGACTTTTGGAGTCTTGGAGACTGAGTTGATCGATCTAGATGTATGATATCCTGAGAGTAGTTATCTAACATGTCAACATATATATAGGAATTAGGTGACTCATCCGGCGTTAGTTCAACATTCATTTTACATATATGCATTTGTTCATCCCACTTCTGGTAGGTAAATTAGGCATAACAAAGGAACTCGGGTCATAGCAATCCATATCTCAGAACCCAAACAGAGTGATGGAAATAGTCAACGGCGGCGATAACCTCATTGGCTCAAATCACCAGCAGTCATTCATTGCTTTGATCTGGAATCTTTGTCGGATTTTGTGAGCTAGAGGAAGAAAACATCCTTAAGAGTTTGGCTCGGTGTCGGCCAAAACGCAATGCGGTTCATGCGTCTCGAAACAACATGCTCATGGTGTTGAATCCAGAGAGAGACTTTGAATGCAAAGGAAGGGACATTGGACAGTGAACATGTTGGGATTCCTTTCCTCCCTTTTGACAGCACAATTTTCGAGGTCTGAGCGGAAACATAATTGTCTCCAACTGCAGAATCAATGATACATTTACACAGAAGAATATGATCCGTCTGCTTAATGTACGATGACATGATCACCAGACGTGATTCTAAGTCGTAGCACGCAGCTACTTGTTCGTTCATCAATGGCTGAAAAGGATAACTTTGGAAAGGAAGGTTTGCCGATGTTGTGGTGTTGTATTGTGCGGGGTAGCTCACTCCTCAACATTTCAACTATTGGCTTATCCAGCCAGGAAACGACTGTATTCGTGATCATTTTTGTACCATTAGATCATCAGACACTCCATCCTTTCCACCTTGGAGCTCAATTACATCCGTAGGAAGGTCTTCCGGGTATTCACCGGTGACCACAATTGCTGTGTCAAGCATATAAATATACATCACCTCGTAACTTTTGATATACATAGACGCATCCCGCTCTACATGTTCATCTAGTTTATGCTCAAATCAACACATCAAAATGGGAAGCATTGAAGTGGAAGATCCTCTACCATCCTCTCAACGGGTTGAACCTGGCTCATTCCAATTACGACTCGCCAACCTCCCTGAATCCAAAGTCGACAAGTCTCTTGATGTGACAAAAGTTTCTTCAGACTTCGTTGATCGTTTTAATAAAAATATTGCCTCCGCTGATATTACATTGCTTTCTACACTTTTCGTAGAAGAATCTTATTGGCGCGATCAATTATGTCTTTCCTGGGACTTCCACACTCTACATGGCCCCTCTAAAATCCTCGAGCTCTTCAACAAAACGAATGGCTCACGTTTGAAGTCGATTGCACTTGATTCAAGCTCAGAGCTTCGATCTCCAAAATTAATGACACTTGATGTTGATGAGAAAACAAACGTTGTGCAGGCTTTCATAACACTTGAGACGGATGTTGGAAAAGGAGCTGGTATTGTGAGATTAGCTCTTGATCAGGGAACGTGGAAGATTTTTACACTGTATACTTTCTTGGAAAATCTGAATGGTTATGAAGAGACTGTAGGGAAGAAGAGACCCTATGGGGTGCAATATGGAGAGAGGACGGAGAGGGAAAATTGGTTGGATAAGAGGAATATCGAGAAGGATTTTGGGAATAAAACTGAGCCAACTGTGTTAATTCTTGGTAAGTTTTTCAATCGAAGAGAATGGCATGATCTCTGTATCTATACTAACATTCCTCAGGTGCTGGTCAAGGAGGCTTGACAATAGCAGCAAGACTAAAGATGCTCGGTGTCCAGTCTCTCATGGTTGATAGAGAAGAACGAATAGGTGATAATTGGCGTACACGATATCATCAACTAGTCCTTCATGATTCTGTTTGGTTTGATCATCTTCCATATCTACCCTTTCCTGAAAGTTGGCCAGTTTTCACACCAAAAGACAAACTTGGTGATTGGTTTGAATCATATGTTAGTTTATTGGAACTCAATGCTTGGACTCAAACTACTATTACGGATACTTCGTGGAGTGATGAGAGTAAGCAGTGGACTGTTACCCTAGAGAGAGTGAAGAATGGGCAGAAGGAGAAAAGGATTATTCACCCGAAGGTATGTTGGTCTGCGACCCAATCAATAGCTACTGACGCTTTATAGCATATAATACAAGCAACTGGTGCAAGTGGAGAGCCAAATTTCCCATCTCACATCAAAGGGATTGACACCTTTAAAGGCCGAGTCATTCATTCATCCCAATTTCCTGGAGCAACAGAATCTCGAGGCCAAAACAAAAAAGCAATTGTGGTCGGCTGTTGTAATTCCGGTCATGACATTGCTCAAGATTTATACGAACATGGCTACGAAGTAACAATTGTCCAAAGGTCAACTACATGCGTTATTAGCTCGGAAACAAACGTCAACGCTCTAGGAAATCTTTATGGTGAAAATGGAATTCCGACTTTCGATGCCGACATGATATTCCATAGTACACCGAATCCAGTACTTAAGAAGCTGAACATAGAGGGTACAAAGCAAGTCAACAAAATCGACGAGGAACTACTCCAAGGCCTTGAAGCGGCAGGATTCAAACTCGATAAAGGACCAGATGAATCAGGTCTTTGGATTAAATATCTTCAACGCGGAGGTGGCTATTACATTGACGTAGGATGTTCTCAACTCATCATCGATGGAAAAATCAAAGTTAAACAAGGCCAGGAAATTACAAGTATTCGGGAAAATGGTATGGAATTCGCCGATGGATCAATACTCGAAGCGGATGAAATTGTATTCGCGACGGGATATCTAAATATGAGAACACAATGCAGGAAGATATTTGGAGATGAAGTAGCGAATAGGGTTAAAGATGTATGGGGATTCGACGAAGAAGGAGAGGTTAGAACGATTTGGAGAAAGAGCGGTCATGAAGGATTTTGGTTTGTGGGTGGGAATTTGGCTTTGTGTAGATGGCAGAGCAAGAGGTTAGCGTTATTGATTAAGGGATTGTTGGAGGGCATTACGAAGTATGATGATATTTGAATACCTTATATGCATTTGGCGATGGCATTTGAATACATAATTAATGGAATTTATAGCTTTAGTTGAGAATGAATATTAGGATGACATCTTCCTTCCCAGACAACTTTCCAGTGTATAAGTTGATACCTAATTCAGGCCTTCTCTTTGCATATATTAGAGCATAATTAAACATTAATATATAGTCTGACAGTAGAGAGCTATTTAAAAGCAGAATTGTGCATGGAGCAATTTGGCTATGTCATGGACACCATCGAATTCATATATCGTGATGGATGAGGCAAATTTATAGAGTCCTTCATATCCTGAACTTGTGGTATTCAGGAACTTGGATATCAAAACAACATGTTTCCGTGCTAGATCAGATACTACCCGACTAATGCACCCGCCCCCTCATATCATATCGCCCTTTCGTTCCGTAATCCACTACCACCTATTATTCACCACCCAGATTCGAATTCCAATCCAACAGCCCTATGAAGTATCCAAAAGATACAATAAAATGCAATATTGCAACGCAAATGGTTGGTTCAAGCCAAATGGTGAGGATATGCACAAACAGCAGCCTTCCGATCATCAACCCAGTCTCTTGCTACTGGATGAGCTTTAACATACCACGAAAGTAATCCTGATTTCACAGCCCTGATTCACTGAATCTTAATACAGTGCAGCAAGCAACTATTTCCACATCGATGCATTCGATACTTTTAACGCCTGACAGCGACAAGTAAGAAATGCTCAGCTTGACGGCAATCCATTGACTCCGAAAGATCGGGTCAAGCCTCCTGGAGCTTCATCTTCATTGCCTTCAGCTTTTTTTGTCCTGTAGTTGCTACTGTTCTCGTCAACAAAACTCTTTTAGTTCTATACTTTTAATATATCATCACGCCTATAATCGAACAACTATACTATTTCCCCACCCAAAGCTGTTTCATACTCTTTATCATGTAAAATATCCATTTCTTGTTCATTCTGTGAAAAAGCGACTTTAACATACGACGTATGAGCAACTCTAAACTGTTGCCAGTGGAGGCCGTACAAGGAAATAGCAAAATCTTCTTGAGTCAAGTCATGGCGATACTGACCAAGAACCTGTTGATCATCATTATGATAGTGAATTAGGATACCTCTATAGCGGCCATCGGCGTTATCGCAAAAAGTCGAAACAGCTCGTATATTCTCAAGAGATGCCATCGAATAATGACACCGGTTGATTGGAAATCGAAACGAGTAGGAATGGGTGTTGAGCTGCCTTTTGACATGCAAGTGAGCCGAAATGTTCAATTGGACGGTGAGGCAAAGGATCATTATACATGAGTATGGAAGGCTCAATGCCGATTGCTTGATATTTGAGTTTTTTTGAAAGTTTAATGTTAAGTGGATAAATACCAGTAAGATGGATCTAGTTCTTATTTGTTTGTAATTATTATTATTATTAGTGACAGTAAAATAGGATATAATATTATCCTATTACTAAACAAGTACAAGATATTATTCTTAGAGAAGGTTAATGTAACGATCTGGTTGAGGCAGCGGCTGCCTCAGGTTTCGTATGGTTGGTAGTTGTAGGTTAAGGCTAATAATCACTGGTTATCCACTCGAAGGTGAATACGTTACTAGATCAATTGGAATGTAGGTAAACTAATTGATAACTAAGTTGAGCACGAAGCTCCTAAACTATGAAACTATTCTGACTATATACTAATCCATTTCGGGAGCCTCCAGGAGTCTACGGGAGCCCACGCTCCTGGAGGCTCCATCACGTGATTAGGATCAGACCATATGTCCGAGCTTGCTGAAGGTGGGGAGACCATATGAAGCGGTTGCCATACAAATCTGTATACAAGTTGCTTCGCTTTTCAGGGAGGTCTAAGCTCATAAGGACAGGTTGACTGTTACCCGTAACACTCTATAAAATGATTTCGTGACACTAATAACATATTCACCTTCGAATGGATAACCAGTGATTATTAGCCTTAACCTACAACTACCAACCATACGAAACCTGAGGCAGCCGCTGCCTCAACCAGATCGTTACACTAATAATGAATTTATCTTCGAATGAATAATCAATGATTATTAGCTTTAATTTATAACTATCAATTATACGAAACCTCAGGCAGCTGCTGCCTCGATCAGATCGTTATAGTCTTGTTCTTAAACACTTGCAGCACTTTAAGAATCATGTTAAGATTGTATAAGGAATCAGCCTTCGACCTTGGCGGTATTGGACAAGGTGCTAGAGATCGATATAACAACTTGAGTATGTCAGAAGGGATCAACAATCCATCGGAAAGACGACTTGACAAAGTTTTACCAGGGCTTTAGGTGTGAACATGGAAATCTGAGTATCTTTCTTGAGCTAAACATAGTTGTAGATCGCAGCATCGCTCTAGATAAGGCTCACAAAGTAAGGAAACCGGTGCTTAAAGTAGCTAACTCGTCCAGCTGCATATCTGGTGGCACCTAAAAGTACGACTGTACGAAATGTTCCCAAGGGAAGCCAGCGACAAGAGTCAAACAGAGTATACTAGCAGAGGTTAGAGTCTTGTCTACAAGCAGCGTGGGATAACCCTTGACGATTCGTTGTTCGAAAAATTGATCGAGAGCTCGGATCACCACCACGAAATGGCACACACTAACAGAAATACTCATCTTTGTAGCCGAAAACTTTTGAGGTTGCATTTTGCCAGTTACCAGCTTGATCAATTGTATCGGGAGGTGTATGAGGACATGTATGAGAAGGATTTGCATTGATATATATATAAATATTGATTTTATTGATTATTGTTCTTGTTGTGGTTAGCAAAATCTTAATTAGTTTTGGTGCGGAGTTTTTCGCCCCCAGGTACCTCACTTAACCTTAACCCAGTTGTATGATACCTGATCATGAGCGAGTTCTTCCTAATCACTCTTTATCTGCTTCTTGCTCTTGATATATACAGTACCAATAATCTTTCTTGACACTCAACGGAGATTCGTCCGTACTTTTTTTAGATATGCAACAAAACCTTCTCTCTATTCGAAACATGTCTGCAAGAACAAACACTCATGGATGTTTAAGCAACTCGAGATCAGCTACATTATCTTAATCTTGTTATTTTGAAAGAAGAGAAACAAATCTTCAGAGTCTAGAATTTTCGAGGGTTCATTCGAATAGTTGGCCTGTAATTAGCGTTGATATCTTTTCATCTAGACTTTCATTGTCATTATCTTTTTTGTGCCTGAAGGCGATTGATGATTCGTTAGAAAGCGAAGATTGGGAGAAACACTTGACCCAGCAGCGTTTGAAGCCGTGGCTCTCCTGGATATACTTGAACCAGCAGCGGTTACACGTTTATCATGAAGCCCTCAAGATAAACTTGATCCAGCAGCAATTAAAGCTGTTCATACCCGATCCGGCAGCGATTGACTGTTGGTGTCCAGGATACACTTGACCCTGTAGCGGTTAATGTTTATCAGGAAGCCCGCTAGTTACACTTGAGTCCAGGGTGTAATAGCCATATTACAAAGATAAGTGGAGGGCTTGCTTCTGGCTAGTGTTCCGTACATTATGTTATCAGTAGGTATATAAATGAAAGCCAGCCATCTTCCCTACCCAGTTATTACCATCTTTGCCCTTCTTCCCCCTTTCAAAAAAGAAGTCAGGTATATATGGTTTTTCTATATCATCACTATTAATGGCGCAGTTGGTGCCATTCACAAAGCTTGAAGAGCTTTGCAATGATTTAGACATTGTAGATGGCCAAATCCAACAACACAAAAACTCCAACGAAGTGTACCTACCAGGACACCCTCGTATACAACTGCACGACCTCCATGGAATCAAAGAGTGTCTCCAGACGGAATTGATGACTACGGATTTGAACAAGTTGGCTCCCTATCTCTGGCTAGTTGCTAAGCAGGATAGTCAACATATCTCAAGCCTGACAGAACAAATCGTCAGAGGACGCAATATCATTCTCACAGAGAACCCCGGTTTACATCTCTTATGGTTTGATAATCGCGTCTTCATCAAGCCCATACCAAAATATCTTCTCTCACATGCTTTTTGGGACTACTACCTCATGCCAACCAATCCTCCTCGCATACAAGAACCCGTCCGAAAGGAGCTGATCCAAGCGGCATATGGAATGTTACGATCTTTTGCAATCCTCATCAAACATGAATCGGACTTTGCGCTTGCGACAAGAAAAGAAAACCAGCTCATTCCCGACAACATCTCATATGCCTCTTTCATCAACTTCATCGATCGATTTCAGATCACAGACAATCAAGTTTCGCCCCGTTATCAGTATGGAGAGCTCCGGCTGATGCGCCTGAACTTCTGGTCTCGCATCTTCCTGCTCAGGTTCAATTACCACAAGGTGGAATGGGCATACGGCGCCTATTTTGCGCGATACTACGGACCCATCCTCTTCATCTTCGGTGTTTTCTCCTTGCTTTTGAGCGCCATGCAAGTCGTCTTCAATGTATTGGCCATCCAGGGACTCCCGGATCCTGGTTCGGGTTCTTGGTGGACTTTTGCTGTTGTCTCGCGGGATTTTTCGATATTTACTTTGGTTGTTGTGGCTGCTATCACTGCCTTCCTACTCGCGACTTTCATAGCACTTTTTGCCCGCGAGCTTATATACGCCTTATATCATTTGCATCGTTAGACTTGCTTACCTCACTTGAATCTTTCTGAAGATTCGTAATCAATAGTGTTATGACGTCCTTCCTTTGCTGGCAGGTGTATCTAGAGGTCTGAGTAGGAGCAGGGGAAACAGGGTAGTTCATACTGTCTTAGAATATTGTAGAAACCAATTCTGCATGCAAGACAGCCTATTATCCAAGCAACTCAGTAAATATAGCGCTGGATATCAAATATTTGTACTCAGTAATAAAGAGGTCTATTAGTGCGTCGGTCACTTTTCCGTACTTAATCACGTTAAGCTCTAATTATTTACTATAGAATCTAATAAGAATCTATTACATCTTTTTGATACTATCTTTAAACTATTAAAAAATAAAGATACACTCGTATTATAACCCTCTATTGCTATGCATGATAACTATAATCCTCTCTGCTTGTGAGTGGCAGCCCCTCGCGATCAAATGGCCATCTCCATTCTGTGTTTTTCGTGCTTAACATGTTTTTGTGCCGATCGAAGTATATTCATAATTATCTGATTGTACTGCTTTACTTCTGCCACGTCATTCAGTACTGGATCATAAGCATCCCAGGGCATATAACGACCATAATAAGGCGTGTTTCTTCAAAGCTGTAATAAGACCGACCCACTGATTAACCACATTGAACTTTCCGGGGTCCCTGTAGTTTCGCAAACTTTGTCGAAAAAGGACAAGGCTACGGCATTGGGTTTCAATCAGTATGGTCGTCTGACACCATACATTGCACCTGTATCTTGCTGTTATCAGCAAAACTTGCTATCTGCGGAACGGCTTGAGACGTAACCTTAACCACCCTCGATCTTCAACTAGCTTCTAGATCTTTACTTCTAATTGAATTATCTCGAGGGCAAATTGAATAGAGCAAATACAATTCGGAAGTACTATCAGTGATTCTCCAAACATCACGGACAGGGTTGATTTCAGGTGTACATTCTCTCCTGCCGATTGTTGTGGGCTCGATGATACCCTGACAGCTCAGTTGGAGGAACAATTGGCCCCACGGTACCTTGTAGGCAACAAATCACGAATCAATGACGGGTAGCTCAAACTTGTGGATAGATACAAAGCTTGCGGCTGAACCGATCATTTACGCGTCAGTTAATTAATAATCTATTCTAGATTGTGAACTTCTGGACTTGCGAACTCATGGTCCTTTTGTCATTAACCCCCGCAGATATTATGTTGTAAAAGTTGGATAAGAGGAAGACAACTACTGTTATCCCGAAGCTATTTGTCTTTTGATGTTTTCATATGCTCTATGGCAAGATATCAGATGGCGTTCAACTTGAGAAAGTACCGGGCCATCGCCATCTTCATCCTCGTTCTTCTCTCTATTCGCATTAACAAGTCATCATTAAGGAACTTTCTGACAGTCGCTATCGGTGCTGGTATAGCATGGACCGCCACTCCGTCGCATTCTCGATCGGGGGTGATGATATCTAGGGCACTAATTGTTCTTGCAATTGCTATGTCTCCTGTTCCAAGCGTACTTCAGTTTACTGCTCGTCAAATCATACAGAAAAGTTTATCAAAGTCTAAGCCAAAAAATGGGCAGAATCGTTCCAACACTTCAGCCATTGAGGACATCCCCGCACCCTCGAACCCAGATCCCATTAAAATTCTTCACAATCCTGCGAATGCTACTGTAGAGTAAGAGAACCCGTTATTTTGCTGAGATAATACCCCTTTATTTTAGTTTCCGGGCTAATGAAAATCAACCCTAAGTATCATCGCCGTGCACGGATTGGGCTCCAGCGTCGAGACAACTTGGACACATAAAGGGACTAAGAAGCTATGGCTGAGAGACTTCCTTCATCTGGACTTTCCAACGGCTAGGATCATGACATATAGACATAACTCGAAATGGATGGGCGGTGCTACTGCCAAGGATTTGACTGGATATGGCAAGCAGTTCTTGAGTGCCGTTCAAGATAGCCGAGAGGGTTCAGAGGTAAGTCTTCCCTAGAGTTCCCAAATACCAACATTAGATCTTAGACATGGTGCTAATTTAATATTACATAAACCAGGACCGACCAATTATTATCATCGCGCACAGCTTTGGCGGGCTATTGATCGAGCAGGTACGTTCTCGCAGCTTACCCATATACATTCAGCTTTCTGGCGCAGATCTCTCATTAGATATTTTTCTGTATACTTAGGCACTTGTAACTGCAAAGCGACCTATTGTTGATGCAAGATTCAAAGAAAAGAATAGGAGGCTCGTTAGTAGTCTAGCAGGTATAATATTTCTAGGCACGCCTCATGCTGGTTCGGGCTACTCTCGGCTAGGACAGCTATATTGTCTGTTCCATTATTGGAACGGCTCTAGTCCAGTGCTCCTGAATTACATGGATCCTGGATCTGAAGAGACGCGCAAACTAGAGGACGAGTTCTCAAACGGGTACGATCATGTCAGGTCCATCGATTTCCATGAGGATGTTCCCAATGTCATCCTCTGGTTCCGCGTGAACTTGGTCAGTTATAAGAACCACTCATCTCAATTATTTATACACTGACGGTAGCCTGAATATTCTAGGTTGTTAATCAGGAAAATGCTACCCGCGTAGGGCGTCGATCGTTGCCCCTAGACACTGATCACTATGGATTAAATAAATATGAAAACCGTGAGGATGCTAGCTACAAGGCCGTCAAGAGCGAAATCATAGAAATGATCAAAGCAAGAATTGGTAATGTACCTCGCATCAAACTTCAACCAGGACTTTCGTGAATATAAATTAACTGAGAGAAGAGAATGATAAGAAAGAAGAGATCAAAATCGGTATGTACACCTCCGCGAAGAACATCTGAGGTGATTTGTCGCATTAAATGTTTGTGAAGATGATAAATATCAAGCCTTGCTTGAGTCCATCGGTAACCATCGCCATAATTTCAAATCGGTCCGAGAGAATCGACGCTCAGCATTAACCCCTGGTACATGTCAATGGATACTAGAGCAACAGGAATTCCTGCGTTGGTCGGAGAACACAGTAAGCAAAGTCATGTGGGTTCTTGGGAAGCCCGGTTCTGGTAAAAGCTTCATATCGGAGGTAAGTTGTAATCAACTTTAAAGATTTACCCTCTACGCAATTGCTGAGTTTCGGCCAGTATCTTTGTGATTATTATCAACGGCAAAAAAATATTGTCATGTACTTTCTATTCGACAAAAAAAACGAAGCAAAAGAATCACAGTCTCTGGACAAGTTCTACACAACCGTCTTACATCAATTGCTTGAGAGTATCTCACAGACGCAGCCCAAATTAGCAACTGATTGCCTTGAAATGGCCCGCAAGCAGATGAAACATAAAGACTCTGATTCCGATGAGCCCTTCAAAACATCCATAGAGATGATCCTAGCCAAGCTCCCGTCCTCGGCGTATCTCATCATAGATGCTTTGGATGAATGTATCGGTAACACGACGGATGCTTTAATGAAATGGATTTCCTACTTGGAGTCCCTTCCAAATCTGCGGTTGTTCATCACGAGCCGCTCATTAGATTATATCGAAGAACTGACTTGTCAAAAAGACGGCCCGTCCTACATCCTCCGACTTTCTTCAGTTATTCATCAATCAAAAAAAGACATTCGCCTCTACATTAATCAGCGTATAAAGAAGCCCGGTCATAAGTTTCCTGACAATATGAGTGCGGTGGTAAAGGAACTTGAAGCAAAATGCAATGTACGTGGACATCTTCCCCAGTGACTTCACACTTATCGAAGCATACTCTGACTTAATCAGGGAATGATCCTTTATGCAAGACTTATGCTCGATATCCTCGAGAAAGTCCCTGGTAACGAGAATCTGCTCCTTGAAGAATTGAAGAAGTTACCAAATGACTTGGCAGAACTCTATTCAAACCTGCTCAAGGAGATTAAGTCTCCCGACTTGGCAGTTAAAACTTTTAGATGGTTGGTGACATGCAAAACTCCTCCGACCTCAGATGCGCTTCATGGTGTTTATAAGCTGAGCGGCGGACCAGAAAATAACATAAGCAGAGACCGATTCAGAAGCTTTCTTATAGAGAAATGCTCCCCACTCATTGAGATTCTCGAAAATGACACCGTCAGGCTTGTTCATACCACTGTGTCTGAATTTCTCAAAGGAGATTCTATTGAGGAAAGCCGTACTAAATGCCCCGATTTATTTCTTGTCAGACCAGGCGAGGGCCACCAATTCGTTGCCCTCATCTGCGTGAAATGTCTTCAACTCAACCAGCAAGATACTCAACTCTCGCAAAACCTTTACGAATACTCGGTGCGTGAGTGGGAAACTCACAGTAAGCTGGGCGAGGTTCAAATCGTGGACTGTAGCACAGACAAGGAGGTGCTGATCTCATTCTGTACGGGGCCTAGATTTCACGCCTGGCTGGACGCGCGTGGACAGTTAGATGGCCGGTTCAAAATGTACTTTGCACTTGGTCACCAGCGGATCTACCCAACTGCTTTGCACATCGTTATTCTTTTCGACTTGTGGTTTTTGGGAGAGCACTTTCTGTGCCAAGACATATTGCATCAAAAAATGCTGAATGCACGTGATGCAACCGAGAGTACCCCGCTTCATTTAGCGGCTTCTCAAGGACATCCCCGCATTGTTCGTGCCCTACTTAAGGCTGGAGCTCGAACAGATATCAAAGATATGAACGACTCACTTCCTTTGCATCGCGCTGTGCGTCGCGGAAATTCGGAAACTCTCATCGAATTAGTCGGTAGATATAACGAAGTAGATCTCCAGGCTCGCGACAAGTACAAACTGACGCCTCTCCATATTGCCTGCCAGCTCGGATGGGATAAATGCGCTGAAATTCTTATCAATTGTGGCGCTTCAGTCTCAGATGATACCCATGCAGTGGAAAGTCCGATTGCATTTGCTATTGCCAACGGACATCTTCCAGTCGTGCAGGTACTTCTGAAACATGACCCCTCCTTGATCAAAGAATGTGGCAAGCCCCTCATCCAAGCGGCAAGAAAAGGTGCCAATGATATTGTGGAATTTCTTTGTGACAACAAAGTCGATATGTCCTATAAAGACGGGCTAGGCCAGACCGCACTTCATAAGGCATGCATCTCAGGTGATTTGACAATGGTGAAGAAACTATTGAGCTTGTCTGTACCCGTGGATCCACTCGATAACTCTGAACGCGCCCCTCTGTATTTTGCAGCGGAAAAAGGCTTTCTGGAAATTGTGGATGTACTTATCAAAGCCAAAGCTGATGTGAACAACCTCGATCGAAGGAGAGAAACGGCATTGTTCAAACCAGCCGGCAATGGACATTTCGACGTAGTGGCTCGCTTACTTGATGCTAACACTGATGCAACGATACTTGATCTCTGGAATAGGACCCCGCTGCGATTTGCTGCCCGCAAGGGTCATATCGAAATTGTCAAAATGTTACTAGAACGAACCAAGATTGACCAGGAGTTCCCTGACTGGGTTGGTCGAACAACCCTTCACAATGCAGCTGCCTCTCTGCGAGAGGGTCAAGAGTCTGTCATTGACTTGCTCATTGAGCATGGGGCTAATCCTAAAGCGATAGTCACGTCTGATGGGGGCTCTGCGCTTCATGCAGCCATTCTTCGTGAGAAGGGTCAACCCCCGGCAACGGCTGCATTAATCGATCGACTTATCAAAAATAAGGTTCCACTAGAAATTGTTGATAAACGTGGCTACACGGCGCTTTTTCTAGCAGTTAACATCAATGTTGAAGCCGGCAAGCTCCTGCTCGAGGCCGGCGCGCCCCTCGATTGCGAATCCTTGCACGCTACAATCCAGACGGGCAATGTGGACTTATTGGAAGAATGCCTAAAACTAGACTCCTGTCCTAAATTGTCAGGGAGAGATTCTTGGGGTATGACAGCTCTTCACCTCGCGGCGATTCTAGGTCGCGACAATATTGTGAAGAAACTCCTGGAAGCCGGAGCACCGACAAGATGTTGGGACATGAACAACATGGACCCTCTCATGTGTGCACAACAATATAATCACATCAGCACCGTAAGCCTACTTCAAAATGCACAGTTATTACCCATGGGTGATTACCAGTCTCGCGTAGAGCAGGGTATTTGGGGTCGAACTGCTTTGCACTGGGCTGCAGAAGCCGGGGAAGACCTAGGTACATATATCATGGACGAATCTCTAAGTCATATTATCGATGATTTGGATGACTTACATTGCACTGCTCTGCATTTAGCAGTGTTATCAGGATCATTGAAGACAGTCCAGCAGCTTCTATCTGCTCACGCCCAGACAGGCCTTGCCGATACTTTAGGCAAAACTCCACAACATTACGCAACTAAACAGCCAGATGTCAACATCCTAAAAGCTATCATTTCAGCAAAAGCTGATATTGATGTTAAGGATGACTGGTCGCGAACACCTCTGCACTTAGCTGTCGAGGAGGGTCATGCAGCATTAGTAGAGGAACTGATGCGTGCTGGTGCGAAATTATCGGAAGATAATGCCAAAAATAATCCCCTGCATATCGCTATCACTTCGGGAAAAGATGAAATAGTCCGTATTATATTAAATAGCAAATGTGGAAAAGCAGCGGTGCTACAACGGGACGGTGACGACAGGACTGTATTACATCTTGCCTCTCAGTTTGGCAGATCGAATATCCTGACGGATATTTTCGATTGCGTTCCAGAACCTGCTTCTATAATTGACTGCAAGGACTCGGAAGAAAAGACGGCGCTTCACTTAAGTGCCCTCTATGGGCACCCCGAAATTACTCGAAAGCTTATTGATAGAGGGGCTATTGTATACAAGGTAGATAAAGACCGATTCATGCCCGTCCATTTTGCGGCCCGGGCCGGTCATGAAGAAATCGTGAAAGATCTCATTAATGCTCTTCCGCGGCATGTTGATTGGTATCTTCAGAAATCCGATCAGTCACCTCCAGCCACCGAGTTGGATGCCGTTTATTACGAGCAAGCTTTTTGGGAGGCTTTGTATCATACTCAAGCTGTTACATTGAATCGAGAAAAAAATTGCTGGGAAATGTCCGAGGAGAAGTTGACTCCTGAATCTCGAGAAACGCTTCGAAATGGAATTATTTCGGAGTTGAATATATTTGATAAGAACGATAATAGCATTCCCAGCACAATACTGATGCAGGCTGTTGAGGGACGCCACGAAAAGATGGTCAGGCTTATTCTTCAAATGATTCCTGAAATGCCTATACAAGCGAGATCCTACCATTACTCCAATGTTCTATCCCTAGCTGCACGAAATGGAGATACAAAAATAGTATCTCAACTCATCGAGCACAAAGCGGATCCAAACGCTATTACCGATATGCAGGACACATGTCTACACGAGGCTGCAAAAAATGGACATGATGAAGTCATCAAACAACTCGTTGTCGAAGGCGCCAATGCGGATCTCGCTCGTCTTCATGACGGCTACACGCCTCTTCATCTGGCAGCGGAAAACGGACACACCAAAGCGGTCGAAGTACTTTTACATGTCGCTTATTTGAACGTTCGAAATGATTTGGGACGGACCCCTCTACATTGTGCGTGTCTGAAAGGACATGAGAATGTTATCAATTCTCTACTTGATGCGAATGCTGATGTATCGGTGCGAGATTATGAAATGCGGACACCGCTAGAAATAGCGATCGAAGTGGGTATCTCGGATGAAGTACGAGAAAAGATCCAGAGTAGGGCTATTTTGCAGAAAGTTCAGGTTTGAGACTTAGAGCCTGGTTGAGATTACTATGTGTTGTTTTTAATTTGGTCATCGAGAGCTTCTGGGTGGTTGCTTGCCCGTACAGGATATGAACCTCTAACGTATTGACTACCTACGGCGCTCTCTCCACACATAAACTCACTCATCAAGTCATCAACTCAACCACTTCGAATTCAACCTCTTTATTTTCCTTCCATAATTACTGTCAGAAATAGTGAATTATGATGACAAATGCACTATTCACATTACGTACAACCTCAATATTATTGAGGCCACATAGTAATAGCTTCAATTATACAATCATTACACCCTGAATCATATTTTGTGATAATTACCTGCACTTGTTATCAACCTGCAACATATCAACATATCTTGATAAACCTCCAACTCAAAGTTATCTATCAATTAGCATCCAACTTTATTCAATTAGCTTATCTTTGAAGGAAGTGCGGGTGAGTGTATGTATATAACTAGTTGACGACAATTGTATTTGCATTCTATCACCCGCTGTCCTACCCCCTCCGTGGCGAATACTAAGTCGAGAGTGATTTCCTGGCCTCTTGACTGCCAGGTGCATATGCCTGGTAGGAGGAGAAGATCAAGGCAGTACTCCTCTAAGATGTCTAGGAGTTCCTCGGAGTCGCGTCGCCCTGTGTGGTATTCTTCCCGCCCCATCCATAGGCTATGCCTAGCATTAAAGTCTCCTAGCACCAAGTGTTCTTCACCTAAGGCGTTGTTCAACTCTCTCCTCAGCAACGGAAGAGCCTCGCTATAGCCTCGCAAGCCTTGAATGGGGTTGTAGATATTGTGTATATGAATATATTGGGATTGCGTGAGGTCGTCGTTTCCCACGTCGATTCTCAGGCTGCACACGTCTGGCGAGTGTGTCCTCGCTGTCCATGCCGTTGTAGGTATCTTCTTGTTGACAAGGAAGCAGTTCGTGGTGTTTTGGCTGTCCATATACACTAGGCGAAAGTAATCTGCTGCTGGGTTGTGGATTGTGTTCTGGTGTGGATTGCACCATGGTTCCTGGATAGCAATGATATCCAGTTCCAAGACTGCCAGGTCTCTAGGCAGTGGGGCCATCACAGCCCTCGACTTTTGTATATTGTATTGTAGTATCGAGAGTGTTCGTTTACTCGTCATATACAATGATCGTGTCTGACTGGGTGGCTGATGGTGTTATGTCCTCTTGCTCCTCTTGGGTTGCGTTTGGTATGTCTTTGCCGACGCTGGTCTGTGGGAGCCAGTCCATTGACTGCCCGCTCGGGTTATTGGGGTCGGCGGAACCAAGGGCTACCGTCTTGTTGCTCCTCTTCGTGGTTGCAACCGACCGTCTCTTTGGGTAGGTTCCTTCTACCACCTTCCAGGTCTGTGATCTCTGCCTCTTGCTTGTTGGCTGGCCCGACAGTTCCTGGGACGGTTTTGTTTGGGGTGCCAAACGAGGAGGCTCTCCGACATTAAATTGAAGGTTCCGGCTTGTTGCCTGCGCCTCCGGATTCTTTGTGCACATGTCTCTCGTTCTGTGGCGTCCAGGCCGATTTGCCAACGCTCTCTTAATCTTCATCTGTTCCTCCTGCCGTTTCTTACACGCGTTGCTTCAACTCGTGTTTCCCGTCGCACACCGCGCATTTTGGTTCTGCGGGTGGATTGACCGCCCTTTTTTCACATTCTTTGGCTTTGTGCGCTTCTGCGCAATAACTGCATACCTAAGCAGCTGTGCACTGGGAACCTGTGTCCATATTGTTGGCAATTGAAGCATTGTTTGAGCTTGCAGCCTCGATCGTAGTATTCGCACTGTTGCATCGCCGCCTCAATGATGATGCCCTCATCAATAGCCATGTTCGCGTGTTCGGGTTTGGTAAACTTGACGATAAGGGAGGAAGCTTTCTTGTTTTGAATTGTTTTGCGGGAGAGCCATCCAAAGAACTTCATGTCCGATTGATTATGTCATACACGGATTCAGCAGTCCCAAGGGCTGCTATGCCGGAATAGTCTAGCTTTGGCGTAGTTACCGAAATGCGCTTTACTATAATAAGCACTCGCACTTCATTTTATCGCTTTGCAGCGACCAGAAACTGTAACGAGAGTAATTTTATCAGGTCACATGTACGCTAGTTTAGTTTAGATCTAGTGCTGATCCGGGTATAAATACCCTGTCAGTTCTATTCTTCAATCTACACCCTTACCCTCTAAAACTACTCGCTTTTCTGAAACCTCCTCTACTAGACGGTCTGGCTCCTATCTACAGTTATGTACTTAGGTATGAAAAAGGAGTACTTTATTCGATCTTCTGAAATAAAATCCGGCTCCTTGGCTGCCGCTAGTACTAGCCAGTTAGTGTCCTTGTACCTTCAGTCTCCCCCTAATATTCCACTTCGTCTCTCTGTACTGTATCACACCTCCTGAACTGCCCAAGGAGGCATGTCCGTTCTATGAATCGTATAGCCTTTGTAGCTGATTTTGACTCGTTTAAGATTGCCGTCAAGTCTATTCGTCCTTGGATGCCAAACTCCCTCCGTTGTAGGTCCCGATAATTTCGGCATCCACCGCTGCGGAACGTGTTGAATCCTAAAGCATGCTCGACTGGAATAAATAGAATGAAATCCGGGTATGAAAGTTAGAACAGCAGTATTGAAAAGCGAAGAGCTCCTTTTTCGTGCCTCGTTCAAATTTCAACCAGATCTGTGATTGAATTGGATTTCTCGACACGAAACTCAACATCTGAATTACAAAGGGACTTTCAGCGGAAAATATCCTGGGCTGAATTCGGAATACATTGCTCCAAGGGAAACTCTTTGGGTTTTGGGGAAGGTCTCGGAAATAATGCTAGTCTTTAGTACGTCTTTTATCTCATCTACAATCAGATTGTCCGTGTAGGTGGACTTCCAAGGAATCTTCTTTTTGAATGTGATGGTACAAGGCTGTGTAGGATCGAATACGTCGCGAATTTCAGAGTTTCGTGATTCGATTGCTGCTTCACTTCTACTCTTGTAGAAATGTCTCATAGTTTCTGATAGTACCCTGTTCAAGGCTTCCTCCTTCATTAACCGTCGGCTTGATTGTGTTCAAACTCGTTAGTCTCAAAGTAGGTTTTCATTAGAAAGAAAAATTTGGGCTTTATGTCACTGAACTGCTTCCAGCCTTCAATCACGACTCATGAGTTGCAGAAAATAATTCTGGGTTTTATTAAGGGCATTATCTAACTAGCTAAAATCATCACCAAAATCATTCGTATCCGTAAGGGGGGTTTCGTAGATTCTCCGGTAGTCCAGAGTATCTGTACATTTGACCAATATTCCAAGAGACCGAGTCGGCATATCGTCGTCGTTATCATCATAAAGAGTCCTGTGCGTGTTGTCCAGCATTCTCAATCCATTGAGTCAATCACCGCGATGCGATTAGGAGGAACTGAGGCCAAGGAGGAGCTGGCAGGTGATGTCAAGACCAAGTGTTCCTGCAGGTGTGTAGGCGCATTCAGCTTTCTCGATCATCGTTTTCAGGCTCGCTGCATCAGATTGTGCACCGGCGGCGCAAGTTGGGACAGCGTCGATGATTCCATCAGCAATGGTATCGACGACTCCCTCGAGAGCGCGAAGAACTGTCGCAATGGGTGCGCCGCCAACTGATTGCAACAATCCGCCCTTGCCAATGAGGACAGCTAGAAGATTTTGGTGAACCGTAACAAACTTGGGGGTTCATTAGCTTTCCATCTTTATGATTGACTGAGGAAGGCGACCTACATTTCTGAATGCACTGCAGACAGCTGTTTGACCGTTGACATCAAGGGTTCCGATTCTGGTTGCAAGTTAGATCTGGCTGTGCTCTAAGGCTTTCCATATATGAGAAGCTCTTACGGGTTTGATGCCATAGCTGCAATGTCATTTTTTACGAGGGTGATGATGCCATTGAAACCAATGACGACGGGCTTTGAGGTGTTAGTCTTGTCTTTAACATTGAAGAAGGGCAGTCACATACTGTAAAGGTAGATGGGTCGAGAACAGCGATTGGACTGAAGTTGATTCCTTGAACAGTGACCTTAAGGTTGGCGCTGAGGACTGTAATGTCGTTGATGGCGCTGACGACGTTGGCGGAAGTCATTGCTCTTTGTTGAATAACTGCAGGAGCGGCCGATGCAGCGCCAACCATAGCGGTCATGAAAAGCTTGGAGAAATGCATGATGATTAGATTAAGTAGATGCTGGAAGCACAAAGGTATATTAGAATTTAGATGCTGGAGTGATTAGAATGTTGATTGCGAAGCTGATGATGGGATGTTGTTCTCCAAGGTCGAATGGCATCTCTTTATACTTGAGTCTGTAGCAGAGAACACCTTATTTCTTTCGACTTGATGGCTCTGTATCTTCACCGTGTGTGCCCTAATTGTTGTCGATGGTGGGTCTCTGCTATTGAAGCTTCGCCAACACCTGATTCACTATACATGTTGAGCTGAAAATGCATGGACTTTTCTGGACTATGTTGTCTTGCCCATCATCACTAGCAACAGTTAGGTTGGTTTGCCTGGTGATGGTCTTTTCCGTTCGCAGGACACAAATGCGAAATGCCTCACCAAAAAGAGATGCCATACTCATACTTCGTCCTGATATCGCGCCGGGAGTTTTGCCATGTTGACTTCCACACAGGGAATTTTCGACACCAGTCTCCAGAATTCTCCCACTAGCACTTCTCAGATCTGCATCTCCATGTGCCTTAATGACAACAAGTCGCGCCTAATGCAATAAATACAGCGCGTGTCTCGAAACTAGATCTTCATCCGACTTAGACCCTGCATATCGGTGTTGGCCCTGCGTATCAAGATGTTCCGGGCTATTCTCAAAATGCAACATCCACTTGTCTTACATGCATCCAGATCTAAGTCGGTTCTACCTCCACTACCTTAATCACACCTCATATTTTCACATCACATTCTAATCACAGTGTGTGATCGACCACATATTGCGGCTGCAGAACATCGGGGCCTCTGATGATGAGTAGTGTATTTCGCTTAGTTCTAGTATGTCTTGCGCTTAAGCGCTGCAGGGTCTGGAGAGGCTTCTGATTGGGCACGCTAGTACTTGGAATGTCAGGTGTCAAGACGGGATAGAATGTGGGACAGCAGACTATTGACGATTTTCAGCTGTGAATAAATTCAATGGTTTTGCTGCAGCAAGGGTTGTAGGAAGAAGTGCCAAGCATGTACTTATCAGTATTCTCATGGAGCACCTATAGAGACGCTTGACCCTGAGAAAATCATCTTATTGTCATTAGACTTCGTTACACTGATATAGTTGATAAACAGGAGATATGGTGCGTGATATGTGGCTAGGACTTGACCTTATTGAAAACAATTCGCAATGCCCCTTGAACGACGAACATGAGCTTGATGAACATGTTCAACAAGAACAAAAATCCAGATATGCAACAATATGAGGAATTCTCATCAGGTGATATCGAGCCAAACCCTAACAGTGACTTCCAGTCACAGCGTTCAGCCACACCATACCCACTCTCAAGCCACTCTCCACGTTGCAATCACCTGCTTGATCTGCATGCAACAGCGGGGAGAGTATGGATATCTACTTAGCCAGCTAATCTCCATCATGATACTTCAGATGATTGATGGATTGAACTTGTACCTAGCTCAGCGCACTCCTTACTGTATTTAGGCAAACCATTACCTTATCTTGCCTGCCTTGCCTATATTGAAATCTCTCCACCTCGACTGTACCGGGTAAACCACCAGCAAGGTATCCAATCAAGAGTGATATGATGACGGTTAACCTTAGGGTAATTTACTAGATATGTCCTATATATTCAGATTATAACCTTCTTTACAACAGAATCAGATGTCTTTGATTAATAAGATAAATATGAATAAGACGGTCCAGTAACCCAGCAGGGATACAAAATTGCTGACAATGCTGGATAAATACGAGTAGCCGACAATAGCCAAGACGACGATGACAAGTGCATTGATGAAGAACCAAACGAAACAAAAGATAGTATAGAAATAGTAATTGAGAAGTTGAAAGAAGAGATTATTAGAATAGTTTACTGTAATATTGTTTTCAATAATAAAAAACACAAGGAGTACAAAGCAGAATTTAGTAAAGCGAAAGAAATAATAGAATTCAAGAAGGAGATCGCCAAATCTGTGATTTGTATAGGCTTCTGTAAGGACTGGGTTGGCTGTTGATGCGAATACAGCGTTTCCGATATATATGCCGATAACGATTACGAACACTATAGGGAATGAGATGCCCAAGATAATAAGGATGAAAATCTTCCAGTTCTTGATATTTGCAGGATAGTTGCAATAGTAATCCGAAATTATTGAACACCATCCAGATGCAATAACTATTTTGATTATAATGAAACCTTCATCAATGATGTTGAGAAGCGAGCAAAGCTTTGTGTTATAGAAACCGAAGGAGTATCGAGAAGTCGAGATAGCACGTAGACTGAGTTTGAGTATTGTCAGCCTGGTCTTTATATATTATAAATATTAGTATAACATTTACCCTTGGACCCAAAGTACCACAGTAAGCTGTAGAAGCAGCTCCCAAATAGTTGCGACAACAATTGCGTTGGCAGATACATCGAGAGATAGACCATAGACTTCGGGGTCCGGTCCTAAAGGACTAATTGGAAGGGTATCAATATAATATATAAATGACCATTAAAGAAAGAAGATATTGAGAATAGATAGAGGTTGCTTGTCCTTTTCATATATCCGATCAATTCCTTGTATCTCAATTCCTATCTTCTCGTCAAGCTATTCTTCACCATATCACAGCTTATATAGGAAGCCTTTCTTCTCCTGAAGCTCTCTCATTAGAATTACTTCTTTGGATTCGCCCATCGAAACGAGAGTCTTATCGTTGACCACAACATGACCAAGGTCCTTTTCGAGGCGGCCAGCCTCGAAATCATACGAATGCTTTACAACATAAGCATTTTTGAGATCGGCTTAATCACCATGGACGAAGGCTGCCATTGCGTCAAAAAAGGTATTTTGGTCATTATCGAGAAGGCAGAAATTGAGAAAGATAAAAAAAATCTTCTACGGAGGGTAGGACAGTTTGCATTGATAGTAGGGGCAAACTGCATGCCAGTATATCAAAAACACAGCAAATTGTAAATATTAAATTTATATATTTCTTGGTTTCAACGCCACTTGATCAAGAATCTGGTTGTGTCACTATCCATAATGCAATTTCTTCGCAACTTTTACTCTATATAGAGGTGCAAGTGCTCTTATTCCTTACTCTCTCCATCTGTACACCTAGATTCAAATCAAATTTCAAATCACAATCAAAAGTCTTTCAAAATGGCAGGCTTCTTATCCAGGTTCCACAACTCGAAATTCTACCCCCTCTTTCAACGAATCCTCCGCACCCTACAATTCCTATCGGCCTTCTTGTCTCTTATCGTTTTCTCTATCCGCGTCCAAAAGATTCTTAAACTCTATCGCAGTATTTCCTGCGCAGAGGGAGCCATTGAAGGCATCCCTACTGCAGCCGTTACTTATACTCTTGCAATTATAGCCTTGACACTATGTATGCCTAGAGAGTGCTATAACATATAAGAGCTAAGTACTATTCTTCGTCATTGGCACATCCCAAATTCTCACAGCATCACCATCTTTATTAGCAAGCCAAATTTTCTCTCGTCCGGGATCTTCCCAAACTGTCACCGAATAGCTCCATACAAAGGTGGATTCTCAAGGTTCTCATCTACCGTCTTGCCCTCTCTCTCCTTAAACTCTTCTCCAACAACAGGGTTAACATCAGGCCTGGCAAACTCCATTTCTGCCAAGTCCCCAAATCGTAAGTTTCGATCCCGCCGTCACCTGAAGTCAGGACCACAATCTTCTTCTTCCCATCCAAAAACCGAACCGTGTTATATTCGAGATAGTTTCTTATAAGCCTTTTATATTCCTTTGTCACTGGACATTCATCTGTGCTTAGGATTCGTTCTTGAATGATTTCGTTCTTGTCAACATTATACAGAATAAATCTTCCAGGAGCAGACCCATGTCCCTCACCTACAGCAACAACATTGCTGTCAGGAGCCCAACTCAAAGCGCTCATTCAGCAACCACGTATGTGTGGTTTATTATGCACCAGCGTAGTGCCATCGATCAACGAGTAGATGTAGAGAGAACCATCGCCGCAAGTGCCTGCAAATCTTTTGGAGTCGGGAGAGAAACCTCCGGTCCAAACCTGACCAGCGGTATTAAATATGCCTTTCTGTAGACCCGTAGTTGAGTTCCAGATACATATACTTTGGTCCCATGCAACAGTGCTGATCAAGGTCTCGTCTGGGCTGTAACCGGTCCACATTATTGCATCGCTGTGTCCAGATAGAGTGAGGGTATCTTCATGAGTGGATATAGAGTAGATTTTGATGTCCTATATATCACTGCCATTGGAATCGGGTCGTCAACAGGTAAATAGTGTTACGACGGTACTCAGTTATGACTAAGCCTCGCGTCACATGACTAATCAGGGGGTCACGTGGTCACACTCGTCCCACCGATTTATATCAAGGGAGCAGTGGGAAGGCTTCCCACTGATCCCACTGAATTATATCGAGGGGAACAATGGGATATACAATACGAAGGTCTATATAATTAAGATGGGTCTCTTTTGTATAAAGCTTTGTACTCAAGATCAATCATTTAGTATACTTTATTATTAATTATAAATAATATATTATTATTGTTGTTATTTAAGTCTCTATTTGACACCTAATTATAAATCTACTTTGAGAGTTTAGAGCACTTCTATATGATCTAGACGGCTACCCTCGTAACAGTCAGACATATCAGTGGGTCGGACACTTTTTCCTCGATTTATCACTTTAAACTCATGTTATTCAATAACAATTTGATGAATCGATTGAAACTATTAAGAATCTAATAAACTAGGATCTATTACATTATTTTGACAGGTTCTTGAATTATGACCAGTCTTTCCACATTTGCTACAGCGTCGATTAGTAGATGATTCCCTGTTAGAATTTCTCCTATTTTGATGCTCGTCGTGTTGAATCTGAACCTCCACCTTTTGTTGTAATAATATGTCTTCAGCTTCTTGTTCAGTAAGTACTCCTCCATTATGTAGTTGAATTTTTTTTAGCGTGTCGACGTTTGTTTAACGCCTCATTTACCTTTCGTAGCATATGATTCTCTACACTTAAAAGTGTATTCTCATATGCTAATCTTTTTGTATACAGTTACAGCCTCCAATATAGGTGTAGGAGAGTTGGATTGATGATGAGCTATATGAGCTTTTACTAAAGTTGATTGTGAAAGAGCTTTAGTTGGATTGTGAGGTGTTTGAGAGACCCAAGAGTTGGTAGATTCTAAAGGGATTGATGGAGGGGTAGGAGTACGAATTTGGATATCCAATTTCGAGAGTACAGTTTGAGGATTGAATGGTATTAGTACTGTTCCTCGAAAGCCAGCTTTCATATTCTGAGCTGTAATCGATTATTGATATGTAGTTTTGAAAGTTATAAAGAATTCAATCTTAGAGATATGATTGATATGAGCCTTGATAAATCCTTCAATTTGATAACCATATGAACGTTTGAGTATGCTAAAATATCCAACATCGAGTGGTTGAGTTAAGTGACTTGAATGTGGTGGTAATCTAAGGTATATAATATCATTTGACTTGCAATATAACTGGAAAGGTATCGATTCGTGATTTTCGTGCCCATCCAATACTAACATTCGATATTTGCCCTTTCTCCATTGATTAGTATACTTATCGAAATGCTTTAATCATTCTAAACCTGTCTCATTATTTATTCATCTATTAGAAGTAGGTTTAATAGTCCAATTTGCAGGAAAATCGCTCTCTGTATACCAATTAGAAAAATGATATTGTCCTTACACCACTAAAAATGATGGTATAGTTTTATTTTCTCTATTACCACATATAATCGCTATAGCCCACTCTCGATTGCCTGATTGTATTTCTTTGCTTCTGTCACTTCGTTCAACACTAGTTACAACCATTCCAGGGCATATTATACCCATCATAAAGCCTGTTTCGTCGAAGTTGTAGAAATCGCAATCCTGAATACCATATTTCGCCCGTATATTCGATATCAATCGAACCACTCTCCAATAAGCTCTAGATCTTTGCAGAGAGTTCTTTGAAAATCATAAATATGACTAAAACGTGTCTTTAGTTCTGAATGTCGTTTTATAAAGTGATGAACCTAGAGTTTTCCAATCTTCTTCGCATCCCGCGTTTCGAGCATATAATTCGTCATATCTTCCACACTATTTAATTTAGGGGCAAATCCTCTATCATCCATATCAATAATGTATTGAATAAGCACCTCCTCCTCTAATTCAGTCAAATTATGACTTTTTGGTCGACTTTCAGCCATATTACTACGACCTCGAATTCTGTCGGATAATGTAGATCGAGGCACACTATAGTAATTAGCAGCCTTTCGAATTGTCAATTTTTTGTTCAACTCGATAGCCTCAATGGCCAGGATTATTCGTGCTTCTTTTGAATGAATTTCCATTAATAACTATTGAATAAACGCGTATTGAAGTGAGAGAGTAAAGGATATTGAAAATTGGATTGTCGTATGGTTCGGCAACTGTGGTGTTCTTAGTGCCGGGGTGAATATAAATCCGAGCCGAAGACCTTGATCTTGATTGCTCTAGGATATGGAAAGTGAGGCTCATATATTAGGACGAAGCTTCCCCGCCTTAATGGCAGCGGGAATCTACATATGTATCCATAGTTCCCCTGCTACCACTTTCTATACAAGTGACAAACATGGTGTTAGACAATAATGATTCTTCTTTGACTTAGTTCTTATTATTCTCCATGAAGTTATAGCGAAGTCGAATATCATCGCCATCGACCTTGATGAGGGCGGCCGCTAGCATGCCCGATGTGGTACAGAAAATCACCACTCATGCAAGCAAGTATGCGGAACGCCGAGTCGCCATCCAAGAGGAATATTTCCTTCCTCTTAATTCCTAATCCCTCGCTCTCTACTTCATCACCATTCTCCGCAAGAGACTTCTTACAAAATGATGCACCAAGCTCATTTCCAATGCTCTTTGTGTCATTATGGTTGTGACAAAATACAATGGACAACATCTTTTCGTGCTAGTAAGTTAATATCTTTTATTAATTGCTCGGAATAATCAATTTACTGAATAATTGCATTCTACAGTACTACGAACCCAAGATGAGGAGGATATAATTCTCACCCATCCAACATATTCCTCCCCTTTCATCGGCTTTCGCCTTATAATATTTCCTTATACAAACTTTAGAAATCTCAATCATCAAAAGATCAAGGTCTATTGTTAACGAAATATTGTTAATAGTTTTAATTGTTTTCTTATTTACAATATTTGTCTATAAACATTACAAAATATACTCAAGATAAATATACTATCTGAAGTTCTGTTTGCATTTTGTCAAGCATTAACAAAGGACTGGATATAGTACAATACTAGATCAAGATTTGAGTATCGATATCTAAATGAAATCACAATATCTTTTACAATATATATTTCCTAACTAAATTATAATCAATTTCGGTATATCTACCCCGATGTTCAAAACAACGACATTATCGGAAAAGAACCTAAATCTCAATTATAAATCAAAATTGGATAAACTGCCGTTAGAAGTAATATGGATGGTTTTACACTATCTTAACTCAAAATCGCTATTCAGCTATTTCATCTCCAGTCGATTGGATTACTAGTGTTGCAGATTACGGCTCAGTCATTTGGTGGAAAGGGCAAGCTCAATTCAAGGATTCTCTCCAAAAACCACAGAATCTAGCTCTAAGAAAGACTCTAGGAGTATTCAAAACATCTTCAATCGAACCAATGGAAGTGGAAGCAGCTCTACCCCCTCCGGAAATCAGACTAAACTCAAACACCAGACAATATGCTTTTCGATTAGTAAAGACCTCACCGAAACATCCAGTCAATCTCGAACTCAAGAAACTCGATACCCAAAGACAATACTATGAAGCGATTCCCATACCGAGAAGGAAACTTTTCAAGCGAATCCAATTAGATCGAATTAAGGAATCGATATTTGATGATTATCATCCTCAATCCCTAGAAAAGATTGTGCATTTCAGATTTCCTCCTTGGGAGAGAGAACCTCCATATCGAGTGAACATTAGTAAACTTTCGAAAGAAGAAGCAGCTCTATTTCATAATCTAGCCAACAAATATAGAGATGCAAATACATCGATCATTTATACTGATGCATCTTCTACGAGAGAAGGAATCGGAGTCGGAATAGGTATAGCTGTCCTCAATTCCAACGATCAGATAAGCCATCAAGAGGAGCGGAATATCGGTGAAAATCAACTAGTCTACAATGGAGAGCTAGTAGGAGTTACAAGAGCAATCGAATATGCTAGTTCAGTAGCTATACCAGGGAACAAGTTCAAGGTCTATTCTGATAACCAAGCAAGGCTCTACAGACTGAAGACCTTATCAGACAACCCAGGTCAGGATTGTCAGATCAGGGCTATCGAAGCCACCAAGATTTTGAACGCAAAAGGAGCCGAAATATCATTGAATTGGGTACCAGGGCATACCGACGTAGAAGGAAACGAGATGGCGGATTCTCTGGCCAAGAAAGCAACTGGAAAACGCCCTCAATCGAACGAAACAAGCTTCGCCTTAATGGGGATTTTAATCAAGCAGACCAAGGCTGAAGAGTGGCTAGCTAAACTCGAAGCTTACAATCAAAGAGCGAATCAGAGGCCTTCCACATATTCGAAAATCTTCCCTTGGAAGCTGAAATCGAAGATCCGACTACCCAAAGACACTAGAAGAGAGACAGCCAGTGTCTTCTTCCAATTGAAGATAGGGCACGGATATTTAAAGGACTACCTTCATCGATTCAAGACATCTACCAGTGAGAAGTGCTCATACGGCCAAAAGGGAACCTCTCAGCATCTCCTTCTTAGCTGTTCTATTCATAATGAAGCTAGAAAGAGGTTATGTAAAAGGATTGGAACCAAGAGGCTTACGCTAAAGCTTTATTGCATACCACTATCGGAATCGAAAATACTATTGAATTTTTAAAGGAAACAAGGATAGCCATAAGGAAGTGGCATCTTGAAAGAAACCAAATCGAAGAGGGTGAGGAAGAGGAGAGTGAAGAAGATGGAGAAAGTGAAGGGGAGGGGGAGAGGGGAAGAGCTTAAATCTTGCTCAAAAACCAATTTTCTTTTGTTTTGCTTTTTGCTTTTACATCAGGGCCAGCCCCTTAACATTCACTTGATACCCAGTGACTACTACTATAGGAACGTTTTGTAAATACAAATAGATAGACTTGCTAGAGCTACGAGCTCCAGCCGTCCTACATAGTCATAGACTGATACAGGACGTTAATGGAACAATCAATCAATCAATCCAGTCGATTGGCATTTTCATCAATCACTCAATATTCTCCTTGCCAACTTCTTCTATCATATACAAATTTCAATCTTGAAGCAATCGATAACAATACAAGATATAGTGATCTTTGCTTATTATAGTTTTGATAATAACGATTATATTACTTTGAATAAATTGTATTATGAATACATATATTATATCATCTAGCATTTATATTGAAAGTTCGATATCCCTTATATTTTTCATCTTTCTAGATTCTTTTTAAACCAAACAATAATTTATTTGAAAAGTATCATTTCCTACTTGGATTTCGACAAATTACAATATATAAGTCTAGTACCCTACTTTCCGGCCACCTCTCTTTCCGGACACTTTTTTACACCAAAAATCATCATTTTCACCTATTAATATTTCAACAATTAATTAATTAAATCGATTGAAATTATAATTGTAGATTTATTATATAGTTATCAATCAATCTTGAAAATTTTAGATTTTTCACTATTGATTTGATTGAGAATTGAAAGGTTAAATTTTTGAATTTTCAATTTATATAGGATTTACATACAAAATTGAAAAATTATTAAAAATAAATTATAAATTTTTTTCGAATATTTATATCACAATTGATCAAATAAATCAATTTATTTTAAAAAAATATTTTACAGAAATCCTTTTAATCAAAATATTATAATTTTTAATCCTTATAAAATTTATAAATATCAATAAAGATTTATTTATATTATTAAAAATTTAAAATCTTAATCTATTATACTGTAACGATCTGATCGAGGCAGCGGCTGTCTAAGGTTTTATATAATTGATAATTATAGATTAAGGCTAATAATCATTAGTTATTTATTTGAAAGTGAATTTGTTATTAGATCAATTGAAATGTAAATAAACTAATTGATAATTAAATTGAATATAACACTCTTAAACTATAAAACTATTTTGATTATATATTAATCTATTTCAGAAATCTTCAGAAATATAAACTCTTGTAAACTCTTTGAAACCCTTAAAAGTATAAGTTTTTCGAAATTCTATTATATAATTAAAATCAGATTATATATTCGAGTTTTTTGAAGATAGAAAGATTATATAAAACAATTGTTATACAAATTTATATATAAATTATTTTGCTTTTTAAGAAAATTCAAGTTTATAAAGATAGATTGATTATTATTTTGTAATATTCTATAAAATAATTCTATAATATTATTCTTTTTTTAATTAAGTATCGTTTTTAGTTATTTATAATTAATATATAATTTATTAATTTTTATTGTTTTATATTTTGATTCTTTTTTTTATTATAAATAATTTATAATTTAATAAAATTTATTGAAAAAATAAAAAGAAATTCTATTTTATAATTGAAATCGAGGATTTTAATATCGAAATGATTCTATATATTTATTATTATATAAAAAACTTTCGTTATATAAAAATTCTGAATAATTTATAAAAGATTTGTTGTTCTAAATATTGTAACGATCTGGTCGAGGCAGCGGCTGCCTGAGGTTTCGTATGGTTGGTAGTTATGGGTTAAGGCTAATAATCACTGGTTATCCACTCGAAGGTGAATACATTACTAGATCAATTGAAATGTAGGTAAACTAATTGATAACTAAGTTGAGCACGAAGCTCCTAAACTATGAAACTATTCTGATTATATATTAATCCATTTCGGGAGCCCTCAAGAGTATAGGCTTTTCGAAGCTCCATCACATGATTGATCCTAAAGCCTTTCCTATCCTAAAGCCTTTTCTTTCCTGAAACATTTGTCCTAGAAGCTTTCCCTTCAGGAATTATAGCTCTAAAATATAATATCCTTTAGAATGATAGTTCTATTACAATCAATTAGATAGAACACTTGTTTTATTTTATTATGATTGCTTAGGATACTTATCCTAGGAATCCTGAGGTCCTAGGCTTAGGTAATCAGGACCCCCGAAAGCAATGGTTAAATCACGCCCCCCCTATAGTCGACATATAAATCACCGACGTCAATAATACTACTATAATCTAAACCGTGAATTGTGATAGTTATGGTATCGGCAAGCCGACAATTAATATTATTTGAATTTGAAAATAAAATAAATTTGATATTTTTTAAAAATAATATTATAAACCAAAGATATATTATTAAATCTTAAGAATTTTATTGTTTTGATTGATTATTATAATACAATAACTCTTTCAATCTTGTTAATTTATTATCAATTCTTTAAACATGTGAATATATACACAAACTTGCGCCTCTCTAATATCAAATAATCATGATAGGTCGCTTAGCTCAGCTGGTTAGAGCGTGGTGCTAATATCTTCTTTGAGAAAATCAGAGAGATTCCAACGCCAAGGTCGGCGGTTCGATCCCGCCAGTGATCAATTCCTTTTTGCGCTTCTCTTGCATCAAAAATAATTCAAAATAGTCACGAATTGATGGAGATATTGTCTTTTGAAATTGGGGTAGTTTGAACAGCAGAGAATTTAACCGAGGTGAATTTGTGATTTAACGGATGCAATTTCGGATTTGTTTTCTGGTTACTGGAGATGAGACTCATTCACTTCTTGAAAAATAACAAGGTTACAATCGTACAATCAAATTTTAAAATTGTTACAGTGCATGCGGGTGGAGACTTAGGCGGGTATAAGTGTGGTGGGGTGGAAAATGAAGGGGTTGGTTCTAGAGCTAAGCGAGCCGTGAACACAGAAATCTAAACGCCCTTGTCGGCATTGTTCCGAAATGCCGACTCCTCAACATAGCTTCGAGAGGATGTGGTTCTACGAGGAGCAATTTCATGCCCTCTTCGTACCACGACAATTATCGGCTTGCTTCAGTCCGGATGCGAAAGACGACATTAAACCATACATTCATTGCCGGGCTCTCCAGCTGAAGCCTGAAGCACGGTATTCATTCCAGAAATAAAACATGGCAGCGACAATTATTATTAATCTATACTTTCATACAAAAACACTTAAATCGTTTATACAGATAATTTATTTCCTCCTTTCAGTCCTATTAACGATATTACTCACTTATTTCACCCCTTTCAATCCTTCCCTCCCTCCATTCCTGGTCATAAGTTTTCCTTGACCCCCCCAGTATCCTCCTACCTTCTTTTCTCCCGGTCTTTTCATTCCTTCGCCCATTTCTACTAACTTCCCTTCCTCCAACACCTCCTAGCAATGCCCCTCCTAACGTTCCTAATCCAGGCATTATCAAATCACCAATTGCTCCTCCGCCAAATGCTCCCAAAAATGTATTTCTATCTTTGTGGTCATGTCGAGCTTGAGCTCTTGATGATCGTGGGTTTTGGGAACGTGAATGTGAGTGGCTACGTCGATCTCGACTCAGAGATCTTGTAGAGTGAGCTCGAGAATGTGGATGAGCACGATTCCTAGATCGTGATGGTGATCTTTCAGGTGAAGAGTAATACGAAGGAGATCTTGAACGTCCTCGGTGATGATAGCCCGGTATATGTTGGGCAAGATATCGTGGATCGGGCGGTTCAGATATTGAACGACGAGGGCGAAGATGAGGTGGAAGGTGTTGAGACGATTGGGTTCCTACGGCGGGATATTGATGATGTTCATCGCCATGATAAGGTGGCTGGTTGGAAGTTTGGTAATTGTAATGTTGAGGTTGGTGATTGTGGTCAGCAATTTGTCGTTGAGGCTGGTAATATGATTGTTCAGAGGAATATCCCTGTGAATTGTAAACAGCAGGTGGTGGATTGTCTGGTCCTTGATTTCCTGGAATATCAGATTGTGGTTGTTGATGATATGTGGAAGTAGGATATCCGGATCCAGTAGTTCGTTTGAATCTACCTGGACCTGGTACGGTCTGTGGAGAGTGACTGTAATAGTCTTGTGCTGTCATCGTGATGTTTAAATTTCTAGACTTTACCTGGAGGTTATTTTAAGTTCTTCTAGAATTTATACGACTTAAATATGAATTCTGTCTTCATCAGAAATGTTCATCACAAGGCTCAGCGGATCAAATAGACGTCACTATACATAGAGCCAAGATCAATTATTCTACACTCAACATCGAACTTACGTCATGAATTAGAGGGAAGGAAGTGAACAATGGGAACGTGGGACGTAAATTGGAAGGATTTACAGGTCATTTTGTATTTGATGTCTTAGATATACATACGGATATCGTTTGCCGGGGAGAAAGATAAGATGTGTGCGTAAGGCTAGCTATTGGGATTTGAGTTGCGGGGTATGCTCGCATCCCCAACAATTTTATAAAGCTGGTTATGGAAACTCCTTCAATACTCACACACACAGTATATATCTTCCAGAAAAATCTTGGACCTATACGTTTAAGAATCTCGCGTGACAGTGGCGAGATTCCAACATTTTCATTGTTCTGAAAAGTAAGATCTTACATTTGCGGAAAAGGATCATCCCAATTAACCTCATGATCAACGCGTCTTAGAAGAATGGGCCGATCCTTACTCCCGCAGGAGAGCAGTATTTCTGGTTTTTCTTTTCCAATATTTGAGTATGCTGAGATACCATAGTCAATATTTGCAGCATCTTTATAACCTCACTCTGAAACTTAAGCTCCTGGTATCCTCTCCGTGCGTGCTTCTTACGCAGTATTATCAAGGGAATCAGTCAAACAAATTTCAACAAAATCTATAGCAAACCCAATCAATGCAAGTTGCAAACCTAAAACATATCTATATCATATCTAAAGTAAATAAGATTTTAATTAATGTCACAGAATTATCGTGCTTTGGCGCCTTCAGGTTCTTTACAAAGTCAATTATTTCTTCGTCATTCAACTGGCAACCCGTTAATTCTCCATGCTCCACATCGCAATTCGTGACAGAGCTTTCGATTTCAAATAACCTTACAAAGTTGTTACATTTAGATTTCATTTCATATAATCTTCAGCATAAATCAGATCGAATTTTCAAAATTATATGAAGTAAGATATTCAAATTATGTTGTAATAATATCCATCGAATCGGATCTTTTGATATAATTTTCAAGATTCTAGTCCCAGTAGTTGTCAAATTATCAGTTATTGAAGTCGAAGTAATTGGAAGAATTTTTCGGAAATGTCACTTCCATGTCCCAAGAGAAAACGCGCCCAGTCAGCCATGCAGGCCGCCGGGCATCAAGGACGTCTGAATTCAACAACACTTTCTTATGTGCTCCAATCATGTCGTGTAATATCAAGCTGCGCGACATCCTGCCTGTTTTGTCGATATCCGTCCGTACCAAAGAAGACGAGATGGTAACAGCACGTATGCCCTATCTCCTGATTGGACGCATTATTCTAACGGAGGACACGGCTAGGAGATGCGAAAGATGTTAGCTTGACCCAGCAGGATATTTGAATGCATTCAAATATCCTCGTCTGGGCCACAACCTCAAATGTGCTACCCTTGATATAAACGGTCAGATAGAAGAATGGTATCTATGTCGTTACCCCTCGGTGAAAGACATGCCCCCATATCACCGCCAACAATACTGACGCATAAGGGTTGCTGCTCCCTGGCACAACGCAACGGCAAACAACTAAATTCACCTTGATCAAGCTCACAAGGTTAATTCGAGTCCGTGGATGTCCGAATACAGCGCACATTTGGATTTTGGTTCATTGTTGATCAGCCTGACAGTCTCTCCAAAGTTAAAATGGGAACCATCGTAACTATGGATATAGGATTGATACCCGAGGTCTGCAAGTTGATTGGAAATCACTATCAAGAGACAGAATCGTCAAGTCCATACGTACTTGCAAGACTACTGCTCGAGATCTGTTATGAGATTGCAAGCTACTTTTCAGAGTCTCCTACGGAGAATTGGTTCCATGGCTAGTGTCCATTGGCAACCTGCGGAACCTTCAAACTGTCAACTGTTGGACTAGAACATTGCTTTTTAAATGTTGGTCATCAGAAATTATTCATCTCGGTATATCTAGGTGAAGTTCTCGCCATGCAGGCATTGTAAGCTTGAGCTTCCATAGTACCATTTCAGTTTGTGACGCAGCCACTTTCTTTGCTTCGAAGAAAGATAAACTTTGCAATATTCTCGTTTTATACCATTTAATAGAAGCTCAGTCCCTCTAAGATTGCTATTTTCATCGGTTGGTATCGGTTGGTAGCTGTTAGTTGACAACTCAATCGTCATGATGCTTTGGCCCTCGAATCTGCGATTTACTCTGTGTTCAAGAAGGACTTCCGCTCTCACCCTTCCTCCAATAGAAAGGGTAAATTCTGCTTTTCCAGAACTTGGCGATAGCCCATTGAGTTGCGTTTGTATTTCAATAAATAGATGTTTCAAGTTCTGTGCTGACAGTCGACATCATAGTAGTATTCTCGATGGTTGTTTTATGCACCATAACACTAGGATCAACAACTATGGCTAGCGATATTTATCCTGTCCGAGTCAATTTAGCTTTTAAAAATGAGAGAATAGGATGATTATCTGCAAAGTAACGCTGCTGCCTATTTATATGCTAAAAGTAAGGCAAACTCAACGACGTCTATCATCATATTGAAGTTGTCATGTCCTAGCCCTTCCTTAATACATTGCAGCACAACTATAGAAGACTGCAGGCAAGATGCGTAAACGTATTTTGTTGTAACAAATAGGTCGAAGAACACAAGTCTTCGTTGACTTATACATCGACTGTGCAATCACAGGTCATACGGATCAGGTAAAAATGGCTTCAAAAAAGAACACGCTCCGAGATAAACTGACACTAGCTATAAAACTATTATCAAATCATGCAAACACGATTTAGATATTCGGGCATGTTGCCAGAGTGGTTAATGGGTAAGACTTGAATGAATAATTCGGTTATCTTATGGTTTCGGCCTCGTAGGTTCAAATCCTGCACATGTCGTTTTGTTTTTACCTTGGCCATTTCCTTCCTCCAACTTTGATTTTCCATCCACCATTTAATTTAGTTTTACTACATTTTGGGCTCACTTATTTATTTATTGCAAAAAAGTGAGTGAAAACCAAAGATTTATTTGATTAGATCAAAAAGAAGATGGAAATTGTATCAGAGAATAAAATAGTCTTCGTAATGGCTCTATTTTTTGATGGGGTAAAAGACAAATATTTTCATATTCACCCCACGCACCCCCACCCCATAAAATTCAATCCACAACAACTTCCCCAATTCTCAACTATATTTGACTATTTTGGATTCAAAATGAACGCCCTCATGAAGCGGAAAGAGGCAAAAGGTAAATTGATCCCTACGAGTTTCGAACTCGCGACCTTGGCGTTTGAATCTTTCTGATTTCAATGAGCAGAGAAGATATTAGCACCACGCTCTAACCAACTGAGCTAAGGGACCTGGTTGGTTATTGATTCGATGGGGAACCGACAACTAAAAGGGTAGATAAACTAATGACGGAAGGTGGGTTGAAGGGAGTGGAGGTGAAGTGGATAGGAAAGTGGAAAGTGGAAGGCGAAAGGGGAGAGGGGACAGGGGATGGGGAGAGGGAGAGAGGGGATGATGGAGTCTGAACGATGTAAGAGCTAATGAAAGAGACGTAGAGGTTTTTAAATATGAGAACATAGGTGACTTGTAGAATTCGAACTTCGATTCAAGAATCGAAATGTCATAGATATCGCAACTAGCCACCGTTGATGAAGAAATAGGTTCTTGCATAGATTGGAGACCCAAAAAAAAGCGCATAGAGCTCAACGTTCATGATAGAGGGGCAATGTCCATTTTGATTAGCTGTTACTGCAGCCGAAGAATATCAATAACAATGATAAATGCTTCCTTGTATACAATAAAGAAAGAATATGCTTTCCAAAGCAAAGTCCTACAGAATCAAAGTGGAATGTAAACAAACGCTCGAAAATACAAATTCGCAGATTCATCCCATTTCACTCCAACCCAATGTTAATATATGTATTCGTGCGGTCCCTTATGCGCCAATGATATTCCCTTCAACCGGTTCCGTACGATCAGAATGAAAGCAAAGTGATACTTTCACTTTTTAGCCTTTCTACCAGCTTTCTTAGGCGCCGACTTTTCTTTCTCTTCTTCTACTTCCTTTAGTTCCTCGTTTTTGGATTTCTTCGCAGGGTTTTTTTCGCTCGCCTCCTCTTCATCATTCTCATCACTTGGTTCGTCGCTAACGTTCTTTCTCTTTTCTAAAGCAGCCTTTTGTTCCTCCTCCTTAGCAGCATCTATCTTCGTCCCTCCAGAAGATTCTTGTGACTTTTCCTGTTGTCGAGCACTACTCCTCGTTCCTTGCCTTGGTTCCTTCTTTGGCTTCGGGCTCTTCTTTGGACGAGCTGTGCTTCCTGCATTTCTGGGTCTACCTGGGCCTCTCTTCTTAACAGTTGGTTTGTCCTTGGCTTCTATATCCGGCGTGTTATCGTCCGTTCCACTCGCTTTATCACCAGCGGTTTCTTTGGCATCATCTTCCTTTTCCTTCTCGGCCTCTTCCAATTCAGAAGCTTTTTCCTCCTCTGACTTCTTCTCAGGTCGACCTTTCTTGGGTTTGTCTTTAGAGCCAGGTTCGTTCTCATAGTCACCCCCTTCAGCTTCGTATCCTTTTGCTATTTTGCTAGCCTGAGAAGTAACATATGATCAGTAAAAAAGCGACCTGGGTAGAGGTAGAGACGAAAAAAGACACCCAGAATTTGGATGCTATGGAATCAAACGACCTACCTTCCATGCAGCCATCTTTCCTTTACCGCTACCATCTTTATTGGGTTGTTGTTTGACTTCTGTTTCGTCTGCTGTTAAGAATGGATCGCTGACAATCAGAGGCAAAGGAGATTTCAAAGGGGTCTGAACAGGAAAAAGATAAGAAATTTCTTTACTTTTAGTAATGTCTTCCTTAAGTTTTGGGTCAGTTGGTTTTCCTTTAGCAGAGGGCATGTTTGCTATAGTGTTGAGAGTGAATCCAAGCTTTGATAGCGAGAAATCACCGGTGATGGACGATACGAGATGAGTGGGAAATGGATGCGCATGGATTACCCAGCACGGCAAGGGTGTGGAAAGAGGTAAATAAAAGACTTACGGAGCAATAAGGTTACAACATTCCTGGGAAAGTGCGAGGTCGGGGAAAGAGGGGAATCGATGCCGTCAGTATATCGTGGCTGCATGGGGTAAATGGGGGGCTAATTGTAGGCTTTTATCAGTTGCTAGGGCATTCATTTACTTACTGGCCTAGTAGGTGAATGAAAACATTGGATTCATCGTTCATCCCGAGGTCTTCAGAGTGCACAATTCAAATCTTCTCCAAATGAACTAACCTTATAAGTTGTATAAAATCTTCATGGAAAAGTAGGATTATCATGAGAATAAGAATATTGGCTTAGGTGATTTCTCTGTTAGAACAATTGAATGAATGAGAGTTGGAGCAGAGCCATGACGCAATCTATGTTTTGGCGGATGCACTCCTTTACAAGCCTGATAACACTTTGAACCTTTAACCTTATCATCTTACCTCTTTGTTTTCAAACTAATACTTCGATTATTGGCCCAGTCTACTATTATGAGGCCTAAATAACACTAGACAGGTGCTCAGGATCTCCTATAACCAGACGCTGCAAAACTGCACACGCGCGAGATAAGGTTACCGATTATTCAATGCCTTCATCGGATTTCTGCCAGCTGTTCCTCAAGTGAGACATTTCCTCGCAGTTGTTAGAACGAAATCCTAAAGTGAGCGCTATAGTTGCAGCAATACACACGGAAACGGTACGAATAGAGAGCTCGTTGATTGTGGCACGAGAATGTTTCCGTCCCTATCATTTTCTCTACTCTCAGTCTCTTTGGTATCAATGAACAAGAACGACGTGTTGAAGAGGCCACCAGATATTCTGCCGAAACACTTAGAGATGGCTGTGGGAGAGCAGAACTTCAGACATGAGTATGACGAAGATGCCAGAGAAATATGTTGGGTCGTGTCTACCGAGTGGAAACTCCTAGGGGATTTATCTGATGGCTTCATGTGCACACCCATCCAGTGATTTGGTTTAGCTTTCTTGCATGGTCGTCGAGGATTCACTGAAATAACAAGCTGAGAAAGTTCTCTTGGATGGCTACGAACCTTTGAACTATAGGTCGATATCTATTCACTTGGCTACATTGAAGTCTAAAATCCGGGCGTTTATTTAGAATGTATTTGATTTGCTCTTGGACACGGTATAAAAAGAGATCTTTCCGAGCAGTTATTCACTAGAAGTAGACGTATTAGATTTCATCTCATACTCACTACCCATTTTCTATGTAATAGTGATGATGATATGAGAATATTAGATCAGACCAGTTACAAAGTTAATCCCAAACACCTCGGCACAGGACGACGCGTCTCCAACTACATCAAACGCGTATAAGGCTATCCATCCTCTTTTCTATACAATTCTAACAGTATAACCCCTAGCATCCAGAAGAAATCTTTTAACAACACAATTTTGCCAGTAATGCAAAAATGGCTCATCGTCTACAATCCCAGTCAGCAAAGAAAAGAACGTCAACGGCGAAGATCACGAAGGCAAAGCCATCTTACGAGGAGTAGGTTCTTTCAACAGTCTTCATCAATCTGATATACCTATACCAATGTTGTTTTATACATTAAAAACTAAAGTTAAGCTAAGAGAATTCCAACAGCATGCTCGATAGCCCCATAATAGATCTCTACATAGGTCCCAAACGCAAAAAATTCAGTATCCACCGTGGGCTCCTCTGCGCCAAATCCCCCTTCTTCGCAGATATCTTCCTCAACAACGATGAACTCAGCGAGGAAAAAGAAGACCACTATCTACCCAAGATGAGCGCGGAACATTTCTCCATCATAATGAAATGGTTGTATCGCGGGACTCTCGACACAGAATTCGAGAAAGAAGGAAATAAACCCAGTTGTGCAGCCATCGAGGTTTACGCCTTGGCCCATCATTTGGGAATGTCAGAAATGATGGATAAAGTATTATCTGGACTGGGAAGGAGATATGTGGAGAAGAGGTTCACGCCGAATGTTTTTGCAATTGAGTTGGCGTTTGAATTGACGGAACCCGTGGCACCCAAGGATCGAGATTGTGGACTGAGAAGGTGGATGGCGAGATGGTATGCTATTATGCTGCTGTTTCCAGATGGGGTGTCGTCGACGGCTGGTAATACTATCTCAGAGGAGAGTTTGACTGAGTTGGGATTGAGATTTCCGTCTTTGTATCGCAGTGTGGTTGGAATATTGAGAGGGGCGGAAGGATGGAAAGATGTTAGAACAAAGTTTTATGAGGAGAAGGTATGTTCATTTCATGAGCATGAAGCTGGTGATAGGACCTGCGAGGATATTGGAAAGTTCTGGGGTATCTTTAGGAGTAAGGAAACGGAGGCTGGGTGGATGTCGGTGAGTAGAATGGGTATTTAAACGGAGGTGTGTATGAAGGTCATGTTTTTTAAGGCGCAATTGGGTAGAAAGATGCGTTGCGGGAAATTTGATATGCATGGCATTTATTTGCAGTTCGGAGCACTGGATATATTAAAAAAAAGAGATACACTTTCCTTTAATAAGTCAGTTGTAGTGCTGGCTATTCTGCGTGTACACGTATTTGTATTTAATCAACGCCAACACTTATGGTTAAATTGAGGCAAATACAGCGGAGGGATAAACAGTATGCTCACCAGCCTCATTCCATGAAAATTATGTAGCAATTACACCATCTCAGCTGGATTTGACCTCTGATGATATATTCTGGAAAAGGATTTGATGAGGAATAAAGGCAGCTTTGTTCAGATACCGCTTGTTCCAGGGCAGTATGAAAGATCTTCACCAATCAAGAAAACACAATCGCAAAATTGTCCTTTATTAGAGTGAAAAAGCCTTAGTCTGTGGATAGGTTCGTCATTCCACCAATATGGACTGCAAAAATGCAATGATATCGTTTCCAAGCAGCGCAAAGAGGGGAGACTTTCGCAGTCGCAGTAACAGTGCCAAATACAGAGTATCTTCATGTCGCAAAGATTTGTAAACCAACCACCCCACGCCTATTAACCACTCCCAAAAGTTGTGATCCCGTGAATGTCACATTCCCTCCCAACCATAACCATTAACTCTCCACCCTCTCCATTTACTTCTTGGCTGGGTACTTGGTCTTGAAAAGGTACGAGCTCAGGTAATAATCTCCAACAGCCAAAACACCGACCACACCAGCCCACGCACCGACAACCTTCCATGTCAACTCTCCCTTTGCGTACTTTTGGTATGCTCCGAATCCTAACCCAGTGCTCAATGCCGCAACAGCAATCGCATTTCCAATAACTACTGGGTTATCGCTGTTCTCTTGAACACGGCTCTTGCCCTTCTTTGATCTCTTGGCAGATGCATCCTTTGCAGCGCGGATCTTGGCTTCAATTTGTTCAGCCTCTTGCTCGAGACGATTGGCTTGTGTCTCGGTCTGAACTGGTTGTGACTGGAAGTCTGAAGGAACAGTATGCACGGAATCGGTGTCGACGTCAATTAGGGAAGAGGTGGAGGTACTTTCGGTGGGGACGACAGATGGCGGGGCCGGAGCACGTTTCTGTGGTGGGATGATTAGTTCTTGACCTGAATGGGTAGTAAACATCCTCCGAGGTAGAAAAGATTCCTTTGACGATAATGAGAAAGGAGATACTGGTAAGAGAATAACAAGTAAATAGAGCCAAGGGGAATTGTAAACATACCTCCTCATCAGTCTGTTGTGGACCTGAAGCTGCTGCTTGTGCGTATGACATCTTATAAGATTTGATATGTGAGGACGGGAAGATATTTGGTATAGGATTTGCGAGTGTCAATTTTCGTCGAGGATGTATCGAAAGAATAGTATCTGAGTGATGAGGAATTGATCGAATAGAGTGGATGAGCGATAAAAGTTGTGTGTGAACAAGGAAATCCTACATGTGAGAAACCGGGAAGAATTCAATCAGGTCGGTCGGGTGTGGCTGAAGATGTGGCGGAAGCTGTATCTTTCGCTTAAAGTGGAGGGATGAGAAGAGAAGAGAAGAGATCCTATTTGTTGACGTAGGCGGCTCAATGAGATGGGATGAACGTGATTCTAGATCCCAGCAAGAAAAGTAGCAACATATATATATATGTTGAGTGGCACAAATCATACAAATGAGCTTATATATCACTTTAACAAGTTGTTGACGATTTATCGATGGTAGCGATTGCTATTTCTAGATCTGCAACCTATGTCAAGTAGATAACCTATACAACGCAAAAGTTTACGAAATTGGCTCACAAACACATCAGTTCTTGTGATCAAGAATGTGCAAGTCCGGAGGAACAAAGAATCGAAATTCCAAGACTACAAACCAACAAGATCCAAATTGCTATGACATCCGTGATTATATATTGTGGAGAATGCTTCGACGCTTTTTGTCTGTTATTACATTTAGTAAGTTACAATAAATTTACAGTCTATAGGACCTATTTTGCCGAAGTAGCATCATGAGCAGCTCTTGGTACTAATTCTCCTCCTTCATCTCCCGAATGTTGTGTAGGCTCTGGTATTGTGCTGCTTTGGCTATCTCGATGTTTCTGTTCCTGGGGACTTGATTTCGACTCGGTAGGTTTTTGTGTGGTTGGTGTTATTGGCTCCGAGGACTTCCCTCCAGATTTCTCTTCAGATTCCTTTGATACCGAAGATTTTTGCGTAGATGATTCTGAACCTTTCTCTGATCCATTTGCCGCCTCTCTTGCTCTAAGTTCCTCCTCTACCTCGGCCTCATCATCCTCCAACTCCGATGCATACATCTCTGGGTGTGCTCGGAAGCAATCTTGCATTCCCCTGGATATTTGTTAGTCATGCCTCTCCCAGAAAATATCAAAACTTCGAACTCACTTGAACTTTTCTATGCATTCGACACCCTTTGGCTCCTCTTTAGAGTAAACAAAACAGCTGAACGCAGCTTTGAACTCTTCTCCACAAGGTCCATGTGCCATACCTCCTAAACAAGGACAATCCCAATTGATTTCACCAGTTTCCGGATTAAATGCACCTTGTTGACCAGCTTCATCCTCTAATCCTTCCATACCCCCTTCCTCCTCGGCTCCATCTTCTGCGACAACTGCTTTCGCGGCTGACTCGTGTTCCTTCCTCTCCTGTTCTGCCGCTGCTTCTGCTTGTCGCTTTCGCTTTTCCTCAACTACTGCATCTAGGGTGGGTAAATCTGATTCTCGGACTTTATGTATTGATTCATCGAGTTTTTGAATTGCTGTAATGCCAATCAGCACCTTCTTGAGAATCGCCCCGCAGCTGCCAATATTCTCATACCTTCCGGTTCGTCCGTGAAAACATTGCTCGTATTATACCAATATATTCCTGCGCCAGCCAATGCCCATCTAGCAGCATTACTTTTCCAACTCCGGGACTTTTGTGAGGGTGGTGCTGTACTTAAAAATCGTCTCGCAGAAGCGGTATTGATGACAGATTTGGTTTGCGGTGATGCGCATCTCGGCGCAGCTCGGAGAACCGACTTGTACATACTGAGCTATCTTTCAAGAAAAGAATGTGAAAATGAAATTGGAATGGAAAATGCTAAACGAAAGATTGGGAATCTCAGAAATTGGCACTTAGACATGTAAGTTGTGTTTGTAAGCATTTATCTCTAGATTTTCTGATGGCCGAATTGATCCGATGGAATTTCTAGAAAATAAATGAATCATGTCATGTGATTGAAGATAAGATAAGATATGATCGCAATTTGAGTTCTAAAACCATAACTTCTATGTTTTCTTTTCCTTTTCATAGTAATCCTTAGCCCCTCGCGATGAGTTCATCAAGTCAGTTTGACTGTCGGCTGTAGTCTATTCCTTTTCTTCCTCATCGTTGAGACTTTCTGAGTTTCTCGGACAGTTAGCGCTGACTTCGCCTCAACACTATTACAATCCTTTTCCCTTAAGCCCACTAGACACAATCGAAACGGCTTGAAGACCATGGCGTCTGAAGATGTTATCACCTGGCATCCTGCTGATATATTCTCTGATCAGCCAGCCGATCACAAAGAATTCGCTCTCATTGCTTTAAACCAGCCTCTAGAACTTCCGTCTAATATCTACAAGAAGCTATGGGATAATGCTGTCTATCACATCGCAGCTGACGGTGGAGCAAACCAAGTGTATGATAAAAATCATAAGACATCCTTCAATGGAAATGCTTCGGACCCAGCTCTCCAAAATGAGAGGAAAGCTAAAAATTATCTTGATATTGATACTATCATTGGCGACTTCGATTCTATATCCTCCAGCCTTTTCAAGTATTTTGAGAATAATGGCACGGAAATTATTCGAGATGGTGATCAGTATTCCACAGATTTTACGAAAGCAGTGCGATATGTCAAAACATTTGAGCAACCTGTAGACTCGGAAAGGACCCCGCCATGTCCCCATCGGCAGAAGAAATTGGATCAATTGAAGCAGCTACCCAAATCTCTCGACATTATTTGCCTCGGCGGCTTAGGTGGAAGAGTTGACCAAGCCCTTTCGCAACTTCATCATCTTTATATGTTCCAACAAGAACCAAATTACTCTAAGGGCAAAATGTACCTAGTTTCTAGTGAAGCCATAACTTTTGTTCTCAAGGCTGGAAAACATAAAATCAAGATCAAGGAAGAGGGTAAATTGCTAAAATTGGGAAAACATATCGGGATTTTACCAATAAAAGAGCCATCAGTTATTACCACGCAGGGTTTGGAATGGGATGTCACTGATTGGAAGACGGAGTTCGGGGGTGAAATGAGTACCAGCAACCATGCGAGGGAGGATTGGGCAACCATTGAAACCACGAAGGATGTTGTTTTTACGATTGATTTTGTTCTCAGGAGCTTGGATGAATGAGATCAATTTGGCCCGACGGGCGATTCGATATAATTTCAGTCCACCGCAGAATCAACATGGTCTCATGGCCCTGTGCCACATATTTGCCATACATTCCTCAAGGGCGTATCTGCTTCCTGGAATCCATTTTGGTTGTGGGTACCTAGGTAGCACATCCTATCGTACCACGGCTTCAGCACAAAGAATGCCTGATGAGGCGGATTCTACCGATGGCTATATTACTGGCTAGTCCTACGCACCTATGTGCGCATCACCCGATATCCTACTGGCTGTCTTGTCTATTAGGCCCCTAACGAAATTCAAACCGCACTCTTTTGTATGCTCTGTCGCTGTTCCGCTTTGTGAAATGTACTCGACTAACAGAAGTAGAAAACCTTCTAGGAATTGAGTCTAAATCCAACTTTGGAATCTGGATGTACTCTGCGTTCCCAGTGTATGAAATTGAATGTTTGAACTAGCGTTCGCGCCTAGTAGGTTAGTACCTACCTACTTAAACAGTTCTGACGAAAATGTCAAAAGACATTGTACCATATATTATATATAAATAATATGTATTACATAGTATAGTTATATATTTATATCCTTCGGATCAATCAGTGAATGGCCAGTCTGGAACCAGGTTTTATATATATAATTACCTACTTAGGTATACCTTTCTCTAGTGATATTGTCCGGCTGCGGCTTCTCTTTTCTCCACGAAAATCCCATGTGAGTTGCCCCTCTCTAAACCACTCTTGGACTAGCCCCTTGCCGATAAGCCCACCTTCCCGATAAGCATGCGACCCAACCAAATTTTCTTCAAGATATTTTTCTCAAGACTCATATTCTTCTTTCATTTCAGCCTTCACTCCTCACTCCTCGTTCCTTGTATCTTCCCATATCTCCTAAAATCACTTCAAAATGTCTTCTACACAAATTCCCGCTGAGATCGAACCTCACAGGGTTTACGATACGATCCTTACTTTGGATTTTGGTTCCCAATACACTCATCTTATCACTAGACGTTTGCGCGAACTCAATGTCTACTCAGAAATGCTTCCATGTACCCAGAAGCTTGCAGATCTTGACTGGAAGCCAAAAGGTATCATTCTGTCCGGAGGTCCATACTCAGTATATGAAGATGGTGCACCACACGTCGACCCCGCTTACTTCGAGCTTGGAGTTCCCATTCTCGGTATATGCTATGGCATGCAAGAGATTGCCTATAGAATTAGCAAAGACAACGTTATCGCTGGCACAGCTCGTGAATACGGACATGCTGACTTGAAGGCAAAGAAAGTTGATAATGGACATGTTGATCGTTTATTTGCAGGATTGGAGGGTGATGTTAAAGTATGGATGAGTCATGGTGATAAATTGGGCGCATTGCCAGACGGATTTCATACTATTGCTACAACTCAGAACTCGGAGTATGCAGCAATTGCACACGAGAGCCAACACATCTATGGTATGGAAATTTAGAATCATCCATTTGGACTATCTTTCCTCCATGAAAATAGAACTAATTAAATTGTAGCTCTTCAATTCCACCCCGAGGTCACTCACACAGAAAATGGAATTCAACTTCTCAAGAACTTCGCCGTCGGTATCTGCGGAGCTCAAACGAACTGGACTATGGCCAAATTCGTGGATCAAGAGATCGCTAGAATCCGCACATTAGTTGGAGAGAAGGGTCAAGTCTTGGGTGCTGTCAGTGGAGGTGTCGATTCAACCGTTGCTGCTAAATTAATGCATGAGGCAATCGGAGACCGGTTCCATGCCGTTCTTGTCAACAATGGTGTCATGAGATTGAACGAATGCGAACAAGTACGAAAAACATTAACAGAAAATCTTGGTATCAACTTGATTGTGGCAGATGCATCTGAACAATTTCTCGACGGCTTAGCCGGACTCGATGAACCAGAAGCAAAGAGAAAATTCATCGGAGGAAAGTTCATCGATGTTTTCGAAGCTGAGGCCAAAAAGATTGAAGACGCAGCCGCCAACTCAGACAAAGCAGGCAAGATCGAATTCTTCTTGCAAGGAACATTATACCCTGACGTCATAGAAAGTATATCTTTCAAGGGCCCTTCCGCAACTATTAAAACCCATCACAATGTCGGTGGTCTTCCTAAGCGTATGACAGAAGGTCAAGGGCTAAAACTTATCGAACCCTTGAGAGAATTGTTCAAGGATGAGGTTAGACAATTGGGACGAGAGTTGGGCATTGCTCATGAACTTGTTATGCGTCATCCTTTCCCAGGTCCAGGTATTGCTATTCGCGTCTTGGGAGAAGTTACCCGGGAGCGTGTCGAGATGGCTAGACAAGCCGACCATATCTTTATTTCCATGATCAGAGAGGCTGGCCTCTACGACAACATTGGGCAAGCATTTGCGGCTGTTGATCCAAGCAGGGCGGTAGGTGTTATGGGTGACAAGAGAATGTATGGAAACATTATTATTTTGAGAGCAGTTCAGACAACTGATTTCATGACCGCCATCGCATATCCTTTTGAGAATGCTTTCTTGTCTAAGGTTTCTACAAGAATCATCAACGAAGTTCATGGCGTTTGCAGAGTAGTATACGACTACACAAGCAAGCCTCCCGGAACCATTGAGTTGGAGTAAATATTGAGTTTTGTGTTTAGGCGTTACCTTGGTACATGAATACCTTTAGAATTATAGATAGTCCAGATCAATACAGAGAATGACAAAAAGGAAAAAGTTATAGAATGAAGCACTGAGTCTCATGTGCACTTATAGGTGAACATGACCGAGCGATGCCGCGATGCTGAACATGGATGGTAAAGATATATTCTGAAGTGGGAGGTCTTAGATCTGCGAACGTGATACTCTAAAGGATTCCATATTTTCTCTATTTACTGCCGGCTGTGGTTAGTAGATATGAAGAGAGAGTAACATTTTGAAGGGCATTGAAATCTCATTTGGGTCTTCAAAGTTGTCATTCTTGCTGGAAAATCCTTTTTGCTGAGCCAACTATGAAGACATTATCTCGCATGATATGCGCAAGGTATGTAAGCTTATAGCTTCTGTGTGCGTCTTAAATAGGTAGTCTCTGCAAATTGGAGGGATGACTGGTTCACGCTCACTGAGGATGTAAATGCACTCACTAGACATGGATTGATAAGATTTAGATGCATGGTCAAACTTCGAAAATCCAGACAATTATTATATAGGTACAAAACACGAAATCATATATTCATTCAGTCTTATCCTTAGCTTAGTGAATATTGATTGTTCCAGACATCTCCAACTTTTTCACGTAAATTGTCCTCCTAGACAGCGCCTTGTCTATATATAGTCCATTCTAACCAATTCCGTCTTCTCCCATCTTCCATCTCCCAACACCCAACACCCAACACCCAACACCCGAAACAGTAGCTCGGCATCGATGTGCCTCTATTATGCTATCTCAACATATACCAAGATTGATTATCTAAAAAGAACAAGGAAAGGAATCTAGCCTTGATGAGGAGCCATTCCAAGGGTATTGTTGCCCCCGTTGAAGACGACGAATTGAGACTTGAACATGATGTCACCGTAAATTTGGAGGTTGGAGGTGGTGGCTTGAAGACCTCCGAAACAGGCTGTGAAGAATGACTGTTAGCATATTGTTCAATAGGGAAGCGGATTCAAGGCGTAACTTACTTTTACCAGTGCTATCAATAGGAGCATAGTTGATATCATCACCACGGACAATAGCCATATAATTTCCTCCAACATCAACTGCCAAATCTGGCAATTTGGCTGCGCAAGGGAATGTAACACCGCCGACACTTTGGTCGTTGACAGCACCTTGAACCTTGCTATAGTAACCATTGACGATGTTGGGGTCGGCCAACATAAGAGTGGTTCCGGTGTCAGCAATAGCTTGTCCATTTGGTACGGCAGTCGCGGCACCACCACCAACGCTGAATTTGGTCGAGCTAAATTGCCAGAATCCTTGAGTAGTGTTGACAGCAGCCCAGCTGAGCGATCCATTGAACTTGGTAGAATCAATGTTTCCGAATTCGTAGGATCCAGCAGAGGCTTTGCGGAGATCGGCAGTGAAAAGTGGCATGGCGAGACCTTGTGAGATGGCATTGTCGAAGAAGGTCTTTTGTTGAGCAGGCTTGACAGTGTTGAGTTTGGAAAATGCAAGACCGACAAGTCCGTTAGACTGAGTATCGGAGACGAATGATTTGGAGACGGCAGTGGCCATTTCGATTGCTTGTCCAGTGACGGTTGCTCCTCCAATGTTGACAGTGTCAGTACCAACGTTACCAGCAGCTCCGGATCCGTCACCATATGAGATAGACCAAGTAGCACCTTGCATCATCTTGAAGCTTTTCGATTTGGAGGGATCAAAGTTTTGGTGACCAGATTGAGAAGCGGTTGCAAGTTGAGTACTAAAGACCCAAAGATCAGATGATCCACTGTCGAAGTCCATAGTCATGGTTTGTCCACCAATATTGATTTGCGACAAGTATTCAGTATCTCCGGTCTCTGGCATAGCAACGACAACACCAGTATTTCCTGCGGTCCCGCTACCACTTGCCGCCGCGGCTACCGCGGTTGTGCTTCCAGTTGCGGCTTTGGAGTTTCCTTCTGGGAAGGCAGGGTTGGTATCAGAGTTCAAGGCTTCGACCAATGAGCTTGGAAGAGTCATGGAATGCTTGTTGTATGCCTTGATGAGAGCCCTGGTACCGGCACCAGGTGTTCGGCCGACATAATTAGGATTCGCAACTCGTTCGACTTTGAAGCTTCGCTTTTGCGCTGGATGCGGTGCGGCGAGTACTAAGTTGAGAAGGGCAAGGGCATAAAAGGCTTGAAGTATTGAAGGCATCTTGAATGATTGATAGCGCCACACCAGGTGGTTGTACTGTGAAAAGAAGGGTAGGTCGGCTTGTTTGAATGAAAGACTATTGCTGTCGCTTGAGATGAACCAGACCACAAGAGAGATGAAGATCGCTGAAAATAATGAAGTGAGAAAGAAAATGGATGCCGGCCCCAATATTATTATGCAGGAAATGTAAATAGATATATGAACAATGACTGAAAATCTAGCTGCAAAAAAAAGAAAGACCCTGGAGTATCCTGGGTATGAAGATGGATGGAGATAGAAAGAATAAAACGAAAACACGCGGCTTTTCACGAAGAATAAGTAGGAGAAATATCGTGATTACGCATGAAGCTTTAGACGACTTGATTTACAAGTTTGAAGACAAGGTTCACACGCCAAAGCCGTATGCCATACACAAGCTGCGGCATACTGGTGGAGAATGATACTTATTCAGGAATAGTCCCTAACGTCTTGAGTAACCGGGGACATGCGTGTTTGATCTTTTTCTGGACTTCATGGCGTTGTCTGTGCTTTAAGATTGACGACGAGACTTCTATTGACCCTTGTTTTTGGGGTGGAGAACATTTGCATAAGGAAAGGTTTTAAGAGTATGGAGGTTGTGGAAGTTGAAGTGGAAGTGGAGCGGGAGGTTGTAACTTGTAAGAAAGGTGCTCCGTGCAGCTAAAAATGTCTATACGGATGACCTGGGTAAGACAGGTCGTATCCTTGTCAAAGCCAAACCAGGTGAGTTTGTTGAATTTAAGGCAGCTCAATAAATGGAACGTATATGAAGAGCGTGAAAATTTATAATATGGTAGACTTGGAAGTTGGTACGCAGAAGCAGAACGATGGTAAGATTAGTCATGATATGGGCCCTTTTAGATTCAGGGGAGTCAGAAAAGGTGTCTGAAGCTTGGCATTATCATCAAAATACGAGTACCATTTCGAAGTTATAGAATTAGCCTTTTCCTATTCGTCGTGCTCAGTGTTTTTTTATATTTTATTTCTACTTATTTCTACAAGACATTGGTGAAGCTGTCAGGCTGATCTAACGTTCACACTAGCATACACCTAAATTTTATGAAGGAGACGGACTCATTCATTCATTCATTCTTCAATACAAAACAGACATGAAAGGACTTGTTTGGCCATGGATGACTTAGGGTCCATCAATTGGTTGCAGGCTTGGCACAATTTCCCCTGAAAATAGGGCACAGTGTTAAATAATGGGGAACCTAATAGCCAGTATATTGGGAGGATTCAATGGAAAGCATCGACCATCATGTAAGATTTTAATGTTTTTAGAATTTATTTTCCTAAAGTAAATTCTGATTGGGGTATTATAGAGCATTGAATTTGCATATACGGATCCCATTCTAATACCAAGAGATAGGTCATTTGTTCGAATCAACCATTGTCCTATAAGCCTGTGGTAACCTCTGCAGTTATCCTCATATCAGTGTCATATTGAATGCCGAGCAACTCATCAAGCCCGCCTTCATATAAAATTTCACTTGGTCAAACCCATTTTTCAATTCTCTTCCATAATGATATACAGGTTTAGCTACGTCTTCGGAGCGATCATGACAAAAACGTGCATTTACCTCAAATAATGCTAAGCCTAAGCTTTTCCATCCGACTCCATTCTTAATTTTTAATTTTTAGATGGAAGCAAATTGATGAGGGCGCTTATCATTATCTAATAGAACCGAATGCGTCTCTTGGTTTTCAGATTAGTTTGATGTGATTATACAATGTTTCGAAATTTACAACTTTGATAGAAACCTGATCCGCACATCATTGCCGTGGGTGCCGTCTCTCCAACCTCGCGTACCCCCTTCATCGCACCTTAAAATTTTCTGGCGCTTCGTTAGCATCATCTTTTGACGGCCGCGGCCTAGCAGCCAGTAATTTTTAAAAGAGACAATGAATATCAGATCTTATCCGTTGACGAATCAAGTCTATAGAATGGTTTTCCCACCACTCAAGCTTGAAACCGCTTGGTACTATGCTCTGAAACGTCAGCTTCGGCCACCAATCATCGGATCGTAGTGCATTAAAGTCTTGGAGATGCTTCGCGCGTTAACTAGATTAAAAGAACTTTCCTTTTTTTTCCCTCAAATTTTCTCTTCATGGATAATCTACAAACATTAATGCTAGCGTCCGCTCAATGTGACATTTCACTACATCTCCTATTTCTCATCCTTCTTCTTCCGCTGCATAGCATCGTACTGAGAAAGGGGTTTTACATAGTTTGCCACATCCTTGTAACATAAGAATAAGCTTAAGGAGGAGTGTATCATGGTAGGTAGTATTTTGCTCGTGATTTTTAATTTGCATGGTCTAGCTTGCTTACTTGATTTTGAATTCGTAACCTACACAATCCTGTCAAACCATATCATGTACATTCTCAACTTCTATCATTCCTCTCAATCCTTCCCTTCTCCAAATTCGTACAGTTGATACCATGCCTTCAGGATTTTATTTCAAAAGTAACCTACTTACTTACTTACTTACTTACAATTAACCCTTGAGTTTATTCCGTCCCAATCGTGCCATCAGTGTGGTGACTACCTTGTACGTGTGTGCGTGCGCTTCGGAAGTCCGTACAGGCCACCACCTCACCAGAGGTATTCTCAAACCATTACCGTCTCTAAATATTCCCCATAATCATGGGAAATGGCCATCATACCAATGTCACAAGGCATGCGTGTCCTTGACTCCGCCGATATCTGAAATCTGTAGAGAAAGATCATTCAAGATGGGATGAGATCAAACTCTCAAGACTGGGGGATACATCTCGCGCATCTTTGCGTCAAACACGTCTACCATCGAAGTAAGACACATTTAATCCGCATCTGGAATGGCTGTGCAAGCTTAGGTATGATGTTGATTTGTATCAAAAGCTTGTTCGTAACTTTATCTCAGTACCTGGGAGACGGAGAACCATGTCACTATTGTTCGACACTGATCACAAACCCTCCCTGGAGTTTGTATCGAGCATGTTACTGTTTCGTACCTTCGGGGCATGAATGTTCTGGTTCGTCCAAGGACAAAGTTATCTTCTTAATGGATGTTTTATGATATCTGGAACCTACGCAAAGTAATTAACATCAAGCTTAAGGTGAATTATCAAAGAGTGTCGGTACATCAGGCGCGTATTCCATTGTATCCAGGGCTGGTATGATCGGCTAGATTCTTATGCTTCAGTCTTCAAGGCTCAGATGAACTATGAAACACGGATCTATTGTTACATAAAAATTTGATGGTATCATTAATTGTAGGTCGTCTATGATTGCTTGTTCCTGATTCGAAATATTGGGCACACCTAACATCTCCTTAATTAATACCGGTTAAGTATCAATTCTTTCATTCTTCATATCAGCCATGCTGTAACCAACGACTGCTATTGTACATTGCCGTGGAATTTAATGCGGCTGATTACCACGCTGCACCCCCGCAAAGCTTGAATGTGATGGCGCAGGCATGTAATACTCGAAGTCGTTCTATTTATTTATTTTTTGACGTGGAAGAATAGTATCCTTAACCTTACTTGAATATTGCTTGACCAAATATGCATGAGAATTAAAGCGGTCTCGTAGGAGGAGACTTATATCTCAGGGAGGAGTCAAAGGACCCTTTGATAGTGATGAAATTTCCTTTGCTATTAATTGCCTATCTCGAGACAAAAGTCCTCAATGATGAACCGGAAGTTTCTCATATCACTGTCTAAAAACCCATCGATCCAAAATTCCTCTCGCAATACAGTTGGTGCATCTTACTCTTCCTTGCTCTCCTTAACCTGAGCTTTCTTACCGCGTTAAAGCGACCTTCATCGTCGACGCTCACTCATCACAGAAGGGGTCAGATCTACAATCATTGGTGTTTTATATAATACTTATTTATCAAATACAGAAACTTTCCATGGCCGTGCATCATCTCATCACGAAGAAAACAGCTAGCATGCCGCTCCCAAAGTTGAATCATATGCACATTTTCCCATTTCAAAACATGTTCCAGACAAGCTGTTCTGCCATTGAAGCCGTAAAGCAAGAATTTTGTAATGTGCCAACCATATTGCTATACCCGACAACATAGGGTCCTGCAAGGCACGGCAGATAGGAGAGAACGACACAAGCATTGAGTTTTTGTTTTCAACACGGATGTTTTGTGCTTGGTAGTTAACCATATCCGAGGATCTTGTAACTTCAACAGTCGCGGTAGAACCATGTGTGTTTCTATCGTCTCGTTTCGCTATGATTTTTTAACCTGTCTAGGATTCCGGTCCTGCCACATCAATGGGATACCTGAGCATACCACTATCGATAAACAGAGTATCGTTGGGGAAAGATATATCCACAGAACGAAATAAAATTGCTACCTACACAATCTACTACTATATCCTAATCGTAACAAGCTTCCGTCATATAACACACCCACATAACCGTATCCTGACCTTACACCTATGCATTAACCACCGTCTCCCCGCTTGGAAATCCAGCCTCATATTGCAATACCAACTTTACCCCCGCTCCCGGTGCCAATCTTACATTCCAGGTAACCTCTCCACTCTTCTTTAATTCTGCATCGGCCGTTCCCCATGCATCGATTTTCTTACTTCTCCGTACAATCTCGCCACCACTGCTAGAAAGTCTGTCCCTGTCCCTATCTCTTTCCCGTTCTCGACCTCCTTGCAGCATCTCGTCATCCAAGTTCAGTCCAGTAGGAATCCTGTCACCATCAGGTTTCAAACCTCGCGGAACCAACACCTCGACTCGAAGTCTCTCTTCCTCGGAGACGGGAACCTGATCCATAACCAATAAACTAACACCTCGTTGAAGTCTCGTGTTGCGTAAGGACAATGAACGTAAAAATACATTGCTATCTTCCTTTGAAAAGATCCCACTTTGTGAGCGTCGCACCTCGGGCTTGTTATAAACCACTTTGATAGCTGGGTCTACACCTAGATTCAAGCTAAAACTCTCTCCGACAGAGCATCTTGGAAAAGTAGCTTGCCCGAGAAAACTGCCATCCAAATTTAATCCCACTGGTCCTGCCAACAAGGGAATTTTGGATGAGTTACGTAATTTGGCTTTGAGAAATGCGACAGTCCGGAGCTTGGGTATAACTACATGTTCGAATCCAATATTCTTGAATTCAATCTTGGCAATCTTGTGTTTAAGAACTGAGTTTGAAGGCATAAGTGTTTTGAGTCCAGGTAGGTCATAGGTGGTAGACATGCCAGACTCTTCCCAAGCTCCTTCTTCGAATGTGAGGGTAGGTTTTGGTGAGAGGAGGCGCTGAACGAGTGGAGCCTCGAATGCCCCCGTGGAATCACCTATATCAGACCCCGGCGCGGAAACATTTACGCTGTGTTCTTGATGGATGTGGGCTTGAGCATTCCCAAAGAGAGCATTACCATGAGCTGGTTGTGTAGTGGAGTTTTCAGCAACAGGTTCATGATTCTGCGTCGGGGTTGGGTGTAAAGATCCGAACACTCCACTGCTGGAAGCGGTATTTTGAGATGTTGTGGGGGCTCCAAATAAACTACTAGTAGAGGCAGGATTTTGGAACGAGGCAGTGGAACCGAACAAGCCACCACCATTTGGCCTTTGGGATGTTGTAGCGGCCCCGAATGCGGTTGGTGGTGGGAACAGACTTGATTTGGTTTGGTCTGGGGCGTTTCCGAACAGACTGGTACTCGCAAATCCACCTTTATTGGCGAACAAATTATTGGTCGGCTCGAACCCAAAGAGAAGATATCGTGGTTGTTGAAGATGCTGGTTATTCTTATCAGCCCACTCCGTTCTCTTGGCTGCGATCTCACTGGTGCTGAAAAGAGCGGCTTCGGCATTTCTACTTCCCCCCTTTAAGAGTCGCACATTCCATGGCGGCAGGGTAGGTATCGATTCATTAAAACTAGTAATGGATGTTTGCGAAGTTGAGAGAAGAACTTTGGCATCGCGCCACGTTTCCGACGTCATATTCTTTAGCTCGGCCGCATATTCCAATACGCCTGTGCTAGTCAGCGTATTAAGGCTGAGATCGTAGCGTGGAGACCAAGATACTTCATAGGTGATGTAGGAAATGGAGAGGCTAATGATGTCCGTAGCTCGTCGACTGGAGATTTGGTAGTTGTTGACAGTCATGTCACTTGCTACCGAGCTAGGGCGGGATGATCCAGATGTCATGGCGGAGCTCGTAGGTTCGATACTAATTGTAACACGGTACACCTTTTTTGGCCAGAACAAACTTCGCTCCGACTTGATCCGCATTTTCTCTTTAGCTGCCTCGGCATTCTTTCGAGTTTTGGTCGCTTGGAGCTTAATCTTCTGTTTGAATACTTTCCGTTGTGCCCTGGTTCGTGCTTTGGTTAATTTGTTCTTCTCTTTCCTTAATCTGACGATTTCGTCTTGTGTAACTTCCAGGGCGGCAGTTGCTGCTACATGCTCAACATAAATCTTCTCACGTTCATCTCGATATGCTTTGATGAGTTTCTCGAACTGCTCCGGCGAAGGAGGATTATCACGAACGGTGGCACCATAATCCTCACAAATTTTTAAACGACTTGCGACCGAGTTGATCTTTTCAGCCTCTTGAGCTAGCAAACGGTTCACTTGCTTGATTTTGGTATCGACAAGCTTCATAGCTTCATCCTCGGAATCGGAGGAATCATCATCGGTCTCTTCCTCAAACTCGGAGTCGGATGAATAAACTTCTTCGTAAACCTCACGGTTGGGAAGAAGATCGACGGATACTTCAGTGATAGTGGCGGAGCCATTTCCTTCGACTTTGATGGAATGTTCATCGATAGTTGGAGCGAGACCATCGATGATGATTTGATTGGTTCCCGTCTAAAATCGGTCAGCATGGGGGGTCGGAAGTTACGATAAATAAATGGATTTTCTGACCTGTAACGTGATGTCCCTGATATCACGAACAATTTGAGCTCTAGTGGGAAAGATCAGAACACTCCGAGTGCTCAAATCGCGAATGCGAAATTCTTGTTTGGCTGACATTTTTTAATTTTTTAATTTTTGCCCGATTTTCTAGGTTTGTTTGTTGACGCGTGAGTTGGCAATCATTAACCAGTCGATGGTAGAGTGGGGATCGAAGTGGGGATTTGTCTGGGCATTCGGTTATAGAAATTTGTATGTATGTACGAGTATTTATGTAGTCGACGAGAGAGGGAGAGAGGGAGAGAGGTTATCGAAAGAAACGTGATGGGACGGAAGAGAGGGAGCGGAGAAGAGAAGAGAGGAGGGGAGAGGAGGGGAGAAGAGAAGGGAAGAAAAGATAAGAGAAAGGGAAGAAAAGATAAGTGTAAGGGAAAAGGGAAGAGGGAAGAGGGAAGAGGGAAGAGGGAGAATGAGAGATGGAAGAAATAAGGAAAAAGTTTGCGTCAAATCCTTATATTTCTCTTCAAGTCATTGCCCGACACTCATTTTGCCGTCCGATGGTTCGTACTCTGGTAAAGATTTAGGTATCAGGTATCAGTGGATGGTGGATGGTGGATGGTGGATGGATGATGGATGGATGATGGATGTCAGGTGTCAGGCAACTGAAAGCTGCTTTGCCCTTTTGCCCCGCATATTGAGAAACTTCACCGTGTCACACAGCCAATCAATCGGGATAGATCACGTTGGAACCGCGGCTATGTTCCACCGCAAAGCAATGCGATCAAGGAAATGGTGGGAAAATGGGAAAATGTCAGACGAGATGATATAACTTGGATGATTTTTTGGATCTGAGTCATATTTAGTTGGATGGGTATGAATGGGAGGGAAGGGTGGGTGGATGGATGATGAATGATGGATGATGAATGATGGATGATGGATGGATGGATGGATGATAGATGGATGTATGAATAGATGAATAGATGAATGAATGAATGAATGAATGAATGAATAGATGAATGGGTGAATAGATGAATATCAGTAATATACCAAAATGTATAAATACATATATAGATTTTAGATATATATTGTATATACAAAGTAAGGTTACGCACAAGAAAACGTTAATAACAAGTTAATAATAACTTAATAAATCTTACAAGGGAAAGAAAAGCCTTGGTTGGGTTTATGTGTGAAATATTTGTTGTCTGTGCGTGAGTGACGACCTATTTTGAAGGGCGGTGAAATATTCTATCATGGCAGAATTTATTCCCTCTCTTATTCTCTTCCAATCTCTTCATTCCTTCATCTATTTCATCTATTTCATCCATAAAGCATCCTCTCTTCTCATCATATATAACAAAATACTCTTTAACCACAATATCAAGTCAAATGAATCGTGCAACCTATGACCATCATAACCAATTGCAAGCCTGGATTGATTGCATTGCATCATCATTAAAGGTTATGGTATTAATAATCAAACATTGCAGCAATAATAAGGTACAAGTAACCCACATATTGCACTTGGACTACCAACCAGGAATAAGACGAATCAACCGGAGCCACAATTGACTCCGGTCTATTCCCAGGGGCTTTCCGAGCAATCAATTAATCATCGGCTCTTATAAGCGTGCTGACTACAGTACAGTAGCTTCTAGGCGGGGAGAGCAAGTGTCTTTGGAAAGCAAGTGTTCTTGTAAGATCTTGGTATGTAGCAATTCTACCGGTCTTTAGTATATTCTATATCAAAATTACCTATACTATGGCCATATCTGCTCTCCGGGCGTTTGTCCCCTACTAGGAACTAGTCTGCCGCTTATAAAAGCCGTTCACTCTGTACATGTGTTAGTCGAAACTACCTTCCACCCCCTCCGCCGCGTACGGCCGTCCTGGTTGCTAGATTTGGGAAACAAAGATTCACAATATGGATCCATCGACTACACATAGTCAAATCAGAGATGTCCCAGCATCAAGTATGAGGAGTTATCTGTTTGTAAGCAAGATACCGTGGATGATGGTCCGCAAGCAGCTTGATATTTGCTAATTAGGATGAGTATCTCTTGTGTATAAGTACACCTCTTTCCCTCTAACTTGAAGGTTGTCCAAAGACACCTCACAATCACCATAGTTTCATACACACCAACGTTTGGGGCATCCAATCATTCATGATAATTCAAAAAAGTCTCTTGATTACATACATTTGAAATCAAATTCTTCTCACAAGCCATCATGTCGAATATCATTCTCATCCTCGGTGGGGGTCCTAATGTTGGGCTCAACGTTGCTCGTGTTTTCTCAACAAAGGGTTCATACAAGACTGTATCTGTATCACGAACTCCCAAAGGAGAGCTCACCAAAGCGACCGATCTATCTATTCAAGCCGATTTTAATGATCCTAACAGCATCAAAACGATCTTTGATGAAGTGAAACAAAAGTTTGGAGTTCCTAATGTGGTGGTTTACAATGGTTTGTCCCTACCTTTTAAGCTGAAAGTCCCAATTGTTCAGGATGCCATCCTGCAATCTCAGATTTTTGATTCTTTAAAACCATGTCCTCCGTTGATGAGTCCTTTTGAGATGAGATGAGCAGCCTAAACTCATGGATAACTTGTTCGAAACCAATGGAAACACACTGACGAATACAATAGCCTACTCGTATACACCTTGTGCCAACCCTCTTGCAATTCCAGTCGAACAATTCAACAAAGATCTCAATGTAGTTGTTACTTCAGCATATGCTGCTGCATATGAGGCTGTAGAGGGTTTCAAAACCCTTCCCGAAGGCATCACCAAGACATTCATCTACAACGGAAACATAACGAATCGCCGACCTATGCCAGGAATGCTTGCAATTGGCATGGGAAAGTCTGCTGTAGCTCACCTTATTCACGCCGCCTCAGAATTATATAAGAAAGATGGATATAGGTGAGTAAAAAATAAATGGAATTGTGGATGCGAGCTGACATGTATCATAGATTTTACTGGGCGGATGAGCGAACCCCAGAGGGAGGAATGATTGGATATGAAATTAATGGTGAGGCACATGGAGATTTCTTCTATGAGTTGGCGACTAGTGAGAAGCCTTTGCCTTGGGATGCTACTTTTGTGGCTGGAAAGGGCTACGTTGACTTCCATGGATATTTTTGTTGGAAAGCTTAAGCAGTAGCAAGGAAAGGAGAGGGAGTTGTTTCGTTTCGAAAGGACTATAGTGAATAGGAAATGAGATTCGTGGCTAGCATTCAATGCCTCCTGAGTCCTGGGAGGACCATGAGGCGGGTCATGGAGGTTCCGCCTTGGAGATATTATTGATATTTTCGAGTCCAAAGAAAGGATCCAACAAAGTTCTATGTATCTATCTCAGTTATAAAATGTATAAAAATCAAGCTTTGAGTAGACTTTGTTGTGCGTGGCTTGACTTTCGGCCAAAAAATCTTTACATGTTAGTGACACCAGCGTAGTAATGTTAAGCAACCATCTATATCCACAACATAATACACAGTAAACATGAAAGAGAGAAAGAGAAACTTCTTCAAACCAACGAAACATCTCATCGTACTCAAAAATTGAAAACAGCAAATAGATATCTGCCCTCTGCAGCTCATATGCCCAAATACGGTAGAAATCGAGTCTCACGTGATACTCTGAAGTCCCTGACTTGAAGCCGGGGTGTCACGTGCAAGTTAATAAGCATGCAAAATAACAGAAACACAATTGACGTCGATGAGAGGCCGTTGTATATCTAGCTATCGCCTATCGGCAAGTGGGAGGACCAGTCTCATTTGTGCTGCTAATGTGGCAAACACTGAATCATTCCGAGATATTCTCAGTGGTATTTGGAAATATTTTGTATTCAGTCTTGTGTTTCTGCTTGTTCAATGTCTCTAGAGAGTGTGATTTGCAGATGGTTAAAGCTGGATAGTGCTAAAAATGTAAGTTCTTTTGTTGGTTGGCTATCTGAGCAAGTTTCGAGGTATCCATGATATTCATTGGCACATTTTGATTGAGATTTCCCTCCTTTGCTACTTTTGAAAATCTTTTCAGCTGTCAACTTATGCTTCACATCTACTTCGTGGCTAGTTCGCCATCCAAAAGAACCAGATTGTGGGAAGCCATAAGCATGTGAACTAATACGCCCATTATCAGCTAGGTTTCAACGAAAAGACGATTGGGCTATGTTTCCTCATTTTTCTATTTTGCTCTACCATTAGATCCATTTGCAGGATGCAACAGAATTATCCCGAGGATATTGATTATTCTGCACCATCGATGTTCGTCTGGGCTAAATAAGTTAGCTGTAGGATGGTAGACACATTCACTGCATCTATTGCGCTTTCCTAGTTGGATCTGGTTATAGTGGAAACTGCGAAGTGCAACTAATCCCACGTTGAAATCCTACCAAGTTGGAATTTTGAGAGCCTCTTGAACGAAATATTCTGCATTGCAGTCATCAACTTGTCTTTGAATGTCAATGATCTATCAATGCAAAATATATTCTCTTTGGCCCCGGTACGTACTAGAGTAGCCTTCTTTTCATTGATGAAATCTACAATTGCCATGCCATCACTTTCTCCGAAATTTGGCTATCATCACCACATGTTAGAACCTGCTTCCAACAAGGTTATTTGGCCATATATCACCAAAGTCTACATTCTTCTATCCTAAAAGATATTTACCATGCTTCGCAAAGCTTTTTATGTCAATCTCGGTAAAGAATAATATCTTTTTCTCTCAGCACAGTCAAACTCAGGCGTCTTCACGAGATTCACTTTAACCTAAACGGCTAGAATGTCCCAGTTCATCATAAGACCAATGTTCTTCCCGGTTGAAAGGTCTCATATGCGGTAATGACAACTTTTTGAAAGAGTACTTCCAGGCGTCTATCATCCTCGCGCGCGACGCTGACCCAAAGAGACTTTGATAGATCGGTCTAGGACAGGCATTATTCATTTTTATCAAGATGGGCCGCAATGGATAGTATTCCATAATTATCGCCCAATTTACTTAGAGATATTATGTAATTCATCTTTGTTCTTCAATTTTGGTTGTATATATCTTTGAATTGTATATAATTCCCGTATGCCGACTTACGATCTGCTAGTGCGGCGCTTCGTTTCCACCAGCTTCGCGTTGTGAGAGTAGGATTTGATACGACTTCCCTCCTTTGCTTGCGGCAAAAGTCTTGAGATTGACTCGGATTGATGCCGCCATTGAGTTCCTTCCACGATTTTCGGCAGGTTTTATACCGTACTTCGCTACTTCGCCAACTTGAGCTGCGCGATGATGTACTGTGCCCTGGCCTTTACATCATACATACATAGACACGACAGAGCATTACAATTAATGCCCGAGTGTGATAGGTACTATTGTTAGCTGCATTCATTCATGCTTAGATTGATACGTCTAAGTACAAATATCAAAAATTTCTCACGGGAAATATCGAAAAATAGTGAAGAGGTCGATTGCAGCGAGTGTATGCAACTGTAATGCCACATTTTCCTGAGTTCTCTTCTCTCAAGTATCAAAAAGACACATTAAATCACTTTGAAAATATTCATCTATAGCCTGATTTTTCCAAATTCCATTTCATAATTTCGAGCACATAGCGATATGCGTCTCAAGCTACAGTACACATAGTCATCCAGCTATTATTCTTCGTCGAACCACATCATTGCAAGAATCCAATAAGATTTAACAGAGCTCATAACCTCAGAACCTAAATAATACGCCCTGTTGGCTATTTGCCATACCATAATCGCTTTGTATCCTACAAATCCCTAAACTCCGGCAACATCCAGAAACAGAATTGATCGACAGTCGTATCAAGTTTAAAATCAAATGCACACTAAATTCGTCCGTCTCCAAACTCCAACCATAGCAGGATTTCATTATATTCATGATAGCGGGTGGTCGGTAATCCAAGGGTGTTGAAGACACTGCTCGGCTGTCCAACTTTCGTTAAAGTCGAATTTCAACATCCCCATGATTAAATCTTCCGCCTCTGGGCTCACCTCCGGTACATCTACTGGAGGTGGTTCCATAAATCTATACTCCGTGATCCTCCGCTTTATTGTATCAATTCCCTTCTGGCCATTCTCCTCATTAGCACTGAAGGGCGGGTACTCTTTCAAGCACTCAAACAGGACTACCCCTGCCGCCCAGATATCGACTTCAAGCCCTATACCAATGATTTTGGAGTCCATTGAGAAGCACTCTAGTGCAGTATCTAAGCAAGTTAGCAAGTTTCCCGACAATGAAATTGAGATCCTAATCGGAGATCAAGAAAATGCAAAAGTACGGGACAGGGTGAACAACAGGGTTTCGTTGTGTTGCGCTTCATTTCAACAAATATTGGATCTACTCGAAAAAAATGGATCTATCAGTATCACCAATATATTCTTAGATATTTGCATTCTCCAAATATCACGAAATTTCAAATGTGGACCGTAGTACAAACTGTTAAACACCATGGGACGGAGAGGGAACCTACAAGGAAGAGATCTCTGTGCTATAATACTATTAACAAAATCTTCTAAATACATCACATGTCATCTCATGCGCACCTAGTATTTTTGTAAATCCATTGGCACGGTTTCAACTTTTGTGAAAAGTCGGAATCTATGAGCTTCATACACCTTTCAGGTTCGCAACCGAGGATTATGTTTTCGATTTTTATGTCGCGATGGATGATGTTTTGGGAATGCTGCTGATAATCTAGCAACAGCGATAATCTTCATTTTGAGGATATATCATCTCTAGTTCGGAACTAGTACCTACCAAATATTGAAGCCCTAGGAGGATATCCTTGAAGTATCTTAATAGTGGCTTCTTCGATATACCGTTTGTCATCAGCACTCGGACAATCGATGGGTGATCTAAATGACATTGCAATTCCCACTCCTGCCGCAAATCCCCCCCTGTATTCATCATTTCTAACTTGACAGCGAACGTCTTTCTTGTCTTTATCTCTTCAACTAGGTAGACAAATCCAAAGGCACCTTCGCCGAGAATGTAACATTTTAGACATTTCTCGCAAAAGATTGTCGAACACAAAACAACGCTAGAATGGGAGCGACGGGAATAGTGAAGTACGCTCGTTCCGGGAGGACTACGAAGATTTTTACCAGAAAAGTCTTCTCTTTTGGAGCCCGGGTATGGATTCTCGAAGCCAGCATGTTTCGACGAAAGTGACGTAGAGGCTATATTAATAATGTCCAGTAGTTGGTGAGTTTATTCTAGATCTGAAAAAGAGAAGTAAAGAATGACAGTTGTGCAAAAAAAGTTGATAATAATATGCATAAAATTCATCCAAAGATGTAAGCTGGAATGTAAGGGGATGCGATATTAATGAAAGGATCAGGCTTGCCAGTGGTTACCATTGAAGCAGGTGCTGTAGTAGGTGTAGAGGAGCTTTGGGAGCTTATTGCATGTTGTGCAAAGTTCATTTTGGGAGTATCGTATCTTTGTTGGAAATCAGATTCATAAGATGGATTGAATAGGTCCTGTAGAAGATAAATATGTTAAAGATTTCTATCTGGATTGCAACTAAGCGTTTGACTAGTATAGGTGCCCCCCCCCCTAATTATTAGCGGCGATCTAGCCGAAGACGAAGCCGCTTTAAAGTTTACTTTGGTAAGAAATCTATATAGAATGGAGGATATCAATATAATAACATGTCCCTTTCATCACTTTCTGTACATAATAGTTCAAGCAGATAATAGTGTGGTAGGAGAGGAGAGAGGAGGAAGAAAACAAGATGAATCTACGCTTCGCTTCTCAACACATAGAGCATAAAATCATCACGGAGATCCTCTAGAGCCATTGAATTAATAGCCCACGTCAATATTGGCATCCGTACTTTGTGGTAGCTTTTGGTAAGTGGTGGCCTGTAAGTGGTGTCTTTCGGCGATAGAAGTATTAATTCATATAGGTCTCATGCATTCCTTTTTTGCCAATAACAATCGTTGAAAACTCTCTCTTGGGGTTTATTTCACGAGGAGAACACGAACCTAATGCTTCAGACGCAACGAGGTGAAATGAACTTTTGACAGTTTACCCTAATAGTTGTAGCTGCTCTATGCAATGAGGAATGGAAATTAGTTGGATACTGTTTATGCCGCTCAATTGCCCGTTCTAATACAGCACCGATATACAGGGACAAATTCAACGAAGTAGGTATGTAGCATATATGAAATTGAATAGAAAACTATAGAAACAGAATCAGACTGATCTGTGAAAGAGAGAGATATATATAGAAAGAGTTGAAAATGATATTGAAGCGGAGGTATCACAATATTTTCGTACTCTCGGACAACAAGTAATGCACCATCAAAATATCCTGAAATATGAAACTCAATGACCGTCTCTCCTTTGATGATAACTTCTGCCAACATATAGAGAATGAGAAGTTTTTTGGTAGATTGTGTGCAGTTCGATACTTTGATTCGAAACAGATCATGTTGGGGATCCTTTTGGTTGCAAAGAGCTAATTTTCGCAGATTGGAAGATTTGGTACAAAGGCTGGACGTTGCCACTGTGTACGAGAATGTGCAAATTGTGAACCTGTATGAGATTCGAGAATGAAGAGAAGCCACAATGATTTTAACGGTCGGCAAACTAGTCTGATAGCGCTACTTTCGACGAGCATGTTTAATTTTGAGAGTATGCAGGTGATATATCGGATTGATAGATCCCAAGTCTACCAGTGTCTCGATGCAGGTCGCTTTTGAGATATGGGTATCCTCTGGGTCGACCATTAGCAGGCAACCTTGGCTCCCGAGAGCTCGTACTTGAGTATGATGATGCATAGGTGGCGCGTTCCGAACTTCCAATTAGACGTGGGGATGTCCTGGCCTCTTCAACCCTTTTCTCTTCTACAACTGCGGTCATTAATGCAAGAATCGCTGGGTCGTTCGCAGAGTCATGGGGCTTGAGGGGTAATAGAGGACCATTAGGAACATTCTTGGAGGAGTTTTGTGATTGATGTCCGAGATAAGAAGAATTTGAAGATGTATTCCGTACCCAGTTCGCCACTCTGGTATCCTGCTTCTCATATTGCCTTAATGGAGGACTGGAACTGATTGGGATATTCTGAAAATCATTATTGGTTACATGGTCCGATAATACCGTCGGAGGACAGTGAGTACGAATGGCCGTGATTGGAGTTTCACCAGAAGTTTGCACTCTAATAATCTCTGGCGAGATTCGTTCGTCAATGCTATCCACATTATCGTACAGTTTGACCTGTGAAAAGTTTGACATGCCAGGTATCAAAATCGGAGGGGGCCTGAAACTTTTGATCTGTCGCGAGTTCGGCTTCCAGTCAGGAGAATTGTTACCTTCAGACCTCGTCGTCTTTGGATAGGCGCCAAGGTTGTTGTTGAATTCATTTTGTGCAACTATTCGTGATTTTGAGTGATGGGCAAGTGATCCAAAACTTGAGGTCTCCTGTGGGAGCTTGGCACTTGCACTTCCTGCATTTACTCTATCATTCCGTCTTAAAGAGTAGTGTAACACGACGGTGACTTCGGCTGCTTCCTCCCCAGGTTGAACGGGATCAAGTGTTTCAAGCCAAGCTGCGAGTATGTCCATCTCCTGCTCATTCAGTTGACGGGTGTATAGTCGAGTGTTCCGAAGTATGTGAGACGCCATTTTCTTACTCGAAAGATTTAAGATTCGTGTGGATTTGGGAACTAGGCACTAAAATCAACATTCAATCTATATATGTTTTGTCGATAGTGTGTAGATTAGTGAGAAGAGAAGACATACCAATGTGCAAAATAATGTGTTGTTCTACTGTATCTTGTTAAGGTTGAGTAGTCATCCGCTTCCTTTGGTCCTTAGAATACCAGGGGATCGACTTTGACTCGCCACGAGCTGTACGGGCGAAGGCTGCCAAGTCAAATTTGAGTGCTTTGAAAATGTCAATAGTGGCATGAACTCTTTGAAGTTTTGTCTCGAGCTCAAGTTATTTTTGTCCTGCCGTTAAACTGGGAAGAAGGAAGGTTTGGTTTAAGAAGCTGCATCGCTCATGGTAATATCCTGCCTATTCTATAAGCAAAAGTAAGTAAACCTCCTATTACCGACCTGAAGACTCTAGTATGCATCCGTAAAGTTGAGCGGAGCAACTTTGAAGCCTTGTGATATGATAGGTTGATTTTTGGGATGCTCGTAACGTCAGTTGTACTCCGTCGGCGCTTAGAACTATGATCGTGGTAACATAAAGATGTATGGAACACTAAAAGGCATTTTTAGTAAGAACCAGACTTATCGATGGCATATGGCTGATTTTACCGCCTGAAAATAGTCCAGGTGCGTGAAGGTTGTGATCATATGCATGAGGAATGAGGAATCAAGTTGGTGGGGCCTGTAATTTAGTGCAAGTAACTGGCTACTCCTGGCTTTTGCAGACTAGAAAGCGCTTATAGATGCCTATTCTGCATTCAGAATCCGACAGCTCGGTTGGGGCTTGATTCCTCCAGTGGTTATGAAATTGGGAACCAGGGTTGGACAAATAGGCGAACGATACAAGCAGTCATTGGATGAGACAAAAAGTGAAGAAGGCGGTAGCTGATAGAGCTAGGTGAAGCGGCTAGGATACAAATCACAAGGTAAGGCGCGTGATTTGCTGTTTCTTAGATGAGAGATGCCCGAAAGAGTACTAGGTGCGAAGAAGTCGACCCGACACTTTGGAAGCGAGATGTCCATCTTTGGCCCACAAAACCAATGAGAACCTCAGCAATTCGCAAGGGCAAATTGCACGGATAAACCGGGCATTGGGCAATCCTTAATAGGGACATGGGATATAAGTACTAGCTGTTTTTGTGTAGAGCATGGCGACGATGGGCAATGACTGACGGCGGTGAGTTGACGGGCCAATACCATGTAAATACAGTGTAGCCATTTTTAGTGATTTAGCATAATTGTCTGCAAGGCGGTTAACCATTGTAAGAATTATGGATATTTCACCTAAAAGTCAAATTTTCCAGGGGAAGTACGCCTTGGACCATCTGGACACCCTCTGCGGTAAAGGCAATGAGCACCGAAGAAAGCCCGGATCCAGGGCAATAACTTGTATGATTTTTGGGACAAATGCTCGATTGAAATCTATCGAACAATGCCAAGGTATGCTCTCATCGCTGGCTTTTCTATGACATGGACAATCGTCTCCCCTGGTTAAGCGAGGATGCATTAGAATCTTAGGCAAGTTTCATTCTGGAACCATACATAGAGATTCTAGCGATCATGTAAAACCGAGGTGCAAGAGGGACAACTGCATGTTTGCAGCTGGGTCAAGAGCGATGAAATTTGTTACCATTAATGCCACTGAAAAAGTTTGTTTGATGGTACTTTATGTGCCCGAGATAGCCATGTAACTTTCACGGAGAAAAAAAGGGGCGAAGAAAAGTAAGTGCAAAATGAACAGCAGAACTTTGCATGTTCTAGGGGAAGAGAATGAGATGTCCAAGGTATATCTGATGAACGAAGATCGAGCTACCAGATGTGCGTGGCCTTGGAAGTAAGGTTCGAAGAAGCCGAGTGTACTTTTGAAAGAAGCTGGATATGCTTAGAATGAAGATGTATTGATGAATGCCTATTTTCCCCCATCGAACTCGAATCCCAAGGCTCATTGTTCTACGAACCACTGCCTCTTTTTGTGACCCCCATACTCCAGACTCCACGCTCAAACGCCCATAAAACCACAATTGCCCAATGTTCATACAAATCCCCAAGCTCACATTCACAAAACCAAGGTATTTCTTCCCGTAACAAACATGTCACTGCCGCATTGATGGCCTCATCTCAGGAAATGTAAGACAGCCCAACAGAAAGCAAAAAATATGACTACCCCAATTCCAAATATCCACTTATCCTGCTTCGCACGTCTCTCAATCATTCGGATAGTATCTCCCGACACACCCAAGGTATTGGCCACGCTATACAGTCTCTTTTGCGTCCCTTTCAACATTTCCCGCTGTTGCCCTAAATCACCTAAAACTGCTTGGCCCCGAGCTAGGTATTCGTCCAACGCACTATGGGTATTCTGAAAGAAAGATTGTTCTCTTAGAGCATGTGTTTCCCTAGTATAATCCCCACTATTCATAGAAAGTTGACTACCACTTCCAACTGGTCCACCTTCTCTTCTCCATGGGCTATCCCGAGCCGCGATCGCACTTGTTGTATTCGCATAAGGATTTTCGGGTGTAGAGGTATGATGTGGTCTTCTCCCCAGTAGTTCGCCCCTATCTATCTGAGTTTGATTGTGTTCATTTTGGGACTTCAAAGTCGCAAACTGAGAGCGATAATCTTGTAGCTCGGAACGGAATGTTGTCAGTCGTTCATAGGCTTTCTCTTTCTTGGAAGGATTTAATTCGGCAGACTGAAGCGCAGCGTAAGAATCAAGGGTTCGGGAGAAGGAGGTAAGAGACGAGGATATTTGACCAAGGAGAGATGGAGTGAGAGGTTGCGATTCAGGTGGAGAAAGAGAGGAGAGATCTCGACGAAGGGAGGTAGACTGTTTGAGCGCGGTATTGAAAAGAGTGTTCTATCAAGGTTAGGTTGAGTTCCTAAGAGCATGGATCTGAGAAGTACAAACCATGGTGAAGTCGTGGTATTTAAGAAGAGGGAAATGGTTGTAGGCTAGTTGATTGCAAGAAGGTCCTTTCTGATTTATTGATGTGTAGCCTTGTTTGAAAGCTAAACGTGGCTACTCGAATCTTCCTCAATGTGGCGTTGTAATGATACAATCAAGATGTGGCTGGTGATATGAGGCTGAAGACAAGGCTGAAGAAGCTGACCAACGTAGACGTACTACTCAGTAGTAGGGTGGATGGATCATTATCACATGGAAAAAGATGTCAACAAGAAGTTTGTGAGCATGTTGCATGTTGTAGATCTCCGCTTTATTACTGATATCCCTCATTCACTCATTCATTCATTCATTCATTCATCTATCCATCTATCCATCCATCCATCCATTCATTCATTCATCTACGGAGTACTTTGTAGATGAGAGTCCTGACTTGTGGTAAGGGTACTCGAGTAAAGAGTTATGAGTATAAGACATGCATTATCCCTTTCCTTGTCAACACGGATTTGTACAGCTGGCGATAACCCTAACATGCTAATGTGTATATAATACAAGCACAAACTCTGCATTCAATACGAAAAAGATCCGATATACGAGCAAACCAGCACAGCAAACCTCGGTTCCCACAATGCGCATGTCATTTTCAAGGTCCTTGTTTGCATTTTCAATTCTTATTTCTAATCAAATTCATTGGTGCAAATTCAATTAATTGTATGCATCAAATCCCACATTTGATTGATTTTTACTCCATCTCACCTATCACTCATCATCCCATCCATATTAGTTACGAACGACAAGACAAATAGAGCACGACAGGCAGGAGAGACTTGGTATATTGTGTATTTAATCTATTTTTTAACGAATTGAGGAAAATGGAAATATATTGTTTATACATTTCTGCCTTTAACTATTATCACATTTCGAAGATTACTTGCCTCATAAGTTGATATATACATACATACATACATCTATCTACACATATCTACATCTACATCTACATCTACTACATCTCTACCTTCTTATTGCCCTTTTATTTAAACATCTCTTCTCCCCTTCTCTCTCTACAAACTCTACATTAGATAAGAGAGAGTTTAAACCTCCAAAATTGTGTACGTATGCGCTTTCCCTGATTTCAAGAGAAAGAGAGAGATCTTTAGTCCTATAGTTCCTATTGTCAGTCCTATTGCCTTATCGTCCCCTACTTGTACAACTGCACAGCACTTTATCCCCCTCCTCTCTGCCACTTTTCTTCCCTAGATTTTGTATTAATTGCAGAACCATTCTTACAGCCTTATATCTTTTGCTCTTCTTGATTTTATCAGAAGAAATAGGAATACTACCCACCACCTTTGTTGTCGCCTAATCACAGATCGTCATTTTCCCTTCTTATCTTGTGATAGAGGGGCAGACGACGTAGGACAAACTTTCCAGTAACACAGATCGCAAACATCGAAAGACCTGTCACATCCTCTCACATCCTCTCACATCCTTACACAACACGAGTGAATGTACTCAGCCTCTGCACAACACGAAAATCTCTATTTGTTGATCCGCTATTGAAGCCCGGTATTGGACAACGAAGTTATTTCCAATTTGAACGGGTTGAAGCCAAGAATTGTTACTTGAGTGCGCGGGATTCCAAACGTGCGATACAGTTTGCCGCACATTGGCTGTTTTGCCACAAATTGTATTTACAATCTTTCTCTTTTGGTGGAATGAATGGATGATGTGCTAACTTCTCCGAATTAGAGCCTCTCTCTCAACTTCTACATCCAGGATGACGTTCCTTTCGACGACCTATCTCCTGCCCGGCATATTACTCAACCCCGCCTTCATCTTACATCTCATGAATACCTTCATGTCACACCTCTTACCACCTCCTCCAACAATGTCAACATCTCCACATCCAATTTTTGAAAGTCTCGGACCATTACCAGGGTCGCAGTGGGCATTTGATATGCATGAGGATGATGCGCTGTGCTGGAGATATACTGCTGTCATGGTGATAATACAGATGTGGGTATTTGGTCGAGTTAGTGGTAATAGAATATCGATGAAAGATGCAAGAGCTGTGAGAATAGAGAGGGAACGAGTACGCAGGGAACGAAGTGCTCTTATTGATGCCGAATCAACATCCGCGAAATCGACGAATGGGCTCGACGGCATATGTGAAGTAGAGAATGGTAGAATGGGGAGGGCAGAACTTGTTGGCCGAGATAACGAAGTAATAGAAACTAGTGACGACAGTACAACCGAAACGAGCGAAGAAGAGATCATTGTATGATGATACCGACTTTTACAAACATGGCTGGTATGGCGTTTTGAACGGTCGTTATAGAAGGAAATTGCAAACGAGGCATAGTTATTGGATTGGAAGAAATGATTGTTATGATGGTTTGATGTTGGTTTATGGCTGGAAAAAGTTGCATCGAGGAGTTCCCTGGAGAGAATACCTAAAGAATCAACCACAACCCTTCACCTTTTCGATTTATACTGGAGTATTGTGTTTTCGCGGTGCGAGTAACTTTGTGGGCAATGAATGTCGAATCTGATAGGCACAACCTCGTTTGTTCAATGCAATGTATGCAATATTGCATACCTCACTCGCATGACATGGTAAGCTGTAGGCCGAATCTGGATGGAGTAACTGCTTCAAAAGTTCAACGACTGAGTGCAATGTCCGGAAGGGATATCAAAGTTTCTTGCACCTAAATAATCTATGGAGCCACGGGGCGGAAGATCAATTAGTCTCAACAAATTCAGATGCACATTGAGCTCTAAGTGATTGACGGTATGCCTCTTTGCATTGTATCGGGCATGGCCGCTAGTCTCCAAACCAGTTTCCAAATAAGCGTTTCGATTCTAACGTGGCTTTTTAGCATGTTCAATGCTGGTGAACGAAATCAATTTCTCTCATATCTCCGGGCACTCATAGCACTTTCTGAGCGGGATTATCTCAATAAGCTGTGCTGAGAGTACCGGTGCGGCTATGTAATGTTTACCCCCTCCCAATGTCCCTTCTATCTAGCTACATCGTTACTTTGTTCTTAGCAACAGAAAGTGGCCCCCTATCGAAAGGTTACAAGTGTATAATGAGAACTAGCACTGCAGATATTTTTAAAGGCAAGAAAAGCAAGACGACTTGTGCGAATTGTCAGAAATTTGAGTACACGACAAAATCATGTTGACTTTGCCCATTAGGTTTAGATGGAACTTTCCCTGCTAATAACCTTAGATGCGGAAATCCTCTAAACTGCGAGCGTCGTGCCGAATCAGAAAGCCAGCGAGCGCTTTGGAACATCTATGGAAAACTCCCGTTTAATCTGTTTCGATTTCTGCCTGGAGAAAAAAGTGCCTTTTTGCCGAGTCGGAGTTTTATGTCAAGCTTACTGAAATGCAGTGTTTCGGCGGGTACCTGATGAGCTTGTTCGAGGATAGTTCTATAAAGTTGTCGGGGAAAGTTCCCTTTGGGCCCAATTTTGGCTTCATTGGCTATTCTAGGAGGTCTATCTATTCAGGATTCTCAATACATTTCCTGAGCAATGTCACCATGGCTACGGTGGAATGGAAATGCACTTATAATAGTGCGGCTCATTAGCAATATCAGGCTCAATTAGTGATCTCAATTATGAATCTATCCAACAAAGTTAGGCTCAATGAAAAGGGGCGCCCAGCCGTGATGGATGCCTCCACTTCAACCTCATTAAGAAAGTATGAGTATCCGTTTACTCAAATGGTGTTTTGCTTATAAAGAAAATATGTTGGGTACAGATAGTTAATTTGCACCTCTTGTTATTGTCGCGCTCTAGGCTCTGCCCGCTAATCCCACTTTTAGAATTACTCCATTTATTGATTCTTTTTGGGAGTTGAATAGCTTTCTTGTGCTGGCCAGTTTCACTCAATTGGCCATAATGTATGAAGAATTGTTTACTTTGCTCAATGCGCATAATAATAGTCGGATTTGCGGGCAACGAGAGAGTTGCATTTACCCGCCAATTTATCCAAAGAGCCATGATATTGCCTTCATCTCCACCTAGCTTATACCAGGCTTATGATATAGCGTCTATCTGCTTCAATAAGGAAGACTCGATCGTTCCACTACATCGCGGGGTGCATGATTGGTGCTGTACCCCAGAATCCCCATATCTTGTGACTATCAAGCTTCTAAAAGGTTACCGTGTGTGATTTTACCCGCGGGGAACATGCAATGTCAACCATATTCAATACGCTCGGATAAATGGACGGGCTAAGTATCACCTCAGTTCATTCATTGACTGATATTTCGGTATAGACTGGGTTGATATATCGCCACCGTCCCCTGGCTTTTGCCATGTATAAAGCAAGACAGTTCCGCCACAAATCTGTAGTTCAACATCATCCATCCCATCTGCACAATCACCATCATTTTCATAGTCATCATGGTATCATACAAAACTCTTCTGATTACCCTTACTGCTTTTGCGGGAGTCTTAGCATACCCAGCCAACTCGACATTTGAACTTGTCGATCGGAGTGGGACACCTAGCTCTACTGGAACCAGTGGTTGGTATCTCTATAACATTTAGGGCTATATTTTATGTTAACCTTACTGATCAGGTGGATACTACTACTCTTTTTGGACCGACGGAGGTGCAGCCGTGACTTATACGAATGGTGCTGGTGGCGAATATAACGTCCAATGGTCAGGAAGTGGAAACTTTGTTGGCGGGAAGGGTTGGAATCCTGGAAGTGCCATGTTGGTTTAAAAATTTAATCGCTCCTCAACTACAATCATAAGTATAGTTCATGCTGACCATTGTTTCAATTCATTCGTAGGGCCGTTACTTATAGTGGCACATACAGTCCAAATGGAAACAGTTATCTGTCCCTCTATGGCTGGACCACGTCACCTCTAATTGAATATTATATTGTCGAGAATTTTGGTACATATAATCCAAGCACTGGAGCTACTTTGAAGGGTACTGTCGTCAGTGATGGAGCCACATGTAAGTAGGATCTACATTCACGGAGCTTCTATGGTATCCTTTCCAAAATAAGCACATTCAGCTCTTGTGCTCGTGACGTACCGGTGCATCCAATTACTTCTTTCCTGCACAATGACTGACAGGACCTGCTCCAGATAACATTTACCAAACCCAACGCGTGAATGAACCATCCATCGCCGGTACTGCCACCTTTTATCAATATTGGTCTGTTCGACAATCCAAACGAACTGGTGGCACGGTAACAACTGGAAATCATTTCAATGCATGGAAAGCTCTTGGAATGAATATGGGTACATTTAATTACATGATAGTCGCAACCGAAGGATACTATTCCAGTGGTTCATCCGATATAACGGTTGGAAGTTCAAATGGAGGTGGTAGCACTGCACCAACCACCTCAGCTCCTGCTTCTTCACCTACATCATCACCTGGTGGCAACGTAAGTTTTATCTTCTCTTCTCTTTGATTCAGTTAATAAAAACTCAGCTGATGCTTGATATAATTTAGTGCGGTGCTTTATACAGTCAATGTGGCGGCACAGGATTTACGGGCTCTGCGTGTTGTGCATCCGGAACTTGCAAGTATGCAAATTCCTACTATGCTCAATGTTTGTGAGATGTTTGTGCCCCTCAAGGTATTAATGTTGGATATCAAGGAAGCTTTTGCATGCCGGATCTTTCTGTCTCAACATTATTACATCAGCTGTTTCATAGTGGCGCATAATAACAGAGGGAATTATGGAAATTCAGTAACCTACTTTATCATATCTGTACAAGTAGCACATAATTTTACCGCCGTCTTCCACAATGTTTGCTCTCTTTGCCGAGGGTACAGCCACAAAATACACACAACTACACTTGAGGCTTTATTGAACATATCATAAGTTTGACAAACAGCGTTTCTTGGTGGGTCTTTCAAATTTCCGTTTCAAGCTATCAAGAATATATCTATGTCGTCGATATGAAGAAGGATTGAATGAACAGTTTATGAAATATTTTATGATGTTGATTTATGCAAATGAAAGACATTGAATGAAGGGAGAGAGCTAGAGAAGAGTTGCACATTCAAGACCTATCACTCTCGATACCTTCCTGAAAACATGCATTAGTGTACGGATATATACAGGTGTCTGGCATTGCTTAAAGTCTTCAGTGCTTGATTCCTTGGTTATTCAATCACGATATCACATTTATCATGTACCTCGCAGCATTAAGTTTGTTCAAAATTTCGATTACATTGTGGTGTCGTAGAGTATAGAACATCTCACGCAGGACCAAATAGGAATTGCTACCAGTCAAAAGTCACTCATAAACCACAGATTGTAGATGGAGAGCATTCGAATAATTGCAATGATAAAAATTTAAACCCCCTTTAAAGATCTTCCTAAAACTTCAATGCAAATCCATCAAAGTAACCCATTCATTGGCAGTACCATTCTGTTCCTGTCATACCGGACGAAATGTACCCCCAAGTCGAGAAAGAAAGAAAAAATCAACCCTGTCTCCGCTGTACCAGTGGGCGGCTTGTCACATTCAGACCACGAAGCATATCGATGATCACGCCCAACCGATTGGAACCTGCAAAACAATTAGCAAAGATAGTACAATAGTAGGAAAAGCATAAACTCGTACCTTAAAAGCAGTAAGGAATTCCTTGGATGTATTGGCAAGAATTGGGGCATGCACCAATTGTTACAAGCTGCCCGGTTACTGCGCATTGTGACTTATTTCCGTTAGTGTTTCGTGTCATTTCGAGAGGAGCAAAATCGTGGTGTTATATAGAACTTACAATTGCCCTGCCTGTACAGACATACCGACCGAACGGAATGCGTCCTCCGTTGAAAGGGCATGTCGTAAGAGGAATTTGCGCAGCGGCACTGCCGGCGAGAAGAGCAACAATTGCTGGGAGGTAGAATTGCATTTTGAGTTTTGGTTTGAGTTTGTAAAGGCTTTTAATGTTGAGACTTGTGTGATTGATGGTTATGAAAGAGAGCAGAGCCAGGGGGTTGCTGTATATATAGGGAAAAGCCTTGGTCAAACTTCCCACCATCAGATTCAACCCTTTGATATCAGCTCGCAAATTAACACATTCTTTCTATCTTATTATGAGACCTGTGCATTTTTGGTCCTCAACTCATGACACTCGCACATTCTTTCCTCGCTTTTTTTGAGATTACCATGACTAAGGTTTTGCATCTAGGAGGCTCCATGATTTTGACTATTTCCACATAAATCTTGATTGAACATTGAACTCAGGTCAAGAGCCGCAAGGTTGTATTGCCATATAACAATAATCCAATCACGTTCATAAAAGTTACAAGCCTAACAATGGTTCACAGTGGTGAACTTTAACCGAAATTATCTACGATTGTAACTCAACGCCGGTGAAATTATCCCGATATTAGGGAAGAGATGGTGAAGAAGATCGAATCACATGAGCCATGACTTATGGCTCATGAAGTTGTTTGATTGAAATTGTGTTGAAAATCTGACGCATTCCTAGGGCCAACCTCCAGTAACTCATTCTTGCAGTGGTAGCCAAATCATGGAATGTAAGCGAGCCTTTATTCACCTCGTATTCTTTTACGATCTTTGCATACCAGAGTCGATGCTTCAGGGAGTATTTTGATGAGGGATTATCATGCGACATCCCTTGATCTTCAACAGCCATGGAAACTACTTAGTGTTCAATCCCAGTAAGTAGCTTCAATTAGATTTATTATTGTCGGCTTGCCGACACTATAACCTTACTGTACGCGAGGTTTACCTGATGGGTGATAGAAAATGAGAAACTCGTTTAAATAAGTCGTGATCCTGATAATCTGATTGGTCTAAAATACCCCGGTAAATACCCCGGTAAATAATCGAACAAAAAGCTTGGTATAAGCCTTATAATCTTGAAGAAATCTGATTTAAAGCTTTTTTCAACTTTATTGAAATCATTTAATTTTATTGAAATCATTTAACTTTATTAATATTGAAATTATTCAATTATAAAATCATTCAACTCGATTCTATTAAAATCATTCAATTTTGAAATCTAACTAGTATTATAAGGATTTTTTTGATAATTATTATCGATGATGATTATTCAAAAAAATATTTCTGATTATTATTTTTGAAAACTACAAAGATCAAAGATATTTTAATATTTGAATATATAATTTTATAAAAGATTTCAAAAAGAATTTAAATTTGAAATTAAAATTTAATTATCTTCAATATCGATAAAATAATATTATTTTGAAAAAATTAAATTAAGAATATATATAAAGTTTGAATTTCATTAAAATAAATTCTACTTCATTTTAATTATTTTTATTACAAAATATTGATATTTCATTTTCAAACTATTTTCTGATTTTTATATATCATTTTATAAAGAATTTTAAATTGAATTTGAATTTGAAATCAAAATTCAATTATCTTTAATATTAATAAAACAATATCATTTTGAAAAAAATAAATCAAAATATATATAAAATTTAAATCTTATTAAAATAAATTTTAACTAGTATTATAAGGATTTTTTTGGTGGTCACCATCGATAGTGATTATTTTTAACAGAGGGGTGATGATTATACAAAAAAGAAAATATGATCACTATCCCGAAATCGATCAATTTAAGAGATATTTTAAAATTCAAAAAAGAAAAATATAATAGAATTAATCAATAAATTCAAATATTGAATCAGAATTAAATTATCTTTATTATTTGTGTAACGGTACTGATTTTGTTAATACATTATAATAAAAAATCATAAGGGAGCTAGGGCCATTTTTCGATGTGGGGTAAATTTACAGGGTAGTGGTGACTATACAAAATATTGATCAGGGGGTGGTGACCATACAAAATATCAATTACAGGGGTGGTGATTATATAAAATATCGATCTAAATAAAAATTATTGTATTATATAATAAGTGTAATTATTATATTGGATAATTAATGTATTTGATTGAAAAAGATATTATATTATATAATAAATATAATTATTGTATTGAGTAATTATTATAATTTATATAATTTGAATAAAAATTATTATAATATATATTTAATATGATTATTATAATTGTTATATCGAATGATTATTGTAATATATATTTAAAAATATAATTGTTATATCAGATGATTGTTATATCGAATTGAAAAAGATATCATATTATATAATAAATATAATTATTGTATTAATTAATTATTATGATTTATATAATTTGGATAAAAATAATTATAATATATTTTAAATAATATAATTGTTATATTGAGTGATTGTTGTAATATATATTTAAAAATATAATTATTGTATTTGATGATTGTTGTAGTGTATATTTAAAAATATAATTATTATATCAAATGATTATTAATAAATATTATAAGGATTTTTTTAATAATTATTATTAATAATAATTATTTTTTATAGAAAGATAATTATTGATTTATAAATATATTTTTAAATCTATTTATAAATAAATTCAATTTTAATCAAAATTATATATTAATTATTAATTTTAAATATATATAAATATTTTATATTATAAATAAAATAATTTATAGTTTTAAATATTTATATTTAAAATAAAATTTTATATATTAATCAATTATATATTTAATTTTAAAATTTCAAATCTATTTCAATTTTGATTAATTCTTATCTTTTTTTTTTTTTAAATCTTTTACAAAAACTTATTTATTAAATCGATTTCGATAATTTTATTATCAAAAATTATTAAATTATAATTATCAATTTTTTTATTTAATATTTTATTATAAAATTAATAATAAAAAGTATATTATACAAAATATTCAATATCAATTTCAAAATCAAAATAATGAAATTTATTATTTACAATATCAAAAATATTAATAATTTTTATTAATCATTTAATATTTTCTTTATTTCTGAATATTTTTTTCAAAAGTTTATTAATAACAATATTATATAATTAAACTTTTTTAATATATTTAATCAAAATTAAAATATATAATTAATTTATTTTGTAAAAATTTGATTAAACTTTCTTTGGTTTTATTTAATTTCAAATTATATTTTGAAAAATTAATAATAAATAAACTATATTTTTATTATTAAACTTTTTTTTGAAAAAGTTTTCTTTATTTATTTTTCAAAATATTTTTATTTATTTATTTTTAAAAAAATAATAATTTGATTAAATAAATATTTTTAATTCTTTTTATTCTTTTTTTATTTTATAATAAAACAAAATATTATAATCGATTCATTACATTTAATATAAAAATATAATAAATCTTAATAAAAACTTTTTTAAAATAATAATTTTTTATTAAAAACAAATAATTATTTATAATTAATTAATATTAATATTTCAAATTAAATTTAAATAATTTTATACAAAAATTTATTATATAAAATCTATATTATAATTTAATTTATTTATTTTTATATTTTTTATTTTCTTTAATTTATATATTTTTTATTAATAATAAAATAGATTTTTATATTTTCAAAATAAAATATTATAAATATTATTTATATATAAATTTTAAATTAAAATAAAATAATTTGTTTTACTTTTTATATAAAAATTTTATTAGATATGTAAATAATAAATTTAAATAAATTTTTTTAATATATATATTTTATATCAAATATATTTCTTTTTTAATCTTGAAAAATAGATTTATTATATTCTAATTAAATATATTTAATTCTTTTTAATAATTAATTTTCTAGTATTTTTATATTTAATTAATAAAGTATTTTTTAAATTTTATTTTTTATTATTTAAATTTTTATTAGATTATAATTTTGATAATTCATTGATTGTTTTTGTTATATTGAAATATTAAATATAATAAAATAAATATATTTTGAATAATATAAATTTATAAAATTGAAAAAAAAGAGAAAATAAAATTCTTTATATAAAAAGCAATTTTCTATATCGATATTATATAAATTTATTATTTAAATTTTATAAAAAGAAATAGTTTTAATAATTCTAATATTATTCTTTTATTTAATATTTATTTATATATATATTTGTAATAATAAATATAATAACAATTCAAAAAGAATATCAAATTATTTATAAAAATAATAATTATATATAAAAGATTAAATTAATATTATATAATTATTAGTATTAATTATAAATTTAATTATAAAGAATTTGATTATATGATTATTTATAATTTTATTGATTATATATTATATTTTTAAATATATTAATAGATATTTTATTTAATAAAAATAAAAACAATTCATAAATATATTATAAATAAATTAAAAACCTTATAGTTTTTATTAATATTTTATTAAATAAAAAATAAAAAGATAATAATAAAGATTATTTTATTAAATTTTTATTTTTATTTTTTATAATAATATTTATAAATTTATTTATTTTAAATAAATATAGATTTTTATTATTAGATTTATTCAAATCTGAATTGAATTTTTTATTCAAAATTTGTAAAAGTAAAGATTAAAAATCAAAATTTAAAATATTAATTATTTAATTCAAATAAATATTGAATTTATAAATTTTAAGAATATCAAATTATAAAATAATTAATATAAAATAAAATTGAAAAAGAATTAAATTTATTTTTGATTAAAATTAATTTATTAAAAATAATAATAAAAGAAAAATAATTTTATATAATTTATATAAAAAAATTAATTAATTATTGAAAGTTATTTATATATATTAAATATATTTTATAATAAATAATATAAAAATATATATATTAATATTAAATTAAAATAAATAATATAATTTATTATTGAATAAATTATATTATCGAATAGATTATTTTTCTTTCAATTTATTAATTAATTATTATAAAATTAATTAATCTAAAAATCTAAATTTCTTTTGTTATTAAAATTATTTATAAAAATAAAAGATTAAGTATTTGAAAATTTTTAAGTTTTATAATATTTTTGTATAATTTTTAATATAAAATAGATAATTTATTATTTTATATAGAAATTTGAATGAATTATTATAATATTATAAAATTAGAAAAGGAAATAATTGTTTAATATATTTTGATATAGATTTAAAAGTTTTTATTTAAATTTAAAAATATAGAAAACATAATGAATTATATTTTTGAATTAAAAAATATAAAGTGTATTAGGAAATTTTGAATATATCGATTTGTAAAATATTGAATTGAATGAAAGATATATTTGTAACGATTTAATTGAAGCAATGATTGTTTTAGGTTTTGTATAATTGGTAATTGTAGGTTAAGGTTAATAATTATTGATTATCTATTCGAAGATGAATATATTATTAGATTAATTGGAATATAGATAAATTAATTGATAATTAAATTGAATACAAAGCTTTTAAATTATGAAATTATTCTAATTATATATTAATCTATTTCGAAAGCTTTTAG